TTATTCTGATTACACTGATTATTAGCATTGTTATTATTATAATTGTAATTGTTGTTGTAATTGAAACGATTTCTGAAGTTTCGATTTCTATTGTTTCTGAAGCTCTGATTGTAGTTGTTGTTATTTCTGAAGTTGTTGTTGTTGTTGGGGTTGCTATTGTTGTGGTTGTTGTTACTGTTGTTACTGTTGTTGCTGTTGTTGCTGTTGTTACTGTTGTTGCTTTGATTGTTTCTGAATTGATTATTACCTTTGTTATAATTGAATTTTGCTCGACATTGATGCTGAAAATGACCCTTGCGATTGCACCTGAAGCAACGCTTAACATGATTGTTTGATTGTTTATAATTATTATTGTTTAATTTAATCATCATCGCTTCGCCATGTTTATCATCAGAATTATTGGTAACTTTATTTTCAAAAATTAAGAGTTGCGATTTTAAATTACTCAGTGAAATTTGTATACCTGTAGAAATTGCTAATTCAATTGTTTGCCGAAGTGACTGGTAATTAGAAGGTAAGTCATCTAGAATCTTAACCATTAATGAATTATCATCAACACTCAAACCTAAATCATTCATTTGTTTAACAATAGATTCCAATTCGGAAAAGTAACTAGACACCGAGTGAGATGAGGTAAATTTAAGGTCGGTCAACTTACGACGAGTCCTCCATTCATTGGTTGTTGTCCTTTGTTCTCGGTGGTTGATGATATTTGTATACATTTCAGCGGATGTTGAGCAATTGATGATGATGTTGACATGGTCTTTGTTAATTGAATTGATGATTAGCATCCGAGCAGTGGCATCACTTGTTTTCCAATCTGAAATTTCCTTATTACGTTTATTAACCGCTGCGACTGTTGAATCTTCACCTACAAGTGGAACTGGACACACAACTTGGCCATTGGTAATTTCCCATACACTCTTTGATTCCAAAACGGCCTGAATATAAGTCTTCCAGTGAAGATAATTATCAGCACTTAATTTAATTGAGCTCGAATCATTCACATCCATGGTGATCAGAAAAAGATGAAGATAATATTGTGAAGACAATAAGGTGAAGACAATAAGGTGAAGACAATAAGGTGAAGACAATTTTAATGAGGAAAATTTGATGAAGAAAATTTGATGAAGAAAATTTGATGAAGAAAATTTGATGAAGAAAAATTGATGAAGAAAAATTGATGAAGAAAAATTGATGAAGAAAAATTGATGAAGAAAAATTGATGAAGAAAAATTGATGAAGAAAAATTGATGAAGAAAATTTTATTAATTTAAATTTGTCCGGTAATATTCATCACAAACACACACACAAAGATTAACGCAGTTGCCCGGAAACTACTGAGCCCATAACCTGTTGGTTTAAATTGATTTTCCTTAATCAACTGAGTTATCACAAAAGTAGAAATTTACTTCTTCTCATTAACACAATGAGGATACACAATTTAAATATAAACGACACTTTTATTAATAAGTAAAAACTTCATCAAGTTACTGGTACAAAGAGTGTGACCAAAGTGTAATGATTATTGTCAAGGTTTTCGTTTAAATACAAACAAAGAAAAGGTTTAAGGTTTGGTCAGTTTGACCGGATTGGTCCATTTGAATTAATTGTCCGTTGGTAAAGTTAATGGATGATTAACTTACTAAGGTAAGTAGATAGTAAGAGAGAGTAAAGAGTGAGAGAGAGAAAGTAAGAAGAAAGTGATTAAGAGAGAGAGAGATTGGGGCAATCAAGAGATGAGACGAAAAGTCATTGGTCAGTTGAAGCGACTGAAAGGAGCTTACTGACCGTCATGTGTTGACCAAATTTTAAGAGTACAGTTGGGTTAATAAGATCAATAAATGGGAAAGAAAAGATAATCTCAAAGTTCAAACACAAAATATGAGAAAATGGTGTTGGTCAATTTATCAAAATTGACCAATTGTTTGTGCTCATATCTCAGTACACATACAACTTACAACAATTATTATTATATATTAAGACTCGCTTAATTAAGCTCTTTCTAACGATATATCATTTGTTGATCAAAACTAATTAATTAGTTAAAATGTGTGTTGGTATCAATGGTTCACTTAATTGGTCAAAATAGTCAAAAACCGGAGGTTTTTGGTTAATTGTTGATGAACCAATTTACTGATCGACTTGATCAGTATCTTAATCGATCACAATTGTCAAGAGCTTCAATTATATGTGTGTACTGTTGTCGGCAAATTGTTTGATAAGAAAAAGTTAGCCACTTGAGACAATACCCAATGTTAAGTCTATGGGGAATCGGAAAAATGTTACAACTGATGTCGCATGGGAACTAATTGTAGTAATTGTAGTAACATGAACAAGTAAATGATTAAAATGAATGAATATAATCAGTGAATATAACCAACAAATTGATTGCTGATTTTTACGATTCCCATTGATGGTCAACTTAATCAAATTAGTTAAATCATTTGATTGAAAAGTAAATTTTCATCTACTTAATTGTCTTGTTACCTTGGGAATCAATAGTTGAAAAAAAAAGTTAATTGTCTCAAGTATATATAAAAATAATAATAATGTAACAATTAAAGTTACAATTAACAGGTTAATTCAATTGTGAATTTCAATATTTAATGATGATCATTTTGTAAATATTGTTCAACAATCTACTTGATTAATTGTTGTTGTTCATTTTCTTGTTGATTAAAGTTCAAGGAAAATTAAATTAATCCAATTGAAAAAAAAAAGTTTCATCAGAATCATTTTTGATTACGTGATGATCATCATGTTGATTGTTAACAATTTAATTTATTATTATTTCAATTTAATTCAATCGTAATGTTGAACCTTGAATTTTACCCAAAATTAAATCATAATTAAAATCGTAATCAACAAACACCAGTAAGTTAATTAAATCATCTTGTTATCAAAATATTAACTGTTAACTATATTTAAGATTATTGTAACAATCAAATATGCAAATTGGAAACAAAAACTTAACTCAAACAATTAAGATTAACAATTAGAATGAGCAATCTAATTTTCTCGTTCAATGAACTTGATTTTTATCAATATCTAATAATGGTAACAATTAACTTTCAGATGGTTACAATTACAATTAAACTAAATAAGGAAGTCCAATAAACAACAATTATATAAGTTGAATAAAGAGAAATGATCAAATTAAATAGTTAATCAGTGTTAATATAAATCATCTCAATCAATAATCACAATTAAACAATAAAATTGAAACGCGAAAATTTTAATCACTTGTCATTAGGAAAAAGTCAATGTAATAATTATAATCATTGTCAAGACAATTAACTTTAAATCATTAAGAGTGATTTGTGTGTATCACTAAACAATTAACAATCTAATCATTTACGTTAATCATTAACAATTTAAAGACAACTCCTAATGGTGATAATAGTTAACGAATTAACCTTCACCCAAAAACTTTTTTCATCTTAAGGAGTTTTCAGATTCGAGGAGCGAATAGAACAAAAAAATATTCTATTTTCGATAAAAAAAAAGTTCTATTAATAAAATGATTCTAATTCAGTTGTGTTGGTGAAAATAAAGATGATGTTGATGATGATGATGATGATGATTAAGATCAAGATAACAATTTAATTCCATTCATTCAACTTGATTGTTACCTTGATTGTCTATTGTTATATCAGAAACTCTGATTACAATTAAAACTATTACAACCTTTTTTTTTTATTAGACACTTAATTGTTATGATAATGGACCAGAGAAAGAGAGTATGATTTAATCACGAAAATTTGTCACAATTAAACGATTAACAATTAAGAAAAAATTTCGATATAATCTCGTAATAAGAGTGAGAAGTGAAATAGAAACAAGTTTATCACAATCAATTTTAATCCAGTTTAAAATGAATACTCTTTTTTTTAATAAGGTTAATTTAAAGTAAAAGTAAATTATTAGTGATGATCATCAGCTAATTAACTTAAATTAGATGATTAAATGATTAAATAAAATGGAAAACATGAACTTTCACCTTGTTAATTAAGTCGCTGTTTCTTTCAGACTTTAATACCCTTTTCAGTGGCTTAATTGTTAATGATTAAAAGTTAATCAGTTGAAAGAGAGATTTATTTTTACCAATATCAACAGGTTAATATATAATCATGCTTGAAGCAAGAAGATAAATAATTAACTTTCTCTCTCTCTCTCTCTCTTTCTTGGTCATCATCTTCATCTTCAGGTTGGTTTTTTTCATGAACCTTGAAGTTTGAGAGCTAAAGTTAACCTTTTTCAAGAGTAAAGTTGAAATTAGAGTCTTAATTCAGTTCGAATGATGAAAAAAAAACAAAGCTTCAACTCTCACTCTCTTCATCTCAATCGTCTTCATCTTGACGAAATCAACGAAACGTTATATTTAATATAAAGGTCGTCATAAGAGGTTCGTTGGAACGAAGTAACGAAAACTTTTTTTTTCGTTTTCATTGATTGTTTGATTTCTTTCAACTTTTCTCACGATTTGTTGTTTATTAGTATTGTTACTATTTTAATAATGTAATTTAAAAGTATAAACACTTCGAAGTGGTAATTTAATTAGCTTTCAATTGGAATTGTCACTTTTAATTGTTTACACCAACTGATTCGCTTTTAATTGTTGGTTTCAAGACGAGGGAAAACTTTTGCTTGAAAGTTTTTTCTCCCTTAATTTTTATTGTTTATTTTTTAGATTTTGCAGAAATTAGTTGTTAGTTAATTGTTGTTTTTAATTAGTTGAAAAGGAGAATTGATTAATTCGTTGTATATTATTATGTAATCTTATTACTTTAGGAAAGCATATGATTTAATTTATGATGATTAGCTAAGTGATCACTTTGAATTGTATTGGTTATTTGCTTACCTCATCATTAGAAAAGTTAATTAATTGATGATTATTATTACTTGATTAACTTTAATTTGATTGTTTTATTGATATTTAAGTGATTTGTTTTTCATTCAAATCAAAGCTATTAAATAATATGATTGATAAAAACAAATTAAGTAGCGGGAAATTGAGTTTAATTTTTTACAGAATGAGTGGATTTTTTTTACACTGATGAGGAAGTTAATTGTTGTTGAACAATCAACTGATTGGTGATAAATTACAATTTTAAGGTTTGATGATTGATTTACAATTTTGATACAATATTTATACTTATAAATTAATCATAATTGATTGTTACGTTTGGTCTGAAATTGGTCTTTTTTTTGGTCATTTTTTCTTGTTGCTTTGGTTTTTTTTCATTTGATTAGTTGACTAATTATCACAGGTTCGAGTGCGAGTATCGAGTGAGTGAGTGTGTTGATTGTTGGAGTTGATTCATTTTGCTTTGGAATAAAATTCTTTGTCAAATTCAGCAATCATCTTGATTGTTTTATCGTCATTTTTGAGAGATGAGGTAAATCCTTTTGAATCGATTACACTGTAACCGGGTGACCCATAGGAACTTGAGTCACTTGAACCAGAAGCAGCAACAGGGGAAGAGGAAGCAACGGAAATGGATCCATCCTTCTTGTGGATATCATGCCAACCGTGGTGTCCATGTCCATGTCCATGTCCGTGATCATGACCTTTGTGTCCGTGATCGTGACCCCAACCATGGTGTCCATCGTGGTGTCCATGGTGACCGTGATCATGCCAACCATGATGATGACCATGATCATGCCAACCGTGTTCGTGTTTGTGTCCATGATGATGCCAGTGGTCATTTTTGTGACCGTGTTTATGATCATGTCCATGTTTATGGCTGTGGTCGTGTTTGTGGCCCTGTAAAGAATAGCGAATCCAATGGTCATTTCATTGACTCTGACCAAGACTTTTTTTTAACTTACATGTTTGTGGTCGTGTCCGTGTTTGTGTCCATGCTTATGCCAATGGTCGTGTTTGTGTCCATGTTTGTGGTCATGACCGTGTTTGTGTCCCTAAAGGTTAAAAGAAATTGGGTCAGTTTTACTTTCGATCACCAGTCGAACCAATTTATTGATTGGTCACTTTAACTTACATGTTTGTGATCGTGTTTCTCCCAATGGTCATGTTTGTGTCCATGATCGTGTTTGTGACCGTGTTTATGTCCATGGTCATGCTTATGCCAAGCATCGTGTTTATGTCCATGCCCTAAAGCGACAAAAAAGTCAGAATCAATGAAATAAATCCAATGGTCATTCAGTCCATCAGGTGACTAATACTCACCGTGTTTGTGTCCATGGTCATGTTTATGGTCATGTTTGTGTCCGTGTTTGTGACCATGTCCATGTTTATGGTCGTGCCCGTGTTTGTGTCCATGTTTATGGTGATGATGAGCCTCAACGGGAGCGTGTTTATGATGATGGTGATGATGATGAGTTACCTCTTTCACATGACAACCATGATGACCATCATGATGACCCCAACCATCAAGAGGTCTGATTATTGCTACTTTACCAATCGATTCCTCTGCTTGCTTTTCAACAGCTGATTTAGTACTTGGGACAATTGCATTAACCAAATCGGTCAATGGATTACCCGAACTGATTGTTACCTGGATAACAACAATTAAAACAGTTAATAAACTAATAAACTTCATTTTCGTTGATTGGTTTAACTGATTGTTCAATTGTACAACTCAGTTTACTATTGGATTAGATTATTGTTGTTGGTGTAAAACTAATAAATCGGATGTTGTTGTTAGTTGATTGTTGATCAACTGACTACTGATGATAATTTCAACGAAATCTCAACAATTTATACCAAATCAATTCTCAATTAAAATTGATTGGGAGTCATTTTGTCCACAATTAAGATTAGAAGAGACAAAAAATTCATCGGAACAATTTAGTTTGTGTAACAATTGATGGAGAGAAAAAAAAAGTTTGTTAGTAAATAACTCGACTGTTAATTGTAACAATCAAATAGCATTTTTATCATAATGATTTGGTTTGAACTGTTCAGACACGAAAAAAAAGTTTCGGAAATCAAATAACTTGATTAGGAAAAAAAAAATTCAATTTAATTTATGATTAAGATTGAGAAGGAAAAAAAATCGAATCAAATTAATCGCAATTTAAATTGTTTTGTTTTCTCTGGATTCAAACAAAAACTTTAGGAATTGTTGACAATTAGAAAAAGTTTTTGATTACTTGATTATTGCCACAAATCTAATTATGATTTACGTTAATTGTTAATCTATCATTTGGTTAAATCAAATTTCAGCAATTAACGCCTTCCCTTCAACCTGATTAGTTGAATGTTTTTCAAAAGGTAAACAATTAACTTGCTAATTGTAATTTAAGAAACTAATTGTTACTTTTCTGGTCCATTGTTTAATTCAGTTTGCAATGTAAATTTAGACCTTTAATTGTGATTAGTTAGATGATATTCTAAGTTAAACTTGATTAGTCTAATTGTCCACAATTAGTTAATTGTTTAAAACTTTGGTATCTGACTTTTTACTTTGCTCCTTAATCACGATTCTTTAATTGTTTCCCTCTCAACAATCAGCAATTTAGCTTTAACAGGTGAGAAAATTAAATCTTATTGGAAAATTAGTTAATTGTTTCGCTGAAGTTTTTGAAGATGAAAAAAAGTCCTATCATGAGATTTGATTGATTTTAATTGTTACTACTTTCTGATTACCTTGAGTAAATAAATTTGATTAACAACAATTAACAGTTTCAATTAAAATTTATCTAAATTCCTCCCAAACTAATTGACATGAAAATCAATTGATATAAATGAGAAGTCACAAAAACTTTGCAACTAATTAAATCAACCTGGTTAATGAACAGCAAATAGACAATTAATTAATCAACAAATAAAACAATCGAGTTGAACAATTAAAAATAATAGTGAAAGGGAAAAAAGTTTTGACCTTTATCATCTTGTTTATAAAACTCAATGAACTTTTAATTGTTGATTAACATGAATGAAAATTTAGTTAAATTCAAAAATATCACCAACCCTCAACAACTACAAGCCAACAATTAAAAATAGACAATCAAGAATCAAGTTTAATTCACTTGATTCCCTAATCTTCACCTGAACAACAGCAACAACAATCAACTAATTGTTAACAAGTTGTGATTAAAACCTCAGAGAAAGAGAGAGAGAGAGAGAGAGAGAGAGAGAGAGAGAGAGAGAGAGAGAGAGATAAATATTAAATTACAATTGAAATTAATTGTAATGATTAACTGATGATGATGATGATTGGAAACAACAACAAGAGTGTAAAAAACACACTGACCTAAATTTACAATTTGGACCCTGATGACCTATTAATAGTTGATCGTTGGCCTCAAACAGTATCAATTGATGATGATGATAAGTTACCGACAGGTAAAATAGACAGAGAAGATGATATAACACTCAATCATCATCATCATCATCATCTTCATGATAAATGTCAAAACCATTTCGATAAAATCAGAGGAAAAGAAATGAAAAAACTTTCTCTTTTTATCAACAACTAATAATGGAACTTGTTTAACAAGATAAACATGATTTAGTTAATTGTAAGAAATTTAGTGAAAACATGAAACAATTAATCAAGCGAAATAGGTAAATCCAATGTTGATTAAATTGTGACCATCAGTTGATTAACTTAATAATATTTTAGTTTGATAGTTGATTACAATTAGTGATTAGCTTTTTATTATCTTGTGTTGTTATTGATTATTATATTTAGTTTTACATGATTAACTTTAATCATAAACAGTTAATTTTAAACTTAAACATTTATTGTAATTAGTTAATCATATGATTTATCATAGGGTTCTCTTATAATTATCATGTTGATATTTTAATTGTGCCTGGAGCAATTTAAATGATAGTTTAATGTGGAGAAAGAAAAAAAAATTAATAATAAAACAAAACAACAATTTCAAGGTTAATTTATTAGTTTTACTGATTGTTAGTGTAACTGTTAGTTAATCATTATAATCAATTGAATATCAATCAATGGGAAAGTAAATTGTTAACTAATCAACGACAATCAGTCAAATTAGTAGCAATCAAGAAACAAATTATTACCTTTGATTGGGAAAAGTTTTACTATCATTGTGATTGATAATCAATTGATTGTAATTAATATGACGATTAAGAGGATGATGCTGATTGTTTAAGATTAAAGAGGAAATTGTAATTAAATTGTTGAGGTTAATTAAGATTAGGTGCTAATTTTATTTCCATTTGCTTGTTGATTAGCCATTTTAATAGTTAATCCATTTTGAGGTCGAGTCGATGTCCTAATCAAAATATTAATCCAGGTCACTTTTACCGTTACTTTTAATCATCATCATCATCATCATCATCATTATCATCATCAGATGATGATGATAAAAGCAAATTTAAATTTACTATTTATAAATTGTTACCAAAACCCAAACAGAAAAAAATTAACGGTAAATAAAGTGACCACAACTTTTTTTCATCTTTTAAATTGTGACAATTTAATTGCAATCATAATTGTCTGGCTATTTTAATTTGATTACTTTCATCATGATGTGTTGGTTGATTATGAAAAAATAAAAACAATTAACTTGATTACTTTTGATTTATTGATTAGTTGGAGATTCAAATTAATCAATATTTTGATTATTTAACTTTTTTCGTTAATTGTTTTGTTGTTGTTGTTGTTTTCTCGTATTGTTTTTATTGGCAAGTCTTTGATTGATTCGTTAATTGTTGATTAACTAATCACAATACAAATTGAGAGCGTAAGTTGATTATTATTAAATTATTATTAGTCTAAATCTTAATGTTGATCAGATTAAATTGTAAATAGTTAAATTGTACAATCGGTTTTGACAGATTGATGTTACCTTGTTGTTGTTTTAATCAACTAAGTAGGTTGATTGAATACAACAATTTAGTTAATCAATTGTTGGATAAATCAATGAGAATAATGAAAAAAATCAAATCAAATGGAATGACAATCTTTTTGATTGTTGTAATATTAATCAGCTTATAGTTATCAAAGTTAATCACAATCAACAGCGACAAAAACAATAAGTAAAATATTGACAATTTAAGCGGAAAGTGATTAACAATCAACAATCAGTAAATTTTGTTTTATTTAATTGTGTATTTTTAAGGTAATTCAACACAAATTCATTGGTAACAATTAAAAATAATCAAGATGAAGTTTTTTTTTTTACTTTCCTATGGTGATTATAATTAAGTATTGATTGTGTTGTATTCATTTTCTAGGTTAATTGTTAGCAATTTATTTTTAGTTATTAACATTAAACAATTTACAACATTAGTGAAAATGTAAAAGGTAAAACAATCAACCTAAATTGTAACAAATCAAAATACAAACTAACAATTAACAATGATGATTAACCAAGCATTTCATTTGTCCCAGAGACACAGTAATCATAATCATCATCATGATTAAATAATCAACGTGATTAACTTTGATTGTGATTGGGTTTCCATTGAAGGGGAGAAATTAAATTTTTCTTTCCTGTCTAATAAACTAAATTGTTATGTGTGTGTGTGTTCATTGATTGTGATTAACTGATTGTGATTGTCATTTACACTTTGGATATGGTTGGTTGGAGTAAAAGTTAATCACTCTAATCAGGAATCATCATCTTGATTGTTATGGTGATTAATGAGATGATCAACTGTGAAAATAATATTCTCTCTCTCTTTCTGGATAATCAAATCGCTTCAGTGACAATTAACTATCAACAACTAAATTAACTAATCACTGGAAAACTTTTATCATTTGTATTTACATTTATGGTTTGAGAAATCAATTAATTGTTTGTGGTTTGATTCAGTTTCATTTCAGATGATTTGATTTATTTAAAAGGGCAGATTTTAATGTTAACAATTAACTAATTGTGATTTGTTTTTGACCACTTCCTTGATTGAAAAACAAATGTCCAGTTTAATTTATTTCTTACCTTTAAAAGGTCAACAATTTAAAGTTAATTGTAACATAAAAACCATTTGCTCATTTGATTTTTAATTGTTAACTTAATCATCTGCAATGTTTTTAATTTTAATCGCCTTTAATTGTTTGTATGTGTGAGTAGATTGTTAGGAAATGAAATTGACTGATTTACAATTAATTAAGTAGGACCAGTTAATTGTGGAGCTTCTGTTTAGTAATCAAATTAATTATCTTGTTAATTAATTAACCATTTAGGTTTTTGTTACTGTTGTTTTCATTTTGATGATTAGAAAACTTTTTTTTGTTAGTTAATTGTTGTCGATCAGAAAAAGGATCCATTTCAATTAAGGTTTTAAGTTACCTTATTGTTGATTATTTAACAACAACAATTAAAACTTGAGATTATTATTTATAATCATGATCACCTTTGTCCTGATTAATTGTTACCGTTATTTTGAATGTCAACAACGGTTTTGTTTTGGTTAATCATCTTCAGCGTGTAAGTTAATTTAATCATCACTTCCTTGAGTATTTTTTTAACTCTATTGATTGTCTTGTTATTTGATCTTGTTAATTGTTAAAAGATTAATTAAATATGATAGTTAAAAAAACGATTTCAATTGAGACAAAGATCTAGAGGATTATCTTACAACCAACACACAATTTAGCTTTGATGATGATGATTAATTTAAATAAACACGATGATGATTAGGTGTTGATAATCTGGATCCAAATAATTTTGTTAACTGTAAATAATTACAGTTTCATCTTAAATTGTTGATTTTAAGTGAATTGCAGAAATGATTGATTACCATTACGGGTAAACTACGTAATCAACTTTCCATCTTTATGGTGATATAATGATGATGTTAATTGTTGTTGTAAAAATGTCAATGCCATTGGACGAGTTGATATATTGTCACATAATGATAACAGAGAGAGAGTCAATCATTCAAATTAACTAATCACCAATTTGTTGGATATCAATCGAGTCGAGTTATTATTTTTGTTGATTGTCACTTCACTTATGATCAGTGCGATTATCGTTAATTGTTTGATCAAGTTTATACGTTCCCAATAACCTTTAATAGTAAAGGTAATAATGATAATATCAAGTTATCATAATGATATTGATGATGATTGTAAATAAATATTTTATCATTTATATTACACAGGAAACCATTGATTGGTTCAACTTGATTAACTATCTCTTTTGTTTTTCCTCCAATTTTACCGTTAAGTATCAACAGGTTATTCAACAGGTAAAAATAGCTCAATGTAAGCTCAATTTGTTGACAGTTATTCTTCAAGTTATAGATGATGGTTGATTGTAGAGCCAAAAGATGATACAATGAGGCAAAATCCCATAGAGAGTGAGAGAGTGAAAGATGAAGATGAAGATGAAGATGAAGAAGGAAATAGAAAGACTTGTTTACCAATAATGTCTGGATCTCTTGTTCTTTTCTCTCTATCTGTGTGTGCATTGTAATTATCGATATTATTAGTTGTATGTTATCAATTTATTAATATAACAACAACAATTAAACGATAAAACACAAAACATACAATTTAATTAGTCTTCTTAATAATTAAGTTAGACGCTTTTCTATAAACAAACACATAAGTCACTCTACTTGAAATACAAGATTCAAGTGTTTCCTTTATTTCTTATTAACTGATCATCACTTGGTGACATTAATTAACGAGACAAATTACTAAAAGGCCTAGATTGTCATAGATAAAAAATAAATAACAAAAAATAGATAAACACAATTGTATTAATTAGAAAAGAGAATTAAAAACAAAAGAAAAACCAATTAATTGGTTGACTTTGTCGAAGAAAAGAAAAGAAAATGTCAATTTACTGAAAGAACCGAAAGATGGCAGAATTTTAATTCTTTTTTAATCCCAATTTTGGATTCTAAAAGTTGGAGAATAAAAATTAACCCAATTTGTTTTTATCTTTTCTTTTTCCTTGTTAATTAAATTAAATCAATTTAATCTTCACCTTAATTAGTGTTCAATGGAAATTCAACAATCTGATTTCCCAACAATTTCTCATCTTAATTTTTCTTCTTTCCTTTAACGGGATAAGATTTTTTTTCAATTCTCTTTTCTTCTTCCCTTTCCTTTTTTTTGCTACTTGTATTTTCCTTTGTTTGTTAAGTAAAGCAGGAAATAGAAAATTATTATTATGATTATCAAATAGAAAGTGTTGGTAATCTGTTAATTTGAAATGACAACTATTTCTCCGTCTTCTTCCCTATCCCTACATCATGTTCGCCATGTATCTTTCTCTCTTTCTCTCATTTACAATCTCTTTGGTTTGATAAGCGTTTCAATGGAAATTAATCAACCCTTTTTCCTTTTTTTTTCTCTATCTCTTTTTCCTTACAGATGATGATGGAAACATGGAGCGTAGTAATTGAAATTTATGTCAATTGACTATAAATAAAGTACCCAGAGTATGGATACTTAAATTCTGATGGTTCAGTTTGCATGATCGTTTTGTAAGTCACCAGTTTGGGTTAACGGTGTGGTGATTTTTTACTTGATGATTGGATGGAATCTCATCTTTTGAATGAAGTCATCTTATTTTCCTATTACACGAGTAGAGAAAAATAGATATAAGGAAATTCAATGGGATGTACGTGCTGTTGATAATAGGAGAAGAAGAAGAAAATCATCTCTGTGAAGTGGATTGAAGAACAAAATGTTCAACATGAAAAACATCCATTGAAATTTTATCTACCCAATAGGACAGAGAAGTTATGGTAAAATACAAAGAGAAAACGAATCATCATCAAGCAAGAGGTAAAATTTGTTTCCCTCTCACTTCAAGCAAAGAGAAGATGGAGAGAAAAAGTAGAGAACTACGAGACAAAACGATAAGAATATCAAGAAAAAAGGAAAGAACTTTCGAGATTGTGGTGAAGATAAAAAAGAAAAGTTAACGAAGGAGCTAAAACGTCATGTGCTTTAATCAGTCTCTTTTCCCAGGTATCCAGTTTTTCAACGGTATTAATAACTAGTAGCAAAAAAGACTTCCACTTCCAGCGGACCTTGATTTGTTTCCACTATAGCAACAACATCACCATCAAAAAAAAACAACAACAATGTTTACCTTTAAGGCATCATAATAACCTGGGCTACTTTTGCCGATGAAAAATGCTCCTAGGCGTGGATCGTAAAGGAAATATAAACATATAAAAAAACTAAGTTGCAATGATGAAGATCCTCTTCCCTCTCTCTTTCTCTCTCACTACAAATGAGGGTCAAGGGAATGGAAAAACGATAACTTGTCAGTGGAAGAAACGAGAAAAAAAAGTATTAGCTTCCAATTTTCTCGGGAATATAATACATAATGGACGATGATGATGTTATTAGTAATATAATAACACTAATAATAATTATTGGAAAGCAATGATTCCTTAACTATCAACCCAGCCAACTAACGTTCCCGTTACGAATACCGGTTTGACCAGATTTTGGTACATAAATATCAGAGTGAAACGCAGTCAATTTAAATTTTAGGTAAATGGTTATTATTGTGATTGGGACACATCAACAGGATCACCTTCATCATCTTCATCAAAATCAACAAGGCTCATGTTTACAATGTCGCTTCCCTTTTTTTTAATATTCACCTAAAACTTTACCTCATCGTCAAGTTAATCATCATCATGATCATCAACCAGATCAACATCAATTAATAACTATGCCAGCATTGAGCTCTCTTAACACTTGGCTGGAAAACCTTATTTTTGGCTTAAAGGCTAACAATTTAATTCCTTTAATTACTTTCGCTTCACCATCAACAACAACAACAACAACATCAACTGGGATGCTTTTAATGGCAGTAGAACATTTCACTTTCATTGGCACATAAAAAACTCTCACTGACTTACTTTTCTTCATCATCATCATCATTATCATCATCTTTACCATATAATCTCTTCTTCACCTTAATTTTTTCTCTCTTTCTACTCTCATTCTTACTCAATTTTCTCACCAACTTGTTGCACTTTCTTTCCTCATTTTCACAGTGTCTTGAGTAAGAGAATCAACCAGTTTTCTCATCTATCACAAACCTCTCATGAGCAACTAATTTAAACATTTAACTGTCATCCATTGGTTGATTATCATGATGATCATTCGTAATAACGTTCCACCAGGAGGCAAAATGGGTTAAACAATTTACTAACCATCATCTCTATCATTTTAATGGTCAGTGGTTGTTCCAGTTACTATGAAAGGAAAGAAGGAAAAACAAAGCAAAATAAATTCGTAAACAAACTAATCATGTTGTTTGTTTGCTATTACAAATTAACAGGAACTGTGGAGAAAGATTTATTGTCAAAGGAACTAGATGGTTTCACTAAAACTGCAACAATTAAAACCGGATGCTGTTAACTAATTGTCAGGAGAAAGTTGTTTAAATTGTTTCAATAAGATCGCATGGATAAAGTCAATGAACGCTATTGTTTTTTATCGGTGACTCTCATCATCATCTTTTTCCAATCATCATCATTCATTATCATCTCTCTATTTCTGGGTAAAAGGAGTCATAAATTTCACATTTGAAGAAGGCAAAATGAAAAGATAATTGTTTGCCAAAAATTGATTTTTCAATCGAATTGTTTCAACTCTTGCCAACACAATCAGTTACAACAATTAACTTAATTGTGTAGTTTGCTGTTTATAATGAGAGTGAGGAGAAAAAAAGTTCATTGATATTGAAATTTTGTCTTTGTGAGAAGAAAAAAAAAATCTAATCCTCAAAACATTAATGTCAATAATTAACACTTAATGTGATTTACTGATTTGTTCATTGAACACAACAGAAATTTTCTCAATTTCTTCATTAATTCAACAATATATATAAGATAATTTGAATACTAAATTAACCTCGACATGAAAAAAAAAGTTTATTGAGGAAAAAAATGTAAACATAAAGATGACCTTTGATAGAAAGAAAATTTCACTTTTTTTTAATTCTATTCAATTAATAGATTGATTTGATTGTAGAAAACTAATTAATAAATTGACCGATAAACCTTGATTGCACTTTCACCATCAACAATCAATAGAATCTCAACTGATTAGGAGATAAAGTTGATCTTTTATCAGGTAAGTAAATATCAATTTTTAGCTCGAAAATTAATTTAATTGTGAAACTGTTTCCCTAATTGTTGTTATGTAAACAAGTAATTCAATTCCCAAGTCAACTGGATTAATAAATTGTCTCTCTCAATATCATCAATATACTTAATAAAGGTTATGTGATTCCAATGATTAACTTTTTATTCATTTGTTTGATCATCATGATGATCATAATGATCAGCATAATAATCATGATTCCGATTCACTCTATTAATATTAAACTTTAATTGTCTGTTTATGTTGATTGTGTGTGCGCTTACATCAGTTGATTTTAATGATCATGTTTTTAATCATTATGATGATAATCAAATTGAAGGTCATCTCTATCCCTCTCTTATAAATTTGTCATCAACGTAATCATCTCAATTCAGTTGATATTAATTTCAACTAATCAATTAACTGTTTATACGTTAAGTTGTTATTCCAACAATTAACTGTTACAATTTAACTAATTTTTCTTCAAATTAACTTGGGAATCATTGATTTAGGTTGAGAAGAGAAAACTTTTTAATCACAATTAACATCGTAAAGGTTAATCAACTAAAGAATTATTTTCCATATGAAACTAACTAACGTTCCCTTAATTTTTGCCACCAAATTAATTGGAAAACAAAGAGATGAGTTTGCATTTATCTCTTATGAAGGTTAATTGTTACAATTATTACCTATTCTTTTGTATTGTTAGTTAATCAGTGTTACCACAATTGGGAATTAATTTAATTGTGGGTTGATTAAACTCTATGGTTTTCGTTTTCTGTGTTAATTTCATCTAAATATGGACATTTGATTTCTCTTTGATTCTTTTCCCATAGTCGCCATTTTTGTTTCTCTTCTTATTGTTTACATCATTTCCTTTGTTTCTTTTTTTTCTATTTAGATTGTGATTAAACACTTTGATACCTTGATTTGGTCTATCAAATTACTTGATTGTTACCTGTTGGTTGTTTTGTTCTGGTGCAAATTAATCCAGTTACTTTGTCGATGGTCAAATGGTGTCGGTTTTTTTTTCCACAATCAAATTGGTAAGTTTTACTCTTTGGTTACTGAGATTTTTTTTCTTCTCTTGTTTCCTTCATTAAATTCACTTTGGTATTGGCTGTCAATGTATTTCCACTATTTGATTACTAATGTTTATTTTGTTCTTTTGAAGGTGATGTTGGTGTTTCTCTTGTCATCTCTTTCGTAGGATGATACATATCCTTTTATTGTCGACCCACAAGTTGTTGCTATTGATTTGGTTACCAGAACGTTTCTCTAATGGTTGTTCAAGCTGAGAAGAGGCAGTAAAAGTCATATACGAATATCTCATGTTTAGAACCAAAAAAAAAACAAGGTAATTCTAAGGCGGGTTAGTAACTAGAATTAATGTTCTTTGTGTGTAATTTTGCTTTTTTTTCATCAAGAAAGGAAGACAAGACGTTAGAGAAACAGCTAAACAAATGAAGTAAACAAGAAGAAGAGGAAATGTTGGTAAAAAAAACAACAACAAACGATGATGAGTTCTGAGAAATTCATGGAAACGAGTGGATTTAAAGTCAACCCGAACCTCTTAATTGTTCCAGTCCATTATACTGAGAAACTTTGATTATCTGTTGGTGGTTGATTAGTGTAAATAAGCTAATCCATCGTGTTTGTCATCAGTGTCACTGCGATTAATTATTCAATAACCAATTGAGATTATTCATCGCACAATCAGAGTAAATCTAATTTCTAATTGAATTGTCATAAGGAACAATTAATGGTCCATTTTCTAGCCCTTGCTAATTGCGAAAATTGTATTAGATTTTTTCTGTTGCTAAGCGGTTCGAATTAATTAATTTACGTTGTATCATATTGTTGTCATCATCGTTTATTAATAGTTAATTTAATTCTATTTCTTTGTTTTCAGATCCAAGGTCAATTTAACGCTATTAGGGAATATCATTAAGCCTGATTGCAACAATTAACAGATTCCATCAGTTGATGATCCCTAAAGGAAAGGAAAACTTGATAAATTTGATTAACTTCTAAATCCATCTCAACAATTAAACTCCATAATCTTAATCTGAACAGTTTAATTGAAAATTAAATGGGTAAGCCTTTTATTTTTGTTGAACAATTAACTTTCAAAAGTTAATTCACTGTTGGAAATCAATTGATTTCCAATCAATCAACAATCTAAACAACTACAAAAGTGACCTAACAATTATCATTGAACTGTCATCGTTAATATTATTAGTTAATAATTTACCGCCAATTTTTGTTAATCATTTGATTTAAACTTGAAATTTTTTTAGGCCCGTATTCACCAACCGAGATTAGAAGCTGAAATCGATTGATCCAAAGATCAATTGATTGGAAGATTAAATCGCAAAGTGTATTCACCAAGTTGGATTAGTTGAACCCAAGATCTTGATTTCGCAAATCAAATCAAGTAGATCTTAAATCATTTAAATTTTTATTTAATTAGGAAATTGTCCCTAAAAAGGCGTGTTTTTTCATTTTTTCCCTATTTTTTCTTTTTTACCCCTAATTTTTAATTAATTTTTATCATCAACTGATCATCAAACATAACAACGGTAACAGCAATGTAAACATTTCGCTCTTTAGATAAAAGCGGGCAATTGGAAGATGATAAAAATAATTTAATATTCATGGAAAAGACTTGAAATTCAGATTAATTTCCAAACAATTAACAAATTAAATGATTATACTGATCATGTTTTCTGAAAATCTTCATTACGATTTTTGTGGAAAAAAAAATATTTTTTACGCTAGCGAAAATTGTAGGAAAATAATAGAAAATTGTTATATTAATCCATTCATCAAAAAAAAATTCGAGAAAAAAGAGTTAATCTAAAAAAAATTAAGAAAAAAGAGAGAAAAAAAGTCGAAATCAGCATTTAATCTTGGTAATTACCAAGATTAATTTTTGATCACCACTTAGCTAAAAATCTTGAATCAGATTAGGCTAATTTCACTTGGTGAAACAACAATTAAATCTCGACTTAATTGATTTCGGTTGGTGAAATGCAAATTTTTGATTGAGAGTTTTAGAAATCTTCGCTTAGCTATGATTCCAAATCAAATTTTAATTTTAATTGGTGAAACAGTTAAGTTTAACTCAGCTGATTTAATCTCAGAGTTAAGCTAGATCTCGGTTGGTGAATACGAGCCTTAGTTAAATCAAAAAGAGAGAAAGAAATTTTTTTATTTATTTTCTATCTAATTTTATTTTCTTAATTGTTTTAAATTAAGAATCAAAATTACATCAACTTTCAAGGTTAACTTTTGATTATAATCATTAAACAAATGATTATGTCTATTATATTATATTTAAATTGTTGATTGGTAATAGTTAGTGTAAAGTTGTATTTATAGTTAATTCCCTAATTTAGTTTATTTGTTTTATCATAATAGTTAACAATCACAATTAGTAAATCAACAAATTGTCGAACCAAAAAAAGAAATCATTATTAGGTTAACTTTGTATTGAGATAAATAATTTATATATTACACCAACAATTAAGGTTGTACTTTTGTTTAATTGTTACCATTTCAATTAACAATTAATGTATAATGAACTGATTTGATTTGGTAAAACAAAATCAGTGATATTTTTCAATATTCAGTCTATTGCTTAATTGTGATTAACTTTGTTTTCTGTCAAATTAACAATTTGCTTTTTAATTGCAACAGAAAAAGTGTTAATCAAATAATATTGATTCAAGTTGTTGCATTTAAATTGCTTGAAACAATTGAAATTAATTGCTAATTAATCTGTTAACCTATGAAAAAGTATACAATTTATTTCTGGTTAATTTAATTAATAATTAATTCAACATTATAAACATAAAAGGAAAATGATTAACTTAATCAATTGAAAGTTAACTAACCAACAACAATTTAAATCTAATTATAAACTAAAATTTTCTACTTTTTTTTCAGAGTCTTAAATTTGTGATTAAAGTTAATTGTTAATCGTTGCTGGTGGATGATAATGATAATCGTTAATTGGTCGTTTAATGTTATATCAAAAACAATTAAAAGTTACCAATTAAATAACTTTCTCGTTCTGGAACAGTTTCATCTTAATTGTTGTGACAATTAAACAATTTTTCTTAGGAAAAAAATTGGATTGGATTAGATTGGATCGTTAATTGCTGCTAACGACAGGTTTAACAATTTAACCTTGAATTGACCATAATCAAATTGACCTTGGATTTGTTTTGATAATCATCTTAATCAGAGTGATTAAGAAAAACCAAATAATCAACAACAACAACAATCCAAACAATTGATAATCCCAAAGCAATCAACCAGTTGGACGTTTAATCAATTGATCAAAATACAATCAAGTTTTACTCTACTGGTGACAATTTTATGATCAGTGAATTTAATTGTGGATTAATATTGAACAATCATAATCACAATTTAATAATAAGGTTCAATTTAAACAAGGAAAGTTGATTTAAGTGAAAATATAAATAATAATCAACTTAATCAGGTAAAAGATTAATTTAAAAGGTAAAAAGCAAAGGGTCATTTAATTCATACACTCACACTAAACAGCAATTAACTTTGATTAAGTTAATCATTTTACTTTTTCCTGGTCAACATGCAAAGAAGGTGCAAAAGGTCAAAATGTATATAAAGTTTGAACTTGATTTGATTTTGAACAATTGAATTTAACAATCATATTTATAACACTAATTAGAAACAATTAATTGTTAATCAATCTTCTCACCAACAACAATTAATTATCTTTTCTTTTCAGAACGATTTTTGGTTATCTAATTGTAAATCAACAAAGTGAAAATAATTTAATTGCAAACGGAAAAATTGCTTTTTGCTCTGGACAATTAATCAAGACAATCAATTAATTGTTACATCAAATTTTGCTTTTAAAACACAATTCGTTGCATGTTAATTAACTTTACTGTTTTTCAGTTTTCTCTGAGTAATTAAATTTTACTCAGGATTGTTAAGCTTAATTACTGTTTTATTAATTGTAATCAATTTAGTAGTTCATTGACTTTTTTGATTGTTGTTATAAATCATAAGCTCAACAAAGACGAAAAATTTTAGCAATTAATAAATTACTACTATTATAATGTTTTATATTGTGGTTAATTGTTAGCAACAATTAGCCATCTGATGGTTTATTGAATTGATTGCAAGGCTAAATTGAATATTCAAGTAACAATTTAATTAATTTCAGTGATTCTTTGAAAAAATAAGACAAAGATTATCTCAATTAATTGTCTTAATCACTGTGATAATTGCGATGTAATTAGAAGCCAAAAATTGTATTTACAAAATTGATTCTCATTGACAATCTCAACAACAATTATCTAATCATGGGTATTTATAAATCTAGTAATTAACTAGTAAAGATAAAGTAAAACTAATCAACTAATCATCAAGGTAAAGTACCCAAGTAGTTAATTAATAGTTATAACATATGACTGAATTAATTTTATCACAACTATCAGATTGATTGGATTAAAAGTGTTACCTTAATAGTAATATAAGCAAAGGTTAATTGTCTAAACAAAACTCTTGATTATCAATTGATTAAAAACTAATCATTTTATACAATTGATAATCAAACAAATTATACAATCAACTTTGTTGTTTTTTTGTTTGTATGATAAGACAGCAACTGAATAGCAGGAAGTATTAAAATAAATATGTAACCAAATAAGTTGATTGTTAATTTAACTCTTAATCAATTGCTTATTATCGTCTATTGATCTCGATTAACTGTAATTAATTTGATATTTTTATCTTTCTCTCTCTCTCTCTCTCTCGATATTTTTCTTGATCCAACAGCTAAAAAATTAACACCAAATGAGATGATTATTATGATCGACGTATTGTTTTGCCTGATTGAGTTAATTGTGATACCATAATAATAGAGAGACGACAAAATTGATGAAAAATTGAAAAACAACAACTGGAGCCAACAATTAGTTAATCACAATTACATCACGTCGAGAGATAGACAAGAACCAACATGTTTGTACCATAATTGATTAACAGTAATCAATGTTATTCACAATAATAACAATATAACGATCAGAACGATGATAATTATTATCATTACATGGGCAACATTACATCAGGAAAAAAAAATGAGTATTAAAAAAATATCACATGATGATATCTCTCAAGTTACAGAGTTATCATCATCATCTCCATTATTATTGATTGCGATTTGAAAGAATCAGCAATCAACTTGAAGCGTAATATTTACAACATTTCAACAAGTATATTAAATAAAGGGTGTGTAGTTTAAAAAGTTCCCTATGAGATTAGATAAAAGAAATTTTATCTTACCTTAAATGATGATAATGGTCAATGTGGAGATAAAGATGATGTGATTCCGATGAAGGTGAAAATGAAGACCAAACAAAACAAACAAACAATAAGTGATCAGTTTCAACAAAATGAATCAAAAAATTAAGACCAGAATTCAAGTTGTAGTCTCATATCTTATGAATTTTCGTGTGTATAGTAATGATGAAGATCGATGTCGTTCTGTTAATCATGATTTATCATCTAATGGCTTGAACAATATGTGTAAAAAAGCAATGCTTAAGTTGGTTACAAAGTTCATGAGGACAGGATCAGTTTCCAATGTGAAGAGTAAAAGGAAAAGGAAATCAAAAAATGAGGACCAGGTGATGGCGATGGTTACAGAGGATCCAACAGTTTCAATCAGACGGACGGCGATGGTTACAGGGAACTCATTCAAATCCATCCATAACATATTCAAAAAAAACAACTTGTTTCCATATAAACCCACTGAAGGGCAACAGCTGAATATGAATCAGATTAACGGTAGATTTTTGTTCTGTTACCGGATGAAACAAATGATCCAGTTCAATCAAATCGATATTAAAAAAATATGGGTACGACAGCGAAACCCGAAGACACTCACTCAATTGAAATCTTTGATAAAAGAACAATTTTTGACTGTAACATCGTCGATGTTAAGCAATACGATTGAAAATTTTGCCAAGAGAATAAATAAATGTTTGGAGAGAAAAGGTGATCATTTCGCCTTCGACCTTTAGTTGTTTGTTTGTTTTGTTTGATCTTCATTTTCACCTTCATCGGAATCACATCATCTTTATCTCCACATTGACCATTATCATCATTTAAGGTAAGATAAAATTTCTTTTATCTAATCTCATAGGGAACTTTTTAAACTACACACCCTTTATAATCAACAAGAATCTCGTCAATGGATTTCAATGGGTATGGAAAAAAAAGTTCAATTCCAATAAAAATTTTCTTTCTCTCGGTTGATTCTGCAATTAGGATGAGAAAAAAGAGAATAATAGTTAATATCATGAAACATGAAGATATGAGAAGAAAAAAATGATCAAAGAATGAAATCATAAGTAAGATGATCCAATACAATAGTAATTAATCAAATTTTCACTTATCATTTCTCATCAATTTGGATAACAATCAAAAACCGGCAACAGGTTAATAGTGTTTACGTTTTCAACTCACTTTTTTGATACATTTTGTTGCTAATATAATAATGTTATTATCATGATAACAAATGTTACGTTCTGTATATTAAGTAGATGTTATTTACGTTCGTAATAACCACAACAGGTAAGATTATTAGTAAATACGAGAACGAAACAGCGCTCAGCAAGATTATCAAGACCTTGAAGGTTAACCAGTTGGAAAACAATTGATATATTCCCTTACGATTAAAAGAAAAGGGATAAGAAGAGAAAAACAATTCAAGGCCATTCATTTTTTGGTCCACAATTTAATTGTTGCATTCATAACGCTACTCCTTTGGCCTTTTTTCCTTTGATTGTTTTTCTTTATTCCATCTTATTATTTGTTTTCTTCAGGTTCTTCTTGTTGTTGATTCTCCTTCTTTACTTGATTCCAACCCTGCAACTAATAGTAATTGGCACAATTTCTCAAGCACATTCAATTGGTGAATCTTTTCTCTCTCCTTTTCTTTATGCAGTCGATCAATCAGCTCTTGAGACACAATTATAATAGAAAGTTGGTATGTTACTTTTCTTAATTTAGAGACAATTTGACTGGTTTAGCCGGCGAAGCGTGCGAATGCGAATCCAACGCGTTGATGGAGAAAAAGGTTTATATGTGTGTGTATATTTGATCGGTATGATGTGTATGTGTGAGAGAGAAAGAGAGGGAGAGAGAGAGAGAGAGAGAACTGATTATAAAATATACATGTATTTATAGCACCGCTAAATTGTCATATTTAAGTTGAACTTGATTTGATTTGCTGGTTGATATGGATGCTTGTCTCATTTTTGTCTCCAATTTGCTTGATTGATTGTTGAGCTTCTCCTTGTTAAAATTGTTGCATTTGATTGTTGTTGTTGTTGTTGTTATTGAGATTGAATGAAACGAAACTTAATCAACCCAAATTTAACGATGTCTGGATCCTGAGATTATTGAAATTTAATTGTAAACCTTCAAATATTGATAATCGTTTCCACAACAGATCCCATTGAGATTATTCAAATTGATTGAGTTTCTTTGTGTTCCTTTAAACATAAACGTTGCCTATTATTTAGTGTGAGTGTGTGTATGTTAATTGACTTAATTCATCATCAAAACAATCATCTTCCCATAGAAAATCCTTTGTTTCCATTATTATCATTTCCCTCCACTGGTCTATCCAATTTGCTCAGTTAGCAACTGTAAGTGTGTTAAAAGTACATTTTGGTTAACCTTGTTGTTGTTATTTTATGGTGATGATAGTCACACTTGCTTTATATCGCTAAGAACTGCATGAGTACAGAAAAGAGAAAAAAGAAACTACAATTAAATTGTGTTATAATTCACAATCTGATTACTAGTGTTGAAAAGAAGACGGAGAAAAGAGAGGAAAGAAAGGGAGAGAAAAAAAAATAAAGGGTTACAGGAAAAAGAAGAGAACATAAATTGGAAGGGGAATTTGATATTCTACTCACTTGGTAATGAATTAGACATGAAAATCTCGTTTCTTCTTTATTTTCACCTAAAATCGGGTTTTCTTGTGTCCTGATTATTATCTAATAAGATGCTCAAGGTACTTTGTGATAACTTTCCTCTTCAAACTATTCTTTTCTCTCATTCGGTTCAATTACGTTGAATTTTGTTGGTTTACTGTTGTTTGTACCACTAAACCACATAAATCAACTCAAAGGGTGTTATTATTATCCAAGCTAAATTGAAGTAAATTGATTAAGCTTCCTAAACAAATTTCGTTCTTTCCTTTTGAACCTCAGTACCTTTTTCCTTGTTTACGCTTTAGGATATGAAACCGTAATACCAACAAGTGAGAAATTTGTAGTTTCCTATATGTTTGAATACCTCTGTTGTCATTGAACAAATTTGTCCATAATCTAGAGAGAAAGATAAAAAAAATTGTTAAATAATTAATCAACCAGCAAACAAACAGAAACATAACAAAAAGCCAAGGTCAAATTAGAACAACATCAAAATGATCAACAATTGAGAGAATCAAGAAAACTGTATCCATACCTTTTTTTTTTACCTCAATGTTACCAAACCAATTCATAGGTTTACAATATATTTGTTTAGGCCATTCATGTGATACTCTATCAAAGAAAGTAAATACCATTGACAATCAGTTGATCAAATCTAGAAAAAAATTGCAAAAGTAAACAATTAAAACTAGAAAAAAAAACCAGAGATTTTTTTTCTTCCCCAAAGAGAAAAACAAAAATCTCCAAACCGGTAAATCACTTTTCCTCTGGAGATTGAAACAGCCATTTATCAGCATATTCTAACAAGTTGCTAGTCCAATTTAATATTTAATTCCATTGGTGACACAAATGATGATTCAAATTAAAAACGTTAATTGTTGTAACTGAAAAACCAAATGTTTACTTTAATTACGTTCTTGTTGAAATGAAGAGAAAATTTACGGAAAAAGTGGCGCCATCTCTGCGTAACCCGAATAAACGACCAATAGAATAATTAATTTTTTTTTATTCTTTTCGTTAATTGTTACAAATTAATCGGTTAATTATTAGAAATTAACGATGAAAACTTGCCAACCAATCTAAGTGATTATTAAAGGTGTTAATTGTTAGAAAAAAAGTAAATTATCTCGATTAGATTTGAATTTATTGCTTTTAATCAGCAATTTGTTTGTAACTTTTTTTTTGAACTTCTATTAATAATTAACTTAATTGTTTCTCAGTTTCATTGAAAATTTACCTAAATTAATAATCTATGGGACTTTTTTTTTGATTATCGTTCAAAAAGGAAATGGGAAATTCAATAAGAAATGATTTAGTTTCACCTTTTAAATTGTTCCAACGAGAAAAAGTTAATAACAAGTTGATAACTAAGATCATCTTTCAACAATTAACTAATTTGTTTCTTTGAAAGGCTAAAAAAAATCAGCAATTAACAAGAGAAAAACGGTAAATCCTATTGACCAGAAAACTTTTCCCTCTTTTTAATCCACAACACAATTAGTTAATTATGATCATCTCAACTTCTCTAATTACAATTACGATGATTACATTTCTCCAAGTAAATTTAATTGTTATCCATAAAAAGAATCAGTAATTTAATAACTATAATTACGATGAACAATAAAAATCGTAATTGTAGTTACCAAATAATAAGAAAATCCAAAAAAAAAAAGATTCACCTGACAATCGTTAACGATCAACGATTAACGAATCAAAACTTTGATTCTCTTCATCAACTAATCATCTAGTTAATTGTTGATCTTAATTGTTTACTTTAAAATTGGAAAAAAAAATTTTCCATCTCATGGGTTGGGTTAAATTGATTATCAGCTGTGAATATGAAGCCGTGTGATTATCAAGTCAATTGTTTTATCTTGTGGAAGACTAAAGCTAATTAATTAATTGTAATTGTAATTGTAATTGTGATTTCTATTTTCCCCTCTACATTAATTAGTGATTTAATTTGCACTCATTAAAGAAACCAGACAATAGAAAAGTGATAATTCCCAAAGAACATGGAAAATTCTGATTAATTTTCTTGTTCCATTCAATCACTAAGCCTTTTCAACGTTTCTATTTTTGCTTCTTGTTCCCTTTTTCACTGTGGTGTTATTTTTGTTTGTCTAATCATTAATTGTTATCATCACAATTAACTGATATCATCTATTTCCATTAATTATCTTCATTTATCATCTACATCATCATCATCATCGTTATTTGCTTACATTTGAATAGAATCTTTGCTTTTTATTGTTAATCGTCATTCTCTTATTTTCCATCGTTTAACTTGTAACTTTTTCTATATTTTTCACTTTTTCTTTTAATTTAATTTCTATTCTTTGTTAATCAACATAAACAGTTGTATACTACAAGTTAATTATCTAATTGTTTCATTAGTTGGAGTAATTTAATAGACTAATCATCATGTTCAACAGGTGAGAGATTTTCTGAAATTATTTTATTTCTCTTTTTCTGTTCTCATTTTTATTTACTTCTACTACGTCACTGGTTTGTTTACTTTTTTATTCTAATTGTGATTAATAAATTGTTTCTTTTCGTTTTAATTTTAGGGTATTACGTTTGTCACAATCGTCTAGAAATCAATTGACAACATGGTTATCGAAAGGTAATTTGTCCAGTAGCAGTAATAGTCGAGTACCTTTATTGGAACCAGCGACAACAACCCAACAGGTAATCGCTCGAGAGGATAAATATGGTGCTCACAATTATCACCCACTTCCGGTTGCTATTGATCGTGGATCTGGTGTTTTTGTTTGGGACATTGAGGGTAGAAAATATTATGATTTTCTATCGGCTTATTCGTCACTTAATCAAGGCCATTGTCATCCAAGAATCTTGAAAGCGTTTCAAGAACAAGCCGGTAAATTAACGCTTACATCAAGAGCGTTTTATAATACATCTTTAGGTGAATTTGAAGAGTTTGTTACTAAACTGTTTGGATACGATAAGGTTTTACCAATGAACGGAGGAGTTGACGCTTGTGAAACGGCCTGTAAATTAGCCCGACGTTGGGGTTATGATGTAAAAGGTGTACCAACTAATGAGGCGCGAATACTGTTTGTCCAGAATAATTTTTGGGGACGAACCTTGGCCGCCATTTCTTCATCAACTGACCCTTCTAGTTACGCTGGTTTCGGACCTTACATGCCCAATTTTGATACTGTTCCTTATGACGATTTACCCGCACTTGAAAGATGGCTTTCAACCCATAAAGAGACGGCAGTTGCCTTTATGGTTGAGCCCATTCAAGGTGAGGCCGGAGTTGTAGTTCCCTCCGATGGTTATCTTAAAGGAGCCCGAGATCTGTGTACCAAATACAATGTCCTACTAATCTGTGATGAAATTCAAACGGGACTTGGCCGAACGGGTAAAATGTTAGCCGTTGACTACGAAGGAATCAAACCAGACATAATCACCTTAGGAAAAGCACTTTCTGGTGGCTTTTATCCCGTTTCCGCTGTTCTGGCCAATGATCCCGTTATGTTAGTCATTAAACCCGGTGAACATGGTTCCACCTACGGAGGTAATCCCTTAGCCGCCAAAATTTCAATCGAAGCCCTCAAGGTAATACTCGAAGAGGGTTTAATTGACAATGCTTTCGCCATGGGTAATCTGTTACGTGATGAACTTTCCAAGTTGGACAATCGAGTCGTTAAAATGGTTCGTGGTCGCGGCCTACTCAATGCAATTATAATCGATTCCAAATACGATTCTTGGGATTTGTGTTTAAAACTTAAGGAAAACGGCCTATTAGCTAAACCGACTCATGGTGATAAAATCCGTTTGGCTCCACCTTTAACTATTAATCAAGAGCAAATTGTTGATTGTTGTAACATCATTAAGAAAACAATTGAAGCCTTACCATGAAAATTTAATCAATTTCAATCAGTCAACTTTAAATTGTTTTAAAAGCTCAAAGTGCATTAATCAAAAATCCTAACAACAATCAGCAACTTCGGTCTCTTGATTCAATAGACAATCCAAATACTAACCTTAATCTGATTACTTGATTTTGTTGCTCTTTCTTCAATAACGATTGATAATAATTGTTAGATTCACTGTTTCGATCCAACAAATCATTTTAATTATCTTCTCTTATCCAAATTAATTTGAATGATTACCAATCCAAGCCGATAATAATGTTACAAATGACAACAACAAATCTATTGTATTTTGTTACCTGATCACAATCTAATTGTTGTATAACAATTAACGATTGTGGTTAATTTATTATTATTTTTGGTAATCAGCTCATTCGACAATGATCTTAATTGTAATCAACACCTAAAGATTGATGATTTTATTGAAATAAAAACAGTAAAATTAAATTTAAACAAATGACTGAATTGTTACAATTACTTTCTTTTAATTTAGTTAAAAACAATTAACTCAATTCTTACCATTAGATGATAATGTTTAACCCTAATTCAATTAGATTGTAAATTTTGCTCAGTTAGCCAAAATTTGTACATTTCTTGGACAATTAACTAAACTGATGATTTAAGCCTTCAAATTGATCAAGTATTTCAATCATTTGATAATCTTGATCAACAGGAACAACTTGTCAACTAACAAAGTTTCAAGTAATTAACTGATTGTGATTAATTAGTGTTCTCAACTTTAACATGAATTAACAATGGATCATCTTACTTTAGGATTGTTGTTAAATATTTTAATTGTCCCACAGATTTTGGGATCATCATCACCAGGAAAATCTGGTTTCTTAATTGTTCCTAAATCAAATGAAGGATTTTCAACATTTTCCAACGTTGAATCAACTAAATTAAACCCAAACGGGGCCACAGTCCGTCAGTGGGAGACCCGAACTTGGATAACTACGATTCCCTTACACAAGATTGTTAATCTTAAGGCTAATCCATTGGAAGCCATAACTCACCTTCCAGTAACCAAATCATCATCTTCATCTAAATCATCATTGGCCTCACCTGAAGATCATCATTATCTACCTGTTGTTTCTGATTCTGTTGATCCTTTTCTGGTTAAACCTTTTTACCAACAATTTAATTTAACTCGACCTCCTTCAAGTAGTGAAAATGAATCAGTTGAAGGTGAAGAAATTGATAATCCCGGCGGTAAACCGACAGTTCATCGTTTATCATCATTTTATCCTCCTTATGATTCCAATGTTTCATGTTTTGGTGATTCTTGCTCGAGAAAATCTTACCAGGGGACATACGATACGATTAACTATTCAAAGGAATCAATTTCTCCGGAGATTAAGTCACTTCCTCGATATTCCGATGAACCAGCTTATTCAAAGACTTCACCTTATCGATATTCCTCATCTGATGACCACAATGATTCTGATTATCGTCATGGTGAGAATGATGAAGATGAAGATAAAACTACCACTCGATCTAAAGCTAATATCGCTTGGGCTCGTATTCAGCCACCGGAAATACACTCGACTCATTATAAGACTGGTCGTTTCACACGAACGGGATATTATCCAGCTAAGGAGAATTCTGATTTAGGCATTGAATGGAAAGCACGAAGGGAGTATTTGAGAGAAGCTGAACCCTCCCCGCCGATAACCACCCTGAGACCTTATCATCATTCCGATTTCTCTGATTCATCTGAGATCAACGAACGATCAAATTATAATAATAACCATAGTAGTCGATCGAGTGAAAGAGGAAAATTAACTCGAAGTCAATATCGATCACAGATTGAAGATTATCATCCTCGATTCTATAATCGAGCTTCGATTTCCAAGTTACACCGAGAAAATTCAGATAAAGTTAATCAGAATAAAAGAGATAATCCTTATTATCGATCTAAAGATTATCCTTCAGATGATATTGGAGACAAATTGAGATCAAGTGAAGATCAGTCTGATCGAGGAGCTAAAATCTTTTCCAAGACCCAAAGGGAAAACGATGAAATGTACAAAGATAAAAAATCCACCCCCAGGGTTTACCATTATCACCATGATCATTTCCACAGTGGGGAAGCTCATGAAGTGATTCGAGATGAAAGGGACAACGGCGGTGGTGGAGGAAGTCGAGGAAGTGATAAAGTTCATCATGCTGGTCATGATAAAGACGATAAAGGTTATTACTTTGAACCGACTAACCTTTCAGGTCACTTTTCGTCCTCTGAAGTTACCGATACCCTCGTTCGGGACACTCATCGGCCCTACAAAAAAGATCCATTCAAATTATCTCGTAAATCGAGTTGTCATTGTTTAAGCCCAAATTCCGCTCGAAAGTTGAAACGTTCAGATGAAAGTTCGAGCAGCATTAAAGCCGCTGCTCGATAACAAACACGACGAAGAGGAAGAAAAATTTCCATTCGAATTGTGTCTAGAACAACAATTAACAATCTAATCAATGTCTGGTCCATTGATTAATTTTCTATCTTATTTAAATATCTAATTGACAATTTATTTCTATCACAGAAATTGGTTAATTTCCTTTTCGATCGCGGAAATACAATTAACGTTTTTAATTACCTGATAAGCTAATCGTAATTATCTCTCCCGGTAACAGTAATCAAATCATTGAGTAATATTTTGTAATCAATTACATTACAATTATGTGTTCAAGATTAAAAAGATGAATATTAATTTTCTTGATTCCTTGATTAATTATTGATTAATAATAAATTCAAAATCTGATCTTGAATCATTTTCTTTTCATTAAAACGTTTGAAGTTCAAAAAAATTTACGATCAACTAATTGCAATTTAATCATGGATTAATTTTAGATCAATTGCATCAGAAAAAAAATGATCAAAATTAACAGTAAATTTAATTGTTACGAACCATTTGAACTACAATTCAAATTTCAATTCTAATCAATGAGTTTCATTAATCCAACATATTAATTTATATCAATTTGATTCCGATGAGGTGAATTGTACTTGTTTAGGGATAGAAGTTTTTGATTTGATTACTTGGAATTTGAGAGAAATTAAATTGTTGTTAAATTTTCTCGATTCTCAATCAAGATAAGAAAAGAAAATGATGTAACTTTATGTAATGAAGAGACGAACCCCAAAGAACCAGTTTTTAGAATTGAAATTTTTGGGTTTGTTTATAATTCTTATCATTTAATTGTTGATTAAATCACTTTCACTTTATTTAAATTGATAATTTTGTTTTCCGTAACAATTTAGTTTCCAATAGAAATTACTATTGTTACTTTTGTGCTCTGTTCGGTGATTAGAAAAGTAAATTGTTTCATTAATTGTTTCCATCGTTAAATTTTGTCTTTTCTGCGTTGGTGGTTATGTCTGATTTGGAAATGGATGCTAAGGAACCTTTGGCTGGAAGATCATCTGAACCTTCACCATCAAAAGTTCAATTTGTTTCTTCATCTTCAGAGGAGAAAAATGGTGAAGCAAAGGTCGAGTTTGCTGGTTACGAAGTTCACAAGGTTGGATTGAATAAAGATGAGCTGATGAAATATGCTAATGATCCATTTTGGATTAAGGTTAGAATGATTTCTTTCATTCTTTTCTGGGTTGCCTGGTGGTCAACTCTTATTGGATCAACTGTTATCATCTTTTTGGCTCCCAAATGTCCACTTTCATCTTCATCATCTTCAGGTGTAAATGGAACCATGATCACCACCGCAAGTCCAATAACCACCACCACATTTCTGGCAAATTCAATGATTTCCAGTATTTCTTCATAAGGAGAAGCCTCAAAAAAACCATAACAGAAAAAGGATCAAGAGTGTTGGTCGGATTAAAACTACATTTGGATTATCAAAACGTCAGCCAAATGTCTCAATTATCAACTATAACTTTCCAAATATTAATCGTATGAAAACAAAAAGCTGGACCATTTTTTAAAAAGTAGATTGATAGAAATTAATTTCAACTAATTTAACCTTGATAATTGTTTGAGAAACAAGAAAAGAGAAAATTTTCTTTTCGGTGCAATATTTTAATGGTGTATTGGTATAAAATTATTATGTTAACTGTTGAATTATATTGTTGATTATTATATAAAAGCCCTTTCAGGCTTCAAAAATTGCATCAACAATTAATCTGACAAGATTAATGTGATGCGGTGTTTGGTTTGTGTAAAAGGTTTCAGCATAATCACCCTCAATAAACTATCATTGAATGATTAACCTCCACCTTGACAAGGACAAGTCACACAATCGGAACAATTTAATCACATGGACTTTAAATATTCCCAATTGAGAGACAAATTTTACAGGTCAAGTTAAAAAGCTTCTCAAGTTTCAACGATAAGACAATTGACTTGTTTTCGTTTACAGTTAATTCAATTGGAATCAATTTGGTGAAAATTTCCTTCAGTTTTTCTTTGACAAATTTTCCCGTTAATTGAATTCAATTAAATTAGAAAAAGACTAATTCAATTTAAAGGGTGTGGACAAACCTGGTGGTAGTTGATTGAAACTTTACTCTTACAATTGGGAGGAAAACTTGATTGTCCAATTAACCGAGTTGGACTATTGTAACAATAGTATTGTTGACAATCTAATTGGAAGTTAATTTGTTTATCATGTTCGATAATTGTTAATTTCTAACCCGAGAGGAGAACGCGCCATTAATTGGATTCAATTTGTATTCGATTATTGTTTTTGATTGCTGTGACTATTTAGAGTTATTTTGATGGTTGGTTAGAGTGATTAAGGAAAATAGGGAATTTATTTTGATTGTTTGATGTTTTCTCTGCAAGAAACTATCATGATCCAAGAGTTTTATGGTTATCGAATTGATATTTTCATTTGATAAAAACGATCACAATACAAAATGATTCCATATTTTGACTTTTTGTTTCCCTAAAAACTTTCAAAATAATTCCGTTTAAGTGAGTGAGTGAGAAAGAGAGAAATATATACTTAAATTAAATTCGACATTATTTTAAGCATTTAATGTTCAAATTTAAATAACATTCTCAATGGTCGGCGATAGTAACTTCAACATCAACACCAGGGTCAATAGCTATTGAGGTAACTTGCTTAACATTTTGAGATGTACTTCTCAAGTCAATTACTCTTTTATGAATTCGAAGTTGAAATCGATCCCATGTCTTTGAACCTTCTCCACATGGAGTTTTCCTAGTTGTGATTCGTAAAGTTTTGGTGGGCATACGAACAGGTCCAAATACTTTCAATTCTTTGTCTTTAGCACCTTTGATCAAATCGGCACAGACTAAAATCAGAGAGAAAAAAGTATAAACCAAAAGAAACCGGATTAACACATCACATAAACATAAACAGAGAAACAAAACAAGCCAAACACAGAAATCGGAACACGATTAACTAACCTTTTTCTAAACTCTTTACATTAGTAGAAGTAAGGGTCATTCGAATTCTATGAATCTTATTAGCACTCTCATCTTGAGTGGGTTTACCGTCATCAGCTTTATAACCAGATTGCTAAAAAAAACGAAGAGAAAAATGTGAAAAAAGAAAAACAAGAAAACCGAAATTAGTAAAATGACCAAAACATAAATGACTAGAACAGTGCAAGCCAAAGGAACCAATAAACCACCATCAATACTTACTACTTTAGCCGACATGATGAAAACCAATTGATTTCAACAATTACAATTAAACAAATTAAATTAACACTCTAATGAAAATCTTCACCATCAAAATAAAATCAAATCCAAACGGAAGCGGAAACGCAGGTTAAGATAATTGAATAATCCAACAAAAGGTGTCGCTCATTCAACTTTCAGGGAGCGTTGAATAAGTTACAAGTTACGAAGATTGAAAATTTTGAGAAAAAGTTTTAATCAACTAATCATTTCAATGACAATTAACTTGATGAAAGACAATTGCGAACCATTAGAATGATAGAAAAATTTGAATAGAAATGTTGAAAATTGTAAAATTTTTCTCTTAACTTGATTAAAATTATAAGGGCAATAAGAAATCAACTAACAATTAGATTAGTTGATTAATCAATCAAAGATTCATAACAATTAACTGAACAGTTTGATTTGATAATGAAAATGTTTAATTGAGTGTTTAATAATCAATTTTAAATCGTAATCTCTAATCAACCATATTAATTAATTTTACTACAATTAGTCAACTATTAATTCAACAATAAAGTTTTTTTTTTGCTTGATTAGATTTAGATTGAAATGATTATCAAAGTTTTAAATGGTAAACAATTAAATTGAAAGATTAACATCATTAATCTAATTTTAAAATTAATCAAGCTTCCAAGTAACCATTAGGATGAATATTAAATGATAATAACAATTAACAAATTATCTCGTAGGTAACAATTTAAATTTGATTGAAAAAAGGGTGAGGCAGAGTAACAATTTAAACTCAATCAACTAATATTATTTACACGAAAATTGAAATGAATAAACAATTAAAGTTAAACGTAAGTTTTACGGCAAAATTAACAATCAATAAAACAATTTAATTGTAGAAAAATAAAAAAGATGATTAAGTTAATTGTGGAAAAAAAATGAAATGAAATCATTATAATAATAAAGAAAGTGATGAGGAATAAATTAGTTGATTGTGAATTGATTAGAAAATAGGAATAGTTAATCACGAATTTACATTTCCACCTAAATAACTGAATTAACTGATTGTGGATGAGCGAAAATGTTCAAACCATTAATACATCAAACAATTTACGATCAAGTTGATTAACTGTTATTCCAGCAATTAAGAAATTGATGTTTTCACACAAAAAGAAAACTTTTTTTTTCTTATTTTCTTTAAATAATCAAAGATAATTTATCTTATATAATTTTCAAACTTTCTCTTAATCATCTTAATCATTGAACCAACGGTCATTGATTGGTCAGCTCCCAGCTTATTATTACCATCATAATAATGATTATCATTAACTAATCAACTAATGATAACATTACAGTTAACGGATTAGTAAATTTAGCTGATCATCAAGGGATTAAGATTGTGTTGCTTGATCAAACTTTTGGCCTCAGGTCACTTTAAATCCCGACACACAAAATTTGATTATCATATGATAATATATTCAAAGTTAGTTAATTTTGATCCAGTAAGAAAAAAACATCATTCGTATATTAATAACATCCAACAATTAAGGGACCTAAAATTTTTCACGCTGATTAATTGATTAAGTTAATCATGAAAAAAAAAGAGACTGATAATTAATATTATTTATAATTGTGGTTAATGAAAACCTCAGTCAACTGTTAATTTGATTATAATAACAATTTAGCCAATTGAACTAATTAAAAGAAAAGAAAATTGTCAAAACTTTAATTGTGATTAATTAACTTTGTAAGGTGTTTAATTTTACTATAATAGAGATTAGTTTAATTGGATTAACAAATTTCTTGCCTTAATTGTTTAGCTCTCTCTCTAAGTAAAGGGTAAAAGTAATTAATCAAAATGATCAGAGTAATCAAAGATTGATTAACTGGATTAACTTTCGACGAATCGATAACAAGAAGAGGTTAAAGTTAATCACGTTTAAGATAATTCCAAGTTATTTTAATCATTTGGAGATTTAATTTACCACCAGTTAATCAGTTGATAAGATTAATTGATGATCAACCAATAGTTAATTGTTGGATAAGTAAGAAGTGATGAGAAGTTAAACAATTTATAAATTGTTGTTCTTTTCGTACAAAATTGTTCATCATTTTGTTTTATATTCATTTTGACATTTACCACTCACGCAATTAACTTAATCATCTCGCCAATCAAGTGATCAGAATTAAAGATTGGACATTAAACAATTTACATCATGATTAAAATCATCATCATCTCCCAACAATCAACAAATTGTTGTAAACTATCTGTTTATTTAACATTAATTATAAGGTGGAAAAGGTTTCAAGTAATAAAAACAGTAATCAACTGATTGTTATCAGAATCTATCCCTTAATTATCACAGATTCACAATCAGATTAACTGACCATCTATTTTAAACTGTGATTAGCAACAATCAACAATTAGATTGTTGCTTCTGGGTTAAATAATTATTATGAGATCACAATTAATTGTTAAACTTTTACTTTCTCCTTAACATTTACTGTTGATTAAATTGTTACTCAAAATAATTTCCTTCTAAATATAACAATTAACTAATTGTTATACTCAGATAACTGGGCGAGTCACAATCGGAAAACAAATCTCAACAAAATAGTTAATCAAATTGACCAGTAATTTAATATTGATTGTTAATTGTAATCGATAAATTGTTATGAATAATAACAATTTAAATATATTTTTGGAAAACCTAATTTACCTTAAAGTTTAATTGTAATCAACTGATTTAGAAAATTAAATCCAATGAGAAAATAACAAAGTTAAATCATCATCTCAATCATTGATTGTTAACATTGGTAACAATTTACTAATGTCTAGTTAATTATAACCGATAATTGTTGATTTAAATTGATCATTACGATAAATCAGTCAACAAGTTGTGTTGATTGTTGTTGATTTAATTTTGCTAAGTAAACAAATTGATATAAATTGTTGTTTTTAATGGTCAAGCCTTGAGGTCAAATGATTGAAAATAATGTTTCATGATGATTGTTGATGATCAGTGATAGTGATTAATTTAATCATAACCACAATCAAGAAAATCAAAGTATCAACAATTGTAAATTTATCCGTTTAAGTTTATGATTAAAGTTACGATTTAAATTGCGAATCACAATTCAAAAGTAATTGATAGGATTACAACAATTTAAATGATCGGTATTGATTGTTACCCTTAAATTGTTATAAAATATTCATAAAAATTAAACTTCAATTATCGTAAACCATTTGATTATCATGATCAACAAACCTAATCATTATCACAATAACAACAATCTCTTGCTGATTAATCCTGATTGTTAAAAGAAAAGGTAACAATCAAAAAGTTAATCACAATCAAAAATATAAAAAACTCCATTAATAGATACAAAATAATAGACTGTGATGATTAGTTGATTGTTAACATGTTAATTTGATTCTATCAACATAATTTTTGATCACTTTGAGATTTGAACAACGTGAGTTTAATGTGTAAAGTTTATTGTAATCAACTAATTGTATTTGATTTATTTAAATCATTACAATGTTGATTGTTGACCAATTTTCCCTTCTCTCTCCTGATAATCATTAAATCATCAATCACATTCATCTTTAATTACCTTGAAAAATTAACAACAATCAAGAAAAAGTTACATTTAAATTATTTTCAACTAAATTAGGAAACAATTTAGTTAATCATCATGAGGATGATTATTATTATTGGTCAATTTCTTGTTAATCATGAAACATCATATTCTCAATATATTTAGATAATATTAAATTACTGAACAATTTAATATCTAATTTACTTTATCGCTGTTATGGAAACATCTTAAAATAAGTTAATTGTTAATTTAGCCTAAGGGTAAATAATGAATTCCTTTTCGTAGTTAGTTGATTCTGTAAACTATCAACGATTGATAAATTGTTGACAATTTCAACTTTCATTAAAATTAAAGGTGATGAAACATGAGTAGCATACATTAAGTTAAACAATTAGTTGATTTATTGTAACTAAATTTTGCGCAATTAATTGTTTCCATTGAAAATTAATTAATTGTAAAGATAAAAAGCAAAAGTTGATCAGTATATTGATCAGAAAAATAATGTATTAATAATAACAATTAAATTTGATGATCGTTGTAACAAAAATAGCCTTTGGGTTGTACCAGGATGTTAATATGTCAAAGGTTAATAGATGATAATTTGATTGAGTGATTAATTGTGATATATTTAAATTAATTACAATCTTGTTAAGGAGAGAGGGTGGAAATGGGTGGTGAGAGTGGGCAAGGTGGGAGGAGGTCGAGACTTAGATTATCAATTGTAAGCTACAACCTAACGGTACTTTTAAAGCCCCTTAAGGATTAGGTCGGTTTGGTCAAGAAAGAGATGAAGAAAGTAATTGAAAAGAAAGAGAGATGATGACGATGATGAAGATGAGGATGAGGATGAAGATGAAGATGAAGATGAAGATGAGGATGATAAAAGAGTGATGGAGGTTGGATTGATCGTGATTCAAAATACACTATTGACCTAATACGGTGGTTGGACGGGTTCTAGGTCATATGATGTATCTTCTTAATTTTATCATCCTCATCCTCTCATCCTCCCATCATCATCTTTGAGCTGATTCACAAAAAGTCAGGATTGTTTAAATCAAATAACAATTTGAATCGACATCCAATTTGTTTATGTGGTGAAACTGTTTAGTTTCAAATGATCAACGAAAAGTATATTTTTCAGTTTGTTATTAATTCATTTGATTAATCAAATTTAGTTTCACATTGACCAGTGGCTATTTTATCAAAAGTTGTGAGCAATTAAGTGATCAATCAATTTTGATTATCGTTTTTTCTTGTCATTTCGTTTGCCTCATCAAATTTCATATTAGACAAGTGAAAACTTGACCAACACGGATTAATTAAATCTTAAAGTGACCATTGTTGTTATAAACCCTTTCCAACGATGACCAGTTCACGATTTAATCAAATCAAATGGTTACTACCATTGGTTTTAATTTCGATCAGCGTTTTAGTACCACTAACGATCGCAGGTTCTAGTGCTAGAAAATCAAATCTACTCCAAAGAATAACTAGTCTAAGGGATCATCGTACAAAGGGATTACTCCTTTCGCGATTAAACTCTAATCCAAATAAATCCCTTATTTCGAGACAAGGACCTGGTTCGATTGCCGCTGTCAATGGACTTGGGTCAATTCTTTCTTCGGGTCCAATGTTACTCGCACTTTCGTCGTTACTTTTTTCCTTCCCCGTTCTGCCGATGCTTTTCTTAGCACCAATGGCGATTTCTAATTTCCTACCAAACATGGACGATGTTGCCGATCCAAGTATCAACGATATCCTTCAATCGGTCCAGAACATTGGTCAAGGTGAGTGTTGATTGTCCGATTTTGGGAAGAAAAATTTAGAATAAGAATTTTAATTTGTTTTTTTTTCTTTTCGTTAAATTTACTTAATTTAGGATTGGGTCTTCTTAACAAGCCAATAACTGGAAGCACTTCAGCCGGTTCAACGTCTTCATCTTCATCAGCTTCTGGTTCATCTTCCTCCGGGGCATTAGCATCATCACCTACATCATCATCATCATCATCATCAGACTCAACTGGATCACTGTCACAATCAGGATCATCTTCATCATCAGCAACATCTAATATAATCTCAGCATTGGGATCAGCCTCAGAACCCATAGCAAGCATTGTTGCCGCTCCATCATCTTCATCCTCATCATCTTCATCATCTTCCCCACCCAAGGCCACTCTAAACTCACCATCAGCTGATAGTCTTGCTGATCTATCAACAGGATTTCTCAGTCAACTTGCAGCAATTAATGAGATACTTTCAAATAACAATAATCCCTCTTCAGGTAAATCAATCAAATTAGTTGATCTTTTATTGGATATAAAATTGAAATAAAATCGCAATTAGTTGATTGTTAACATTCAAATTATTACATTTATGTAACAGAACAAAAAAATAAAGGTTAACCATTATATTTATTAGTTTCCCAGCTCACCGATTAAGTTTAGCAATTAATAGTAACAAAAGTATTATAATCAAAGTGATTAGAGAGAGCGGACAACAATTTACAATTAAAATTCAACAATTAAACAGCCGTAAGCAGATTAATCAATAACAGGTTAACAATTAAGATCAATATTTAGCTTTTTTCAAACCATCAATTTCAACAACAACTTCACTATAAGTTAAATAGGTTTTCATATTTTCAACAATTGACTAATCTATTAATAGATTTAATCAGATTAACCCTTTGATAACCTTTGACCCGTTTGATTGATAATTTAATTTCCACAGAAAATCCAATGACTTCCTTTTCTCAATTGGCAGCCAATACCTTGTCCAGTTTGTCCAATTTGCTGTTCAGCGCTCGACGTGAGGAAAGTACCGATAAAAAGGTCAATAAGTTTCGTTTACCATTTGCCTTTGGTCCATTAAGAAAGTCAACTGGCCACTCGATTGTCACCCGATCAGCACCAAATACTTTACCCTATTTACAAGCTCGAGGTGCGTTTACTGATCGACTAGCTGCCCTTAGGCTGCAAACGCTTTGGTCAAGATCGAGCGGTGTAATTGTCGCTCTGGTTAAACGACTTCGAGAAATGTATTCAACATTTCGTGAAGGATTAAAACGATACGAGATCAGTGAAAGTGAATGTCAGGCCAGGTTAATTTGTGAACTTAATCAAAAAGCCGTTGGAAGGTCAGCTCGTAATTGGGCTAAAGTGTTGATCGATTTTATCAGGTAATTAACAAGCAACAAATTCTTAAAACAATTAACATTTTATCCTCTTAATTATAAGAAGAAGAGGGAAAAGACAATTAGAAATTGTGTCTCTCTGGTTTGATGGTGATTAGGGTTTTATGTAACAATTAGATTGTAATAATTATCAGCCTTCTAATCAATCAATTAATCAACCGATTGATGAGTGTTGAACTTTACGCTTATTTGCTGATTGCTCAGTTGATTTATTTCACTAATTGTAGCCCAATGTGTCTGTGCCTCTCAATTAATATCAACACGATAACTAAATAATGAGTATTGTCAATCAAAATTAATCATCATTGTCGATGATCACAGTTAACCCAAAGGTTTAACCTTTAAAAATTGCTATATTTATTTGAATTGTTATTCATCTAATTTGATGACAATTTAACACAAATTTATAACCTTCAGACATTCAGTTGATCATGTTAATCAGAATCTTCTTTAATTAATATAATATGGAATCAAAGTTTTCCATCGGAAGAAAAAGTTTTTCGCTCTAATCATTTAGATCTTGTTAATTACGGTCAATGAATATTGTAATTTTGATTGATTAACTGTGATTAAGACATTCAGTTAATCATGTTCTTGTTGTCTTTTAATCAAGTTTAACTATTTAAATCAAGGTTTTCTGATAGTTTATTAATATAATTTTCGAGTAAAAGTTTCTAAAAAAACAAATCGAGAAAAAAAAGTTTCCTTCATCTTTTACTTGATATAAAAGTATTTTCATCATTTAACTTTAATCATCATCATCATCAACTGATTTTAATCACTTGAGGTCATTGGAACACAACAATTTAAATTATATAACATTATAAATGAATCTAAATGGTCGTTTACAATTAACAACATGAAATCAAATGATCGCATCACAATAATAAAAATGAGGGAACCCAATAAGATGTGTAACTGTAATTAACTAATTGTTTTGGGATAATTTTAATTTCAACAGATTCGATGAACGATTAGAATCTCTTGGAATGGGCGGAATGACCAAATCAACGCTAATCGATTTCTATCAAGCCGCTCGAAAGGGAATGTCCGATGAGGAATGTGCCTCAGCCTATTCGAGGTGTCCAGTTAGTATCGCAGTCGAACCGGTCAACAATTCAATCATGGGTAAATTGTTCAGGCGAATGCGATTCAAACAATCAGCATCTTCATCACCGATCGTCCAATCAACCGACACAAACACTGGTAATATAATGATCACAGGTAATCAAGTTTATACACCAGGAGTTTCATCATCAGCATCATCATTACAATCATTACAATCAACACAATCATCGCCATCACAATTAGACGCAATTAAATCAGGAAAACGATATAAATTGTTGGTCTAATCGCAAATAAATAATCAAATCAATCAAATGGATGGGCCATTTTTTTAAAGAAAACTGAGAATCGATTAGTATCAACTTAATTGTGATCATCTCGTTGACACAGAGCATCGACAATTAGTTAATCATCAATTTACAGAAACAAAAGGCAACCGGTGGCGTGGATCTCAAGTCTTTCTTTTCTCTTTTTATCTTCTTTTTCTAATCATCATCATCAATTTTTCATCCATCATCACATTTCCCTTTCTCTCCATTTTTTTAATTGCATTCTAATCAATTCGACATCATAACAACGAGTTAATTAGAATCCACCTTAAACTCTTGGGTGAATTAATAATCTTTCCAATGGATAATACAAAACACTTTCAACTCTGGATGTTAATTGTTACAATTAGAAACATCATCAACTTTCTTCATCTCGTGGCATTAATACTGTAAATCATTTCATCGTTTTTTTTGCATCATCGCCATTTTGATTGTTTTTCTCTCTCTCTCTCTCTCTCTCGTTTTCATCATCTCTCCTCATCACTTTATCTTTTTGGAAATTAAAAAAAGGGATAAAAAATTTTGACAAACAGTGTAAAGAATAAGGAAAAAGTGTGTAATTAAAAATACTCCAATAAAAATCATTTCATTGTAACAATTTAACTGAGCATTTGTATTTTTTTTTTGCTTCATTATCGTAATTATTTTTTTTTCTTTTGCTCACAAAATTAAGAACCAACAAAACAATGATGACAAATTAATTAATTTCCCCGATTATTGATGCAGGGTTGGGTGTAAGATTAGTTAGATAAGTGTTTGTTGTGGCTATTGTTGAAGTAGCTGTGACTGTTGTTGTTAAAGGTGAAAGTGATGATGAGGGTGAAGGTGATGGAGGTGATGAGGTTAAATTTGCTGATACAGCAATAATTTTTGTTTCACTAGTATTCATACTATTGTTGATTGTTGTAGTGTTGTTGTTGTTGTTGTTGTTGATGAAGATATTAAAGGTGAAGATGATAATAATGATGATGATGAAGGTGGTGGTTGGTGTTGTTGTTGTTGTTGTGGTGGTTGTGGGAGTGGTGGTGATTTTGTGACGATGTTTGTATTCTCACAGGAAATTAGAGTTGTCGGTGAATTTGAAGGTGGAGTGTTAAAAATGGATTTCTCTCCATGGGTAAGGTTTCTATTGGTATCTCCTTCCTTATAATCATCTTCCTCCATTTGCAATATATCTAATTCTTGATCATTTGTTATACAGGGACTTTTTACACTAGTATAATTGTGATCTCCACAAGCCACCGAGTGACCCATATCATCTATATTACTCTCTGAGTCCATAATGGCATCTTGAATAGTTACGGCTGGTGAATCGGCGAGTTCGGCTAATTCTTTTTGTAATGTTATATCATCTACATCGAAAAAAGATTCTTCACATTTAATTGTTAAATCAACATCAACAAGCTCAGAATCGGGTAATTCAACCTCGACTGGAATTTGATTCGGACTATTGGCTTCGATCTCATCAAGACCGGGAACAAGGTTTACAGAAGGTGGTGTTCCCCCTGAATTTGATGCTTCAAAGGAAGATTGCGAAGAGGCATCGTTATTATTATTTAAAAGTTTACCAATTTCTGAATCAGTATCAGATGATTGATAAGTTTCTTTGTTGTTCACAGTGTCACCGGAGGAAGAGTTTCCCTCTTCATGCACAGATTTTTGAGGATCACTTGGATTAACATTATTATTATTATTATTATTAATATTCTTATTACTATTATTACTACTATTACTACTATTATTATTTAAGCAATGGTTTGTTGTTGGTTGCTGTAGATGATGGTGGTTGTGTTGATTTTGATGGTTATGGTTGTGATGATGATGATGTTGTTGTTGTTGTTGTGGTTGTGGTTGTGGTTGGGGTTGAGTTGTGGTTGTGTTTGTTGTTGTTGTTGTTGTTGAAGTTGTGGTTGTTCTTCCTCTTTGGCACCAGACGAGGGGTCAATGTGTAACTGAGCTGTAATTAATACAGTCTCAGGTACACCTGATTCCGAGGCTGAAGATTCTAGTGTAGTGTTGTTGGTTGTATTACTACTACTACAACTGCTACTATTACTGTTAATGTTATTGTTATTATCATTGCTATTGTTAATATTGTTGGTGAAATTATTGATTTCATGGTCACTAGAAGATTCCTCATCCCTATTACGAACTATAAGCTCTCGGGGTTGATTATGATTATTTGCAACCCTCAAGCAAATAGCCTAATTGTTTACATTTTATAATCAATGTCCAAAAAGATGAGGTTACCATCCAATTAACCAAATTAAGTGAAGGTCGATATAATGAAACAGTAAACAGTAAACAACAGCAAAATAAAATAATTACCAGAGAATTGAATTATTAGTAACCAGTGCATGTTGAGAAAAAGAGAGAGAACCAGAAAAAAAAGAGCCAGAAAGAAATTCAAGTAGAAAAAAAGAGAGAGACATAGAGAAAGAGACAAAAATAAAAGAGAACATTAGTCATTTGTAGATAATTAAACAGTATAGAAGAGGGAACATTTTTATACTGTAACAATAAAATTACATTTGATAATAAAATAGTAAATTAATTAAATTGCGAAAACATACCTGATCTCCTTGTAATTGTACTGAAAGAACACCTAAATCCCTTAGGTTTACATCTCCACGTAGAGCTAATTGTCTAAGACGTTGAGCAGCTTCCAGAGATATATTAAAGGTTATCTTAACACTGTTCCAAGGATCCACTTTGATAACTTTGATAAATCAAACAATTTAAATTGGTAATAAAAAGGGCTACTAATTAATTAAGAAAGAAAACAAAAATTAAAATCAATCTTATTTGTTATTTTCCTATTTCTATGTTGTTGTTTATTTATTTCCTTTCTTTTCATAAATGTCTTTCTTTTTTCTCAAAGTAAGAAAAGAAACTAACTTAGGGCGGAGTTTATTCCATTTAGTTTGTTTCTTCGTCGCCAGATGGAGACAAAGAACAAACAAAGAAAAAAAAATTTTCTTTTTAATTTTTACTTTTTAATTAACTGATTTTTATTAACTTATTCAAATTACAATTTGTTTTGATTGGATTAGTTGAATTTCTCGATGGAAATTTGATTTATTTTGTTCTGTAATCAAAAACGACCAAGTTAAAGTGTTTAAATGGTTAATATTGAAAATCTTTAATCAAGTTGATCAATGATTAGTTTTACTTTTAATTAGAGAGATAAATTGATTAATCAATTAATTGTGATGAGGAATTTGTTGCCAATTAATTGATTTATTTAAATCTATACAATAGACTTTAGGTTATTTCCGATAATGAAAGTTGATCTAATTCATTAATTTGGTTTTCCATTGATTGTTGATGGTGTTTAATTTGATTCCGATTTTGAGATTGTTTTGTTTTCTCGGAAACAGGAAGATGAAGATTAAACAATTAGAGTTAATTATATGAAAATTGAGAGAAAGAGAGAGAGAGAGAGAAAAATAAGAAGAAGAAAACAATTAATTAATTGTTCTAAACCTTGACATGTAATAATAATTTGGAAACAAAAACTTGAAACTATCATGAAAATTTGAATAAACAATTAGACAGAAAAAAAAGATTATCAAGGTAAGAATATATTTGTCACTCGTCCAATCAATTGTCCAGCATTTTAATTAAGTGATTAATGGAAAATGTTAATTGTCAAGGTGAACAAAAGAGTTAATTGTCCCTCGATTAAAGTGAACAATTAAAATCAAAACCTTCGATTTATTGCCCTTGGGTAGAGCGCGACATCTATCGGAATAATTTGAAGAACAAAATGTTTGGTTATTGGCCGAATGGTCAAAAGTCGTCATGTTGAGTTGACGATGTGACGGGCTGAATTTCGGACTGAGCCCTTGAATTGTTTTTATTTACCTTGATTGGATTTCAATTCCTCGTAATTAAAAGTGCGTTGAATTTGAACAAATCTTGTCACCTCAACGTTCAGTTTGGTGCCTTGCGCATTCACCCTGGTGGTAAAACGCTCAATACATTTGTCTTCGTGATGAAATTGGTGAGAAAATTTTATTTTTCCAATTTTCGTTTTCATGTAAATATAAATTGAAACATTTTCTTTTCAACATTTGTGATTAACTTTGTGTTCATGTTAATTGTTTTTCCTTTTAGTTAAACAATTAGTCTGATTTTTTTTCTTCTTTTCCTCCTATGTGAACAATTTATTCCTCTACAAGAGGATCTTAAAGAAAACCAAACCAAAGGGTCAACAAGAAACGGAGAAAATCATATTGTTTTCTATTCTTCTCTGTATTTAATTCACGATTTTGCTTTTAAATTGTTACAATTTCTCTTCTAATTAGACTCTATTGCTCGTATACAATCAACAAATCATCAGTGTTTCTTTCCTGGTATTTAAAAGCTTTTCAAATTATCTCTTTTGTAGTCAATTCTACCTTATTGTGTCTTCCCTTATTCTAATTGTGTCTTTTGGCTTTTTTTTTATTCTATTCTCTTTTATTTTACCCCTTTCGCCCACAGAAAACCATTGTGATCATCTAATTGCTGGTACTTTCATTTTTTTTCCATTAATTTTTCTCAAATTGTACAATTTATTTGTTAACCATCAGCAAAATCATTCTAGTCAAACCTACAAATCATCTCGCAACAATACAAAGTGTTCAAAATTCAATCACCTTATAAAACAACAGTGTAATTTATTCATCTCATCATCAACTAAATTAGAATCTTGATTCTTTTTTACCACCAATTTCTATCAATAGAATTGAACAAACTCTAAACAATCAAAAATGACAGCTGATAACAAAGGAGCTCGTATGAGATTACTTTTCATGTTAGTCTTGACAACCTCATTCTTTTTTGTGGAAATAATTGTTGGTTATGTTACTAATTCAATGGCCCTGGTTGCTGATTCATTTCACATGTTATCCGATGTAATTGCTTTGATAATTGCCTACCTTTCGGTTCTTATGTCACCCAAGAAATGGGCTAAAAACACTTTCGGCTGGGCGAGAGCTGAAGTTCTTGGTGCTTTGGTAAACGCGGTTTTCCTGGTTGCCCTTTGTTTCTCAATTCTGGTTGAATCAATCAAACGATTCTACAATCCTGAAGAGCTTCATGCACCCTGGTTAATTCTTGGAGTTGGATTTGCTGGTTTAGTGGTTAATGTAATTGGTTTATTCATGTTTGCTGGTGAGTTTTCAATTATCCATTGCAATTTATTCATAATTAACCAATTAGATGCAAACGAAAATTGCACTTCTATTCATCGTTGGATATTAATTGTGATCATTTCTAACCATAGTTAACCTATTTTCTACTTGATTGCATTTTAGATTAATATTTGACTCTCTCACTATCCATTTAATGATTACACTCTTGTTGATTATTTCCATTGAAATCAATAGTTTATTTCCCTTTTACCTCGTAAATGGTCAATTACTTTGATTATTAATCAAATTGATTGTATTTGCTGATCACTTTTCATATGAATAGTGATTGTAATCACCATTTACAATTATAATAATATTACAATAATATCAATTCTGTTGGAAACCGGAAAAACTTTTTCATTACTATTATTATGATTAACTAATCACAATTTCTTTAACTTGTATTGTTCAAATTGATATTTATATCAATATATTAGATTGTTCATTTTTCCATGAAAATCAAGATAATATTAATCAATTAGACGATGGATTTATTTTCACAATTCAATTTCACTGATTTTTTGATTTTTATTGTTGTGATTTTATTTTAATCACAAACAGGATAATTAATTTTGAAAATTTTCTAACTTTCCATCAATTTTGGATTAATTGTTTGGGAGTTTTCATAATTGATAATCTTATTTTCGAGTTGATTGATTATTTTGATTAACAACATTTAAGGGTATCTCAGTGAATCATTTAAATTGCTGTCAAATTTTTTATTTACAATCAATTAAAACCATACGATTGACTAATAATGCTTAATTATTTTTATTTGATTTACCACCATTTAAACAACAATTAACTAGCCAATTACTTTCCATTTAATTAGATTAAACAACCTGCATTAATCATAAGCTTCAACAATCACTAAATTAGTTAATTATTTAGCTGTGAATGAATCTCAAGTATATTCAAAGATTAAGTTATTAGTTTAAATTAAATCCAACACAAGGTCAGCAATTAATCAACACTAATACATAAGAACAGTTTTAATTAATCAAATAAGATCAACATAACTAATCACATTTAATTCATCCTTCATCTATCACTAATTTTTTCAACAATTAGTTGATTATATTATTTACCATTGACCAATTTTGATAATGATTAGTAATAATAATTGTTGATTTAAAATGAAACTTTCCTCTGATTACCTTGATTACCAATGGAAAATGATAGACCAGAACTAATTGTGATAATTAATTCACTGAGTAAATAATCAATTTAAATTTGTTTTGATTACTTTTTTTCCTGAAGGTGCCGGTGGTGGACATGGACATTCACACGGCGGTGGCGGTGGAGGACACGGTCACTCTCATGGTGGAGGAGGTCATAGTCATGAAGAGAGTAAAGGTAAATAACAATTAGACTAAACTTTTTTTCAGCAAAACAATTAATTTACATTCGTTTTTGTATTGTTTCAACCACTAATTAATTCAGAAAAATCAAAACAACTTCCACAATCAAGTGAACAGATGAACATGCGAGGTGTTTTCTTGCATATTCTTGCCGATGCTCTTGGCTCGGTAATTGTTTGTATTTCTGCCTTAATCATGATGTTCACCAATTGGTCAATCAAAGATTATGTTGACCCAACCCTTTCAGTAATCATGGTTTGCCTAATTAGTTACTCTACTTGGCCATTACTAATTGAATCCGCAATGATTTTACTACAAACTGTACCAACTCACATTGAGATTGATGAGCTGCGACAAAAATTAACCCGAGAGGTAAGTTAATTGTTACCTTCCTATTAATTAGGAAAAACAAATAAAAAGATCAAAAAAACTTCGGATATTGATCCTAACACGTATTTAGATGCTCTAAAAGTGAATGAAATAATAAAGAGCAAACTAATCATGACTCATCTTTAATTAGTTGATTAGATTTACTTGTCCAAAACAATAATCACTCATAATAACAATTGAACCGCCAAAATTAGTGCATCAGCTGATCACAACTAAAGAATGAAAAAGTTATCAATTTTTTTAGTTCTTAAATTTCATTTAATTCTGTTGATCAATGTCAATCAATACCTTTAATTAGGTTTTAATTTGTTTAATCGTTTTTCTAATTGAATCTTGTCATTTAATTTATTCAAGATTAACGGTGTAATTGCTGTTCACGAATTTCATGTTTGGCAACTTGCTGGTGACCGTATCATTGCCTCAGCTCATATTCGATGTCACAATTTAACTGATTACATGCAAATCGCAGAGAAAGTGAAAGAATTTTTCCACAACGAAGGTATTCACTCTACAACCATACAACCTGAATTCGTGGATATTGGCTATCAGGTAAATTAAATGATTTGAAAGATGATCAGAAAGAAAGAGAAACTAATTATCATCTTTCTCATCTCAAATCGTTCACTTATTAAACAAATCATCATTACAATTCAATCGACCTTTACGACAATTACACCATAAATTAAATCAAGCCTAACCCTTTACAATTTACCTTGATCATCCTCCATCTTCTCTCTCTCTCTCTCTCTCTCTCTCTCTCTCTCTCTCTCATTCAGCTAACCTCTTTTTAATAAATGAGATCCGGAAAGATAGGTTATCAGTAGTGATAAAATTGATGATGATGATCAAATCTCCTCATCATTACTATTATAAGTGTATCTTGTTTTAAACAGAAAAAACAAATCATCTTCTTCATCATCTCTCTCTCTCTCTCTCTCTCTCTCTCTCTCTCTCTTCAAGGGAAATCTGAATCGTGTCAATGATTCTTGTCAAAGTAGATCGGAAACCCTATTGTTAATGATGATACAAGATGATAAAGATATGATATTTATTAGTAGAGACCAAAGAGTTACATGATCTTTCATCAACCATCATCATGACAAAAAGTAAACTAATCACACTTTTTGTTATATCCGATATTTAATCAGTTGATTAACCAAGGTTGATTAAGAAAAATCATTTAAGAAAAACAGAGCTAATCTTCCCTTTCTTTAATTTCTCATTCCCTCTACTCTTCACTTATCGATTGATCATCTTATTTATTAATACCATCAATCGACAAGGACATTGGCACCGGTTAGAAGATGATTTTTATCATCGATAACAATAATTCATCACGAAATCACCTCATCAGATTGATAGATTTTCACTCCCATAGGTTACTATTTTTACTTGACCCTAACCACTGACCTTTAACTGCCCACACACACCTTTAAATATTAAATAATACCTAATACAATTAGTTGATGAATCTTGGAATGAATATTTTCTCATGGTAATAATTCAACCCACGTTGAGCACATGATAATATTCATTGTTTTCTTGGAATTTGTTTGTTATTTTGTCAATGAATTTTTGTTTTTTTCTTCATTAATATTATGCTAATTAACTCTAATCATTATTTGGTTAATTTTCTCTTGCTCTTTTTGATTTGATTGATTGTAATTTAACTAATTTGCGTAGATTTTTTCTTTCCAATTGATATAATTATCATTTTCCGAGTAATAACCATTAGTGGTGATTATTAATTTCGTCCTTGTTATTGTTTAAGTCTAAGCTAATTCACATCTAACCAACTGAATTATTACCAACGATCCTTGAGACTTAATTAACATCATCAAGTTGATCTTTATTATTACTTATTTAGTAGGACACAAAGTTATAGTTAACCTTTACATAGATTTAATTGTAAGATTACAATTAATCACATTGGAATCTGGTCAATTTACTCATTGTTGATAGTTAATTGCGTGTTACTTAAAAAAAAGATATTCCTTTTAACCCGACACGTACAAATGCAATTACGATGAAGATGAGGATGAGGATGATAATGAGAGAGTGAGAGTGAGAGGGTAGGAAGTGAATTAATTGAAGTTTAGTAATGACTGCAAACTTTAAGATCAAAATCATCAAAATTATCATCACAAAAAACAGTAACAAGTATGGCCTATTCACACGGCTCTCTATCCACTTTATCATTCCCACTCTCACTCCATCATCATCATCATCTTCATCCACCTCCTTATTAATGGCAATTTACCTTGAATTGTAATTCTCTTAACCATCGCCATTGGCCTTTGTATTAACGATCAATTTGCTTGATTGTTGCAAGGCGGAAATGTTGATCTAATTCATCGATTCGATGATTTCAATCAATCAACTCTGGACTTGAGTTGATTGAAACTTAATTACAAATTAGTCTAATCGGTTTGTGTGTATCATAATTCATTGATGATCATTGTAATTAAAGTTTATCTTGTTTTTGTTTTAATCACAATCAAATATTAGTAATAGTAACAATTAAAGGGCTTGATGCAAAAACAACTTCAATTGGTAATCAAAAAAATAAATTAACTAATGTGATTAATTTATCTTGACAATAACAATTACAATCAACTTCTCAAATAATGTTTACATTGTTTGTAACTTTAATTTAATCATTACAAGATTTAACTCTCTTATTAATGTTTGTCTCACAATTAATTATTAATACTAATATTTAATTGTTATATATAGAGGGAATTCCAATAATGTTTTAGCTGTTAATTGTTTGTTTAATGATTGGGGATAAAATTAAGCATGATAATTGAACATGTTGATTAATTGTAATACCTTTTTTATCAATTCTAACAATAAGTTGAAGTATTTATTTATAAATTATCGACAATTAAATTGATTTGATCCTTTGTTTTTCTGTATCTTTTCAGGTCAAATCTCAAGATAATTCAGACTGTGCCTTAGATTGTCCCGAGAAAACAACGTGTGCCTCAAAAACTTGCTGTGATTCGAGACGAAGCTCACCCGACCTGAGTCGAACCAACAACGGCTGTCGACTGTCCGAAGATCGATCTGATTATGGTGGCGATGGAAATCACAATCATCAATCAACGGGCGCTTTAATTAACAGTAAAGTTGCCAACAGTGAGCTTGGAACCTTTCGTAATATTTCATTAGAAACTCTTGGACATCGATCGCAAAAAGGAAACCTCGATGTTGATCTAGGCCTTCAGAAGGACGTTTCACCCGGAAGTCATTTCAATTCATCTCGTAATCATCATCATCATCCACCAGGACCAGGAATGAATAACGTTTAATTCAGTTTCAATGATTAAATACTAATATTGTCTCATGAAAGGAAAAACACAATAATCATCATTACCATCATTCTCATTATAATCCATCTCATTGTCTTTATAAACTTTTCCAATTTCATCATTTGTTAATTAATTGATTATTTAAAATCTGTTAACCTAAATTTTCACACTTTTTGACGATTTATCATCATCATCATCCTCATCATTGTCACCAAAACATCACAATCATTATCCACCGAAAATAATCAAAAGTCTTCCCTCCATTTTTCCCTCATCATTATTATCATATTGTTAATCATTTACAAATCATGATTCCACAAATTGTTATACTTACACAAACAATCAACATAATCACACGAAAACCGCAAAAGTGATTAACAATCAACAACTAAAAACAATCAATCAAGAGGACAAATTTACCTAAGAGATAAGCAACATTTAATTGTTATTGTTAATTATCATTTAAATTACTGTGTAATATTTAAATTCTTATTAATTAAACAAGTTTGAAAGTAATTAAAGTAAAAAATTTTTAATATTAATTGAAGAGTGAAACTTTTAATTGTCAATAGTTGTGACTGTTAATCAATGATTAACTGCTCATTTAATGTTATCGATATCGACAAGGATTAAGCTTAGTGATTAGTGAAATGATTTAAAAACAATTAATCAAAAGTAATTAATAGTAAATCAACTTTGATCAACTCTGATTGTGATCACAGTTCAATGGACCATCAAGTAAGCATTGAGTGTTGGAGTTAATTAATTGTGATTAAAAGACGGAAGCATCAGGATTAAGAGTATTAAATAATTGCCTTGACAATTTAACTGATTAATTTGATTTAATTGTTCCCTCAACAATCAAATGTAAACATTTTCATTTTAATTAATCATTAGTTAATCATTGAAGTTGTTTTCCGGTTAATTGTAAATAAATAGTTTTAAAACCTTGGCAATTAATTTTAATTGATTGAAATTAAATTGTTTTAATCATGATTATCAATTATCATAGATCACAATTGTAAACTTAGTTGACAATCAAATTGTCTAATTACAAGTAATCAATTTATATTTTCAATGTTAATTTGGTTGTTGTTGATTTTTGATTGTCGAGGTAAAAACAATTAATTATGCTATTGATGATCATCAATGTTAATTGTTGTTTATTTAAATTGTTTCAATTAATTCACTATCATTGGTTATCTGCAACTTTTAAAACAATTAAATTGCTGATTAATTGATTTCCTCTCAAGTTGACCATCCAAACCACCAAACAATTAAATCAATTGATAATTAATCACTTTGATTTATTAGTTAATTGTGATTTGTGTTTCCGACGGAATTGCAATGATTAACTAACAACCTACCAGGGTGTCAACAATTAACTTGCAATTGTGTTAAAATCTTTTTAAATTGTAACAATTAAACTTCCTATTCCAAAAAAGTCTAAGGAAATGATTAACTCTTAACAATTAAAGTTACCAAAACAATTTAAATTGTAATTATTGGAGCCAAGAGAAAGTGAATAAATAAATTGTTCATCCAAACAATTTAACTAATATTTCAAACTGGTTGGTAACAATTAATTTTGATGCTAATCTAATTTAATAATAAGCCCATACTGATAAGATGAATTGTAATTATATTAGTAATTAACAATTTAGATTCGTGTAAAAATTCATACAGAGATTATGATTGTACCAAAGCAAATTAGAGGTTAAATTGTTACAATTAACAGTTGATGATAAACAATTTAATTCAGTGATGTGTTGAAAATAACACAATTGGTGAGCAGAAAAACTTAATTGTTTACCTTAATTTGAAGTAGCAATCAACTAATTGGTTTGTGTGCAAAGACACTTATCATTTGTTAATTCACCCTTTTAATTGTTAATTACATTGATTAAATGTTGATTATCATTAAATCAGTTAATAAATTGCCCTTTTCGACAATTTAATTTAATGATGAAATAACATTTACTTTTGGGATGTAATCAATTTGCAAACCAGCCTTAACAATTAGCTAATTGTTAAGGCTTTTTTTGTGTGTTAAATTTTGATTGTTACCTTGACAGTTTAATTATATCCAATGAATTGATTAACTAATTTCCAATGATTAAAGTATCTCCTATTAATTGAATGATTCAATTTTGTTCCGGGAAGAGAGTTAATTGTTATCAGGATTAACATTGACAATTTATTTTAAAGTCCATTGGGTTTGATGATATTTAATTGTCTATTCATTGGTGTACTTGAGTTTGGATTACAATTAATTGTAGGAAGTGAATTTAATTGTAGATCAGTTGATTATATTTGAATTAAATAATTAATCGGCTCTTAAGATGCTAAAAATAAATCAGATAATATAAAAACTGAAGGTCTAACAATCAATCAAATTAAAACTCATTTCTAACCTTTAGTTTGTTAATAATTAATTATCAAATTAAACCAATTAAGATGAACAAGTAATTAACTGTAAGAAAAATTGATTCAATACAAGGTTAATTTTGAGACAAACACTTGAATTAGTTAACAACAATCAACTGAATTGTTTCAAGATACATCAATGTGAATGTCGAAAACAATATTGTGATAAATTGTTGAGTAAATTGTAACAATTAACATTGATTTTCATACTTTCTCATTGTCATCTTCTTGGATTAAGATTAGTTTAATTCTTTTGATGATCATGATTTAGATTTAATTGTTAACAATGATTTGTTTGTTTCCATCTTGGAGATTCATTGCCATTAAGGTTTTGATTGCACGAGATATTTTTGAGTGTTGTTGTTGGCTCGCCAATTAACTGATTGTGTGCAAATTAAAATGTATAATAATTTACAAGGATAATTGGGTTAACTTGATTCTTTGGTATCTCTTAATTGTTTAAGTTAATTTTTCCACTTTAACAAAACGTTGTTCATAAACAATCAGTCCAACGATTAAGACGAGAGGCAAATAATGCGGCCAAATGTGAATACGTAACGATCGGGTTAAGTTTAGAACGATCAAAATTTATGGTTAATCGTTAATTGTAATTGTTGATCCTGAAGATGAATTAAGCAGATAATCAGTTCTGATTACATCCTTGATGCTTTTCGCAGATAAATTGTTGTTTTCGGGTCCAAAAAACAGCGAAAGAAAAACATTTACAAGAAGATGATGGAAAAGCTCATAACCTTCAACCAGAATATATAATCAGTCCAAGAGATTGATGAAGATGAAGATAAATATGATGACGATAATTGGTGATAAACATGATAATTAAAATGATGACCAGAAAAATACTGATTGTCCAATGTATTGGGTCACTATTTTTGTTTATTTTTTACAGTAATTTTTGTACTTTTCGGGTTTTTAGCATTCAGGTGACCATTATAGCGGTTTTAATTTGGTAGAAATCAAATGAGGCCACTAATCCAATCAATGGCCGTGATTTAATTAACTGGATAATAAATCAAATTCTGTCAAAAAAGAGATTCAGATAAACTGAGAATTTGAAAGAAAAAAAAACAGAAAGTTACAAAGCCAAGAGATTGAACTTTCTCTTTAGGGATTTTTGATTTTCACTTGATTTTTACTCTTCCAATTAGAAGATTATAATTTAATCAACATGAGGAGATTTGATTTCTTTTCCTTTTCTACAATAATTAACGGGGATAATTAACTTTCCAGCAGATTAACTAATAGAAATTTGTAGACAATGTTAATCCAATGAGTCTTTTTGGTTATATCCAATCAGCTGTTTTTCCCTCCAAAATTAAAACTTTTTCTTGAAATTAACTTATAATTCATGACAATTTATTAACTTAATTAACTCTAATTGCTACAATAAACTTATTTTTCATGATAATAATTGTTAGAGCGTTTAATCAACTATCCAAAGGATCAATGATCGTTTTGATTTTTTGGCTAAGAAACAATTTTCTGGTTAACTGGTGATCATTAAACTGTGTAATTTTTAATTGTTATCATTGATAATATCTTCTAAATCAACCACTGGATTGATTGAGAATCAATTCTTTAATTGTATTGACTTAATTATTGAGGCTGATGAATGAAAAAGTTGTAACAACATTGAAACAGCAATGGAATTGTTTTCTCAATCAACTTGTAAATTATTTAAACTTTAAAAGTATTAAAATCAAGTTAATTAGTTAATTTTGTTTACAAACAATAAACTCATTTGATTTAATTGAATTGTGTTTATTTCTTGAGAAATCAATGAAAAATTCTGATGAAGGTAAATGTTGAAAATCTTGTTTTTAATCCAAGTAACTGTTGGACCGTTTAAATTAAGATGATGATTAGGATGAGGATGGAGATGAAGATGAGGAGGAGGGAGATGATGATGATGAGAGAGTTGGGTAAGAGCATATAAAGTGCAAGGTCTAAATCAAATGAGTTTCAAGTTTATCGTTGAAAGTTCATTTAACTCTGAGTTTTTGGGCAATTTAATCATTTGTCCTGTTTTAATTTTCTCTCTTCCTTAACTCCATCCTCATCTTTTATCATCATCATCATCATCATCATCTTGCTCTCATCATCATCTCACTAAATTTCTCCTTTTTTTCTTAAAAAGATAAACACCATCATCATCATCTAACTTATTCACTTCGCTTTCACCTTTCACCAAATCGGTTAATTGTTACAGGGAAAAAAAAACTTTTCTTCTACATTAATTGTTTATTGATTCTAAATTTTTTCTCATTCATCTTCTTCTTAATTGTTCAATCCACTAAAATGAAGTTAATTGTAATCTCTGCGATCTTTTGTTTCCTTTCATCAACCTCTTACGGTCAGAGGTTCGTTCCTGGAGCTTGTCCAGTAGTCGATCCACCAGAAAGTTTCGATAAACGAAAGGTAAGAAATCAAAGTTTCTTTCTATTCTAATTACATTTAGAAAATTAATTAATCATTCAATCTGAATCAGTTTTTCGGACATTGGATTGAGACTGAGAAAACACCCTCGATGTTTGATCTTATGATGAGATGTATGACCGTTGAATATGCCGATGATAAAGATGGATCGATTGATGTTTCAATCAAGGGAGTCTCTCTGTAAGTTAATCAGTTAATTGTTAGAACCGAATTGAAAATAATCATCTCCACAATTGTTCAAATCAGCGGTGGTATCCCTGTTTCCATTACTGGTGACGGTTTAATTCAAGATGTTAGTCGAGCCGGCTTTTACAATGTTCGATATGGCCTGGGAATGCCGATGCAAGGAACTCAGGTCACAATTGTTGACACCGATTACAGTGAATATGCATTAATCTATTCATGTACCAACAGTTTACTCAGTGGATTATTTCATTCTGGTAAGTAATTCACTCAAATTATCATGTCATCATCAAAAATTATCAGCAATTAGATCACAATTTAGTTGTTTTCTAGGTTAATCTGTCATATCAGAATCGTTCATTAATCTTGACCCATTATCTCAAGTTAGAAGGTCATGAAAAATTCAGAACTTTCATGATTACTCATCTTAATTTAATTCTCTTCTCTTTCTTTCAGAATATATTTGGCTTTTATCCCGTGACGGAACTCTAAGTAACCCAACTCGCCAGAACATTTATGAAAAATTGGATAACCTGAAAATCAACCGATCAGGTTTACAGTTAAGCGATCGAACTGGTTGTGCATCTAATGTAACCAGAGAGGGTGATGGTGATTTAGCATCAATTCAAACTACTCAACTTCCAATTGCTCAGTAAAGATAATTAAAGGAATGAACCAGGAATCGGATTAACTGAACACCAACAAACCACCAACCATCAACATTTCATATTCCTCATCAATTTCAATCTCTCTCTCTCTCTCTCTCTCTCTCTCAGTTTGTGGTGATTTCTGGTTTCTACATCTTAACCATCACTCTCATCATCATCTTCATCCTTATGATTATCATTTTCTCCCTCTTCGGATTCAATGCATTAAATTGTAGTAATCAAAACGAGAAGGCCAATGAAACTTAATGGGATTTAATTGCTTCAATTTTAATCTCTTTCCTTGGTTTCTTTTTATATTTTGATTCTTTTACCTTTACATTGTGAAGATTAAGCTGAATTAAATTACTGTTATCAATTCATTGATTACCCAACATCAACTGCCCAATCAACTGGACCTGAACAGTTTAGCTGATTTTCCAGGGTTAAACTGGTTATCATTTGGACCTAAATTGTAAAAGGGGAAAAAAGTGGCTAATCTTAATCGTCTTAACAATCAACTAATCCTGATGTGAAACAAATACAACCCACCAAACATTTGATGAGATTATTCAAACAATTTAAAACTTAATTTATATCCAATCCATTTAACTTATATATCAACTTTTTTTTATATAATCAAATAAACAAATTTGTTTATTGGACCAATAACAATAATTATTTACTCAATTAATTACTCAATTATTGATAGTAAAAAACATTAGCCTTTACAATGTGATTAGTTAACATTGGAAACTTAATTATCAAAGTTATTTGATTAGATTGATTCATTTAAGCTTCTAAATTAAATCAATTATCAGCTATATTTGTATATAGATTAGATAATTGTTTTGTTTCAATAATTGAATTCTGTATCAATACTGATCAATCTAAATTGCTGTGAAATATTGAGATTGTAACGTTTCATGTTAAATGATTGATTGACAGTGATGTTGTTATTTAAAACAATCGTTTTTTAAACCAATTTGTATGAGAAATACATTTTGCTTTGAAGTTTATCACTTGATTGTTGCAATTAAAATGAGCTTTTTGCAATGATATCTGAATTTAGATCTGCATCTTTTTATAAAAAAGGTCAAAATTAGGAGGAAAGAAAGAGAGAGAGAGAGAGAGAGAGAGAGAGAGAGTAACTGTATCACTTTCAGTATTGAAGATCCGATTCATTAAAATCAATTTGAATGTTGACAACTTGTAAATCGTAAGTTCATCTTGGCCTCTATTTAAATGGTAAAATTTTGAGTGTAATCATATTCGATTGTTGGAATTACGGCCTGGACGAATTTTAAAAATACGATAAGATAACTGTGAACTCCAAGTTCTTTTCCTCCTTCCTCAACGACTTCGATAATTTTTTTCATAACCTCAGCGTGTCTGTTTATAAAATGAGAGAAAGAAATTGTTTAGAATTCAAGATTATTTAGTGATTAGAAATAATCGTTGCAATAGTAATTACCTGCACGGATGAACCGATGCCATTGGTGGACCTGGAATGTGAGGGTGAGTTTCCATTGTCACCGTTTTCTTGGCATGATCTTGACTTATATCAGTGTACATTTCATCAATTGTTAATGGATGTTGATTCTCATCATATCCCGATAACCATAACCTTGGTGTTTGATAATATTTATCATATGTGATGTTTAAATCATAGGTTCGAGTTGGAACAATGGAATTGTCATCGGCTCCCTTTTTCCTTGGCTTAACCTCGACTGTTGACTGTTGATAAAAGAAATGAGAAAAAATCAACATGAATTTAGAATCAACTGTCAATCTTGTAAATCTATGGTCGACAAACCTGATCATCCTTATCCATAAGACCAGAGGCCATGTATTCATCCATATCACATGCATCACCATCGTCATCATCTTCATCTTCATCATCATCACCATCATCATCTTTGTTCTTATTATCATCTCCTCCGGATCCAAGTTTCATATCATCAGAACTGGCAGGTTTGGTTATTTTACAAGCTCCTAATTCATCTGTCATCGAGGAGACTTCGGTTTCCTCGCTGGAGGGAAGATAGTGATGTGTGTCAACCCAACCATCATTATCATCACCCACTTCAATAACTTTCTCATAATTTTCTGTCATCTCCATATCACTACACCTTTTATAACAGGGAACATTTTTGGTAACCAGGAATTGTTTTCCTTTGGAAGGTAAGTTTTAATCTTTTCAGGATCACCGGTTGACCAGCTCCATGTTGGACAATGATGAACCAAATGGTCACCAGCGATAACAAACTCTTCAGGTGTAAGTACACCAGTTTCACGGAATTTAGATTCCTTAAGAACAGGGGTAATGTATTCAGCAATGGCTAATCCAGTTCTCTTAAAACTATTAAATAATTCAGACATTATGATGAATACAAATGATGTCAGAAAAAAAGGAAAGGAAAATATCAACTCTTTGTAAATGAGGAGAGACAAAACGAATGAAAATGTGAACCAAATGGACCAAAGACACACAATGGCCAATCAAATAAACCAAAATGGAAGGATTAATAAGCACTTTAGGGCAATAACTGTGGAAGAAAAAAAAATTCAGAAAATTAAAAAACCAAACAAAGGAAAAGAGTCAAAGAGACACAGCTGACAATTGGAAGATTAAATAAATGGATGGAAACAAACAACACTTACAGAATTCAACTTATTAATATATTATCAGAATTGATCGATTAAATTGTGGTAAGAAGAATTAATTGAAGGCGTTAAAAAGTAAATTAATAAACACTTGATAAACAATAGAAATCTAATTGATAATTAGACAAAAATATTAAATGAAAATGAAAACAAACCGATCAGTTTGAATAGAAAATCAGTTACAAAAAGAACCGCAAGAGGCGCCGCTTGTAGAACATTAAATTGTTAATTAATTGATTATAATTTGGAATCAAGGAATCAGAATTTGGATTAACTTGAGATTGATTCAATTTGGTTATATTAATTGTATAAAAGAGTTCGAATGTTCAGGATAATTTTATTTTCTAAATATGAACATTTGAAAATTTCTTGAAATAAAAAAGCGCGAAAATTGAAATTGGACTTTTGATTAACTTTATTTGTTTATTTTATTGATTGATTTGGAATTTTTTCCTAAAAATGACACACCAATTTCCTTGATCATAATATGATTCAATTATCTCTAGACTGTTAACATGTTGGAACAAATTTTCCAATTCATTTTCTCTGAAAACATGATAATAGCGGAGAAATTGTTTCTCTTTGTTTTTATCTTTCCATGGGACGAAAAGATCTTGTTGTTTAAATTCAGTTCGATTACAATGAACAGGTAAACATGATTGGATTTCCTGTGAAAGTGGTTCGGTGATTTGTTGATCATTTCCTTTTGTTTTTATGTAAACGCTTTTGTTTCCATCTTTAACCTGTTCCAAAGCCCAAACATAAACGAGTCCCGTTCCACCGGGAATCAGAATACGAGACATTTCATTCAATGAGGAAACTCTTCGTTCTTCAGATGATAAATGATGAATTACAGCGATACAAATTAGATGATCAACTGACGATGAACGAAATGGTAAATTCAATATATTACATCCAATCACTTCCATCTCTCGGTGTTTACAAATTTCCAACAATTGTAAACTTGTGTCACTTCCGATGTTAAAAATGTTACGATTAAGGTTAAGATATTTTCCATTACCACAACCAATGTCACAAAGAATTGAACCAGTTCCAAGTGAATCAATAAATTGTTTAACTTTAGGCCAAGGTTTATAACGAGTTCGACTAAAATCACCGGCAATTTCATCGTAAACTTTGTAAACATATTGATCCTCCATCTCGGCGGAATTGGTAATCTTAATCTCTTTACCTTGTTGACTGTCACAAAATTCAGGGAAATCTGGAAATAGAAAAGGTTGACAATTAGATCGAATTGATAGATAGAAGAGAGAAATTAAATTCTTACCACAAGAACAATCAGAATTTTTTGATTTTCTCAAAGTAAATGAGATGCGAGTTGATCTTTGATTGAAAATCAATCGATCAGAATTTTCTGGATGAGGAGAAACATCAAATTTCCTACAAGCTATTCCATGATTCCAACAATAACGAGCTTCATCTTTGAGAATCAAAAGACTTCGTCGATTTAATAAAACGGAACATGAATTAAATGAACTTTCAACTGATTTGATTCTCTCAAAATCCATAACAATTGGTGAGCCAAGAGAAAGTGAAACAATCTCATTTTCACAACACGAATGAGTATCAATGTGCATCGGGATTCCTTGTCCTTTCTCATAGAGATTAACAGTTAATTGATCTGGAATATAATTGATTACTTGATCATCGAACCATTTGGTAAACAATTTTCTCAAACAATCAGGAATCGAATCAATTGTTTCATCATCAACAATACCATTAACCATATAATCAAATCGACGACCAAAATGTTTAACTTTACGATTTTTAAGATGTTCAACTTTACCATCTGAAGACCAATCAATCAAATTGATTAACATTGACTCTTCATCTTCACTGATTATTTCATTTAAAATGCTCAAACCTTCTGGTTGGTATTTGAACTGATTAATTATACTCTGTTGGGACTGGTTAATCAATCGATTAGCGACATCATCAGCTATCTGGATTAGATAAATTACTTTGTCAAGGCTCGAATTGTAATTCCCGTTAAATTTGTTAACTGCTTCAATCGCCGAGTCAATGTTATCAAATTTAATCAAAGAGTATCTCTGATTAGTGAATAGAAATATATTCTCGATACAATTAGAGGTTGAGAATAGATTGAAAATATCTTCATAATTATTACCAGTAAGAAGACCAACATTTGCCAATAAAATATTCTAAAAAAGAAAAGAACAATTTAAATCAGAATTAGAATTAAATTTGATTCAATTATAGAAGAGGAAAAAAAAGTCAAACATGTTAACACATTGGAAGGTAAATTTTCACTCACCGTTGAACAATTAGATTCAATACAATTTGGATCAACTTTTAAATCATTTGCCAGTGATTTAAGGTATTTAAACTGTCGTTTGTTAACTTTAATTGATCGGAAAGAAGACATAACAAATTACTAAATCAATTTAATCTTCAAAATGTGAACACATGGTAAACAATAACATAGAGGAAAAAGAGATAAGTTTGTCACGGAATTTAACAATTAAATTGAATCAAAAATCGTCACAATTTATTCTCAACACATAGATGATTAGATAAATTGAAGGAAATTAAAAATTTAGAGAACGAAAAGAACCAAACAATTATAATTAAATTAGAAATTAAGAGAATTCAAAGTGAAAAGAAAAAATTTTTCCACCAAACAGCTGATCGTGTTTACTTTTTCGTCATCAACATGTGACTTTTTGTTCAATTGTTTTGATTTAATTCTGTTTTCATGTTTCATTTTAATTGTTGTAGATTTTTTCGCCAAGTGAGAACAATTAATTGTAAACAATTTTCAACAATTTATGCTCTTTCCAGTGGTTTAAATGAGAAAGGTTCAGCTGTAGCGGTTATAAGAATCTCTGGTAATGAAACATCAAAAGGACTTTCAAAGTTAATTTCGGAGAAACAATTTAAATCAATTGTCTCCAATCCTAGGAAAGCCATTTTAACAAGTTTAATTAATCCATCAACCAGAGAATTAATTGATAAAGGTTTGGTTATCTGGTTCCCTTCGCCAAATAGTTATACTGGTGAAGATTCAGCTGAGCTTCATGTCCATGGGTCGAAAGCAATTGTCTCAAGATTGTTACGGACTCTTGGGTCCATTTGTGACCTTAAACCCGCTAAAGAAGGTGAATTTACCCGAAGAGCTTTTCTCAATAATAAATTGAACCTTATCCAAGCTGAAGGATTATCTTCCCTGATTGCGGCTAAAACTGATTCTCAACTTAAATTGGCCCAACAAGCAACCGAAGGACATGTTGAAAGGTTATATTCAACATGGAGATCAAATCTTCTTGAATCCATTTCTCATCTTGAGGCGATAATTAATTTCGCTGAAGATGAATTGATTGATGAGAATATTTTAAATCAAGTTAAATCTAATGTCATACAATTGGAATTCAAAATTAGTCAATTTTTGAAAGAATCAACTCGAAAAAGTGAATTAATTCAAGGAGGTATTAACATGGCGATAATTGGTTTACCTAATGTAGGCAAAAGCACTTTATTAAACAAATTGTGTAAGTCTGAGCAATTTAGTATTTTTTTTTATCTAATTGTGATTAATTTCCTGTACATAATGAGAGAGAGAGAGAGAGAGAGAGAGAGAGAGAGAGAGAGAGAGATAGTAAACAATTGATTGATTTTCTTTTTGTCCCAAGTTTAAATCAGTGGTTGTATCATTTATAAAATCGTGAATTAATTTGGATGAGGTGATGAACAGAAAACACAATTTCTTTTGTCTGGTAATTGATTGATTGATTTTTTCATTTAATCCGTTGATTGAATTGCTTTTCTTTGTTTTCATGTAATTAAAACAATTAATTAATCAGGTAGACGAGACCTTTCCATTGTTTCACCAATAAGTGGTACCACTCGAGATGTTGTTGAAGGATTGTTGGATATTAAAGGCTGGTCAGTTCGGGTCAGCGATACGGCGGGTTTAAAGGTCACTTTTGTTGAAGATCCAATTGAGTTGGAAGGTATAAAAAGAGCAAGACAAAGGTGAGTTTGTATTTTCCTAATTAGTGACACTTTAACAATGATTTGGTTTAACCTTTGAATTTTGTCCAATAATTAAATTTCTCCTTCTCTATTTCCTTGTGTTTATATTGGTTGATAATTATGATCAGAGCTGTGAAGGCGGATTTAGTACTTTTAGTTATGGATGGATCAAGTTTAATCTCGGATGATGGCAATGGTCAAAATCAGTCGGTCAGTTTTTCACAATATATCCAAAAATTTGATGATATCATAAGTAAAGATAAGCCAGTTATCTATGTCATCAATAAATTAGATCTTCTAAGTGAAAATGAAATTAGTCGATTGGTGGAGACAATTGGTGGCGAAAATATTTCCATGATTAGCTGTAAAACGGAACAATCATTTGATAGATTAATTGAATTGATTGGAGATAAATTATCTTCTCTCTGTGGTAATATCACAAGTGAAGAGATTTTTATCACTGAGAGACATCAAATTCATTTACAACGGATAACTGAATCTTTAAGTGGTTCCCTTGAATATTTTGATCATGATTTAGCTTTAACGGCTTATTATCTTCGTCAGTGTATCGATGAGATCGGAAATATAACTGGTTCCATAAATACAGAGGAAATACTTGATGTTATTTTCAAAGATTTTTGTATTGGAAAATAAAATCAACCAATTGTAATTTATCGTAATCCCATCGTTGTTACAGTTTCCCTGATTCCAATCAACTTATCCACTTGATTGTGATATTTGATTTTAAGTTTTATGTTTACCTAAGATTTTGTCTTTCATTAACTGAAACTAAAATCATTAATATATCTTGATCCATCGGCTGGTTTTAAATATCCTGTTGAAATTAAGATGATATCGACTAAAGTCCAAACACCGAAACCTCCGAAACTAAACAATTTACCAATCCCTTCTTGCCAATATCCCAAATAAAATCTATCAATTCCAAATCCACCAAGAGTAACACTAATGATAATCGTAAAGAAAAACAAGAAAAATAGAAAATAAATTAACAGGGTAAGAAATAATTTACGAAGCAATTGATTTACCTTAATAATAACGCAGTTGACCATTTGTAACCTGAGACGAAATTGCATAACTTATATCTTTGGAAACTCCGATTTCCAAGACATGGAACATGAGGTTTCATACTACAATCAGTTAAATATCTAGAATTGATCCGACAAGCAAAACTTGACATACAATAATAGTTGCTTTCAGGTAATTGGTAACAATAGGCACAAGTATAATTATGATGGACAAGCTTAGGACCCTAAATATTGAGAGAGAGAGAGAGAGAGAGAGATAAAAAAATCATATTAGAATCGATTGAGATGAAAGGAGAAGTTGATAAATTACCTGACATTCAACACCCTCTTTGACTCTACATGATGCAGTTTTTACTTCACCAAAATCACAGTAATAATCATATTCACAATCTAAACAATCAATTGACAAATTTTGACATGATTGTAAACGATTAGTTGAGCATAAGGTTCTATAAAATTTACTATCAACTGCTCCATTGGAATCATCAGATTTTTCATCAGCTATTGTTGTTGATGTGGATGGAGATGAGGCAGAAAAAGGTAATGTTGATGGTATTGATTGGTGATGAGAATTTGATGATTTAGAATCATCATTTCCAAGACTAGTATGTGAAGGTGATAAATTGTATATTTTCGATGAAGACAATGGTGAAGATCGGGAAGATGGCACAGAATTAGAAGACAATGATAGAAGATTATAAATTGAATAATCACTTTTAGATGAACCAGCAAAATTTAACTCACTGGGATCATTTTCATTTACCAAATTATCCTCACCGTAAACATTACTACTCTCAAATAGAATATCCTTAATATCATTATCACGAGCTTTTAATTGATATTTAGAAGAGAAAACTAAACATAATAAGACAATTAAAAGGTACCTAGATAGTAAAAGGTACATTCCTTTACATCTTTTCACTGAGAGAGAAAAAAAAATGAAACAAAATCCAAAATAATCTTTATCACAACAGAATCAATATTCAGATGAAGGTAAAAGACTATCAATGAATCACAGGATTTAAAAGCTTCCCAACACTTTAATAATCAAATAGATACACAATTCAATTAGACAATTGATTTAGAAATTAATTTAAATTAAATCACTATAAGAGTAAGATGGTTATCGGAAAAGAAGAAAAAAAAATAGGAAAACAACAACTGTTCGTTACCATGGTTACCGATATTCTTCCAGTTTTTGATTCTCTTTTTTTGTCATCATTTGGTTTTCTTGGTTAACTTTTCTTTTTAATCGGTTACCTGATTAATTAATTTCTTTTCTTCGTTTAAATTATCTAATTGTTACAATTAATCCAATTAGTCAAATTGGATCATCTTGACACATCATCTTTGTCTTTATAACGTTGTGATTACGTTTTTAGTTTTTAGTTTTTATTTTTTGCTTTTGTTTGATTAGTCAATATAAAGCGAGAGCTTGTGTATGTGTTTTTTAATTGTCTCTGGTTAATTACTGTTAATTTGATTGTTCAATTTTCTTTGATTTTCTCTTTCTCTTCATATTCCATTACAATTGAAGATCGTTTTTGTATGTTCATCTTTGTGCAATGAATTTTCCTTCGATTTCCATGATAATCTCTGGGCTTTTCATCGCCTGGATATTTCATTCCATGTATTCTTTGTATCAAATCTGTATCATCCGACCCTGTGATCCTGGTTCTTCATCATGTCTTCGTCCAATGTGGAAAGAAAATGATGTTTTTTCGGTGAGTTGTAATTTAGAGAACCATTTGAAAACATTTTCTACTCTAATTGTTACTAACAATCCATTTTCTTCAGCTATTTTTATGTACCTCGATCTCTGGTCATCCACTTTCATTCCCACTGAAGACAATTTATAAGAATGACAGATATGATCCGAACAATTTGTCTAAACTGTAAGTAATTAACAATTTCTACCTTAAAATTAGCCAATTGATCACCCTAATTGACAAAGTAAATATCCGTCATGTTATGACCAATTAATTTTATCTAATTTGTTTTTTCTTGTTTATTTTTCTCCCCACGATATTATTATAATATTTACCAGAGATTTTAATATTACTCTAGAAGATAAAGTTCTCAACAATGGAACCTTATTTTTACACGTTTTCCTTACCAAGTCTCGTTCTCATAGAGAAGTAAACAATGAATTGATTGCCAGTAAATTAACAGCCCACACCTCAGGATTACTTACACATTACATTGGTAAAAGAGCAGAATCTTATAAACTACTGGAAGGACAAAAGGCCAAAAAAAGTCAAAACAAGTTCATCGGACGACCAGTAACTCATTGGAAGCCTAAGATAATCATCGACATGGTCACTCATCCCCAAACAGTCCCAATTAACGCACTCACAGAAGAAATGGCTCCTCTCATAAAGTAATATTCGAATAACAAATCAACTCAGCAATTAGCATCACTATTTATCATCTTCTCTTCCTCATTTTCTATCCACAGAGTAAACAAGAATCGACAATATTTACCTGTTCTTTATATTAGTCCCAATCGTCACCGAGTTAAAGAGCTTATTGTAAGTTGACAAGATTTTTCTCTTCTATTTTTTTTCTTGACAATAATTCTTATTCTTTTATATCATTTACAGCCTGTTGAGCGTGACAATCCAGTCTTACCTCTTGAAGTTCAATTTGAGAAGACATCAATTGGAAAACTTCGGTTCATTCTTAAAGTTGAATCTTCTTTTGACACTATGCCCGAATTAGGATTCAGTGAATATGACACGGATGATGTGAAAGGAATACTCTTCGATACGAGTCTCTTTTTACTCTTGGTAACCGTTTTCGTCTCTTGTTTCCATGTAAGATTGACAGCGAAAAAAATCCAAGCCCACAAAATTGAATCACTTTCTCATCTCTCTCACTTAGCTTCTTTTTGATTTCTTGGCCTTTAAAAATGATGTACAATTCTGGCGACATCGCAACTCAATGGCTGGGCTATCATTCAGTAGTCTCCTTTGGCGTTGTGTCTCTCAAATAATAATAACCCTTTACCTTCACGATCAACAGACCAGTTTAATTGTTGTAATTCCAGCAGATATTGGTGCAGTAATTGAACTGTGGAAGTTAAAGAAAGCTCTGAAAATTGAATTACATGGTTTCAGAATTAAAATGAGCCCTCGATCAAAAGAGGAAAGAGCAACCGATGAATATGATACTAAAGCGATGAAATATCTTTCAATTTTCGTTCTTTATCCTTTGGTTACCATTGGTGCAATTTACTCTCTCCTTTACACTGAACATAAATCATGGTATTCATGGTTTATTCAAAGTGCTGCCAATGGTGTTTATGTTTTTGGTTTTCTTTTCATGTTACCTCAATTGTTCATCAATTATAAACTAAAATCAGTTGCTCATCTACCATGGAAGGCATTTATGTACAAAGCATTTAATACATTCATTGACGATCTCTTTGCATTCATTTTAACATCAATTCCAACTGCTCACCGAGTTGCAGCCTTCCGAGACGATATTGTCTTCCTAATTTACTTATATCAAAGATGGTAAATCAAATTATTAATTGGACTAATTAATTTATGAACAATTAACTAATCTTTTCATTTATATATAATTCTTTTCAGGTTATATCCCGTTGATAGAAATCGTATTTCTGAAGATGCACCAGTTATTAAGGATCAACACGAAAAAGATGATTAATTAAAACTAGTCATATGAAATTGGAATTGTAGTTAAATTAAAAGAAATTGATAATTTTTTCTAACAATCCAAATTGTAAAGTGACCAAATCAATCAGTTAATTTTTGTCAATGACCGGAAACAATTTAAAAGTTTAAAGGTTTCCAATAGTTGACCTTACCCTAGACCAAAAATCTTGTTCCTGTTAATTATTGTAAGAGGAATACTAATTATCTTTTGAGATCTTTCCGTTATTTACTCTTATTTTCAAACTTTTCAAATAATCGAAATCACAATCAATAGGAAGAAAATTATAATTGGATTTTGATTATAAGCAAGTTTTAATTTACTTTTCATTTTATATAAGCATCTGATTAATCAATTAGACCAAGAAAAAGTGACCTTATAAAATGGCCAAGAAAATCCTCTAAATCGCTTAACTTTATCGATAAAAGTTTCAAATGATTCGATGATAAAATTTAATCAAATGAAACGTTTAATCCATGAGATAAAATTAATCGAAAACTTTTTTGGTCTTAATTTGATCTGTTTTTTCACTTAGGAACTCGTTTTGGTAAAGAGTTTACAATTTATCTAGTCAATAATCCGACAAATTTTGATTGTCTAATTATGAGTTTATTTGTTTAATCGATATTATTGGTTTTTTAATCCATTGAAAGTAGAAAAGAATTGACAATAAATAGATGATGTAGATAATCAAAAGGATTAAGATATAAAAGTGTAAACATATTCCAAGAACATGAGAAGATAAAGACAAATTAGCGAGGAAATCAAGGCCCAGGGAAGTAAATAAATGATAACTGGTGAAAAAGCAGAGAAAATGATTGATAACAATTAACGATTTGAGAAAAATATTTCTTCATAAATCTTGGTGTTTTTTTCGTCTTCCAGAGAGAGGAAATGCTTTAGAATTTGTTACATGAGCTTTTCTATTCTCTGCGTGTTAATTATGTTGGAGTTTTTTTTTGTTTGGATTATCCATTAATTGGTTAATTTTATAATTAAAATGTAAATTTTGGATCGGATTTTGTCGATTATGATTGTTGTGAGTCTCGAAAATACAATGTTGTCTAGAAGTGAATTCGTGTTTTCAACTTTACTGTTTGTTGTTTTCGTACCAACGGACATTTTCACTCGTAGATTTTCAATTCGGTCAACTAATTACGACGAACAAGGTTATCAATTCATTTGACTATTAGTTAATTATACTTGTAACATCTAACTCATTAACTAATCTCATCTTAGTGACTTCATTTTAATCTTGTTATTGTTATTGTTTTCTTGTTAGCTGAGGAACTTATTCTGAGCCTGTTGATTGGGTTGATCGATCTTATCATTGTCTTTATTGTAATCAAATCATCATTCTAACAGTTGATTTCTGTGATTAATTCGATTTTTTTTCATTGTTCGTCTCGGTTTCTACTTCTTTTGGTGGGGATAATTGTTCAACTCCAGCCGGTGATTTTGGTACTTTTGTTTCTTTATGTTGGTGGGTCATTTTGGCGGCTTCCAGGTTACAGCTTTTCGATTTAACTCGAAATTGTTTCATTTGCTCTTTATGGTCTTTCGAGAGCATTGGGAGATATGTTTGTGGTGTACAAAGATCCTTGAACTTTTCAAAAAAGGCTTTATATCCGCCATCTAAAATGTAAATCTCTGGGTGGTAGAGTTGAGGGTATCGAGAAGTATTGATTTCTCTGTCTTTGTTTCTCAAAAATCGTGATCTAATTAAAGAGAAAAGGAAAAAAAATTCCATATAATTTAGAGGGAAAAAGGGGGTGAGTAATGAAGTTATTATGTGAATAAGATGCGTAAATGAATATACTGGAGGGAGGGAGACACAAATGTACATCAAGGAAGAGGAGGGAGAAAAGGGACAAAAGAGCGAATTGAAATACTTACAGACTGGGACCACGTTCTGATGAGAATTCGCAGTGGAATATTAAAATGTGTCGGTGTTTTTTAACATCCTTTTTATTTTCATCGTTAGTTTGAATTATATTCTCCTGTTGATTGTCCAAAAATTCACGAAGAAGAGCCAACTTATTGTAGATATTTTTGGCTCCAATAATGTGACCTCCTTCAAACTCATAAGGATATCTTCCATCAATGATGGTGTGCTGGTCAATTATATTGGAATATTGACCACGAAGAAGAGCAGCAAGTGTTTCCGGTTTAATTGTTTTGAGATCACTGTGTTTACCAGAGCAAACAGGTAAAGCATAAGGTAAACTGAAATCGCCAATTAGATCAGGATCCTGTTCGGAAAGTTGAACTGCTTTCATAATTAAATCTTCCTTTTCTTTCATCTTGGTGGGCGATTGTTCAACAGGATGTTCTGATTTCTGTTGTTGAGCTTGTTGATTAACTGATGAACTATTGATTACAATAGGAGATGAGAGAGTTACATTAGAAACCTTATTAGCAGAATTGAGGCGACATTTTTTATTGGCTAAGCCAAGAACAGAGGGTGACATGGCCGAAGTGTCAGTCCTTTTAAGTGGAACGCGTCTAACAACCAGTGGAGAGGCTAATTCATTTTCATCATTGATGAGAAGTCGACGGGAAAATGAGAGCACTGGTTTAGCAATTCGTCGACTTGAGACAATAGATGCCAAATAAGGGGAATCACATTCATCATCAGCCATATCAATATGGAAGATGAATAAATAAATATAATCGTTGAGAGAGAGAGAGAAAAAAACACACTCAGAGGAAAGAAAAAAGAAAAGGGAGAAAAAGAAACAATTCAAATGGAGAGATAGAAATTGTTTTCAAAAGAGAAAAGAAAACAACTGATTAACATCAAGTGAAGAGGACACATAAATAGAAGAATCAATTTTCTCTGACAATTAATCCATGAGTGAACAATTTAAGAATTAAAACCAACAAACAATAAAATTGTTCATCATTTTGAGAGGTAAAAAAATTTGTCTCTACAAAGGCGGAGACCAAAATGAAAGAAAGAGAAAGAAAGAGAAAGAAAGAAAAGCGGGAGTTTTAATCGAGTAACGACCAATTCAATCAACAGATGCCGCTCATCAAATGGAAGGAGAAATTGTCAAAATGAGAAAATGAAAACAAAAGAAATTAATTCTTAATCCATTGAGACGTTTAATTAATTGAGTTTTAATTGTTGACTTTGGAGTTTAATTGTTTCCGGGAGAAAGAAACATTGTTAATGAGAAAGTTCTCCTTTATCTAATCTCGTTCACTTGTTGGATCCTTTTGGTTATTTAAATATTTGTACGTTCATTTTTGTTTTCTCTTTTTCGATTGTTCGTTTTTCTCTTTTACCCTTAAGCCTTTTCTTTTTTGTTTGTTAACTGTTTTTCTTTCTTGTTCTTCTTGTTTTCTTGGGTTTCTCTTTCTTTTTTCTCTTTCTCTAGGTTTGGTCTTTGGTCTTTGTTCTTTGTTCTGGTTTGACCTTTTCTGGCCATTTAAAAGAACGACTTGGTTATTGGTTGATTTCGTGTGGTCTTGGTGATTGATCTGGTTTTCTTTTCTTTTTTTCTTCTTTTCTCTTTCATCTTGGGCTGGGACCATCATGGCTTCTTATGGGGATATTGTTTTGAGTTACCATGACACCTTATTGAGACAAACTGATGTAAATACTTTGGAACCTGGTAAATGGCTTAATGATAATGTAATCAGCTTTTGGTTTGATTACTTGGAACATGAAGTATATGCTGAATATGATTCTTGTGTTAAATTTATTGCTCCTGATGTTGCACAATTTATAAAATCTGCTGCTGAAAATTCAACACAAATTGAAGATGTTTCCACTGTTCTTGAATCAATGGAATTGTCAAAGAAAAAGTTGCTCATTATTCCCATTAATGATTCACCAACAAATGCAATGACTATTGGAGGGACTCATTGGACTTTGGCTTCTTTCACAATTGACAATGGATCATTTGAACATTATGATTCTTTTGCTGGTAGTGTTAATCATCTTCATGCTCAATCTATTTTCACCGTAATTTCACCAATTCTTACACCTGGAAGATCGATTGACATTGATCTAGATTTCACCGAGATTCCAACAACCCAACAAAGAAATAATTACGATTGTGGTATTCATTTAATCTGTAATGCTGATGCTGTTTGTAAGAAATTTTTACTCGGCGATGAAAGATCAATTTCCGAAATTGCCTCAACTGAAGTTGTTAACAAAACTCGTAACGAATTGAAAGTTTTAATTGAACAACTCAAGTATAAAAAATAAGTTTATACACAATTGTTTATCTTACACCAATCATCCAGATAGTAAAGTGACCAACTGAATCAGTTAATTGTTGTCAATTGGCGGAAACAATTTCAAAAGTTTAAAGGTTTCCCTTCCCATAGATGGCATTACCCTAAATCTTGGTACTATTTAAAGAGGAATCATCATAATCTTTGTTAATTGTTGTTAATTCTCATTATCCTGTTACATCATTTCGTGTTCTTCTCTCTTTATCTCTCTCTCAATTTTTAGCTTTTATTTTCTTATTGTGTTTAAATCTCTTCTCAGATAAACATGGGTACTTTTGTCGATACAAATTCTGATGGACCTGATCAAGTTTGTCCCTACAACAAGACTCATATTATTTCCTACCGAAAGTTTACTTCCCACATTTTGGAATGTGCGAAAAATCACAATCCTGATAATTACATAACCTGTCCCTATTATGCTAAACATCGTGTCCTGCGTCACGAGATCTACGACCATCTTCAAATGTGCACTTACATGGTAACGGGAATAGTCACCAACGAGCAAATGGACTTATACGCCCAATGGTCTCGAGGGCAATCTGAAGATGAAGGACAACAAAGCGAAAAAGAGGACAATAAAACCGACGATGAGACCTCAAAATGTGAACAAGTGGAAATGCCAAAGGACGACAAATGGTAAACAAATGGATGTTCCTTGGAAAAAAAACTCCGCAATCAAGTTAAATGCAATCAAGAAAAAGAAGCCAATGTGACCAAATCAATTTTGATACTATAAATATTGTTCATAATTAGGTATACACCAAATCTGAATCATTAAAACGAGACTCTAAATAATACCAATTGTTTTTGTATATTATCTTAACGGTTTTCGATAATCAGTTGATCAACTAACTGTTTTCACTTGAAATTTATTGTTATAACAGTTTATTTATCTTGGCGTTTTTAAGCATCACTTCAGTATAAACAATTGAAGTCAAATTCACTTTGAAAATACAAAGATGATAAACTCGTAAATGTTGATAGCCTAAACAATTTAGATTGAAAATTATGATCGACTTTTAATTGACTTTCTTTTTACCTAAGCATCAGATTCTAATCATATCTCTTTCTAATGATTAATCAATTAGACGAAGGAAAAGTGACCTGATCAATAGAATCCTCTAAATCGCTTAACTTGATTGATCTAAGTTTCAAATGATTTGATGATAAATCAAATGAAATCCATGAGATAAATTTAATCGAAAACTTTTTGACCAATTTTTTCAATTTAATCTGTTCAATTTTCAATGACAATTAAGAACTCATTTAGATAAAGATCTTTATCTAGCTGATAATCTAATAAATTTGACCTATTAATCAATCAATTGGTCTGAACGAGATAATCAGTTTTAACTCTTTGAGTCCACTAAAGGTAGAAAATGATTGACAAGAGATGAAGACAATCAAAATGATTAAGATGATGGAGATGAAAGCAGATAAGATGAAGACAAATGAAAGAGGAAATGAAGATTAACGGGAAGTGAAGAAATGATTGCGTATGAAAAGATTAGAGATAATCAAGTGAAGATTAATATTCAATCACATGAGAGATTAAATGGTAAATCGAGAAAATATTATGTTGTCTAGAAGTGAGTTCGTGTTTTCAACTTTACTGTTTGTTGTTTTCGTACCAACGGACATTTTCACCCGTAACCAAGGTTGTGACCCAAGTACAGGTCAATGTGCGTGTAAATTGAATGTGATCGGTCGCGATTGTAACTCATGTGCCAAGAATCATTATGGATTAGAGTTATTCGAAGACGGATGTCGACCTTGCAACTGTGACCCTGGTGGATCTTATAGTTTACAATGTGACATGAGAACTGGACAATGTCCTTGTCGTCGAAATGTAACCGGTCAAAGATGTGACACAATTGAATCAGGATTTTTTGTTCCATCTCTTGATGCAATTATTTACGAAGCAGAAAAAGCTGATCACTCAAATAATGTTATTCCAATGACGATGCCTGTGGTTCCAAGTGAACAGAAAATATGGACTGGTGATGGTTTCGTCCGTGCCTACGAAAAATCCTTCATTAATTTTACAATTAACGTTCCCTATCCAGCACGTTATGATATAATCATCAGGTATCAACCTTCTGAGTTCATTTGGAGCGAAGGAACCATTCTAGTCGAACCTTTAGCGAGAGAAGGTCACCCTAACCCTGGAAATCGGTGCGGAAAAAAATTCGTTTATGGTAAACAAACATTCCAATTTCAACCTCATAGCTATTACACTACAATTGGCTTTTATTGTTTTGATAGCGGGGAAAAGTATCGGGTTATAATTGATATTGGCTTATGGAATGGAGGTTATGAGAATTCATCAATTTCTATTGACTCGATTGTATTGATTCCCCTTATTGGCGATATCGAATTGTTTGCTGATCCATCAAAAAAACTTCTACGCGAAGAGTACAGAAGAGGCCGATGTGCGGAATACTTGTACACGATGTTAGGCTATTCTATACCAGATCAATGTAAACGATATTACCAATCAATGGCTCTTGCGATGTACGATGGAGCTCAATCATGTTACTGTGACGGAACTGGATCAAAGTCGACAATTTGTTCACCTCTTGGTGGTAAATGTGACTGTCAAAGTAATATTGTTGGTCGTCGGTGTGATTCTTGTGCCTTGGGTTTCTATCAATTCAGTCGTGAAGGTTGTTTACCTTGTGATTGTCACTCTTCGGGCTCAGAAAATTTCAACTGTGACATAAACTCAGGTCAATGTAAATGTGGACCCAAAACTTATGGCCGCCAATGTGATGAATGTCAACCTGGTTTCTGGAATTATCCTCAATGTGATGAGAGATGTGATTGTAATGGCCATGCAAAAATTTGTGATTCTAAAACAGGAGCTTGTCGAGATTGTCTCGACTTTACTGGTGGTCATCGATGTGAAAAGTGTGTCAAAGGCTATTATGGTAATCCATTGAAAGGAATCGATATTCCTTGTAAACCTTGTCCATGTCCAGGTATTCCTGAGTCTGGTAATTTCCACGCTGAATCATGTCAACTTGACCCAATGACGAACTCGCCTCGATGCTATTGTAAGATTGGCTACATTGGTGAAAGATGTGATCAATGTGATGAAAATTATTTCGTCTCCGACACTCCGATAATCAGTGAAACAGGAACTCTCGAGATCAACAAATGTCTTCCATGTAATTGTAGTAATAACATTGACATTTCGACTCCAGGTAATTGTGATCGACGAACTGGTGCTTGTCTCAAGTGTTTATACAACACTGAAGGAGATCATTGTGAACGATGTCAAAAAGGTTTCTTTGGAAATGCCTCGGACACTCCATGTAAAAAGTGTGTTTGTTCAGCTGTGGGTACGCAAATAACAGAAGAGATTTGTGACCATGTATCTGGACAATGTCCATGTTTACCCAATGTCGTTGGTACTCGATGTGATAAATGTGAAATAAATCATGGGAATATAAAATCGGGCATTGGTTGTTTTCCATGTGATTGTAACCCTCGTGGTTCATTCAATTTGAGTTGTTCTATGCTTGATGGTCAATGTTCATGTCGACCGGGACATGGAGGATTAAAGTGTAACGAATGTCAACCTAATCATTGGGGTGACCCAAAAATCATGTGTTATCCATGTGAATGTGATCCAACTGTATCATCGAGTCTACAATGTAATAAACACGATGGTTCTTGTGTTTGTCTCAAGGGGTTTTCTGGTAAAAAGTGCGATCAATGTGCTCGTGGTTACTGCGGAAGTGCACCAATATGTGAAGCATGTGAAGTTCGTTTCGAGAAATGGGACTGGACTATTCAACAATTGCGAAACGAAACATCGAGCTTGATTAGCAGAGCTATGAAAATTAAATTGATTGAGAATCAATTGGCTACTGCTGAGAATTTGATTCCTTCCAGACTATCTATAAATGAATTCGTTGGCGATCTTCAAAATATAAGTAATCTGCTGATTGAAAATATTTCGTTGGTGGAAAAAAATATCGAAACGATTGTCCAACAAACAGCTCAAGCCAATTCCCGTCTCGATAAAATTGATTTGTTCACCAAAGATTTGGAAGAACTGAGTTGCTCATTCAAAGAAGATACAATAGTGGCTTATGGTGTTCGTAGTAGACTTAATCAATCGAAAGTCGCTGCTGAAAGAGCCTCGATTGCAGATAAACGTGTTGGCAATTTACTCTATTCGTCTGAAAGCTTACGAGATTCAACACAATATTTTCTTGGTCTGATTAGGTATGACCACGAAAAATCAATGGAAGACAATCGAGGATCGTTAGTTATGATTTCAAGAAGTATTCAAGATCTTAAACATAATATTTCTGACATCAACAAAGTGATCTGCGGTAACAGATCAACGATCGACGAGTGTGGTTACGTTTGTGGTGGGATAGGATGTGCAAAGTGTGGAGATATTTCTTGTGATGCAGCGACATCTAAAGCTCGATCAGCGTTGAATTATGGTCAAGATACGGAGAAAAAGTTGAAAGAACTTCGAAAAAAAGGAAAAAAGGAAATGAGAAACATCGAGGAAGCTCGAAGACGAAGTGACGAAGCTCTTAGAGAAGCACAAAGAGCTTATGAGCGAGCAGTTGCAACCAAGAACAATTCAGAAGCAATGAACAAAAAAATCGAAGAATTTTTCAGTCCAATCAACGAATTCGTGGAAAAATCAACGACACCATCAGAGATCAGAACCATGGCCGAAAATTGTTTAGAAATCAAAATTTTACTTACTCCTGATGATATTAATAATATAGTAAAGGAAATTACTTCCGTCTCTAATGGTATTAACGACGAGGACTTTTCAAGAGCCGAGGCCGTTTTTAGATATGCTAAAGATCTTGAGGCCGATATCAATGAGACTCTAAACAACATGAACAAGGCGCTTTTTAGATCAACGGAAGTGTCAAATATTCTGAAAGCCGCTCAAGAAGATGAAGAAAAATCTGCTGATTTAATCAAATGCGCCAGGGCTGAGGTGCAAGACGATTTTACTGAATTAAAGATAATTTTAAATAAAATTGATCATAACACTTCAGTCATTCAGGAAAAAATCGACAAGTTACCCGAGAGATTCGAGCGATTGTTTAAACCCCGATATTGGAGGGACATTAGAGTTTTCATTGCGAACGCACAGAGAATAGCGAGAGAGGAAACGCCAGAATTGATAATCATCAAAGAAAAATTGGAGGAAAAGTACAGTAAATACAAAAGACTTAAGGACGAAACGCCCGATTTGATCGAAGATAGACTTATCTTCGCGGCTGATATGCATTATCGCTCGAAAAAACTTGCAGAATTCGTAAATACATTGATAATAATCGAAGAAGATATAGAGAACTTATCCAATTTATTTGAAAGTTCATTGAGCACACATGAAGTCGAAATCAAGAAATTAAAAGTCGAATTGCAAGGTTCTATGAAAATAGTTGAAACTCGATGGAATTTTCTTGAAAAATGTCCACTTCGATGAGAACACGAAAGAAAAATGGAGCAACAATAGACCAACGAAAATGATTTCCAATCAATTTATTAATAACGAAAATCGTTTAATTATAAGTATAATTGAATCAATGTTCCCAGTTGATGTTCAGAGAGATTCTGTTTTTGTTTGTTTGTTTGTTTGTTTGTTTCTGTAAAAATTGTTTACTCATCATTAATAATGAATTTGTTAATAAAATGATATAATCATCTTAATTAGATTGATTAATTAAATGGATTGGAATTATTGAGAAATAATTGAATAGATTGTTTCTCGTGCATTAAAAAGGTAAAATACAAGATAAATGTTATGGGGAAAAAATTAGGTGATTATTGATTGAATCAATTAGTTGATTGTTTCAATGTTTTGATTATCAGCAAGCACTTGCTGTTAATTGTCTTACTCTTCGTGCATTACAATTTTGACATAAAATATGATCATCCAAAGGATAACAACCTCGTCCTTCAGCCTGTGAGGACAAAAGGAGGCCACAATCTTCACATTTGTAACACGAAACGTGAAAGTTACGATCAAGAGCCACAGCCCGAACTGTATTTGGCTGATTTGGTTCCGGAACTATCGGTTTATGACAAACACTACACCTTGGAGCAAACTTTTTGGTAAAATCTTCAATACAATGGATCCTGTTGGCATTATCGACGGTAAAAGGTATTCCCTCCAAACCTTTACCACAAACTGTACAAGTGAAACACTCAGCATGATAGGGTTTACCTGTTGCTCGCAAGATCCGATCCAAAATTGGCCTATTACAGACGCAACATTTTTCCAAAGTGTTTAGATAATCACTTTCACAATAAGGTCTACCTGCCAGAGCATAAAAGGCCAACCCTGAAAGTTGACGATTACAAACGCTACAAGTGAAACACCGAATGTGGTAAACTTGATCCATGGCGGTGCATCCTGTGCCCTCGCTCAGAACAGCGTCTCCACATTTATGGCATAAGCCTACAACCGATGGAGTCGCCGTTTTGTCAAGATAATTTAAATGATCCACTTTAACTAAAAGAAAAAAGGAGAGAGGACAAAAATTACTAAAAAAAACAGAGAAACAACCAAACTGTCAAAAGAACAAATGTAAAAATTTCTCTCTCTCTCTCTCTCTTGTTTTGATTTCCTTTTGGTCAACAAAACAAAAAAAAAGCCACAACACAAAATCCGTTGACTGTTTCAACACAATATCATTAATAGTTAGACACAAATAAGCAAACAATCAACACTGGACAATATCGATGATAGATAGAAGACAAAAGTTTAATAAAGACACAAATTGATAATAGAAAATTAAGTTAATTAAAAGGTAAACAAATTGGACTTTCATTAACCTCCGACAATTAAAACTCTTGAAGCGCATTTCAAGTCCCGCCCACGAACTCAAACAACAGAAACTTTTTTTTTTTATTCTTCGAGCGCTTTTTTCAAACGAGTAACTTTTTTATTCTTTTCAACAATTAAGTTTATTTTTGTGTTAATTGATTAAATCATTGGAATTTGATTTGGGTTTTTGTTTTATTTATTAAGTCGGTTTGTTAGTGGATGTCAACTTTTGTTTTTGCTCCTTCGATTATTGTTTTGCTGCTTTTGCTCTTGTTTTAAGCCTTTTGAAGATTCGGTTTTTGTTTAACTTGTTTATCTTATCATAATTAATTAATAATAATACAATAATTATTGATTGGTTATGATTACAATTATATATGATAGTGATTGATTGATGATGACTTGAGGAAGAAAAAAATGAGAAGAAAAAAACAGAGTTAATTTTTGATAATGTAATGAAAATGTGATGATGTAAATATGATTATAAGATGTTGATGATGTTGTGGTTTGTGTGTATGATTAGGTGATAAAATTGATATTAAAAATGATAATGGAAGAATTGAAGATCGTCATTGATTAGTTAATTTTCTTTTCTGATTCAGATTAAAGTATTTGATTTTAAAGATTATTCCTGATACAGGCTTAAATCTGCGAGGAAAATGTGACTAATGGTACAGTCACCGGGCTAGAGAGAGAGAGAGAGAGAGAAACAATAATTAAAATAATATTCGAAAGAAAAAAAATTATTTAAAATTACGGAAAATTAACTTACATCAGTTGTAACACCAACAACGGCATCAGCGTGACCATAAAACTCCTCTTTAAGTGAGATGACGATACATTGAGTATCTGATTCTGTTTTTTCACGAATAAATCGAGCAACCTGAAAGGAGATAATTGGAAAATTGGAATTTAATTTAATCACATTAATAAGAGGTAAAGAATTGATTGAATTACCTTTCCAATGTTCGTATTGTCAAGGGCAGCGTCGATCTCATCGAGAACAAAAAATGGTGCTGGTTTATGGGAATGAATAGCAAATAAAAGGGCAAGAGCGGCGACAGTTTTTTCACCACCACTAAGGTTACTCATCGGTTGAAATCTTTTACCAGGAGCGACACAATTATAATTAATACCTTCCAGATAAGGTTCTTCCGGATTTTCGGGAACAAGAAAAGCTTGGGCACTTTGGTTGGAGGTTAATGATTTATAAATACTATCAACTCGAGCTGCAACAGCCTCGAAACAAGTATTAAAGGTATTTAAACGTTGTCTTTTAACACTTTCGAAATTTTGTTTGGCTCTTTTAGAACCTTCTCTCAGACTGTTCAGTTCGCTGTCCGTTTCACGTAATCGCTCTCTCACATCATCAAGCCTGCGAAAAGAAAAGAAAAGAAAAGTTATAAATTCTTTTTTCTTCCCAAACGGTTAATCAAACTATTGTTGATGGACTTACTTATCGATCGCTCTCATGTTCGGTGCTTGAATTTTTCTCAAAGTTTCCTTTTTATGGTTTATTTCTGTTAACATATCAGCTTCTTTCTTCTTGATTTGCTCAGGCTCATCAATCTAAAATAAAGATAAAGAAAAATTTACTCTCATGGTTGACCTATTTTACCGATGGAATTTGTGAGAAAATGAAAAAAAAGTTCTTACATGTTTGAGACTGTTTTTTAATGTTGAGTAATCTGGAATAATTGTTGAGTCGTGATCATATGATCGTTGAGTAGATGGAGCTCCTTCATCGTCGAAATCATCATCATCACCTGCGGTTCCATTGGCTGTTCCATTGGCAGTACTTTGACTACCATTACGATCTTTAGAGGTTATTGCACCTAAAGAACCGCTAACCAAAGGTAAGTCTATACACTCGAGTTTACAGGTTGTTAAGACTGCGTGACGATCAGCTTTTTTTGATTCTAATCGACATTCAAGAGCCATAAGTGATTTTTGAATTGTACTGATCTCTTTTTGAACACTGGCTAAAGCACGTTTATCCTCTGATATTGTATCTTCCACTTTGTCACATTCGGTTTTCTTTTGGATTTTTTCCGTTTTTAATTCTTCCACTCGATCCATTTCCTCTTCGATGGCTTTCATTTCTCGCTTCTCGGTTGCTCGAGCATCTTCAAGATTTTTTTCCTCCATTTGAAGAGCTTTCTCCCAACGTTTAACGTTGTCATAAGTATCTTTACTCTTCTCGTAGGATAACCTGCTAAGAATTGCATTCTTTTCATTATCCAATTGCAGTTTACGATTTGCAAATTCTTGGCTTTCTTGGGTTTGTCTTTCTTCATATTGACGAATATTGGCCACTCCAAGTTCTTTACAAAAAGCCTCAAATATTTCATCTTCCACAGAATTCATGGCTGTCCTGATTTCGTTTATTTCAACCTCACGGGAGGCCATAGATTCTTTAAGCTCAATCATTTCAGGATTTTCTCTTTGTAATTTCTTTTCATTTTCACTGATCTCTTTTTTAATCTCATCGTTTCGCTTTTCAGCTGTTGTCATATCGATCTTACAATAACGTAAACGTGTCTCCAATCCTTTAATTTGACTTTGAATCACCATAAGATCACTTTCTTTACGTGTTTTCTTTAATTGCTCCTTCAGCTCTTCTGCAAGCTTTTCTTTCTCATATTTAAGCTTGTGAACCTCTTTCTCGTCCCATCGACGAGCTCGTCTTTCCAATTCAGCTGAACCACCAGAAATGAAACCACATTTTTGATAAAAGGTACCATCTAAAGCGACAGCATCATAACGACGACCATCACCAAGATCAAAGGCTACCTGAGCAGCGTCTTCGGGTGTCTCACACACTAATGCATTGTTGGTTGCAAAAAGAACGGCTCTGTCAATCTGTGGTGGATCATATTTGAGTACATCATAAATAAGTCGTACACCTTTTGGACTTTGAATGTTTCTAAGACGCTCTTTAAGTGGCTTAGCAGCAATATAATCCAATGGTAAGAATGTTTCAGGTTCCATCATTTGATCTTTAAGATATTGAATACATCGACGAGCAGTTTCTTCCTTATCGATAACAATCGCTTCCATATGTTTACCCATGACTCGAGTAATGGCCATATTATAACGCTTGTGAATTGGTTTACACAGATTTAACATACGATCATAAACACCAGGATAAAGTTTCTTAAGATGATCAACAACTTCAGCTTTTTTCCTTCTTCTTTCATCTTCATGTCGATCCACTTTGGCATCTCCCAGCTCGCCGTTAATTTGTTCTAATTTTCTGTTGATAGTAGTAACTCTTTCCTTGGCAAATCGGACAATCTCGTCGTTTTCTTGCTCCTTTTTTCTCAATTCGATGAGACTTTGTTCACTAATGGAGATATTATCCTTGAGTTTATCAATTCTTTTCATATTCTCTTCAAGCTCATTCTGTAAAACTCGGATTCTCGATTGGATCTGTTGTTGATCTCTCTGTTCCTGCTCATATTTGTCAGAATCTGCTTTCTGATTTCGTTCTAAAGAATCCAGATCATTAAGATACTTGGATGATAATCGGGTGGCTTCTTCTTTTAATCGGTTGTATTCATGTCTTTGAGATTCTTCAAGAACAATTTCTCGACTTTTACCATCATCTTCGGCTTTCATCTCCTTTTCAAATTCAGCGATTCGTTCATTCACTTTTTCCAATTCTTTGGTCAATTCCATTATTGCCTCTTGATGATTTTCATCAGCTTTTTTGGCGGCAGCTAATGATTTCTTAGCTGTTTGAAGTTTCTTCTCAATATGTGAGGCATTTTCTTTTGCTTTGATGTAAGCTGGTCGTTTCTTGTTCAAATTTAACTCAACATCACGAATTTGTTTGTCAATATTGGCCAAAGTTTTAGTTATTTTGTTGAGATTTTGTCTTTTACCCTTAATCTCTTCCTCTACTTTTTCCTTCTTCCTGACCTGTACATCTAAATCATCTCTTTTCTTTTTCAGATCAGCTTGTAGAACATCAATGTCTTTTTGAATATGATACAATTTGAAAAGTTGCTGGTTCACTAATAAAATGTGTAATTCCTCCTTCAATGTTTGATATCTTTTGGCTTCATTAATCTCGCCTTGAGCTTCCTTCTTTTCAGCAGCAATACCCTTCTTCTTTACATACATATGATGTAATTCCTCTTCACTACGATCCATTGTAGTCTAAAAAAATTGACAGAACAATAAAAGAACCAAAGATAAGTTAATAAACCAGATGAAGATAATAGAAAAACATATGATAACCATCATAAAAATAGGAGAAAAATAAACAGAACAAAACAAAAAAAAAGGAACACAAGTCTTACCTTCTCATTGATATAAGACTCCTTATATTCATTAGAATGAGAAATCTCCTCAAACAGAGCAGTTATTTCCCTTGGATTTTTCATAGCAATTGATTCAACTGCACCTTGATAGACGAGAAAATTTCTCGCCTTCACATTGATACCAAGGGTCTCCAATCTTTTGGCATAATCTTGCTTTGACACTGGATTATTGTCAATCTTATAATCTGAGCTGGCTCCTTGGACATACCTACAAAACCTTGTCTGTCGTCCACTCTCGGAGTCTTCATAAACCAGGGTAACCGAGGCTGAATTTGATACTGGCCGACCAATTGAAGCACCATGAATAAGTTCGGATAATTTTTTCACTCTCAGATTAGATGCTTTCTCACCAAGAACAAAACTAATTGCATCCATAAAATTACTTTTACCACTTCCATTGGGTCCAATAACCGCGGTAAAAGGTTTCAATGGGCCAACCTTTTGTTGTCCCTTATAAGACTTGAAATTTTCAAGCTCAATAAATTTTAGATAACCTGGCATGGTGAACAATAATTATCTACATGGAGTAACAAATAAATTACATCAATTTAAAAGGTCACAATTATATGGAATTAAAGATTTAGTTAGAAATTGAAATTTAATTACCAGAAGTAAGAATTCATTTTAACCAGAAAAAAAGAAATGAAGGAAAAATAGAAAAGCGCAACCAGGGCCATCTTACGTTTACAAAACGAACTTCGAATAAAGAAAAAAATTTTTTCTATTCTTCATCTTTTTTCTCGGACTTCTTGCTTTCTCTTTAAAACAACAACAACAATTGACCGATAATTTAATTGACTCTTAATTCTAAATCTAAAAGGGAATTTTTCTTTTATTCTATTCGAGAGATTAATTAATTGTCAACAATTCTATTAATTAAACTGATAAAATTTAGATCAAAGCGAGAAAATAAATGTTTTCTTAAAAAACATCTCGGTGATTTGTTTACAAAACGACAAAAATTGATTTTCACTTTTTTTAGTGTTTTAATTAACCGACGATAATTTGATTCGCAGAATTAAACGTAAATCAAATTATTTGATCTTCTATCGTAAAGGGACAATGTGCTGTTTCGGAATCATTCCCATTAATCGTTATTAACTGTGTGGCCTTTGTAAAACAAAGCAAAACCCAATTTGCTTTTAACTGTTGATGTAAACGTTTATTTGTGATTGTACCAATTAACCAGAGATCCATTGGGGAATAATTAATTTTGTTTATCAAATGGGTACCCTTGGTAAATTGAGTGAAGAAGCTTTAACTCGTCCACCCGAGGAAGTTTTCGATATAATTTGTAAATTAGGTGAAGGTTCATATGGAGCAGTTTACAAAGCTCTACACAAGGAATCTGGACAAGTTTTAGCAATCAAACAAGTGCCTGTTGAAAGTGATCTTGGAGAGATAATTAAAGAAATATTTATCATGCAACAATGTGATTCACCTTATGTGGTAAAATACTATGGAAGTTATTTCAAAGGTAAAAGCCAAGGAAGTGATCTATGGATTGTGATGGAGTATTGTGGAGGTGGAAGTGTAAGCGATATAATGAGATTGAGAAAAAAAACTCTTTCAGAGGAAGAAATCGCCACCATATTGAAAGACACTCTTCTTGGTTTAGAGTATCTTCATGCTCGTCGTAAGATTCATCGAGATATAAAAGCAGGTAATATCCTTTTAAACAGCGAAGGACATGCCAAGTTAGCCGATTTCGGTGTAGCAGGTCAACTTACCGATACAATGGCTAAGCGTAACACCGTAATTGGGACACCATTTTGGATGGCACCTGAGGTTATCCAAGAGATCGGTTATGATTGTTTAGCTGATATTTGGTCACTTGGAGTGACAGCTCTTGAAATGGCTGAAGGTAAACCACCTTATGGAGATATTCATCCGATGAGAGCCATTTTCATGATCCCAACTAAACCGCCGCCGTCTTTTCGTGACCCTGATCGTTGGTCAACTGAATTTATTGATTTTGTTTCACGTTGTTTGGTAAAAAATCCAGAACATCGAGCCTCAGCAAGTAGTTTACTTCAGCACGAGTTTATTAATAAAGCTTTACCGGTTAGCACATTAATCCATATGATACAAGAAGCCAATATGATTCAAAAAGAGCAATTTAAACAAGGTTGGATCGGAGATGAAGATATTAATTCATCAACTATGGTTCCAAGTTTGAACAGTCAAACACTTAAAGTGACACCTTATGAAACAGCTAATGACACAAGTCAAGGTGTTAACGCTAAATCAGCGACAGTTAAAACGATGGCAACAGTTTCCGATGTTGAATCAAATCTTGGAACATTAATTATCAATGATAAAGCGGACGACGATTATAACGATCGGACATTAAAACCCTCTTTTATGCAACACTTTGAAAGAAATCGAGAACAGCAACAATTACAATTACAATTGCAACAACTTCAACCATCGCCCCAACCACAAGCTCAACTTCCGCTTCATTTACCTCCTCAATCACCATCTCAAATTAATCATCAAATTCAACTTCAATCTCCACCACTACTACAGCCACAATTACAACAACATCAACAACCTTCCCAATATCAACCATTATCTCGATCAATTTTATTAGAAAGTGATTTTGATTTTATTAGATTTTTGTCCAACGAAGAGCTTCCTAAACGAATAACTAATCTTGACTTCGAAATGGAAAATGAAATTGAAAAACTTAGACATCGATACGCAGCTAAAAGACAAAGGATCCTCGATGCTATTGAAACGAAAAGAAAATGTCAAAATCAACAACAAAATTTCTGATAAAAGCTCAAATTAATCCTCAGAATTTTCTCCAAATAATCAATCTGAGAATATTTGAGAGACAATTAAATCAAACATCGATTCGTCCATCAATTAATTTACACTTTTAATTATCCAATAGACACTATTGCCTTGAACAAATTGTTTCAACTTTTATATTAATCATATTAATTAACGAAAAGAGCAAATGTATCTTAATAAACTGATCTTTAATTATTCTATAATCTTTCATTTATCTGACAAATTAATTACCAACAATTAGACTTTCGTTTTAACCAATGATCAGTAAAACATTCAGAAGTAAAAAGTAAAATTATTCAAAGTCTAAATATGTTTATCTTTTTCTGGTCTGTTCTTGTTTCCAATTGAATCTTTTAATTGTCATTCTTTTAATTATTGTTGATTGGTTTTTCTTTTTCTTTTGTTTGATTTGTTTAATTGGATTTAGAATTTGGTTAATATTTGATTTATGCTTTCTACTTTTTTCTCTTTTTCTTTCCAAAGGTTTTCATCTGTAATTTTAGCTACGATTTTATTTGTATGTGAATAACAACAAATAAGAAGAAGACAAATCGATACAAATTATGTGACTAACTCGTTCTGTTTGATTCCCGCCTTTAAATCTTGAGGTAAAGATGGAGTTTCTTTATCTTCAAGTGTCACTAATTAACTTTTACCTTGAAAGATGGAACAATTTTGATTTATGTTTAATTCTTTTTTTTCGATCATTTTAAATGATTATTTTTGTTTTCTTTAATCTTGTATTATCTTCTCATCTTTCATATTTCGTTGAATCATTGGCCTGTTGGTGTTTCTGTCATTTGAAATTTAATCTAATTTCTTGACTTATTTGTGAAAAATTGAGATATTTTTGGATCAATTTTGATCATTTGATTGGCATGAAAACAAAGAGACATTTGCCTATTATGGTTCGAAATGGCGTTCATAAAAAAATCGAGAAGAAAAAGGAGAGAGTTTAGGTTTTGTTACCAAAATTTATCATTTTTTCTTTTTCGAATTAATTAGTTGAGTGTTTAAAGAATCAATTTCAATTTAGCAAAAGGTAAGAGAGATAATTAAGAGAAAATCACAGATTTTTTACAAAGAATTTATGTTAACAATGTATCATCAAATTGTTCTTCTTTAGGTTCTGGTTGATTAATAATTTTCTTCAATGTTTTACTGATACATTCTTGGAGAACCTCTTTTGGCCCCCGATCCAAGGCATTCACTAATTGTTGGGCACATTCATCACCCGATCGCAGTTTCAAAACGGTAACCAAAGCTTGTTCTGAATTGGATCGAACTGCTGTGTTTTTTTCCTTCGTTCCCATCACTAGTAAAGGTACCAAAGACTTTAAAAAGGCCAAAGGAAATGGACATGAGATATTCTTGGTCAAGAAGATTGATGAATTGGCGACTGTTTGTTTAACTTCGTTACTGGCATGATTCATACACTAAAGAAAAAGTAATAAGAAAGGAGATTAATCGTTTGTCACTTGAAATGGAAAAAGAATAAAGAAAAGATGTCAACAATAATTACCCGAGCAAAAGCTGAGACCAATTGTTGAGGTAACTGTTCCTCTTTAGATATTTTGTGAACAAACACATAGGCACATGATTTAACTCCATTACAAACGACTGGAATTCTATCGGCACCTAATTGAGCAAGAATATGTTTAAATAATTTCTCTTCCCATTCAGGAATCAACATTCTTCCAGGTGCTTCCTTGAGGGCGATTCGTAAAGCCACCGATTGACCATGACGACGATTCCAATACGAGGCTGGTTCATCTTCAATTAGATGATCTCGAGCAACGTTTTCTAACTCAGCGTCAGATAAACATTTACAAAGAGTTCCTAGACAAGAAGCGGCTGAATTACGGACATTATCGTTAATATTATCCAATAAAGAGGTTGTTGTGGCCACGATTCCAAGTCGAACATTTTCTGTGATCTTTTCTCCCGCTTTCATTATACCAAGACGAAGAGCATACAACATTGTTTCTCTTAGTGATTGGTCATCACCACCAGTAAACGATTTTATGCTATTGTGAATTTCAGCAAATACTGGATCACAACGAGGATGAATAGCAATTAAATGACTCATTGCATTGGCAGCTCTCAATCTAACAACTCGATTACTGTCACCTAAAGATTTTAGGAAAGTTTGTTGAAGTTGAGGGATAAATGGACGTAAAAATGATCCCGCTTTAGCGAGTAGAAGTGACAATGTATCCAAAACGGAAACTTTAACATTGGATGAATAACGATCACCCAAAATTCTGATTAATGGACCCGCAATGTTAACAACTGACGATTTTAAGGCATCTGGACTAGTTAATTGAATCACTTCTGATAAACCATCAGCAGCCTGTTCTTTTTGCTCAGGATTACCATTGAGAATGGCCTCTCGAAATATCGGTAAAATTGGTGAAATTCCTCTTGCTAAACAGAAACCAGGAAGTAAACTCGAACCTTTCAGATCACTGGCTGCGTGACGAACGGCAGAACGAACTTCACCAAGACAATCAATTTGCTCCTTAGTGTCTAAGCTTTTGGTAACCGAAGCAAAAGCTTCCCAACTTGATTGTAAAACTTGTTCATTAGTATCGGTGAAAAGAAAAATTAAACCTCGAATCAATTGAGGAACCAAAGATGAGAAAGCGGCCTTAGTTTGATGACAATAAACGGATAATAAGCGAATTGCAGCCCGACGAACAGCCGGTGAATCATGTCGAGCAGATTCTAATAGACTATCAATAATTGTTCGAGTTCCTTGTTCATCAACTACAGATAAAATAACCGATTGACAATATTCCAATTCCTGTTAAATCAAAGTGAAAAGAAAATTATTAATCGATAAGGAACAAACAAAAGATTCAATTAATCCGATTAATTACCTGTTTCTCATTATGTGTATCCAGTGATTTACTTAATGACACAAGAAGAGCCGGTAAAATTTTACCTAAATGTTTTGAAAGTGAATCACCAGCAACAGTTGCTAATAATGACAGAGCCCGAGTATTGACAGGAGGAACAATTAACTACAAAGAAAGTGAAACAAGATTCGAAATTGAAAAGTGACGTATGAATAGAAACCAATCGAAATGGTAACTTACCTGTGGAACTAAATAAGGAAGAACAACGCGACTTTTAATCGCCATTACTTGACGAAGACCATCTAATGTAAACTCTCCAACGACTGGATCACCGAGTTGATTTAATAGCGGTGGTAAAATCTCGTCAAGGGCCCGTGAACCAACCGCTGCATGTAGACTATCAAATGTTTTGGCCGCCGCTTGACGCACTTCGGGCAAAGGATCGTACAAAGCTTTGGTGACCGTGGGCACCAACGAGTCAACAAAAGCTTGAACCATTTCTCGACTAGTTGCAGACATAATTTCACTCAAACCGATGCAAACACCTTGTCGCTGATCGGCTCTGTCTGATTTGAGACCTTGCTCAAGGATTGGTATTATTTCCGGTAAAACACGTTCACCAAGCTTTTTAACCAGGTCACCCAAAGTTCGAGCAGCAATTTTTTGTTTATCATAACAATTTGAAGCTAAACAGCCCAAAAGTAAAAGGAAAAGGGTTGGCATAATTTCCTTAAGTGTTTTCGGTGTATTTGAAACAATTACTTTCCAAACATGTAAAGCAGCCTGACGAACGGCTGGTGAAACATCACAACGGCCCATGTAAAGTCCAGAAATGACACGATTTCGTCTTTCCACTCCAAGGCAACTGATGATTGCTTTATATGAGTTCTCAGTTCCAAAGTTATCATCTTCATTAGCTGTTTCAGTTGTCATTTTACCGGAAACACCCGATATCTTGTAAAGGAGATCACCCAACAGTTGGACTGAAGAGTAACGAATCCTCCAGTTTTCATCGAAAAGACCTTGTTCGAGTTGAGGAAGAAGCAATTGAATCGAAGTGTCAGCATACATGTTAACGATTCGTTGACCTGCTTTGAGTGCAGTTTCTCGAACGAATTCACTTTCATCGGCAAGTGCTTTCAAAACTGGATTAATTATCTTATCAATATAAGGAATAAAATCTTGGGTGAAAACCATAGGTAGATAAATGAACAACATAATGTAACCATCTTTTGTATGAGGAGGGATATCGTTGCGCTCTGACATTGTGATGATTTCGGGCATCAAAAGTTCAAGTTTGTCAAGACCTAATCCACCCATTACCTCAGCCAAACCTTGAGCTGCTCCTGAACGGTCGACAGATGATCCATCTGAGGTGAGAGTGGCCATTAACCAAGGCATTAATTGATCTAGAACATCTTCGCCCATCCCCTTGACCATAGCACCTAAAGCACGAGCAGTAGCGGCACGAACCTCTGGATCTGGATCGAGAAGTGACTGCTTGAGACCGGGAATAATTGACGGAAGGTATGGTGACAGATCTTTTTGATCAGTCAACGAATACATATTTCCAATAATTTGAGCAGCCATTTTACGAGTTTCTGTAGATCGATCTTGAAACGCTCTTTGAGTGACCGGCATAATGAGAGCCAGTGAAGGAGCATCAATAAAATGAACAAATTTAGTAATCAACATGGTAGTTAAACATTTATGCGTTTTGTTGGAAGGATCTTGAAGTGCCTCCAAAAGGATTGGTACGATAGACTGAATCTCAGGATTTCGGATAACAGAACCGATCTGTTTAAGCGCCTGTTCACCTGCTTGTTGGACTTTAGGGTGAGAATCAGAAAGAACAGCCATCAATTTGGGAACGATTGATGGAAGACACGAAGATAATTGTTTGGGTGCACAAAATGCCATAGCTCCAAGAAGTTCAATTGATCCTGTTTTGGTTCGCCATGAATCTTGATCCAAAGCATCAAGAAGTGAAGGTAAAACCAATTTAACACCATGGGCACTTAATTTGGTCATGAAAGCCTTAGCAGTATCATCGGTCGCTTTTCTAACCTTGGTACTTGCATCGCCAAAACAAAGTAAAAGATTTGGTAAAATGTGTATAATGTAAGGTTCAAAAAGACGACCCAACATGACACAAAGACGTTCAAAGGCAAACAAAGCGCCTTCTCGATGATTGGCGTTTTTCTTGCTTGTTATTGCTTCCGTTAATGTTTCCATGATTCCAAGTTGTTTTAATGATAAAATACCCAAACCTTTAACAATACCAGCGATACCATGAGCCGCACCTCTACGTTCACCATGTTTATCTGAATCCAAAAGTAATTGTAACAGCTTTTGAACAATTACCGGAGCCTCGTCTTTAAAAGCTGGAATCAGGGGAGGTAAACAATTAGCCACAGCTTCTTGGACAAGTTCTGAAGGTGTTGACAGAGTTTCAATCAATTTAACTACTATTGGTTTAACCTTAGTATCATCTGTTTCCAAATGTCGAGCAAGAGTTCCCATTAGGATGACCACACTTCTCTTGACCATACCGTTTGCTGAATTGTCTTGTGATTTGTCCAAATATTTACGAAGAACATTAATCAGTTGTGTCATACAACGTTTACCATGTTTATCAGCAATTGCTATACCAACTTCCAACATTTGACTTTGAACTTGATCATTACGATCACCAAGTGCCAATGGGATTAAAAAGTTAGCCATTTCCATGACCAGTACATCATTAAGGTGACCAGCGATTTTGGTAAAAACAAGACCAGCTCCAAGCCGAGGTTCATAATTATCAACTTGAATTTCCACATTACCACGATTATAAGGATCTTTAACTGGTGCAGGTGGTTTGGCACGTTCCTTATAATAAGCCATTAATTTGTGTACAGTTAATTTAACTTCATTTGGATAAATTGTTAATAGTCCATCCATAGCAGAGGCAATTGATTCTCTTAAATTAGGTCCAGCTTCATTAAGATCTTCAATAATTGCTATACAAAGAACCTGAGATGGTTGAACTTGAACCATTTCCCAAAATTGTTGAGCTTTACCAACCATCTCTTCAACTGGATCGAAACGTACAACCCAACCTCTTTGTCGAACTGCAGCTCGAACTTTAGCTTCTTTTAATGTTCTAAGATAATCAGCAATTAGAATAAGAGAATCAAGTGAAACATTTCGAATACAGTCAGATTCTCTCTTCAATTTTTCCAGATATAAAAGAAGCTCTTCTCTAGCAGGTTTGGCAAAACCTTCCTCGCCCATTGAAGCTTCGGCAATCGATCTAATTGCTGACATAATTAAAGGTTCGAGGTAAGGAATTGGTTCTTCGAGAAAAGTATACAAAGTTTGTAGCGCTTCGAATCTTGGTAAATATTGTGGATTTTTAAGGAAAGCGCTTTCATCTATTTGATCGTATTCGTCAATTGTTGGTTCCTCGAAACGCATCTTTGAATGTTCAATAATTATCTCTAAACATTTCTCGATTATTCTAGGATCTTTTTTATCACATTTAATCAGGTGACCAAAAAGAGGGAAACAATAAGCAAAAGCTGGAGCAGTGAATCTTGTGTATGCAACTGAGGCCAATCGTTTGTCATATTTATCTCTTGATTGTGGTGGGCAAGTTTTCTCATAAATATAGTCAATTAATTGTTCCGTAGCAGTTGAATCATCTTCTTTTAACCATTTCTCATCTATCGGATAATAGGGAGTAAGTGCTCTTAAAATGGCATAACCAATTCGCTTATCAAATCCATAAGGTGAATTGTTGAACAGGAAGGAACAATCGGAAAGAGAGATAAATGCTTTCGAAATGATTTCGGAGCATAATGGAGATTGTAACAGGTTAGTTAGAGATGGAATTACTTTTGATACTCTGAAAGCGGTATGCATTTTATTTCCATCAACCAGGGAATCAAGATAATTAACAGCAATCATTAAATCATCGTGAAGAGTTTGTAAACGAGAGCGAATACTTGATTCCTTTTCTAATTGTGCTTTTTTGGCAGCTATTTGTTTCTCATTAAGAGGTTCCTCTTTGTTTGGATTTTGTTTCTTTCTTTTCGCTTCGATTTCTCTTCGTATTTCAAGATCAGCTAATTGTTCCTTGTAAGAGTAAAGTTTATTCTCTCTTTTTATGTTCTTTGTTTGAGTTTCCTCTTTTAAAGCTTCGATAACACTTTTATCCCATAATTCACCTTCAGGATATTTGAAGATTTCATATTCTTCAACGGTGATTATATTAAGATCAGGATTATTAAGAATTTCAACAGTTTTACTCAAAATTCGGTCCATAAATTGATCAGGAAAATAGCAAACTAAACTTTTTATGCAATTACATTGAAGATCAATATTTTGCTTCTCAGAGTAAATGGATTCACACAAATCACCAGCAATTGAAATGATCATTGATTCAACTTTACTTGGATCGGCGAGTTTCTTAACCAATGTTATCCAAAGTTTGGGTTCAGCTTCGAAAAGCACTGGAACATGAGATGCAGTGAAAGCGGCGACCAAAGTTTTGGCAACAGCATTTTCAGACAATTTACCAGCAATTAAACTTGAACTAAGAATACAGTTTATTAAAGCTGGTATATTGATTGCTCTTTCAGGAGGTGTAACATTGGTTTCAGTTTCCTCTTTAATTGTAATCAATGGCTTCTCATATTTTTCAAAAATCTCTTTGAAACTTGTCATTAATGACGAGAAAAATTCAGTCTCGCACAAATTGTTTAATAAATTGCGACAAACTTTAACTGCTTGTTTACGGACCTCATGCGAATTGGGAGTAACCATCAGATGAACCAAGGGAGTTGTTAATAAACTAGATGAAAAAATTGAACAAATAATCAAATTTAGAGATTGACAGAAATTTTAAATTGTAACCAATCAACTAACCTGATATTATCTTTAACTTTAGACTCATAATTAAGACACATTTGTTCAATGAAAGAAATTAACATAAGTTGAGCCGAGGCGTTTGATTGATTAACAAATTTACCAAGTAGAAAAGGTAATTTATTTAAATCAAGAAGTCCATTCATCGTTGATTTGTATTTTGTTTCTGTAAACGGAAAGCAAGGAAAAAGATGAAACAATTAAACAATTGATTTAGATGATAATCAAAACAATAAATTCTCACCTAATTGTTTGTCTTTACAAAAGGCTCTAATTACAATGACAGCGGCATAAAGACCTTCGGTGACCAGAGGTAACTGAGTGACCGAAGCATTGAAAGCTTTACCAGCTGATGTTGTGAGTAAATCAAGTAAACCATTAACTTGATTAACATTACTATCATTAAAGGCACCATTTAAACAGCCAAAATAAGCACTTTTGGCAAAAGGCTGAGCCGTTTTTGAATTAGCGATCTCCTTGATTCTTGTAATCAAGGGAGTCGGGATTGGACCAACGGTAATCCGATTACACCAGAGTTGCATTTGACTACACCCATGAACGATGGTTCCTTCATGAATTTCAATTTTTAAAAAAGTTAACAATTGTTGACATGCTTGGTCACTTAGTGCAGATGAAGATGGACCCGCTTGGACACTATGGTTACTTAAAGCACCAATACCACTTAGAGCTCCGTATCGTTGGGTGAGAACGGACAATTTACCTTCGGAACCATTTAGAATACCAAAGTAAAGTTTCAATAGTGATTCAATTGCCGTTGAATCTGAACATTGAATCGCTAAATTTTGTGAACCATTTATGGCAATTTTAATGAGATCCTCTTCCTTTGAGATTAGTGAGACACCAATCATCTTACCAAGTTCAACAGCGTAAGGACTCAGGTCGAGGGATAAATTTTTGATCAACTTGGTGACCAATTCCAAGGCAATCTCAGGATTACGAAGAACTGATCTCTGTAAACCAGGTAACAATTTACTTTTAAATTCCTCGTGGTTGATTTGACGTAACACTTGAGAACCTCCTTGGGTTAAAGCGTCAACGGGTAATTTAGTCTTAGAAACGGTTATGTGTTTAAGGAAAAAATCAACAATTATCCCTTTGTAGGTTGATATTAAATCGTTTCGCTTATTTTGTGACAATACTTGAAAAATATAACCCCAAAGGACAAACAGGTAAATACTTGATGAAGGTGTAACTTCAATTTTTGACAATTCCAAGGCATAGTCTTCAATTGGATAGGATGTTGTCCAAAATGATTTGAATAATTTACATGTTTGCACGAGCAGAGATTTACTTTGTGAACCAGAGATGACAAATACTAGAAAACCTTGTAAATCAATTAGATTAACTCTCATCTCTTGATCCATGGCAGTTATGGTTACATTTGAAAGTAAACTTATCCAATGAAAGGCGGATAAACAAATACGAGCCGAAGCAAAATTTGTCTGAATATTACGAGAATCTTTAAAATAATTGACCAAACATTTGACCAAAGCCTTGGAGGTTGATTCAGGGTAAGTTAAGATTAACGATTTAAGAAAATTAATCACCAAAAGTCTAGATTTACGATCCTGGTACCGGATCAATGTTGATGTTAGTAAATCACATACTCTCCTAATAAGTGGACCTGTCAAAAGAAACAAGAAAAGAAAGACAAATTTACAACTGAAAGTGTCACAAGAATATAAAAATGGGAAGAAAAATATTCAACAAATCAGTTGAACAATTAAAAAATTTCCAAAGAAACAAAGAAAAATGGAGAATAGAAAATAATCTTACCCAATGTTGTCTCATTGGAACTGTTGTTTTCCTCTAATAAGACTTTGTGTAGATCAGAAAATAACAATTTTCTCTCCTTTAAACTCGCAGAGTTAATTCGATTAGGTAATGACCGAATAGAATCAAGGCCATTAATCACTTGTGTCATATTTAAATAGTTAATTGTTATCTAATTAGAAGGAACAATCAAACCGAAAACCATTTGTTTTCCTTTTCAATATTTTCACAGTGAGAAAAACGTGGCATCGGATTGGCTGCGTTTGAGTTTTTCTTTTGCTCTTTTAAACCGGTAACCGGGTAATTCAACTGTTCTTAATTTCTAAATGATTAATTTACTTTCTAAATTCTAATAGAACCGAATAGAAATGTTAATTGTTAACATTCAACCGACAATTAAGGTTCTGATGAGTTAAATTCCGTTTTTTTACTTGAATCACATATCCATCAAAGGAAATTTCATTCTAATTTCTTGTTAATTTTTTTGCCGTTTTTTGTTGTATTATCCAAGTTTGATTAACATCCTATGGATTTTTGGATTATCAATATAATCCTAATTTGGAGGAAACAATTAGCTGATTATGAATTCGATAATCTTACTTTAATTGTTTTTCAGATAATAACAGGGTTAAGATGATTATATACTTGTTGGTGTGTTGGTGAATTGAATTTAACACTTGATTGATTAAAAGTGTTAATTGTGATTATTATTCATAACGTAGTTATTAAGGCAATACATCAATTTAAAAGTAACAATTAAATTAATTTACTGTGTTAGTTTGTTGGCTTTCCACTTACAGGATTTAATTAAATCGTCGGTTACAATTTCGATAGATATTTAATTATATTGTCGATTCAGTTTTTGCTACGTGAGATATTTTGACAGAATAATCAAATTAAATGATTGAAAAATCACTCGAATACTGGTAAATAATAGTAAAAAGTTATTGAGATGATTGTAATTGCAATTTTAATTGTAATTGTTTCCAATTAAAACAACAAGTTTCTTTGTCAAGTCTATTATTTAAACTCAATAATGACAATTAAGATCCAACTGATATTCTGATCAAATGATATTAATAAATGAGAGTCTATCCAGCCAAAGACTTTGAGTTTGCAACCACTTTCTTAATCATTCACGAAATTAACGATAATCAATTAAAGATAACTTTTGATATCTAATCAGTTGACCATTTTAAGACTTAATCACTTGAATTAGTCGACAAACTTATCATCACATCTCTGGGTTAATTGTATCTCTCATTGATTATATTCAACTGCGTGAATGATTTAGAAAGTGGTTGCAAACTCAAAGTCTTTGGCTGAATTTGATCAGATTAATGATTTAACTCAGTTGGTCATTTCCAGAACAATGTAGTCTTAATTGTAACAATCAAAGATTCCTGGTAATTTAATGAGTGTAAAGTCAAATAATCAATTCAATTGCATTGTATCAAACTAATCAAGTGAGTTTATCATTCATATCAGTTGAGATTTGATTTGAGGAAGCAACAAGTTTAACAATCTTGTTGAAGTTATTACTGGATTAAAGTAAATCAACTGATTTGAATCAACTAATTGGTGTGAAAAAACTCATCTTAATCATAATAAGAAATTGACAGTTTCAAAATGATTAATTGATTTAACAAACAAGTTGATATTTTGACAATAAAAAAAAAAAGATGAAGAGACAAACAATCAATAAAAGTGAAAGTGATTAACTTAAACGGGTCAAAATCACAATATCAAAGTTAATCAATCTCACTTGATCAAGCAAGCAATTTAAATCAACAACAACAATACATTTAATGATGGATTGGATAAAGGTACGATACTGAACAATAACAATCAACAATTAACCAAATTGATGTAACAATTAATATACTGATTATAAAAATTCACTCTCATCACTAACCCATTTTTTTTCATTACAATTCCAACCCTTTTTGTTAATTACAATCAGTTAACAGTGAACAATTTAACTTTATATTGTAATTGAATCAAATATGATTATAAACTAATTGATATAATAACATTACCAAAGTTAATAAACACTCAAGATGATTAATATATTGATATAAATATCAACACTTAATTTGGATGAAAAGTTTTGCTTGACAATTAGAAAGTTTTTCGTTTAATTATCAAACTAAATCAACTAATCAACTCTATTTTCAGGTCATTATTATCATGATTATTATTATCACCGTTCAAGGCCGTTCAAAGTACAACAATTAAAGGTAAAAACAACAATCAATTTATTGGGAGAAAGTTAAAAAATAAACTAATCATACTTGTAACTATCAACAATTAACAAACTGCAACACCAAGTAATAAGTAAATTAAATTGTATCAATAGTTACTAATTGAGAGTAAAAACAATAAACTAATTTTCCAATAGTAAAAGTTTACAATTAACTTTTAGTCTGTTAAATTCAGTTAACAATTAAGAAACTTTTTCTTGGTCAAGTTAAACACATTCAAATATACAATTTAATTACTAATCAATTAACTCAATTGTTATAGTTAATTTTTTTTTACAATGTTAATTGATTAATTGATTAACATTTTCTGACATTATTTGACAACAACAATTTAATTTTCCTTGAAATAAATTGTAAACAATTTAGTAAACTAAGAAGATAGAGAATTAAAAGAAAAGAAAATGATTAGATTGATTATTCTAACATAGATTAATAATTAGTAATTAACTACAATTAACAATAACACGTATTTAAATTGTTGAAGGATTTTTGGGAACCCACAACTTGATTAACTATTAGCTTAACAATTAACAAGGTTAAATAATTTGTAAATTGTTTTCTCTCTGAACTTAATTCATATACATTTTGTTGAGCTCTTCCAATGACCAGCGGCTATTTAATCCGCTTTGAGGTCACTTGATTGTCTTTGACAATCAACTAATCATCATGTTGATTATAAACAAAAACCATAATCATAACGATTAGTTTCATCTATCTCAATGTTAATTGTCAAGGTTAGGATATCCTTTTTTTTGTATATTATTATTTGTTACAATCAAAGTTAATTGTTAACTGTCAATTATAATTGTTACCTACCTGGTCCCCAATATTTAATTATCTTGGAAATGATTAAAAAACTAATTAATTCAATTAGTTTTTCGTTTCAATATAAAGTTCATTAAACTTAAAATCAAATTGTAAAATTGATTTGATTTTATTAACTCAGTTTAATTGTTTAAATCATTCATCATAATCATCTTGATTTGTGATTTGTTTGATTAGATTGGTGATTTATTATTAATTTTGATGTAATTTAGTATTAAATTAATCACAATCCAAGGTGATTAGTATGGTAATCCCATAGATGACAACTAACTTTGATTTAATTTACTAATTACGAAAATTGTATTGATATAATTAACGGATTAAAGTAAAATGATTAACCATTATATCAAGTTTCAAGTTTTAATTGTTACATTGATGATTCAAACATTTGACTTTCATTAATTTCAAGGTAATTGGGACAAATCACAATTAACCTTTCAAGGTTTTGATAGTTGATTAAGGGAAGAGATTAATTGTTAATAACAATTAACCTGGCTAAGTGTTGATTAAATAAAACGACAAATTGTCACAAATTTAATCAAATACAATTAACTTTTATTTTGTTCAAGTTAAAGGTTAATAAATTGAAACAATTTAATCAACAGGTAAACAGACAAAAAATCAAATCAAATGAAAGACCAAAATTATATTTACAATTAGATTCTAATTGAGATGATTAAATGTAATTTAGTTGATTTAATTTCAAGCCTAATAAAATATAATAACTTTTATAATAGTTATCTGACAATCTAAAGGTAAAATCATAAGCTGATTTCAACAATTAAGGTAACAATTTATGTTAACAAATTGTAATGAGTTAATAACGGAAAAAACTATTTGATTGTGAAAATTATAATATAACATTTTCTTAATAACAATTAGCTTTATTATTATTTTTTCGCATACAAAGTAAATTAATAATAATGTTTAAGAATAAGCTAATGAACTAATTAGATCTAATTAATCCCAGTTAATTAGAACCTAAATCACTCGAACGGAAGATATTTCAAGATGAGAGAGAGAGAGAGAGAGAGAGAGAGAGAGAGAGAGAGAGAGAGAGAGAGAGATGGAAATGATTTCGAAAGTGAAAGTTTATGATCAATGTTTTTTTCTTCGAAAGAATAAGAAAAAAAGATGAGGAAGAAGAAATTGATGATGAAGATCAAGCCGATTTTTCATCTTTCTCTTTCTTTTCCGATTATGATTCTAAAACGATGATGACCTGATTACAGGAAGGATAATCTTCTTCCGTGATATTGAAACTCGATGAATGAAAACACCATCACCTGAGTTGGTATTTCACTCTCACTTATCTTCCTCTCTCTCTCTCTCTCTCTCTTCTTCCCATCATCATATCAATATCACCATCAGCATCCTCATCATCACTATCATTATCAACATTAACCATCAGCTCTTTTTATTTCCTTCTCTTTTTTTATCTTAATTACATTTCCATCCAAAAAAGTGATCATCATCATCATCACCATGATAGACATGATGGTTACTGATTGATTCATCACCAAAATGTATGCTAATTAAACCATTTAAATCTAATTGCAATGAGAAACGTCAAATTGATTCATTTTGTTAAAATGATGAATACCAAGAGTTTGTTTTTTTTTCATCAATCAGGTTTACCTTGTCAAAATTATTGATTAATCACTAATCCATTCCCATTATCGATTTAAAAATATCGTCATTGCCTTTGTATGGATTAACAATTAGATTTAGATTTCCCCGTTATTCATGTTAATCAATTGTAATGATTACTGGTTAACCAATGTAAACATAATAACAAACAACGAAAAGAAAAAAAAATCAAAAAGAAGAAGCAGAAAATGATCACTTTGAATTAGAAACAAGTTGTACAGTTAAAATGTGAAGGAGAATCAACAATCAACAATCAACTTAATTAACGAGTTATCCCGACCTGGCATAAGCCGTTATATGATTAACGATAATAAATACAAATTGATTGAACGAAAAGAAAGTAAGAAAAGAAAGTGAAATAGGAGGAAACCAGAACTCGATTCGAGTTCTAATTCAACCTTCTAAGGCCGTGCACAACCGCAATCTATCATGACGATGATGATGATGATGATTAAATGGTATATTGAAAATGTGATGAAAAAAAGAATAATAAAAATAAAAAGTTTTTCCATTTCGAAAGAGAGAAAGAGAGAGAAAAAAAAACTTTATATAAAATAAAAAGTTCGAGGAAAGTCAATCACCAGTTACAACGTAGGTAGAGACAAATAAACAACAACAATTAAGTAGATGATTAAGATTAATTTGGCTTTGATTGTGTGAAAATCTATGATCAACATAATGAAGTTACTATTTAATCAATTTGACAACCATAGTCTTTTAATAACAGTGAGTGAACTTTGAATTAATCACCATTGGTAATAATATTGTATTGTCATCAGTTAATCGTCAACAATTAACAGTGAATGAGTAAATTGTTTTCTTTACCAATTGCAATCAATTGCGTGTTTACATGTTTAATCAAATCACGAAACAATTGGTAGTCCAAATTGTTGACGGAAATGTTTTTCAACGGCCTTGCCCTTACATCTTAACCCAAATCAATAAGAAAAGTTGACAACAGTTAATCAAAAGTTTCGATATTATTTCGTGTTTACAATTTAAATAATCATTATAATTAAACTGCTACTTATTACTAGTCTCATTCACTTATATTACTTTCTTCCTCATCCTCATCATTATCACAACAACAACAACAACACCAACACCAACATCGTACATCATATTATCCACTTACGAAAAAAACTTTTTTGTTCCGTTAAATTGATCGGCCGAACTTGATGTTCTCAGTATCTATCGTTCTCCCTCAGTTTATCTTCATCTTCTTCCGCCGCTCTCAATCTCCATCATCATCATCACTTTTCCCTCTCTCATATTGAAAGATAATCACAACAACAACAACATCTCGTCATCCTCAATAAAAGAAAGAGAGAAAGAAAGAGAAAAGAAAATTTTTCTTCTTCTTCATTTTTGTGGCCAAATTGTTTCTCTTTCTCACTTTTCTCCTTCAGACTAAATTAAACTTCGGCTTTAGTTCATCAAATTATTCAATTCATTTGTTCAAGTTTCCGGAAAAGTGATCACACAACTAACGGTACTTGTTAATTCAGTTAGTAAATTCTAAAAACTTCCTTTCTTTTTCATCTTAATCATCATTATCATCATCATAATCTCCTTCCCGTTATACTTGAAGAAGAAAAAATTACCTTCCTTTTTGATTCTAATCAACTGTTGGTCCACTTGAATTAACTTTTAATTTCTTTAATTCATTTGGTGTTGCCAATCATCGAGTTCTAATTTGAATTGTTCATCTTATCAACTCATATTACTTATTTTTTTTTGCTTCTCACTGTTCATCAATCGATACCCTTGATACTTGATTACGAAAGTCAACCAATATGGACCCGGAACTGGGATCCGAGAGACACTCAGTTAGTATTCAATTAACTAATTCACTTGATGATGATTTAAACATTTCCACCGATGTTAACTGTAAACCTCCGCCAATGGTTGAAACTGTTGCCGTTGTGTCCACCGTTGTGACCAATACAAATGATCATGTAACCAATTTAATGTTATCACCTTCATCATTATCCTCACCACAATCACCTTCATCCTCATCAATCATTGTAGTTTCATCTTCATCAATTAAAAAATCAGCCACAAAAACAATATCAGATTCATCATCAACCATTTCAACCATATCGACAGTTTCATCTTCAACATCATCCTCACCACCACCCACTCCAACTACTTTACCTCTTCACTCCAGTTTACATCGAGGATCATCACCTCGACTTTCACTCGAATCCTCTGGTTCAACGAAAAGTGGTTCAGTTGCATCTTCGACCTCTTGTCCATCATCAAATAGAACCTCTTTCCTGGCGGAAGCTGTTGCTTACTCGGATGGACAGTCCAACGCTTCCGGTAACATTTGTAGCCTTGTTTGGAAAAATTTAACCTACACCATTGAATCGTCTAAATGGTCATTTTCCGCTCCCTGTGGTTTTAAAAGGTCAACAAGTAAGAAAGTAATTTTCTCAGGTCTATCAGGTGAAGTTAAATCAGGCCAGTTAACAGCGGTTATCGGACAATCAGGTGTAGGTAAATCGACTCTCCTTGAATCTATTGCTGGACGACGGAAACAAGGATTAAAAGGTGAAGCTTATCTTAAGTTTGCTGGATCAACTTCGGGCAGGATTGGGAATTCGGCTCAAGTTTCATTTATTCCCCAGAAAGATGCTCACCTTCCCTGTCTAACGGTAAAAGAGACACTTATGTATGCATCGAGATTGAAAAACTCTAAATCCGCTCGAAGAGCCGTTTCAAGGTGTAAGAAACTTGCATCGTTTGATTTTCTCACTGAAATGGATTATCACAATTACCTGATTACACAAGTTCAAAAAGACCTTTGCTTGGGCCGTTGTTGGGATGTCAAAGTTTCCCGATGCTCAGGGGGCGAGATTAAACGTCTCTCAATGGCAGTTGAACTAATTTCCAATCCCAAGGTGATCATTTTAGACGAACCGACAACTGGACTTGATTCAACTTCAGCTTTCCATTGTATTGAAGTTCTTAACTGTCTTACCGAGATGGAATCGCCTCCAGGCATAATTGCCTCCATTCATCAGCCCAGCTCAGAGCTGCTTAATCTGTTTCACAATGTTTACGTTATCGGTGCTGGTGGTAGATGCATTTACTTTGGTCCAACTGATCAATTGGTCAGTCATCTTGCCTCAAATGGTCTACATTGTCCACTTTACCATAACCCGGCAGAATTTATTGTCCATGTGGCCTCAGGTCGATACGGAGAGAAAGTATTGAACAATTTAGCGACCGCACAAACGGACTCATTTGAAAATCTTCATATTGCCATTAAATCAGAAGAGATCGACATGGATGTTGACAAGATTGATGTTAAACGACTTTACCAGGAAAACAATCGCAAACAACATCCAACCTGTAATCATATTGGCCTTTTATTAACTCGAACCTGGAAATCGACGATACGACAGCCAATGTTAACTTGGCTTCGTTTATCTCAATACCTTTTGGTTGGACTAATTTTATCTTTTCTTCATAATTATAAAATCGGTGAGCTTGATGGTTGTTACACCGATGTCCTAAGAAATGCAAGCGCTTTTTCGGGCGAACACAATTATGGTCAACTTTTAGCTCGAATAAATGACAATACAGCAACAATTTACTTCGCACTAATGTTCCTTATCGGCGTGGCCATCGTACCAACCGTTTTAACCTTTCCCAGTGAAATAGCAGTAATTTTCAACGAAAGGCACAATGGTTGGTATTCATCTTTCTCTTATTATATCGCTAAAATCATGGCGGAAACACCCTTGTCAGCGGCACTTCCTTTCCTGTTTTCGGCGCTATTTTACTATATAACTGGCCAAATACCCGAATATGGTAGATTTATGCTCTTCTACCTGATCATTTTCTTACTTTCCATCATTGGTCAAACTATTGGTCTAATCATGGGAACTATTTTCATGGACGATCCGCCGTCAGCCGTTTTCATGTCCATCTCAACACTTTGTCCAATCTTTATTGTCGGCGGGTTTCTCCTTCGAGAATCAATACTGGTCTGGTTCCTTAAACCTCTCTGGTACCTTTCTTATGTTCGCTATGGTTTCTCATCGATAATTGTCGCTCTCTATGGATTTGGTCGATGTGGCACCGAATATAAAACACCATTAAGACGATCGGTTATACCACAATTAACCCAATTGATCCAAGATGAAGATATCGGCTGTGTTTATGATCAATACCAATTAAATTCTGATTGTTTTGATGATGTCCTTCGCGAATGTAATACCACCATGGATTACATTTATAAGGCCACAATCGGACGAGAGGAAAATCGTTTCTCCGCTTCACTTGACCAATATGACGGATCTTTTGTAATGTCCTATTACGAAGTGACCAATACTCAATTTCATGTCAACATCGTAGTCCTTATTTTATATGCATTAGCTTTAATTATCATTAATTATTGGATTCTAATTTTCAAGATAAAAAGGAAAATCAAGAAATAGAATCAAATTAATATATTAAAATCTAACAATCAAATGAAACAATTGAAATGAACAAGTAAAAACCAATCAACAAATCAACTGACAGAATTAAAAAATTTGTAGTTCATTGATTGTGATTATCAGTCAGTTAATTAGATTATATTTGCCAAATTATTGATTCTTTTCTCACCAATAATTAACTTTCTTGTACATATACACCTTGATTGTTGTGATTTCATATATTCATCATAATGTAAGCCAATTTTTACAACTTCAATTTTAATTAACTGCTGTTTTATCATCACCATCAACATTTAATTACTCGATTAATGAAACAATCATCATTCAAATCAATCGTTTTTGTATTTTCATTCATCTCTTTACCAATTTCAATATCAATGAAACTTTTTTCCAAACTAGGTCATCATAACTACCATCAAGTTAATCAAGATGACTTGATCATCCTCATCCTCATCCTCATCTTCATCTTCATTAATATCATCAATTTCTTCACAATCTTCTTCCTTGTCTTTCTCTCTTTTTTATTAATCTTTCATTCAACTTATCACTTTTTCCTAATTACAAAAATATTGATAAAATGTAATCAATTCATTTCCATTTTTCATCGTCATCAGTAAAATTATTTTACTCACTAATTCACAATTCAATGAATAATAAACAATTAAGGTTGATAAAATCATAACAATCAACTGCTCTAATTATCAAAGATAATCATTAAAAATGAAATTAACTTTTATTTAAAAACATTTTTGGTTCTTATTTACACCAAACAGGATGACCATTTTAAGAGATTCTTAGTATTATGATACCTTAATCCTAACTTAATCCTTCTGTGATTATCAGCACCTACAAAATGTACGTGAATGGCTCAAACATGGTCACGAAAAAAAGTCTTTATAAATATTAATTGATTAAATTCAATTATTGGTAAGTTAATTGCTCATTTTTCAACAACTTCATGAGTATTTCCTTTTCATTGTGAGCAAAAGTTTTGTATTGTTTGACTCAATCTAATCAGGTAACAATTTACTGTTATAATAGTGGTTCAGTTACCTTAACTTTAAACTGGTAATTGGACAATCTAACAATGAAATGATTATTTGAAAGATTTTTTAATCATGAAACCTTGAAAACATTGAAACATCAGTTTTCCTTAGTTATAATTCAATCAAATTGCGTTTTTCTTTATCAAAATTATCGTAATCACTTTAATTAGCCAACTAATATATTGTATGAGCTATTTTTAAAGTGTCATTTAGAAAATTGTTTATATTGAGGGAAATAAAATAATTCTTTAGATAATCAATTATTATTAATATAAAGTTGACAAAAGTTCTTGTACTCTAATCTTTTTTTATTATGAATGAAATGAAGATCTGATGTATAAATTGGGTTATTTGATGGCTTTTTTGAATTGATTTCTTGCATTATCACAACTTGACTTGGATTAAAACGATGTTATTAACAATCGTTTAGACCATTAGCACTATTTAGCATAAGCGTAAGTTGATCAGTTTCACTTTTTACCACCAACAATACTCATATCTTCAATTTGGTCTGAATTAAGAGCTCCACTTTTACTTTGAGTAGATTGAAAAGATCTAGCGAAATCACCATTACTACCATCATTAGTATTTGTGAATCCATTTTGCTCACGACGAATACGTTTTTCAGCAGCTTGACTCACACCGAGCACCATAGTGAAAAGGACGAGAATGTACATGAAGATGAAAGATGAAACTTTAATGAAATTCATAATCAAATTAACAGTTAAGGTTCAAAGAGTAAAAAAAGAATCAACTGATGAACGTGAACTGATACTCTATCTGAAAGATGATTCTTTTTATACTAAGAATTGTTTTCCATTTAGGTTAATTATTCATTTTATTAGTTCAGTTATTTACGTTGTAGAAAAAGCTGATCACTCGAACGATTTTATTCCAATGACGATGTGTGTAGTTCCAAGTGAATAATATTAGATATTAAATAGAATTTCATGATAAATGTTGCTATTGATCACTATTTAAATATTAAAGTACATTTAATGATGACTAATGTTTGACGAACAACTGAATCAAAGAAATTTAGGTAGAATCAAGTGCTGTCGTTAATTATCATTAACTTAATTCTTCTTGTTGATAGTAAAACTGAAAGAATACTTTCATCACTTTGACATTTTCTCGATTGAGTGGAAACCAAATTAATTGGAATATCATTGGAACACAAAAAAAAATTAACTTGACAATTATTAATATCAAAATTGAACAAAGTTTATTTATTCAAATAAAGTACATAGAATATCATAATAATCAGTAAGCATCAAGTGTACAAGTATAACTCAAGTACTCACTGTAACATGGGTTAATGGGTTTTAAGATCTTTTGCTTAGTTGCCATAATTATTCAGTAACCTTGGGAATTCTGCTGTCAACAAGAGGACCGAGGCCACCGGCAGAAACTCACCACAACCATAAGCAATTTGACTGATACTTAGAACCAAAGTAACGATGACAATAATAAACAAGAAGAGTTGAGATGAAATTTTGGTGAAATTCATGATTTTATCGTTAATACTTGATTTGAATTGATTTATAATGATAAAAATTAATTGGTTTACTGATGAATCGCGATTGATAAACAGTCTAAACAATTAATTTTTATGAGAAAATCGATTCTTTTACATTTCAATTTGATATTTACGATTCATTTGGTTAACAATCACATCTGATTACTATCAACTGACTAAATATAAACTATCAAATTGTCCCTATTATTCTGAAAGTATAGTTAACTATTAATTAGTAATTAACTATAAGCAATCTATCAATAGACATTAACCAATAATCTATTCACAAAGACATAGCTTTTTAGCTCTACAGCTTTAAAGTTCGTTAATTGTTGATTAAAGAATAAAAGTAACACTTCTAATTGTCTTGAAATTTTCTCCATTTTAAGAAAAACTATTTACTGGTACAATTTAACCAGAGCTATTAATATTTATAATCTATCAAAAGATATCGATCGATAATAAATTCACAAAGACGCAATTTTTACACCCGAGTTAGAATTTTGTTGACAATTTAATCAGTTGATTTGTAAATACATCTACTAATTACTTAGAATGTTTAATGAACTAATTAAATAATTGTTGAGGTAACCTTTTCATTGGATTCCAATGATGATTAATTAGTGATTGATTGTTGCTGTTATTAAAATTGAAGATTTGATAATCAAAAAACGGACATTAGTTATTACTCAACCTAATAATTGTGACCTTAAGACGGAGTAGTAACAGACAAAGTTATTAATAATTAACTGTAAATTAGGTTCAACATAGATCATCATAAATCTGTAAACTTAATTGTTAAATTTATGATTTTATCTTTGACAATTGAATTTTAACTGATTCATAATAATGACAATTCTCTTAACATCGACATCGTTTTCTATCATTTTCGCCATATCTCCGGCCATTGAATGAACAAGTTAGTTTAGTAAAGATAAATTTGAAATTCGGTGATATAAGTTTCGAAATGGAAAAAGAACTTTATTTATTCAAATTCAGCACATAGATTATTATAATCAGTGAGCATCGAGTGCACAAGCACAACTCTAGTACTCTTTTCAGCCTGGACACCCCCAAACCAGAAAATCGTCAGTATCGACACTATTGATACCAGAAACACCACAACCAGGAGCAGATCTAATACTATCATGAGTAGCTTGACTCAAACTTAGACCAAAGTAAAGGTGACAAAATGAACATAAAGATATGAGATGAAATTTTGGTGAAATTCATCATCTTATCGTTAATACTTGACTTTCACTGAATTATAACAATCAACTTATCTACTGGTGAATTCTAACTGCTACTCTGTCTAAAAAGATTTGACTTTTTATGAGATCCCAATTCACACAGTACATTTCCAATTGTAATTAACGATTCATTTGTTTAACAATCATTTTATTCCCATCAACTGACTAAATAGAAACTGTGATATTGTCCCTATTACTATTCAGAAATGAAGTTTAGTAATTAACTAATATTAAGTTGTAAGCTGATAATCTAAGATTTAAACACAGCGAATTTCGGTAGAAGTAAACAGAACGGAATATTATCCTCAGGGTCTTTAATTTTTTTAGGAAATCATAACTAACAATCTTTGATTGTTTTGACCATCGAACCGGAAGAGTGACAACCATAATTTGTGTAACCTACACGCCTGAATTTATAGGCACAAGAATCACGTTGATTATTTTGATCCAGTTCTTTCACAGTGACATGATCGAGCTTCATCGTATTACGAAGATCGTACATCGCAAGAGCCATTGATTGGTAATATCGTTTACATTGTTCTGGAGTAGAATAGCCAACAAACTGGACCCACAGATATCGCCATTGGAATAACATTGTTCGAGTGATCAGCTTAAATAACTGAATCGAAAAAATTAGTACTTAACCTAAATTAAGCTTAATCAATAGATGAGATTTTCTCCTACAAAATGGCGTTATTTTCATGGTAAAAAGTTGAAAAATTCCGTAAGAAATCTTAATTTACTAAAATGTGCCATAATTTTTCCGCGCGGGTTTGATGAAATTTTGGTGAAATTCATGATTTTATTGTTAACACTTGATTTTATTGGTTTATAACAATCAACTTATCTACTGATGAATTCTAACTGATGCCATCTTTTTATACATTATGATAAATTGAAGAAGATAATTAGTTTGGAGAATCGAAAAGATTTAAGAATGAATAAATTAGATTGATAAAATTCAGAAATTCAGTGATACAAGTTTTCAAAGTTAAACAAGAGTTTATTTATTCAAATAAAGTACATCGTATATGATAATCTGTAGGTTCGAGTGTACAAGTATAACTCAAGTACTCACTTAGCACCGAAGGATCTTTAGCTTAATCGGCATAATAAATTCTCACGACTTAGGGTATCATTAAATCAGAACCAACACCGCCTGGACCGCTCGGACCTTGACTGCCCGGACCGTGACCACCAGGACAAATGACACTATCATTAACAGCTAAAGTGAAAATGACAATAATAAACAAGAAGAGTTGAGATGAAATTTTGGTGAGATTCATGATTTTATCGTTTATACTTGACTTTCACTGAATTATAACAATCAACTAATCTACTGTTAAATTTGATACTCTGCCTAGAAGTATGAGTCTTTTTATACGAAATCGATTCCAATTTACACTTGCATTTGTAATTAACGATCCATTTGCTTAACAATCAACTGACTAAATATAACCTTTCAAATTGACTCTATTGTTCTGAAACGTAGTGTAGTAATTAACTATTTGTAGTACTCAATCAATAGATATCAACTGATAGTTCATTCACAAAGACGAAGTTTTTTACACCCGAGGTTAGAATTTTATTGTCAATTCAATCAGTGAATTTATATCAATACATATCTGTTACTTGAAATGTTTAGTAAATCGATCAAGATAATCTTATCATTCCGATGATGATTCAGTTGCAATTGATAGTTACTAACTCTATTGATGATAATTACTATTATGACCTTAAGTCGAGGTATTAATAGAAATAGTTATTAATAATTAACGAAAAAGTTAAATTCATCATAAACCTTTAAACTAAATTGTTCGTAAAAAATTTGTCATAGAATTGAATTTTCGTTAATTGTTATTTTAGCATTTAAAGTAACAATTCTTCAGTTTAAAGAAAAAGTAAAAATGTAAAAGTAAAAGAATCAAGATCAGCATCATAGCCACGAGTTGAATTAGACGAAGACAATGATGACCAATGGTAAGATCGATCAACCCAATGAACAGGCTTAGAATCAGTTCCCCAAGTACGATTAGTAACTGTACGATTAACCGAAGTAGTTACCGTTCGATTTTGTGTCGATACTGGAGATTGGAATCTTTCTTCTAAAAAGACAATGAAAAAGAAACAATTAATAATCAAGAAAAGAAAAGAAAAAGTAAAAATGTAAAAGTAAAAGAATTGACCTTTACCTTTGTACCTTGAGCTCCAATCAAATGGTCTATAAGTTGGCCTATTGACCATTATTATTGTTGTGATCCACCATTTAACCTTTCCAACCTTCTATTGGATCTAGTTACTGTTATATTTTTTAATTATAACCATTGAAATATGAAAAAGGTTTGTCACTAGTTGATTAGTGATTGATTATAATTGGAGTTAATTGTTGTTAATAGTCACCAACACCAAGACCCATGACCCAAATCCATTAACCCAACACCAATTCAGTAATAAACGTTTTCTGAATTTCCTCTTTCACCCATTTACATGTATTTTTCCCATTGAAAAAAAAACAAAAAAACCTGAAAGTTTTTTTTATAAAATTCAATGGTTTTCATGGGGAAATGGATGAAAGTCAATACTTAGTACGTTTTTTACATAGAGAAATAATTTATTCTGGTGAAATTGTATCAGTAATTTGTTTTTTCTTAAACTGAAGAAGTGTTACTTTTAATGCTTATGCAACAATCAACGAAAATCCAATGCAAATTTCTTACGCACGAAAATGCCAAGATTTATGAAGAAATCAGCTATTTCTATTAGTACCACGGCCTAATCTCCATCTTTGCTGTTCACTTGGACCCGCATCGTCATTGGAATAACATTATTCGAGTGATCAGCGAGTGAGTATAACGTAAATAACTGAATCAATAAAATGAATAATTAACCTAAATTGAAGACAATTCTTGGTATAAAAGAATCATCTTTCAGACAGAGTATCAGTTCACGTTCATTAGGTGATTTATTTTAATATTTTAAACTTAAGTGTTAACAATTTGATTATGAATTTCATCAAAATTTCATCTTTTATCTTCATGTCCATTCTCGTCATCTTCACTATTGTGCTCAGTGTGAGTCAAGCTTCTGAAAAACGTATTCGTCGCTCGCAAAATGGACTCACGAATATTAATGATTTCATTAAAAATAGGAATAGTCCAACTCGGACTCTTAATCAAGACCAAATGGATAATATGAGAATTGACATTAATCAAAATTATAATAAAAGTTGATCAACTTATTCTTATTCTAAATGGTGCTAAAGGTCTTCGTCTCAACGATTGTTACTACCATAGTTTTAAAAACACCCTGTACTTGGAATAATGTAGGAAAATAAATTCAATGTTTTAATCAGAAATCAACTGATATCAGTTTATATCTCTCTCAAAATCGTAATTATCACTTTTAGACAACTTATCGAGTTGATTGTTATTATTCAAGAAAGGAAATTGTTTCCATACTTTCAATTAGATTGTTGAATCAGTTGTAATTAGATGTATATGATTATCTTTTTTAAATAAATTTATTTACAAATAGCGAGCGAAATATTTTTCAAAACATTAAGATTAAAGATTTGGTTTGATATTTTAAAGTAGAATTGTTATCGATATACATTAATTGATTATATTAATAATTGATTGTTAAGTGATCAAGTTTACCATTAAATTGATAGAAATGATAAACAATTAAGTTGCTATTTCATATGTTTTCGATTAATTTCCTTTTCCGTTTGATTATTTGTTCTGTTGCAGATTTTTTATGTGAAAACTAATTATTATGTTTGGCAGGTTTTATGGAAAACTGATCGAGTTTCAATTATGGTGAGATAATTTAACATATCGCGATTCATTTGATCGATTTCGGTTGCATATTTGTTTAGATTTTCTTCATTCTCGGTGAAATTATCTTCGATATCCTGAAGAACTCTGAGTTTCTCTCCAGCATCTTTAGCTAATTTCTCTGCTCGAGTTCGAATTGAGTCGGATTGTTTCTTCTGTACACCAGAGGCTTCCTCTTTTTGGGCCAATTTACGTTTGGCTTCTTCGAATTTTTTCTCTAAACCATCGACATCATTTTCTGCCATTTTGGCCATGTCACCAGCGACTCCTGCCTCTTTCGATGCCTGAGTAACTGCATAAGTGTTTTTGGTGAAACTGATTCGAAGTCCATCCAATTTTTTCTGTAACTCTTCAAGTTTACCCTGAGCTTGTTCTGATTGTCGACCGATATTATCAGTTTCACTTGAGATAAGATCTAAATCAGCCTGAGCATCATTGAACTGAGCATTAGCGTTTTTAATTGAATTAGCGGCTTCGTTTTGTGCTTCTTGGGCGATTGCTAAAGCATTTAAAACTTCTCTTGCCATTCCAAGTATCTCATCAGCTCTGTTCTTGGTCACATTGGCATCAAGCTCGAGAGCTTGAGCTTTTCGTAAATTGAACTCGGTTGCCGATAAAATTTCCTCGATATTAGTAACATTTTTCAAAGTAGCATTGATTTTGGTCGCAAGATCAAGTATCTGATCAGGAGTAAGTGAAATTTGAATTTTCAAACAATTTTCAGCAACTGTTCTGATCGCTGCGGGTGTTGCTGATTGTGCGGCCATAAATTCATCGATTAGACTGAACAATTCTTGGATTTCTTTGCTCATTGCTTCCGAATTGTTCTTGGTTGCAACTGCTCGATCATAAGCTCTTTGTGCTTCTCGAAGAGCTTCGTCACTTCGTCTTCGAGCTTCCTCGATGTTTCTCATTTCCTCTTCTCCTTTTTCTCGAAGTTCTTTCAACTTTTTCTCCGCATCTTGACCATAATTCAACGCTGATTGAGCTTTAGTTGTCGCTGCATCACAAGAAATATCTCCACACTTCGAACATCCTGCACCACCACAAGTATAATCACATTTATCGATCGTTGATCTTCCCCCGCAGATCATTTTGTTGATATCGGGAATATTATCTTCAAGATCTTTAATCTTTTTCGAAATCATAGCTAACGATCCTCGATTGTTTTCCATTGATCTTTCATGGTCAAAATTAGTTGATGTGATCAATTTCTCAGTTGAATATCTCAAATTCTTAGACTTATAGATATCAGGTAAAATTCCCTCGACACGTTTATCCGCAATCGAGGCTCTTCTAGCAGCATCTTCTGATAGGTTAAGCCCACTACGAACATCGTCAGCCTTTAATTTAGTTGTATTTTCCCTCAGCAAATTGTTCTGACCTTCCAAGTCTTTGGCAAGTAATTTAAGCTCGTCGAGACGTAAATTGGCTCGAGCTGTTCGTTGGACGGTTTGCTCGGTATCTTTTTCGGCAGCAGAAATTTTCTCATTCAACAATTCAACCAACTTCTGAAGATCTTTGATAGTCTGATTAACTGATCCAATATCAGCATCCGTTACATTAGATCCAGAAATTAAAATCTCAGCATCAATTAATGCATTTTCGAGGGTAACAAATGATTTACCATAAGCTCCTGAGGCTCCTGTTTGTTTAATCTTTCTTGCTCTTTCAATCAATCTTAATGTTTCATCTCGCAATTGTTGAATAGTCGCATCCCAGTTCTCGAAACATTCACCACATGATTCACATCTTGGTGCACTTCCTAAGTAACCACGAGCACATTGATCGCACTTTTTACCAGAAATTCCCTTGAGACAATTACAAGAACCATCGTGTTTATTACATTGTAGACTTGCTGATCCAGTTGGATCACATTCACATGGATAACACATGATTCTTGGGTCACCCCAATGATTAGGTTGACATTCGTTACACTTTAATCCTCCATGTCCCGGTCGACATGAACATTGACCATCAAACTCAGAACATCTCAAATTGAATGAACCTTGAGGATCACAACCACATGGAACACAACCAACACCCGATGATATATTCCAATGATTGATTTCACATTTATCACATCGAGTGCCAGTTACCGCAGGTAAACAATTACATTGTCCAGTTACATGATTACAAGCCTCTCCTGTCCTATTAGTTCCTTCAATTGAACATTCGCATTCTAAACATTGTTTGTTGATGGCATTTCCATAGAAACCTTTTTGACATCGTTCACAATGATCTCCTTCGGTGTTGTATAAACACTTGAGACAAGCACCAGTTCGTCGGTCACAATTACCTGGAGTCGAAATGTCAATGTTATTACTACAATTACATGGAAGACATTTGTTGATCTCGAGAGTTCCAGTTTCACTGATTATCGGAGTGTCGGAGACGAAATAATTTTCATCACATTGATCGCATCTTTCACCAATGTAGCCAATCTTACAATAGCATCGAGGCGAGTTTGTCATTGGATCGAGTTGACATGATTCAGCGTGGAAATTACCAGACTCAGGAATACCTGGACATGGACAAGGTTTACAAGGAATATCGATTCCTTTCAATGGATTACCATAATAGCCTTTGACACACTTTTCACATCGATGACCACCAGTAAAGTCAAGACAATCTCGACAAGCTCCTGTTTTAGAATCACAAATTTCGGCATGACCATTACAATCACATCTCTCACATTGAGGATAATTCCAGAAACCAGGTTGACATTCATCACATTGGCGACCATAAGTTTTAGGTCCACATTTACATTGACCTGAGTTTATGTCACAAATGAAATTTTCTGAACCCGAAGAGTGACAATCACAAGGTAAACAACCTTCACGACTGAATTGATAGAAACCCAAGGCACAAGAATCACACCGACGACCAACAATATTACTTTGACAGTCACATTTACCACCAAGAGGTGAACAAATTGTCGACTTTGATCCAGTTCCATCACAGTAACATGATTGAGCTCCATCGTACATCGCAAGAGCCATTGATTGGTAATATCGTTTACATTGATCTGGTATAGAATAGCCTAACATCGTGTACAAGTATTCCTCACATCGATTTCTTCTGTAATCCTCGAGTTGACGTTCACTTGAAGGATCAGAAAATATTTCGAAATCAGTAAATACTGGAATCAATACGATCGAATCAACAGAAATTGTTGAGTTCTCATAGCCTCCATTTCTTGAACCAACATCAATCTTAATTCGATACTTTTCATCTCTTTCGAAACAATAAGGACCAATTTTAGTGTAAACTCGACCAGCTTCGAACTGGAATGGTAGTCTTTGTGCACCGTATTCGAAGGTCTTTTCGCATGGTGATCCAGGTTTGGGTACAACACCTCCCGCTAAAGGTTCTATCAGGATAGTTCCTTGACTCCAAATGGGTTCAGGGGGTTGATACCTGACGATTATATCATAACGTGATGATTGGGGAACGTTAATAGCGAAATCGATGAAGGATTTTTCGTAGACACGAACGAAACCATCACCAGTCCATCTTTGCTGTTCACTTGGAACTACAGGCATCGTCATTGGAATAACATTATTTGAGTGATCAGCTTTTTCTGCTTCGTAAATAATTGCATCGAGAGATGGAACAAAAAATCCTGATTCAATTGTGTCACATCTTTGACCGGTTACATTTCGACGACAAGGACATTGTCCAGTTCTCATGTCACATTGTAAACTATAAGATCCACCAGGGTCACAGTTGCAAGGTCGACATCCGTCTTCGAATAACTCTAATCCATAATGATTCTTGGCACATGAGTTACAATCGCGACCAATCACATTCAATTTACATGCACATTCACCTGTTCTTGGGTCACAACCTTGGTTACGAACTGTACCCAATGTATTACAAGTACAAGCTAATTGAATCAAAGAGAAGAGATTGATTATGTTAATAATTGTGAATTAATTGTAAATTAAATCAACAAATTACCTTCGCATCCAAGTGGATTGTCTTTAGAGAAGTTCTTAAATCCAGTTTTACATTCGTTACATCTTCGGCCTTTAACATTTTCTTTACAGTGACATTGACCAGCGACAGTACCAAGAGATGGATCAGTTTTAGTCTCACAAAAACCTTCATCAGTTGTACCACTTTGATCACAATCACAAGCTGAAAATTTCGATCAAGTTAGAAAATTAGGAAATTAACTGAGCCTTAAAAGTTTAGAGTTATACTTACGAATACAAACATAAGGATCATCAATCCGACGATTTTCATCTCGATAAAATGTCGCTTTACATTCTTCACAATGAACTCCTTGAGTATTGTGATTACAATCATCACAAAAACCTTAGATAATCAAAAGAATATAAATTGTTGTTAAATTCGGTTTTTAATCTCTGAGATTTTATATTGATTGAACTTTACGAATAAGATCAACTCACCTCCGCTTTTGTTTCCTGAGGAGATCCACAAATTGCGATCAAAGTGACAAGCTGTTGCATGATTATTACAATTACAACCTAAATGAGAATATAAAGTAAATCAAGTGCTCAGAATTATTATTTATCTAACATTTTTGATGATTCGATACTTACGTTTGCACTCATTAGTTTGTCTTCCGATCGCCGGTTGCCATTCGGCATCTTGATAAAATGGTTCACACTTTTTACAATTCGGTCCAGTGGTGTGATGATCACAAGCACATTTGCCATAAACCATTCCAGGAATAGCAGGTTGACCGTCGTCGGGAACACATCGACTGGCATGACCATAACAGGAACAACTACCACGAACTTTCATGTTCATCATTGCATAATAATATTTCTGGCGCATCTCAGGCCGAGGATCGAGAACATCGTCTCCTAAAGTGTGCAGTTTAGTGAAATTGATTCTTAGATTGGTCATTTTGAGAAGTTCTTGAACTTCATCGGCATATGGATCAGCGATCGGGATATTGGGAGGAAGAACTTTGAAAATAACTTCTCCATGATAAGAAGGTGTCACTGCGGAATATTGAGATTCACAAATGACCTCCTTTAAGCTTCGTCTTTGACCTTCCCTTGCGAACGAGAATTCTCGACCACAATCAGAAGCAAAGTACTGGTAAGTTTTCCAGGTCAATCCATGATCAGATGATCGTTCAATCAACATGGCTGCTGGACGAAAGGTTTGAAAGGTCATTATGATGTGAGTAAGATGAAATTCGGCTCCAAGATTAAGTCGAATGGACACATTTTCCACTCCGTTTTCCGCTTGCCACCAGAATTTACGATAATCTTCATTTGCCTTTGACACAACATTTTCGATCCCATGATATTTCAGTGGATTCTTTCTCATCCTTGATACTTCACGAGAATCGCAAGTGTGACACTTTTTCCTCTTCAATGTATCTCCTAAGATACAGTATTTTTCGGGGATAATGAGTCCACATGTTGAGGTTGCACTTAAATTTGCTTCACGTCCAACTAATAAATCACCAGTTGGAGGTGAACAACTATTCCTATCACAAGAAGTAGAACCTGAGACGAAAAAAAAATGAAACAAAAAGTCAAATTAATTACAGAAATTAACTATAAGAATGATGAGTTAATGTGTAATGAGAATCAAAATCAAAAGAAAAGAAGAAAGTTAACAATAACCAACACCATTAATAGAATAAAATATAACCAGAAAATAGAAAAAAAAACTTTAAAATAATAGAAGAGAAAATCCAACACCGTTAATAGAAAAAGAAAACCCGAAAGATTAAAGATTTTTCCATCTTTGAATACCATAGAATGACCATGGATGAGGAATATCTTCATCTGTGATATAATAATTTCCCGGGGGTGGAATCCAAATATCATCATCGTCTGGTGCTAATGTTGTACCATCAAGATCAGCATCATAACCACGAGTTGAATTAGACGAAGACAATGATGACCAATGGTAAGATCGATCAACCCAATGAACAGGCTTAGAATCAGTTCCCCAAGTACGATTAGTAACTGTACGATTAACCGAAGTAGTTACCGTTCGATTTTGTGTCGATACTGGAGATTGGAATCTTTCTTCTAAAAAGACAATGAAAAAGAAACAATTAATAATCAAGAAAAGAAAAGAAAAAGTAAAAATGTAAAAGTAAAAGAATTGACCTTTACCTTTGTACCTTGAGCTCCAATCAAATGGTCTATAAGTTGGCCTATTGACCCTTTGTTGTGATCCACCATTTAACCTTTCCAACCTTCTATTGGATCTAGTTACTGTTATATTTTTTAATTATAACCATTGAAATATGAAAAAGGTTTGTCACTAGTTGATTAGTGATTGATTATAATTGGAGTTAATTGTTGTTAATAGTCACCAACACCAAGAAATGACCCAAATCCATTAACCCAACACCAATAGAGTTCCAATAGATTATGACGGCGAGAGAGAACTTTACCTTTTCAGTTAATTACTCATTAAATTGTTAAAAAATTAGTACAATTAAACCAACCCCAATGAAAATAAACATTTTCAGTTTGTTAACCATAATTAACCAGAAAACAATTAAAACATTTAACCCTTTACAAGATTAAAACCAAGGTAAAGTCACAGATGACACACAAGTTACTGACCGATTTGTATCCATACAAACCAAGGTCAAATATTTTGTTAAAGTGAAGGACAAATTGATTGAAATGAAAACAATCTAATCAAATTAAATGAAGAATAAATTAATTACCTTGTTCATCTAAATCATTGTTGTTTAGTTGATATGGATATTCCTGTGTGAAAATAACCGTTGGTACAAAAATAACAAACAGTAAAGTTGAGAACACAAATTGGTCAATTGTTAACATTGTAACTAAAGAATCACCAAGACACGGAAATCTAATCACAATTAATCCAAATCATGGAAATTTTCATGTAAAAGAGAACAAAAATTCTGAGTAGAAAATTACAAGTAGATTAATGTACAAGAGCCACACCAAGAATTCACCATAACATATACACGCACTTACAGAGTTCAAGCTAAAAACAGAAATCAACTAATTAAACGAACTCTTGAAGAGCTTTTCTTTCATCTTCCTTCTTCTTTTTTTTTCTTCTCTCTTTCCTTTCTTTCTCTTTCTATTTTATCTTCATCTTTAGAAGAAAAAAAAGACACATAAAAAAGAAAGAGAAGAAAAAGGGATGATTTAGAAAAAGAGAAAAAGAGAGAAGAAGAGAAGAAGAGAGCTAGTAACGTGAGAGAGAGAAGATGGAAAGAATTGCGAACAAAATTTTGTTCTCTTTGTTGACTAGACGAAAAAAAGAATTTTACAAACCAGAGATTTTTTTCTTTTCTCTTTCTTTTCTTTTCCTTCTTCTTTACGACTTTTCCTTTGGTTCTCAAAACATTTGGCTTTTAGTCTTTCGAATTAACTGTTTGGGTGTTAAATTATTCTCTCGATAAACAAGTTACACGAAATTAGAAGACACAAAGTAGCCTCTCAACTTGTTTATCTCTCGGTAAAAAGACGTAGGTGTTTTCTATTGACCAAATTGGGAATCTTTTTCCATTTCAACACAAAACTTGATTTGGTTGATTTTCTTTTTCTCTCGATTAGAATCAACATCTTTCTGTAAGTAACTGGAGTAAGGTAAATAAAGAACAGCAAATGACCACAATTGATCGTTAATTCCATCAAAATGAGTAGGTTTTTCTCTTTATCTTTAAATTGGAGGAGATGAAGCGACATTTTCTTTTTTCTTCTTTTTCCAAGAATCAACTTTTCTTCTTCATGTTTTCTCCTCAAATCTTTACCATCCAATCCGATGACTAATAACCAATCAAATGATCTGATCCAAACGGTAACTCATTAGCTTTGTAAATATTTTCTCTTAAAATGTGAGATAACTAAAAATAGACCAAAGAAAAAAAAATAATTAAACAAACCTCAAGGTTTCCAATGGCACATCCTTTCTGAATGTTAGAGACATTTTGTTTCTTTTCTGTCTATAAAACTCATCTTCCTTTCTATTTAAGGATTTTGTTGAGAAGATAAAGATGATGATAAACAGAGATAACTGTTATTTCTCTTTCTCTCTCTCTTTCTCTTTCCCTTACTCAATTTATCTTCCTAAAACACAGAAAGGAAGAAAAAATTCTCACCATAGGACAGGAAAACCTTTGACTCTAATTAGCAGAAAAAGAATTTCGTTTCGTTTAAATAGTTCAATTTTCTTCTCTTGTGGCTCCATCTCTTGTTTCTATTTACGACTAGTCAACTTTCGAAAAAATTCTCTCGATTTAGTCGCTTTTCCCTCCAACAGATGGAGTGAGCTGTGAATTCTAAAAAAGGAGGAGCCATGGAAGTAAAATTCTTTTCGATTTCATTTGAATTAACTGTTTATGCTCAATAAGTGAACAAGTTAATTCCTTTTAGTTAATTAGCTCTTAATTGTTTCGAAATTTATTTCTCTTGTTTAATCAATTATTCGTGCCTCCATTTAAGGGGAGAAACCATTTCAACATGAGAAAAAAACTGCAAATGGATTAATAATTGAAAAGAATAATTTTAATTCTATAGATGAATTGGTAACCCTTTTTCTTAATCTTCTTTTTTTCCTCAACATATTTGGGTTTCTCTCTCTCTCTGATTTTGTGTAAGTTGGAATTTTTTTTTCTCTCTCTTATTTTTTCTATTCAATTCTTCTGGGAAGTTACCGGTCAACTCCCTGGACACATGAGAACATCTTTTAATCGTTGACCTGTTATTCTGTTTTGTATTTCAAAAAATCTTCAGAGGTTTGATTGGGAGATTTTTTTTTGTTTATGTCACTTTGATAACCATCATGAATCAACAAATTACTCCTGTTATTTTTTGTTTTTATAAGATTAAGTTTTCACAATTTGATTTGTGTTTGAATTAAATTTCGCTTAATCATTTGGGTTTATATTCCAATACCAATGGGGGATATAAATGGATGTGTGACAAAGCATTCATTACTTGGTCATTGACGATGTTTCTGTCTATCCAACAATCTCTCATATCAAATCTCATCATCTTATTGTGTTCATTTCGTATCGACAATTTTTTTTCCAGATTAATCATGATTTGTGTTAAATTCAATTTTTATTCATGATTTAGATTCTCTTTCGAGCTGTTTATTCAACTTTTTTTTTCTATCTATTTAATTCTGTTCAATTGTTTACTAATTTGTTTACTGATTTACTTTTACTTAATTACAGTGATCATCATTGGTAATATCGAGAACCACTCCCAGATCTTTCTCTGTCTCTCTCCCCTTTTAAATATTGTTCATTTTAAATAATTAGTGAGATTTTAAATTTCCAATACTAATTATGGAGGTTTCTGAAGAATCTGTGACAGTTAATGAACCGGCTTCTAATCCGAATAATTGTGGTAAACGTTTTTATCATTTCTCTGGTTGTACTGAGTATCGAGCTGCATTTAATTGGCCTCCTGGATCACAACAATCAACGACAATTAGTCAACAAATAGTTAATAGCGGACCTTCGTCTTCAACAACCGTTACAACAACATCATCAATCAATTTAGACAAAGGAGTTAAGTCTCAAACAATTGCTGATTTTAGTGAGATAAGTGCAACTTCAGCAACCAACAATCAACAACAATATCAACCAGCTAAATCATCAACTAATCAACCTCTTTCATTGGCCCCTGGAGCTGCAGGTTTACCAAGTCATTTAAGCGGCGGAGTGGGTTATGGATTAGGAGGAGGTGATAAAATTAAAGATCGACCTCAAGTATTATTTACTCGAGCAACTCCATCACCACCGGTAGTTGATTCTAAACCTGGAAAACCGAATACCAAAACTGAATATAAGAAAAAATTTAAACCATTTTCCACTTATGTTTACATTCCCGGAAGTGGGTGGAAAAAATCAAAACAAACTACCAAAGATCCCGACGCAGTTGGATTTTCCAGTGAAACTGGAAGATCAACTAGCGAAGGTGCATTGGAGTGGTACGGTGAAGTTGTCGAAAGAGCTAAGAAAGCTTGTGAATTTCGTTCACGATCTCAATTTGGTCATCCAGTTGTCGGTGTTGATCATTTGGAATCAATTTACAAGGAAACCAACCTCTGGAATCAGCCCAAAGATCGTTCAATAGCGGCTCTTGCCCTGGCCACTAGTAATCATCTTCGAGTATCAACTCGATCATCTAAAGGTAATTCACGCGATTCATCTCGTGATTCATCAAAGGCCGCTTCTGATCGGGTTACAAGTAACCATGCAAACGCAATCATTTCACCCTCTAAGGAGACTCAAGCAATTAAGAAACAATTTGGTAAACAATCACAATAATCATTTACCAATATGAACACTTTCCCATTTTCTGCATGTTAATCTCTCCTACCACCAACAACCAACATACACACACAACCATCAACAACAAAAATAATACAAAATAATATAAATAGTAATCAATTTAATCAAGTAATCAAGGTCTTTTATACACCGACTTAAGATTATAAAAAAAAAGACCATTAATCAATGACAATTAACAATAATTACATATTAGAGTTATAACTGAATGATAATCCCTTAGTGACCGTAACAATTGACCATTTAATTTTATTTATTGATTATTTTCCAATGCATGTCATCAATTTTAATTTAATTTTTCAATCAATTTAACCTTTTAATTGTTGTCAATTTGTAATGAGACAAAACGGATTATCACAACAATAAGGAGCAAAAATGATTGAAACAAAACAATATCATGTTAACTTATTGTAACAATTTAATTGATTCCCTAATTTATATTTACACACACACAAAATAATTCCTATTTACTCTAATTCATTCAATTGATTGTATAAAAAGTTATATAATCATTGTTGATTATACCAATTTCCTAATTTCAATGAAACCATGAAGCTGGAAAAAAGCAAAACAAAACAAAAAGACAACAAGAAAACAACAAGAACCTCCTAACCCGAACCAAAACAAAACCTTTTCATGTTTGCATGTTTACACTTGGAGAAACTAAAATGGTTCTGATTATTGTTTATCATCACCCGAATCTGATTAAGATTTGATTGCAAAGCTGAAAAGCTAAATTGTTATTGATGCTCCCCTTATACTCAGCATACTCATTGTGTCTGGTTAACTGTGTATATGTGTTTACACGAAGCCTGCCAACGCCCTATCAACCTATTTAAACTCAATGAGAGAACAGGGAGAGAGAGAGAGAGAGAGAGCGAGTGAGAGAGCAACTCATCAGACTGTCTAACCAAATTCTCCCGAAAAACATAATACATCTCAAAAAAGAGTAAAGGAAATAACAAAAATAAATATTCTTTTTCTATTATTATTCTAATTCAGAAAAGAACCTGGGAGTTTAATAGTGGGAGAAAAAAGAGGACAGGGAGTGAGAAAGGAAGATAAATGATGATAAGTCTTAAGAACGATGTCTAGAAGGATAACCCAAAAATCAATTCTCAATGAGAATTCAATGATAATGATGACCAACTTTTACCATCTAATTGATTGTAAAAGCACAACAATCAACAAAGAACCAGAAATTGGGTTTACCTTTAATGGAACAAAACAATCAACAATTAATTTCTTAATTGTTTCTACTCACAATTAGATTAACATCTTTTTGTTTATTTATCTCGATGACAATTCCCATCATCCTTATTGATTATCAATCTATTTAGTTAATTGTGAAAGTTAAATCATTTGTCCTTTTAATTGTATTTCTTCAAAATTAACACAATTATTTTCATCTTTCTTAATCCATAGGAACCACTCCCAGTAACCAAAGTTATTATTATCACTCCCAGAGAGTTGATTTTGAGATTTAAAACAATTTGATTGTCATGTTTATTATTTAAATAGTAAATTTGATGATCTAGATTGTCATTGATTGTTAGACAAACTGTTTCAATCTATTAATTGTGTGTCACTTTTGTTATGATTTCTTTTGCTTATTATTATTCTTGTATTATCAATGTTGTTGACCGATTGTGACTTAGTTGAACATTTCAAATGATTCTAATTATTGATTAATTGTCTCAAACTTTCACTTCCTATTGCTTTTAGCTGATAAGCCAAAACCCGCTGCTAAATCTGCTGTTGCTTCACGATCTAAATCAACTTCAGGTTGTAATTAACCCTAACTAATCAATTGCTTTATATCAGCTGCTTTTATTTAATTGTTGATTGTCTTACCTTAATTGGTCATTTCATTGTTTTTAATATAATTTAATATCTACAGATAATAAAGGTAAATCTTCAACGGATAAGAAACGATCTGGGGGATTGACCACTACAACTACTGGAGCCAAATCGACCTCAGTTGATTCTGAGGGTGGGAAAATTTGGCTAAAACCAAAGAAAGAGGATAAAAAAGCATCACCACCATCATCGGAATCTGTGGTTACCAAAGGTGCGGAAAATGGTGAAAGCGGTGCGAAAGATTCACTCGCCGGGATAGATGATAAATTGAGCGATGGTAAAGGCGGTGGTGGTGATGGTGAGACACCCGCGACTACTGGTGCTTCCAGTTTAGTTACTTCGGGCTCATTGACTCCCATGCTCTCTCCTCGTGAGAAAGAGGGAGGTAAAGATGAACTTGAAACGGGTACAAATGCGATCAGGTCACCAAATACCTCTGATGATCAAACTCGATCACCTCGACCTAATTCATTAGTCAGTTCAATTACCACGACCAACGGTGGTAGTGGCCTTTCCTCGCCTCCAGGTATCATTTCTGATGGTCCAGTTAAAACCACTGAGATTAAATCGCCAGAGGAAGTGACCGGTGTTAAATCACCTTCACCTGAACTATGGAGGGTCGCAATCGACACCGGTGCTGATATTAACTGGACAGAGGCGAAACCAGCCTCAGGCAATTTAGTTGATAACAAAGATTTGGGTGATAATGATTTCTCAATTGAATCAAATGCCAACAATTTAGCTAAACAATTAGATGAGACGATTAACAAACAACCAGAGACTCAAGAGAAACCAGAAAACGTTAATACATCAGCTTCGGGTAATTAGATTAAAACAATTAACCTCCCAATCAATCTAATTGTTTGATTTTACTTTCATCCTTACAATCAATTCAGAAGCCAATGAAGACATGTATGGACCTTTATCAATTTAAATTGTTACCAAAGATGTTAACAATTGGATCACTTAATTACCATTTTAAATGATGACAATTAATCCCTATGACTTAAACTAATTTTAACAATCAATCAACAATTGAGGATATTGTAAAGCAACTTGGATTAATACAATGATTGATTTAAAGCAATCAAATTAATCGCTGAAATATAATAGTCAATCTTGATGATTTAATCCTCTAATTGCATGAATATTTTATCATGATTAACATTCAATTTGCTTTCATATTCATCTTAAGCTTTAAATGACCCATTCACTAACAATTATTAAACTGAATTAAAACTGATTGTGAAAATAAAGCCCAAAGTGATTGGAAACCAAATGAGAATCTGATTTTAAACAAAAAAAGGAAAAGCCTTAAATTAACTGTCAACAATTAACTCGTCTAATTGTTTAATGGAAAGTGAAATCATGATAAAAATCAACTAATTGTCCTACTAAACCTGCTTGCTAAATGAAACACTCAAAACTATTAACTAAACATGATTAAATATTTAATTTCCTTCCAATTGTTAATTCAATCTCCATCAAATTGTTACCATTAATTGAGATGGTAAATTTGTGATAATTTATCTTAATGTGTAATCAAGTTGATTTGATTGTTAAAATTTCATTCCATTCACATAATATAAAAGAAAACCACAATTCCAATTGATTAATTTCCATTAATTACCCCAAAGTTAATTGATTCCTTTTGATTGTTTTACTAATTAGTCAAAAATTTACTGTCAATCTATGTTATCGTTAATCATTTACGTTCAACAGTATTATCATTGTAACCATTTTAATTTGAAATCTTGGATCACAATTTAATAGTAAATCAAATTTTCTGTTCATTGACAACAATTAAAAGCAATTAAAGAAACTAAACCTGCGATTGTGAAACAATTTACTTAATGAAAATACGAAGAAAATGAAAGATGAGGATGAACAAAATTCTGAGGCGACTCAGAGAGAAGAACAGTTAATCTTCTCGAATTTTTTTATTCGTTCTTCGTCGACTATCTCAGTGATCTCTTTGTGGGTGGTGGTTTCCTTTTTCTCTCTCGATCGATTTAATTAAATAAGTTCTAAGGTCTAGACTGACAGTTCGAGGCTTTTATCTTAATCAACTCAACTTTTGAATGAAACTGTAACACCAAGTTAATTGTTCCCCATTATCATCACCAACATGTACCAATTGATTGTTGTTGTTGCTCAATTTTGTTTCGCTTGTATGTAAATTAAATTGTTCACTAAATTAACTGATTGACAAAGTTTACAACTAATCAATTGAATTGTCTAATTTTCAATTTGTTTTCTTTATTCTGTTTAACTTTAGATCCCAAGAATAAGTCACCAATTGAAAGAAAACAATCTGATCAAGTGACCACTCCCATTGATGATAAAATGAACTTGGAATCAGCGACAAGGACAGTTGACCAAGAGAAATCGCCGGTGGGTCTTCATGGGGACAAAGGTGATTCCATGAAAAGTGAGGATTCTCTTACTGTCAAAGGGCAGAGTGACACTCACCCAGCCACACCCAGTGCTTCCAGTTTATCTACTTCCGGAACTTCAGGTTACCCGATCTCCGTAACTGAGACGATGGTCCAAAAAAATGTGAACATAACGGTTTCTTATAATCCACCAAAATCGATGTACACTTCATTTGATCAGCTGCGATCACCGAGACCCAATTGTTTCATTAGTTCAATTACTCGAGTTAATGGTCAATCATTACCTTCCCCTGGGTCAGCAGTTAAAACTACTGAGATTAAATCACCAGAGGAAGTGACCGGTGTTAAATCACCTTCACCGGAAGCCTGGAAAGTTGCTTTTGAAACCGGAAACGGTATCAACTGGACACAAGCTAAACCGGTCACTAATACAATTACTATTGATCCTAAAAAGGTTAACAATTCAATAATAGATTCAAATAGATTAGTTGATTGTAATGAAAATAAAGCTGAGATTAATTTGATGGGGAAAAATTCAAACCAATTAACTAATCAACTAAATGGTGAAACGAGATCGACTAATCATCAACAATCTACTTTTCTAGGTGAGTAAATAATGACAACAAATTAAATTTAGCAATTATTGATTATCATTAGAATCCCTGGTTACTAAAATTATCATGGATTCTCATTATAATCAATATTTTTGTCTCAGTTTTAACCTTGAATTTGATTCTGTGATTTATGATTGATAATAATTCATAAATGAATCAAATTAATGTGTAAATTTGTTGCAATTAATCAATTCTAATTGTAAATTGTTTGACTTTCTGTTTACAGAGACAAATAATCACTTGGATGGATCTCAAGCAAATCTAATTGTTACCAAAGAGACGATACTTTGAAGGTTAATTGTTGACAATTAGACGTTTATTTGTTCACTATTTTCCTATGTCAACAATTAGAAACTTTTGGGAGAGCAATTAAATTTAAAAACTAATTGAATTAACATTTTAATTTAATAAGCAAAACAAATTGAAAAAATTTCACTAATCATAATGTTCAAAAGTTTAAATTTAGCCAATAGACAATTAAGTGCACTCAATATTTTAATTATATAATTACCATTAATGTATTAATTAACTAATCATCTTAATCAAGCCTTAATCCTAAGATTTAATCCAATCAATATTAGATAATTACATTGTCCATTACCTTAATTGTTAGCAAGATTATGATGCCTTAAATTGAATTTGTTAATTGTAAGACATTGGATGAAATTAACCAATGAGAATCATATTTTACTAACAATTAACCACTCACTTTTTTCATCATTATTAATTTGATTAGTCAACCAATTTAGCAATTTAATTTAGTTGTCTTCCAATTGCTTATTTTTCATTCAACTGTGCCAATGATTATTTTCAATTAATTTGTGATAAATTTAGTTTGCAATTATCATTATTTTACTTGATTACAATCGATGATTAATCAATTTCAATAATTTCCTATTACGAAATTAAAACACAATTAAATTAAATTGTATTTTCTTTTTAAATCATTTTCTTTAATAGTTAACATTCATAACAGCAATAATACGACTATTAATTTCAATTGAAATTACAATCTATCAATCAACCCAAGCCCCAATTGGTATTCTAATATAACCTTCATCAAGGTCACCATTTACTTTCTCAGCTTAATAATAATAATCATCATATTATCAATGAATAATTTGTGATATTTTGATACAGATTTCAAGTGCTTGAATATCCACCATTTTGATTTATATTTAAGGTCAAAAAATCAATGAAATAATAATTGAATGTCGATTGTCAAAATTGTGATACATAGAAAGTTTCTGAGATAATAATTTAATTTATTATATCGATGAACAGAATTTTGTAGAATAATTTTTACAATTACTGATTGTAAATAATCAAATTGTCTTTGACAAAATTGGAAAATTTTCAACATCTTTTGAGTTAATTTCGTCAAACAATTAATCATCGTTAGAATCTGAGAATTGATCATCATCTTCGTCTTCTCGAAAATCATTTGGAACATTTTCCTTAGTTGAACTTTCTTTCTGTTTTTGGACACACTTAATACGATGAACAGCACAATGGATACGGAAATATACCATAGATTCATTCATGTATTTACGATAATTTTTCTTGGCCTTTCGAAGCCAATCGAGACTCGACTCGAAATTTCCTTGAGTTCGATAGATTAAACCAATCTCCATACATGCATGAGGTTGTAGGTAAACATAAGATTCAAGATCTCGATCACTAATCAGAATAAAAAAACAAATGAAAAGATTAAAATTCAACTGAAACAATCAACTCAACCACATCATAATTACCATTGAATAACCTCAATGAAACATGAAATCGCCTGAAGGGGATAATTGAGATACCGTAAACAAATACCCTTCATGAAGGTTAGATAATAATATTTATGGTAACTCTTTGAATCTAAAAGAAATCAGAAGCAATTAAGTCAATTAAAGTTTCTTTTATTCCTCTTCTCTTACCTTTCGAGTGACATTTAATTTCCCTTTCAACAGTTCGTAAAAGTTTATCCAAAATATTCGGACATTTACCAAGAACGGGAAAAATATTCCATATATAAAATAATTCCTAAGAAAGACCAGAAAAGCTCATTAATTATCCCACTTAAATCGCAACAATTAACTTACCATCACAGGTAAAAGTAAAGTTTCACCTTCAATGAAATATAATTGTGACCTTTTAACTAAACTTTTTTCCAGGTAAATACTTTTACCGGCCACTCGTCTTAATTGTTTCGGTACTTTCCTGAATAGAAAATTGATTTCAGTTAATTACTAGTTAATAAATAGTGATCAATATAATCATTACTTCATATTTTTGGATATCTCTTGAGCAAGAATTGCATCTTTCTTATCAAGGTTAACCATGTATCTGAAACAAGCTTCCATGTATAGCGATGTACAGGGTGACCATTTGCAATCTTTTAATAAACGATTGGCATAATTAGCAGCTTTCTCATAGTCACCTAAGATTCTGTGTGGTAATTAATTGTTTAAATGGCAATTAGTTAATCATCAACCATTACGGTTATTTATCAACCTACGCATGTGAAAAAACTAATCCCCAATAACAAGCGAAGTCAATTTGGTTCCATTCATTGGCAGGACTTAATTTAATTGCTTGATTGTAATAATCGATCGCCTAAATGATGCAAGTGTAAAAATGATGAGAAATTGATTGTCAATAGTTAATTAGAAATCAATCATTAAAAGAAACTTTTACCTCTTCGATACGACCATTAACAAGTGAAAATAAGGCTCGATAAAATTTTCCAAATCCACTCTGTAGTTACAATTAATATGAAAAATAAGTAAATTAACTGATCAGTTGAGTTCATTGATTTGTAAATTGTTAATCTAATTGTCAGTGATTAATATGGTAAACGTAAAACCTTTGAGTAAATATCCCAAGTGGATAAAATTTCCTCCATAAATGACATTTCAGGTTCACCAAGTCCTGGAAATTTCAATGAAAATTCACAATTAATTCATTTTTTTTTTGTACAAATTACGATTAATTAAATCATACCAAAGGTGAATTCTACAGTGCATTCGTGAGCGAGAAGTAACATGGCCGCAATCGGACTTCGAAAACCCCAATCACCGATCGAAACTTGTTTAAGATGAGAAAAAGCTTCTTCTCGAGTTCCTGAGAAACCAAACATTTCGATTAATTTTAGAACTCGAGCTGGAATGTACGAAATCGCCTGGAAAATAAACAGTAAATTAACTAATTAGTGAACATAATCAACCAAATACTAAAGTAACTAGTGAGTATCAGTTACCAGATTAAAGAATCCTGACCCAATTCGAAGACCAGCTTCGAAATTTTTCTTCGTATAAGGAGTTAACCAGTTTTCTCGTTCTTCTAAAATTTTTCGACATTTTCTAAGAATGAAAAATAGAATCAATTTAACAACAATTGAGATTCAACAATTAATCTTACAAATTACCTGTAAATATAAATTGTTTCTCTAAGTCTCATAACCACTTTTAATAAAGTCGAAAAGGTTTTAGCTCTTAGAACCGCTAATAAGATCCAGCCAATATTAAGCTCTGCGTACATCATTTCAGCGTGACATTCCTCTGGAGTAAATAAAAGGTAATATTAATAACTAATTGTGACAATTAACTAAATCAATCTATGTACCTTCTGAGTAACTAGCAGCATTAATCGATCCCCAAAGCTTTGAGACCAAACTTGTCTTTCGACGGGAACGATCAATAACATCCATGGCTCGTTCAATCTTAGCAAAGGCTTCATCCAGAATCGGCTACAATTACAGAGGGTAAAAAAATAACAACAATCAAGAGAAATTAAAAAGTTAATCAAGAAGAAGAACCAGTTAATTACTTCTTCCATTGAGAAAAGAGCTCTGATTGCATATAAAGCTGCTGTTCCACATTCAAAGACAAACGATTGATCCCGTTTAGATTCGCACGATTTCATGGCCTCATCGAACTGATAGTTCATGAACAGGTCAACATGAGCTCGACATTCACGTAAAATGAGATCCATATCAGCGCTGGTCAGTTTGATTGATTGTTTTTCCTTAAGTAAAGAGTCACTAACCAAATCAAAGAGAGAGAAATTTAAACAAACAATGGTTAGTTTAATAATCTCACAATTTAAATTGTAAGATTTAAATATAAACTTAATCGGTGATTGACCAAACAATTTGTAAATTATTAACTACAGATCATCAACCAAAACCTGTTAAATTGTCCCAGGTAAAATTTTCCAATAATAATCTTGTTGCTTTTTTATTTCCTTATTTCCGCAACAATTTAGATTACAATCAATTGTTAATTTTGAACAGTACTTTATGTTACTATTTATATTTGAATGTTATTAACACTTTGATTGTTAACAATCAATAACAATTCAACCTCAGGTCTTTGTACGGTGATTTAAGGATAATAATACAAAGAAACTTGATAATCAAGTCAACAATTTATCCGTTTTCAGTTAATCACAGTTTTTCATGATTATTTAAATTGTTGAAGAAAAAGGGAAATCCAGTTAAATTAACTTACCCATTGTTGCCGTTAAGGTCAACGTCAAGTTGTTCATTTGCATCTTCAAATATCTGCGATTGAAACAATTAGTGATTAGTTTTAATTGTGATCAGTTAAAGGGGACAATGAATGAGATGAACAAGTTGTTTACATAATTAGGAAACTAATTGAGAGCTGATTGTTGAAAGTGTTTAATGTTGTCATCATCAAATTTGATTGTGATGATCGAAAGTTAAGTTGATTGACTGTTGATTAATCAATTGAATTACAGTTGAATAGATTTTATTATGCAATTGAATTGATTGTAATTGTGATTTTGGGAAAATCAGCAATTCGATTAATGTTAATTTTTGGCATTGAAGTGATTTAAAGAGACGGATAATTAACTGATGATGATGAGCTAAATTGTAGTGTGATAATTTAAAAATCCCATAGCCTGAAGCTTTTTATTTGCTGGTTAATTTGAAATAAGATATTAATTGTTAACAGAATTGAATTTTCTAATCATAGTGATTAACATTGTCATGGTTAATCAATTCAAATATTGGAATTACTTTTCTTTCTGATTATCTAATATTAATTGTAATCAATGGACTGGAATCAAGTGTTTTACTGCAGTCTAACAATTAAGGTGAAATGGTGAGGGAATGAGGTAACAATTAACATAATTCAAACAATTAAACATTAATAAACTATTAGGAATAGACATTTAATCAACTATGATTATCATAATTAACTTGATGATGGTTTTGATGAAAAACATAATTTGTCAGCTGATTGTTTCAATCAGTTTAATTAACCATTTACTGTATTTAATCAATGACCAGACTATTAATGATCAAAACTGTGAACGATAAATTGTTTACCTTCAACCAGCAATCAGGCTAATTATTATTTCAAATTGATTGTTACCTTAAGCAATTTAAACATTAACAATTTTTCATTTTCTCATTATTATTAACTGATTGGCCGGAAAATAGTGAATTGTAATGATTGAAATTAACTATTGATTAACCTTGATTATTGGAGATTTAGAGAAGAAGAAAAAATTATAAAATAATAATTAGAATTGTTGTTGATTGTGAACATAATTTTCCTCATGAAATTTTCAGCTTCACTTTGTAACGATAACAATTGTAATCATCATGGGGAAAGAAATGAATATAATCAGATTGAACTGATTAAGAGTTAATTTTGATGACGAAATTATAATCTGATTGAGTAGAGAGAGCGAGAAAAACAAAAGTAACAATATATCTGATCAAATGTAACAATTAACTTTCGGAAGCAATTGTTGATCATTGATAAATTGAAACCAACATGACAATCGAATTGAATATAACTGAGACACTCTGATTTAAAGTAATTAACGATAATTGATTATCAGGATAAAGAAACAATCAAAGAGCGAGAGACACAGATTGTAACTAATCAAGAGTAAGTTATGATAAACAATCAACAATTAGGATAATTTTATAAACACAAAATCATCTCATTTACAAATTGGCTTTTTAAAACTAACCTCTTCATCTGAATCATTGTTGGAGTCCAATTGATGGCTGTGAACATTTTCCGGCCTAATTGTGGAGCACATTATGGTTAATGTTGGTTGATTTAAATTTGATTGACAACCAATTTAATTGGAGAAATAAATTGTATAACAAAATGGAAACAGAGGAAAAAAACATAAACAACAAAAAAAAAAGGTTTTTCTTTATAACGGTGACAATTGTTTCTTATAAGGAATTAAATATTAGAAATGTTACTCTCAAGAAGATACGATTTTCATTGATGAAGATTCACAATTAATCTACACTTTAGAACGTTGCTTTTTAGTTAACTGAATTAAAATTAATTCTGATTGTTGCTGATGATTGAAAGAAAAAAAGATGAATTGAACAGAGAAAATACTCGAGAACAGTGAGCGCCATCTATTGGTTGGAATCGAATTTCGAACCATGTGACTGAGATTTGGATTCGTTTGTAAACTTGTTACGATTTGAAGATCGTTAGTCAATCAGATTTCAATTTTTCTACTTCTTTTTATTGTTAAATTGCTATGTATCAGGTTGGTACGAATTAACCTTGCGGAACTTTATTTTTTCATCACTAGTATCAGAATATTATTATTATCTCAACAGAAAAAGTTGAGCAAATTTAAATGGTCATGTAAAAAATACTGGACAAGTTTTCGGGGTTTGGGTGAAAGCTTATTTCAGAGCTTCTTATTAATTTTATCAGGTAAACAATAGAGATAATCACGATCAAATTGATTCGAAACTGGTCTCTGGTCAAATATCTTTAGAAGAATAAATAATCATAAAACTATTAATAGATTAAATGAAAACAATGATTGAGATGAAGGTTAACTGACATGAACTCGATCATTTTTTTATAACATTAGATGGACGAGAGGAATGGTGGAGAAATGTCTTGACCAAAATCGGATTGTTGGGAAGTTCGGAAGAGACTCGGCCGATTTCCGCTTTTTTCAGGGATCATTGGCAAATCATTCCAATTATCAAAACATGTACATGATAGTCTCATAATCGTGTAGAAATATGTAATTTCAAAGGTGAACAGAAATGATCTTCTTAGGTTTTCTAATTAGGAACGAGATGAGATTTCCGATCATCTTGAAATGTTAACAGTAAATCAAATAAGGTGATAAATGAAACACATGAACATCATCATACTCAATGAATCAACTTGATGAAAATGAATCTAATTTGATTAATTTGGCCTTCATCAATTTAGTAGCGAGAAGTGTTTGATTCATTTAATTTGAAAATCGTAAATACAATCAAGTTAATCAAAGTTCATGAGGGTTTACATTAAGATGGTGACAATGGTTGATCATTTTGTCTTCATGTGAATCAATTGGTTTTTTTTTCTATCTTCACCAAACTGAACACTTTCGAATTGGATTCATCGTTGATCCTAACGGACAATTGAAACTTGCCGAAAATTCTGGAATGTTGGACATTGGGCCGATTACTCTAAGATGGTTGATAGAAGAAAATAAATTCATATTAGATATTTGTCTCTGACAAAGTAAAATTACATGAGAATTACCTGAATTTTCCTGGACTATGTTCGTCACGGAGTAATTGATTTTGTAGAGCTAATTTACTTTGTTTCTCGCACCAAAACTGTATGAAAATGAAAAAAAATTCATTGAACAATCTAATAAACTGTTCAAGTTTAAAAAACTTACATTTGCAGCTCCGATCCAGAACAATTTATCAGGAGTGAATGATAATCCAGGAAGCGGTGGTTCTTGTGGGTGTCCTTTTGACCAGGATTCATAAGCCTGAAAGATACAAACGGATTCAGAATTAATCTAATTGAATATTAACTCAATATCTTCAATTTACCTTGAGCGCTAATTTGAGTCCACCATTATCAGCCATGTTTTCACCTTTACTCAAATCACCACTAAGAGTTATATTCAGTTCATCAACGTAATAACTATCATATTGATCAATCATACATTGAATTTTTTTACGAAACTTGGAATCGGTCTCAGAATCCCACCAATCCTGAAGATTTCCCGTTTCATCAAACTGTTTACCTCTCTCATCAAACCCATGGGTGATCTCATGGCCGATCAAGAACCCGAAAGAGGCAAAATTAAGGTAATAAGGTCGATCCTTTTCAAAAAACACTCCCTGTAGTAAAGCGGCTGGAAGCTGAATCTTATTTTCCAATGGATTATAAAAAGCATTGACGATCGCCGGTTGACTTTGTTTCCACCAACTAAATAGTAAAATCAATCAATTAATCAAATTCTAATCGATATTTCAACTTCATCCTCTATGTATCAATACTTACATTTGAGAAGTTTTTTGTCCATATTGACTGAGATCTCGTTCTTTGTTCCAACGTTTTAGATTCAAAATGTTCACTGAAAAATCGTTGGTATCAATTGATAGCTAAAGATGAAGGAAAAAAATCAATTAATTGCCGTTAATCAATAGCAAAATTATCCACTTACAGTTTCATAAAACTGATCAACCAACGTTTGATTCAGTATCTGTTCAGGGTAAGCGATATACGCGTCCATTGATTTGACCTTTTTCAACGCCATTAATTTGGTTTCATTTCCCATCCAATCAATACTTTCAAGAATCCCAACAAATTCATCTTTAATATACTGGAAAGCCATGGTAGCCTGATTGATGGAAAAGTTAAAATGCCAATTACAATTAAGTTAATTGTTCGAGAAGGAAAAATTAACAATTCATTATTGTTGCATACAAGAAAAAAAATCATTTAAATGTTTTAAGGTCAAAATAACAACAATATTGATCTTCATCACCATGATCATCATTTACTAAATTGTTGTCAAGGTTTGTAAGTTTAAGTCTTCAACTAATTAACAATTAGAAAAGTTATTCAATCACAATAACAATTGGAATCATTGTTTTGATTTCTTCCTTCTTGTGACAGAATCTTGTTGATTTGCCTCAATCAATTTGATGATTCAATCTTTTGAATTGTAAAAACAAATCTAATTCTTCAACAGCAATTAACTTGTTCTCCTTGGGAAAGTATTTGTAAAAACTAATGTCCACTTGATATTGACCAGTTTTCAAAATTTTCTTTCAAAACTTGAGGTCAATTGTAATACTTTTTCCCAATTTACTTTTCCTCGGATTGATTGTTAGTTGTTTCGACTTACACTCTCTTACCATTTTCTTTGTTTCCGGATCACAATGATTCTTGACATAGAGACTTGAGAGAGCGACGTCCATCCCCTGGTCCATCATGTAATCGAGACACTCTTCCCATCGAGGTTTGTCCGATTTCGTCCCTTCATGGAAAATGTTGTAACTATCTCTCCATTCTTTGGATGAATAAGGCATCAGTTCATAGATAACCCGCCAAACGATATAATTCTGAAGCATCCTGAGGGAACAATCAAGTTAATTACATTTTCGTACGTGAGAAAACATCAATAATTAACTACTCACGTTGGTCGCAATTTGGGTATGAAATCATTAAGATTTCGAATAAATTTTATATCGAAAACAACAATCAGTTCGTCTGAACTGAGATTACGATTGACTAGGCCACTTAATAGTTTATACCAATTAATCTAGTAAAGAAATTTGATTGAGGTTAATTGTGATTCTCCATTTTCTGTTTCATTTGATTGATTGTTCTTACATTTCCTGAGATGAGTTGAAGCTCGTACAGGGTCATCTTCTTGTAGACCTTTGAATAGTCACGTCGCTCATCAGCTGATGTCATAAACTGTAAAATATTAATAAAATTGAACAATTGGACATTTGATTGATTACAATGAGAGTTAATTGTCTGACCTGAGCAAGGAACATCTCAAACTTTGTGATTTCTTCAATATCTGATTGCATTTGCGGTGTTACCTCATAGCCCAACTTAACTGCTATTGAGTAAATGAGACTAGTGTAGCTGATCAGATAAGTTTCATCAATGTAAAGGCTTTTATGTTTGAGAGCAAGTTCAGCTTGGTCAATCTAAACGAAGAGGAAAAGAAATAAACAAATTAGATCAATAGAGTTCGAAGTGACCATTTGATAGATTCTTACAGCTATTATATTGTTGGAAGTATTTTTAAGATCTGGGCCAACATCTATGGCGATTAGAAAATTAAAATTAGCACCAAAATCTTTTAGTTTTAACATTATGTCGGCAATATCGGGCTGAATTCGATCAATTTCTTTGGCTTGGTTCAACCAACCACCGAATGAATTGATAATATTAACAAATATTTGATTGGCTCGCAATTCAATCGCCTCTAATTGAAGAAAAGGTAAAAATAATGAATTAATAGAAAATCAATTCAGTGGAAACGAAATTTTCGAAAGAAAAAGTTTTTCTTTCGAAAATCAAAAAGTCGGTCTCGTGATGCAATTTACCAACATTGATGCAAGTCTTGTAAAAGTTGATCAACTTCGTCTCGTAGGAGTTTCGTCTTAATCGTCGTCCACCATCAGCGAGATGATTAATATCCACTAATTAAGAAAACGGGAATTAATTCTCATTGAAAATTCATTTGGCTTAACAACAATTAAAATAAAAAGAATCACAATCGAACCTCTTAATTTGTTATTAACAATTTCTTGCATTCTGTTTAATGTCCCAATCCTATTTTTCCCATGCGGAAGGATCGTCTCATTAATCCAACCACCGCAAACGAATTGATAAAAATCATCACATGGATCAACGGAAGTGTCAAGACTATTGATTAAGATTGATGCTAAGATTAAGATAATCAGATTAGTATTAATTAAAAGGGAGAGAGAGAAACAAAATCGGATTAGATTTGAATAACAAATGGAAAACTGTTAAATCTTAATCACAATTAACAACTTACCTGCTTCAACGCATCCTTGAGTTAAACATACACCTAATGGTGGTTGAGAATCATCTTTAATTGTAACAATTAACAAATTAATAAGAAGATTAGAAAAGAAAAACAAAAGTTGATTAAAGTTAAATTGTGATCATTAGACTTTTGAAAATTACGGAAAAGATTTAAAAATTTTATATTTTTCGGCTTTTTTTCTGATTTCTTATTGTTTCGTAAAGGTAAATTGTAATTACTATCGTTTACAATCAGCAACAACAATTAGAGATTAACCAAAAAGGTAAGTACAATCGTGTAATAATAATCCTTGAAAACTTTAGGGATTAGTTATGATTATCAGATATAACGATGAATAACTAATCACTTTTGGCTTCTTCTTTTAGCCGATAATCAATCAATGACCACCATCACCATCACCATCATCATCATCATCAGAAAGAACATCAATTTAAATTAGAATTGAAAATACAATCAAATTGTTGGGATTGACAACATCTAATTGTTAAGGTTATTTAATTGATTATCAAGATCCTTCATCGGTCTATCATTTGTTTTTCTGGCCTTGATTTTATCAACAGGTAACAACAAACAATTTACCTGTTTACTTATTTTAGACTTGCAAATAATTTCAATTAACTGTTTAATTGTAATGATGATTATCTCAGAGTAAAACAATTTAGAGGTTTACATAATTGTATATGCAGATTAACAATCAATTTGATTTGCCCAATGGTTTAAATTGAAAAGCGTGAAGTGTAATAAACACATGAGAAAAAGGCTCGAAATCTAATCACAATCAAGGATAACTAGGATAATCAGGACTAATCATGAACCTTAATCAACTTGTAGCTGTTGTTAACTATCAATTAAATATCATCAGTAACTCTAATCATCACTAATCATTCATGACCACAATATCAACTGAATTAAAATCTCAAAGCTAATTGTTGTAAAGTGAAAAGTTCAGAATCGCTGTGAAAATTTAATCACAATCTATTGAAACATCATAATTAAAGCTAATTGTCCCATTTAATGATCAATCTCTTGAAATATTTTCTCGTCCAATTGATTGCAAACACTTAATCAGTCAACAATTGAGTAACAATTAACTCAGGTAACTTTTTTTTGTTTATTCTTATATAAAACTTAACACTCATCACGAAAATAATCAATTGAGTAAATTGATGTTTAAATTGTAATTAAAGGCAAAACTTTTACCTAAGAGTAGGAGTTTATAATTAGCAAATTGTCAAAAACAATTTAAGTTAAAGGGAAAAGTTCAACAAGTAGTTGATCATATCAACAATTAACAAATCGTGAAAAGATTCAAGTGAAAGGAGATGTTAACAATTACTTTAATTATTACAATCAATGGACTGTGGTCAACATTGAGAGATAATGAAAACTAATTGATCAAATTGTAGATCTAACATTTAACTAACCAATTAAGATGGATAGTTGATCAAGATTAATTGATTACCTTAACAATTTATTTTTAACATTGTTGATTTTTTTTATTGAACTTCAAGGTGATTTAATTGTGATTAAACTTTTCCTCCTTAATTACAATCAACAAATGATGTTAAAAACCCTCAAAAACCAGTTATCTCATCATTAGACGAGAAATTGATTAACTATTATCAAGCTAACAATCAACTAATTGTGATTTAAATTTTCTTTCCATTGTTGTTGGTTGATTTACAATCTAAAATTTTCCATTGGATTTTTTTTTGGTAACAATTAACACTAATTTTCAATTCTCATTCATTTGATTATTTAAACGAGTGATTTAACCTTTTGGGTTAAATTAACATCAACCTACACAATTAACTAACACCGATACCTTGAAAATCAAATCACAATTAGTTAAATTGTTACAATTGTATTAATAATTCAGCTAATTGTACACTCAAATTTAAGAGATAGTGATGAACAATTAATTTGATTGATTTGTCTTTTCGTAATCATCTTGACAATAAACATCATTAAGAAAATCAAATTAAAGTTACTGACTCTTGTCAGTGTTAACTAATTGCTGTTTAATATGAAACTAATCATCAACCTAAATTGTGAAAAAATTTCATCCTTGATGGTTAATTAAAATATCAATTCACATCATGAAAACTAAATTACATGTAATCATGATAATCATTTGATTAAATTGTAAATCAAAAATTCCAAAGACGAACCACAACAACACAATTAAACCAATGGAAATATTAAAAAGCCCCGAGGGCAAAATCTCAATCATTTGAGTGTAAATAAATTCTCAATCACTACTAATTGTTGTTGTTAATTTTTTTCAATTAATTGATTGTTTAAAAATTAAAAGTCTTACCTTTGTGTTCGTGTAAAATGATATACAAAATTAATAGGAAAAGACATAAAATTGATGTAATTGTAATTAAACGATGGCCAATGGTTCGTAAATTTTTCCGATTACGTTGATCGAACCTTAATTGTGACAATTAAGAGAAAAGTAAAGCAAAAGGATTGAATGGTAAGTTGATGACGAGTAAACAATTAAGTTAAATGATTAAGTTTCTTACCTATTGAAACCTGTTGTAGTCTTACTATCAACAGGATTCTGGTTTAAATCAGTAACAGGAGTGGACATTAAATCTTGGTGGTAATTGGATTGGTGTTAATTGAGATCAACATAAATTATAATTTAGATTAAAGCTCAGTGTTGGTTTTAATCAACAACTGAGGGAGATGATTAAGAAAACAAAATGATCAGTAAACACATAAAACAAAACAAACACCAAAATGGACAGAAAAAGATAACGAAAGTTAATTAGCACGAAAGTTAAACTGATTCCGAAAACGATTCAAAGTATTATGATTAAGAAAATGAGAAGCGCGAAGGCGAAAACGTTTGATTATCACGAGGAGAGAACGAAATCAATTTGGAAACTGGAACAATTTAAGAGAATCGCAGGAAATCAACAAGTGAGAGAGAAAATCACTTAAATCAACTAAATTGTTGCGAAGAAAATTCAACACAGAGAAGAACAAAAAAAAAGAAGAAGAAGATAATTAGTTGTTACTCGTTGGTGATTCTGTTCGATCTCTAAAGGCTTGTCTGGTTTTCCATCCTCATCAAACTCTCACTTAACTTGTTTTCCACTCTCTCTCTCTCTCTCTCCATTGCTCCCTCATCATCAACAAACATCAGCCTTCTAGCTCGTCATCATCATCATCATCATCTTGGTAAATTACAATAAAAGTGATTCCTCCCACTTTCCGTTTTAAAGTAACCCAAAAGTTATTAGGTGACCAGAAGTCAAGTTGATGCGGATTTTTTTTTTCTCATTCATGATGAAAATAAGGATGAGAAAAGGGAAGCTGATGATGAGGATGCTCATGGAAATGATGAAGATAAAGATGAAGATGGTTTTGTGTTTGTTTATTTTCATCTTATTTTTTTAAACTTCTTTTTGTTGTCCTTACTCTCTAAATTTAGATTGGAACACTTTAAGTCAATAATCAGATTGATATGAAGTGAAATCAATGAATCTATTGATTTTAATCATTACAAACACTATTCCTGATATTGTCCTGATTTTAATATAAACGTTAATCATTTCAAATCCAGTGGGTGATTTGATTATCATCAACATGGTTAATCTTGAACATTTTTGTTCGTAATCAACATTGGATTTAATGAAAATCTATCTCTTTGTTGTCATTGTATTAATTTGAACGCGTTGGTGTTGAGAGATTAACTTGATTACAATCAATGATTTAGTAATGAATAAGTTAATAACTAATACATTTTGTAATTATAATCAAGGTATTGGACTTTTAATCTTCCGAAAGGTGAGTCTTAATTATTTACAATTAAGCTTTCAAATGTCCTTGTCGATTAACAATCGGACCCGAGCGAGTCTAACCAATCCTTGATTCCTTTTTTTTCCTCGCCATCTTTAATTGTTACAATCAATTGTGATGTTATGGTTAAACAATTTACTCAACAATTAAGTTTTCAGGTCGTTCTGGCGATTCCAATTCAATAACATACCAAAAAAGTAACATCTCCTTGGGTGTGTCCAGTTTTCTTATAATGATTTCATGGATTGTGTTTCCATCCCTTTGGACAATCAATTGTTGATCAACAATCAAAGGGAAAATATAACAACAATTGATACCATAAATAACATTATGATTAAAGATGATTAACAAACGAATTGATAATCATTGGGAAAGTAAATGCTACTAAATGAGAAACAGTAATAATTAACTGATCATCCATAAAGTTTTAATAACAATTATAATGATGATCAAATTGTCTGTGATTAGATTTACAATAATCATTGATTCACGCGATTGTTAATCACTTAGGATGTTCAAATAACCTTGAGATGATATTTAATCATTTTGTTAACCGGAAACTATTCTGATTTCTATTAAGTTGATTGTCTGTAATTTAATTAATCGTTAATTTGATTCAATTTAGAGAGAAAGTTGTATAAATAAGTTCCCTTTAAACTAAAGATTTTCATTAAAGTTTTTTTTTCGTCAAAACTACTAATCATTAGGACTCAGAATTTGAGTTCGAGTTTTGGACGAAACTTGCGAAAGTTCATTGAGACTCATTCATGGAACTTCACTTTCCCCCCTTCAAATGACCTTGAGAGAGATTATCCCATGAACATGTTGAGTTTAGAATAAAAAGAAACAGAGATTTCGAAATGTTCATTAATTTTAATAACTAATGGAAGACGAAATCTCGACATGGATCTTTGGAAATACTCATCATTTTTCTCGTTCTTTTCTCGTGTAATTTTATGAATGAAAGGGAATATCAATTGTAACTGTTATCCTATTCAACTTGAAATACGATCATTGTATGAATGAAAACAACTAAGACCGTTAAAGTTTGTAGTATTAAATCATAATACCAATTTAATAATTGAATTATTGTAAATTAACAAGTATCAAAATCAACCCCCAAGGAGCAATTTAATTACGATTACAGAAAAAAATATGACACTTATTGATAGTTGATGATGATAAATCATCAAAGTTACTTGAAGATAACATAACCTGATCGTGATTTTTTCACAATCATGATTATAGTAAATGCAACTGAAGCAAATACAACAATAAGAATAATAATTAAGATCATTGAGAGTGTATCAAGACCAGTATCAATCGAACCGCCAAGTCCACAATAGGCTGGCCAATCGGATTCCATTAGGGTGGACATATGATTTAAGAGATCATTAAGAGGTACTGATGGTGATGATGAAGAAGAAGAAGAAGATGATGATGATGATGATGATGTAACGAAATTTGGATAAACGAGATTGGGTTGATGAGAATCGGTATCGTTCCAGTAAAACATTTTAACGGCATAAGCTAATCCTGGTTCCTCGTAAAGTTCAAGAATAAAGATCGACCCTGGAGGTGGAATGACCCCGTTAACACCGGCTAAATGGTAAGCAACTGAAGACATGATCGGTGTTAACGTTGAATAAACTAGAAGTCGAGGTTTTTGTTGAACCGATGAACGAGGTGTTGGTTTTATAATTGATTTCAATCTATCGGTTAGTTCTGAGTAAATCGGTCCAACCATTTGCTTCAACATATCGGGATACGCGGTCGCCATTGAATGGAAACTGTTGCCTAAATCGTTAAAATCTTCAATTACACCAGGGGTGATCCATGATGGAATCTTTGATTTTAACATTACTTGTAACAAAACTGTTTCAATATAATCAATTTGATTCCAAAATGAGGTTAATCCAGTTTTAGATTCAACCAATTTCAATGTTGAGGCAAATTGTTTTTTCAAACTTTCACATTCGCTTGAACTTAATAGATCTTGAATAACAGTGTTCACTTTTGGACAATAGCAATGAGTTGAAAGCATCTACGAATCAGTTGATTGTCACAATAGAAAGAAAGAGAAAAAAAATTTTAGAATTTAGAAAAAAACGAAAAATAAATCAAGTATAAGATTCTAGGAAGTGGGTACATGAGCACTTGAAGGTTAACTTTACCATAGAGTAAGAGTTTACCTGTACCTGGAATCGGGTTATTGTCTGGTTTTTGTTGGGTTCTTATACTTACACAATCGTATTTCGTTGGCACTGTATGAACGGCGATCGGAAGGTAATCGGTTGATCCATATTTCCAATGACCACGAGCTTTGTAAGCTCCGTGAAGAAAGACAAGCGAACCTTCAATGTTATTGTCTTTATCTCCGCTTCGGGCATGAACCTCACGCGGACTATCAGTTAGGAAACGATCGTACCTCGAATGAAATGATTTACCTAAATTGTATAATTTGTATTTACCAGTTGCGGTTAATTGTTCAACACCGTCAGGCCAAAATTCTGGTCTTAGATAGGGATCAATATGGGAAAAGGTTGAAGGTGGAGTTGATAGACCTTCGTTTAAGATTATGATGACAGATCTTAGGGTGACATAATCAACAGATGAAGCATTGAGTGAATCATTTTCACCTAATTCAGTGGAATCGGATGTTGTTTGACAAAATACTGGAACAATTAAGTTAATTGTTAAAAGAAAACAACTTATAGAGATCAAGAGTCGGGGAAAATTTGTCACAATCATTGTAACCATTTGATGGATAGAAATTAGTGGAAAGAGAGAGACAAAAGAAAAACAAGAAACAAATAGTGAGAGAAATTTTCTCAAAGTGACTCAATTTACCTGTGGAAATAATTAGTTGTACCGGTTAAACGAGTTTCCCAACAGCCAATCACAAATTCATTCGCAACTTTGTTAACTTTTTTTTCAAGTTTTTCTCCTTCAAGGTAAACTAACCAAAGGAAAGAAATTGACTTGGAAGAAAACAGATGATCAACCAATTTGAATCTATCCAAACATTTACAGAGAATTTACCTTAACCATAATTATTATTAAGATTCGATTTTTATTGTTCAACTTTCTCTTCAGAAAAAAACTTTTAGTGATTTCCATGGAATGTAGAGGTCACTAGTTATTTCGAACTCGTAAAAAAGGTGTGAACCAAAAAATCTTCATTATGGATCAACAGGTGGCGCTGATAATCGAAAATGGGATCGAATCTTTTGTTTATCGAATCTTATCTGGATTCGATTCAGTGATTGGAGATTTTTTATCTTCTCTTTCATTTTTCTTTTCGCTTCTCTTTATTTAGGAATCGGAATCAATTCCTGATGAACTTTTAAAGAGATTCAAAAGATATTTGAGTTAATCCACCAACCACTTGATTCCAAACACAAAAAAAATGTCTCACCCAAAGTGAGACTAATCATCTCTCTCTCTCTCACTTCATCCAGTTTTTTTCTCTTCTGTTTATTTGTTATCATCTTGTTACCAGTCTGTTAATTTTTTACTATTATGAATAAGTTATTTAATATTTATCACAATTAACAGACATTTAAATTTATCTTCATTCCATCTTCTTGGATAATCATCTTCATCATCAATTTGTATCCTCTCACCTTTGGATGATTCTCAATTTCCAGGTTTTACCGAACCAATGAGAGAGATGTAAACATTGGATGATTGTTCAGCTTTTTAATTAATTGTTGTGAGTATTTAATTTTTTTCTTCTATTCTAATGTATCTTCCTCAATCTTCTGTCTTTTCTCTTCTTCTTTTCATCTCTTCCAATACTTCACCACCTGATCATCTCTTGTTACTTTTTCTTTTCCCCTCTGTCTTTTTTATTCTCTTTTAGCTTTTAACTCTTTTTTCTCCTGTGTTAAAATCGGTGCATAAATTTATCATCCTATTGCTACCATATCTGAAAGAGAGAGAGACAGAGAATGAGAATGAGGGAGAGATAGAGAAGGAGTTTTTTCATTAATATTCATACTTAGTATCTTTGTTGATTTTCTGTTTGTTTTTTGTCTTTTCACTGTTCTCCCTCTCCCTCACTATGTCTTTTCATCCATTTTGAAAAGGAAAAGAAAAGAATACATTTTAATTCTTAATGGTTAATTAGACACTTTTTTCTCTCCTTCTGTTCTAGGAATTCTATGATTATCTTCTTACTGTTCAACTTGAAAGTTACTCCATCATCATTTCCAATCAAAGATCAATATCTTCTAAATTATGACAGATCACAGTTTAGATGTAACTCAATTACCTCAAGAGGTTAGAGGTAAATTAGCTGAACTTGATTTAGAGTTGAGTGAAGGTGATATTACACAGAAAGGCTATGAAAAGAAAAGATCTCGCCTATTGGCTCCTTACCTCTCCTGCCAACCAGCCCAAGGATCTGCAAGTCCATCAACTCGTGCCAAAAGACGTGTCCACCGGCGGGTAACTCGCCATGAGTCTCGTTACCATTCTGAGGTTCGGCAAGAAGCCGTTCAACAAGCGTTAGCAGCTATGCAAAATAGGGTAAAACCCTCATTACCCATGCCATCTAAACGAACCTCTCTCATGGCATCAACAACCTCACCTTCAAGAGAAAACAGACCTGGAATAACTGATTCATCTTCAGACGATGAAGATGAAGATTCATTAATTAATGAGAGCAGTGGAGGTGGTACACCTGATGATGATCTCTTTATTTCTTGTCGTCCAACTCACATTGTCAGTGGTCATCATGTTCGTCAACCAACCCAATCATCTCGTGATCATCATCATAATCATCGTCATCGTGATCAACATTATCATCATCAATCATCAACCGATACTTCAACCACTTCATCACCAGCCCATGAACCCAATTTACCACCTCAACCATTACCACCTAGAGTAATTGGTGTTCAAGGTTTTCGTGATCAACAGCCACCAGCATCTCCATTAGAACATCGAAATAAAGAAAAGAAAGAACCAAAAGGTCCATCTATTGTTCCAAGGGAAAGTTCTAAACAATCACAACGACAATTACAGTCAGTGTTTCAAAATCAATTAAAAGCTCATCTTAAAGATAAATTGAAAACTTCATCAATACCAGTACCAACTTCACCTCAACCCTTAATACCACCAGCTTCATCTATGCAACAACAACAACAACAACAACAACCATCTTTAATTCCTACACCAATAACATCATCATCAACCATAGTTAACAACCTTATCTCTGATAATGATCAAGCTCCATTACCACCACCTCATCAGTCAACTCAATTTCCACCTAGAATGTTGAAACAACATCATCTTAACAACAATAATAACAACAATCTTAATTGTAACATCAATATCACCAACAACAACAACAATAATCTCAGTGCAAGTAATAATAATAAGGATAATATAAGTCGTGGTTCAGGTGATGGAACAGGTAGTGGGGGAAGTAGTTATGATGATAATTGTAGTAGTAATGAAAGGCCACCAGAGAAACCACCTCAAAGAATAAGCTCTCGATCAGATAGTGCAAACATAATGAGTCTTTCAGATATGTTACAAAGCTTATCAACAACAAATTCAAGTTTCTCTCAACAATCTCAACCTGATGTTACTAAAACAAACAATGGTAATAATAACGGTACTGGCGATGGTGATTCACTTAGTAGGACTTCCCCTTCGAGTCAAGATATTGGCCCTGAATATGATAACGTTTATGGTCAACAGCAACAACAAGATTCTGCTTCAACAGGATCTCCAATGAGAAGTAGTAGATCACCATCAATTGATACCTATGGAACTGGTCGATGGAAAGTTTCTGCTAAAATACAGCAATTATTAAATACCCTTAAAAGACCCAAGAAAAGGCCACTTCGTGATTTTTATATTGATGATGAAACTGATCTAGAAATTGCTGCAAATCAAACAGATCCTTCAGCACCCAGACCAGAGGGAAGTACAATGTTACCCTCGGTCAGTGAACCTTTAATTGTTTCTTCTGGTTTACCTAAAAGTCTTGAGGAAGCTCTTCAACGCTATGGTTCAGCAACCTTAAAAGCACCAGCGGTAACTGTCCTCGATCCAACCGGTAAAATAAGTCCTTCAATAACTTACGGTAAATTGCTTAGTCGAAGTCGTAAGATCGCTTATAATTTACTAAATAAAGTCGGTGGTCAGAAAAATATCAACAATGTAACTGGTGTTGAAACAAACACAATTAAACCAGGAGACAGGATTGCATTAGTTTATCCCAATAGTGATCCAATTGGATTTATTTGTGCTTTCTATGGTTGCCTAATGGCCGGAATTGTACCAGTACCAATTGAAGTACCAATGACCAAGCGAGACGCTGGTTCTCAACAAATTGGTTTTCTACTTGGTTCATGTAATGTTTCATATGCATTAACAGCTGATGCATGTTTCAAAGGATTACCCAAATCACCTGGTACCGGTGAGATTCACACATTTAAAGGTTGGCCTCCGATTACCTGGCTGGTACCAGATAATTGGTCTAAACCACCGCGAGATTGGGCACCACCACCAAGAATATCGGAAGAGGCACCAGCATACATTGAATATACTCTAGATAAAGATGGTTCCATGAAGGGTGTTTGTATATCCCGACAAGCAATGATTTCCCATTGTCGAGCTTTAACCTCTGCCTGTAGTTACACGGAAGGTGATGTTATGGTGTGTGTGTTAGACTTTAAACGAGAAGTGGGTCATTGGCATTCGGTATTGACCAGTGTTCTCAATGGAATGCATGTAATTTTTATTCCCTATTCATTAATGAAAATTAATCCCTCCTTTTGGATGTTGATGATCACCAAATTTAAAGCGACCGTTGCCATATGTAAATCTCGTGACCTTCATTGGGGTTTATTGGCTACAAAGGAGCACAAAGATGTAAATTTAGCTTCTCTACGAATGTTATTAGTGGCCGATGGTTCAAATCCATGGTCACTCTCATCATGTGATCAATTTATCAATGTATTTCATAGTCGTGGACTACGCCCTGATGCAGTTTGTCCTTGCGCCGCATCACCTGAAGCTCTTACAGTTGCCATCAGAAGGTGAGTGTTACAATTTATTATTCATCATTTGATCAACTGTTAATTGTTTGAAAAAAAAGCCAAAGGAATCAAGGTAACTCGTTATATTAAAACAGTCCCAAGACTGTTGATAAGATCATCATTTATTTATGAATCAAATTCTTTAAAAAAAATATCATTTTCTCTTTAAGAATTACCTTTATGATGTAATTCTTTAATATTATTAACTTAATTAGGATATTTCATATTGTTTTAAAGGTATTTTTTTCTTCTTTGATTCTCAACAGTAATTGCTACGAAATAGTAACAATTACAGTTATTTTTATCATTATTCTTTCCAAACACTGCGATGATTATCATCATTATTATCAACTTGATTACTTTTTCAGCTATTAATTTTGAGAAAACACCCTAAAGACTCTGAATGATTAATTCTGAATGAATCTGAGCCACAATATCAAGGTCAATTGGTAATTTGATTTATATTACAATCATAAGAAATTGTAGATTTTTAAATAATAATCATTTTAAGGTTGATTATAAATCATTTTTCTTAATTCTATGTTATTGTTTTTTTTTCTTATTGACAATTATAATTTTCAACATTTTTTTTCTGTCTGTTATTTTTTTATTTCTGCGAATCCTCAACTTTGTTCACTCAGCTGATTTCTTTGTTGATATAGTTGATAGATTTTATTTGATCATCAGCAGAATAAATTATCTTCATTATCGATTGGGATTTGATCAGACAATAGTTATTGTTACATGGATTCGATATGAATTAACATTAATATTATACTTGTGTATTAATCTGTAACAATTTGAGAAGCAATAATTTGGATGACAATCATTAACCATGATAATGATAGTTTCACGAAACATTTACTTTGATTTCTGAACAATTGAGTGATTAGATCAATTATAATTAGTTGGTATTGAATTGATTAGCTGATGAAGTATCCAAAACAATGTCATCATCATCACTTTAGAAATGACAAAATGAAAGATTTTTCTTTACATCTTGACTATCATTTTAATTGTTATTTTATTCTCACTCACTAACTTTATAAGGCAAACAACCTGCTCTCACTTTCATCTCTCATTCACTTCCTCCTCTCTCTCTCTCACTCTCTCCCTAGTTGAAAATAAGAGAAAGTATAATCTGTATCTCAAGTCAATTAACGATTCTGATGATGATGTTTATTTTTCTCTATCCTTATCCTTAACTTGAGGAAATGGGAAATGTTGATTGTGTCTACAGCACGAACTTAATTGTGAAGGTTAAAAATGTTGAAACAATCTTAACATGTTTAAGTGGTTCCTATTTTTTTCTGATCTTCTAGTAACTGACCAGTCTCATGTAATGAGAAGGAAACTAAGTGAGGGTCATTCTTCCTTCTTATTCTCTCTCTCTTTCTCTTTGTTTTCTGATTTAGAAACGTCTTACCTTCTTCTCCTCATCATCTTCTCTTCCAAGTCTTTTGGCTTTCTTTGTATCGACAAGAATAACTTGTTATATTTTCAATCGATTTTCCTTGATACTATTACTTTTCACTTACGAAGCTCAATCCTAATTAAAAGTAATAGCATATTCGTAAAATGTTAACTTATCACAATCAATCAAATGGAAGCGAAAAGTTAACCATTAATCCAATTGATTTTGTCACTGTTTCTGTATTTACTCATAATAGATTATACCACTAATTTCATATTGATTTTGATTAACTTTTTACCCAATTTGCTGTGTTGACTTTACAATTTGACGGTGGTAATGTTTTCTTAACGAGCTCTTACTTTTTATATTATTATTATCTTACCTTTGCTATTGATTTTAATATAATCTCTTATCTTAATTGGTTTCTTTTTAAATGAAAAGTTATTAATCTCCTTCTTCATCATGTATTATATCATCAACTGAATTATTATCTTATATATTTATCATATTCTATCTGTTTAGTTTACCTTATTGACCAGACTGTGTAGTTTTTTTCACCATGATCCATAAACATATTAGCTGAAACATGATGAATTTACAAACATTAAACATAAAAAATGATTTAAACTCAAATTTGGATTAAAAATCAATTCAGATTAACGCATAAATCTCACAATATTTTACTATCTCAAGATAATCATTATCATAATCATGTTTACATGATTAGTGTTTGTGAATAGCTAAATGTTTTCTTGCTTTCTATTTACACAAATATGCAAATACTTGTGTCCAGTTAATGAAGATTATTATTTGATTAGCAGATATATTTATATTCAATTTTCTGTCAACAATGATAATAGTAATTGTAATAATAATGATGTAGTAAAAAACTGATAACATTGAATTAATGTCCAAATCTAATTTGTCCCATTGCTTTGAGCTACAATCTTATATGTATTTATATAAGTTGAACTATTTTTAAAATTGCTGAACAAATGTCACTTTAATCATCATCATGCTGTCCGAGTTATTTTTTTTCTCTTTACTCTCCAAATAATGGTAATTATTATAATGATCATGATGATTACGGTGATTAACAAATTGTAAGTTTCTGTTGAGAGACTCAAAAGCAAATTAGTAGAAGTTGAATTGCCAAAAAAGGTGAATCAATTTACCCTCTGGGTAAGAGCTCATTGATCATGTCTTTTGCTACTTTTTCATTTTGCTCATTATTATCAACTATTATTTTATCTCTCTCTCTCTTGATTCAATCCAGAATCTTCACTTTCATCTGTAAATCATGATAAAATCTTTTATTTTAATATGATTGATTACCATTGGTAGGTTGATGATTATTATTATTCAAAGTGAGATAATAATAATGATTTAGAAGCTTAAGATCACCATGAAAATGATAAGATTGCTGATGGAAAGATATGTTTTCCTATTCAATATTTTCTTCAATTGTTTGTAAACTCTATTAACCTGATAGAGTGAAAAGTGGCGATTTTCTCATCATCTCTTTTCTCACTGACTAATGACCATATAATTGGTCATTTCAATAACCATTGGTCATTTTAAGATTACACACTCAACAAATATGGTCACAGTTTTCGTAATTAACATTTCCTTGAAGACTATATGCTTTGTATTAGTTCAATAATTGAAGGTCAATTGATTAAGATTTATAAATTGTAAATTACCTTTTAAATGCAAATTAACAATGCGGTTAATTGTGTCTGACATTTGTTCATCAGAACGATAAAACATTTCCATCATTTGAATATTCAATGAGTCTCTTTTTTATAATAATCATCTTTGTATTGTCATTATCTATTATCTAATTATTTCTGTGAAATTGAGACTATTTTGCATCTTCCCTGAATCCATGATAATGACAGCGAAGACAATTAACTTTAATTTCGACTAAATTATATTCTGTTTTAACCCTGAAAATAAAGTAAATATCATGAAAATGTTGTAATATCGTAATAATCATATTGTTTCAGCCTTGAAATTATTATTTTGTTACAATAGAAACTTAATTAGAAATGATTAACCCATCATTATGGAATCATTTTTAATTGAAATCTCTTGTACATGATTAATCCAAGATTAAATTGATTTCTTGTTAATTTTGTAATCATCAATGAATCATGAAACTAGTTTTTAGTATTCTAAACATGATTAAAAACTTTTACTATCACTAATTGTAATAATAATGTTTATATAATGAATTGTACTTCAACTAATTTATAATTAATTGTTAAATGAGTCACACTGACAAGATTCCGGGTATTGATTAACATAATTATGAGAAGGTTTGAGATTTTATCTTAATTAATGAGTTGATTTTTACAACTCACAATTTGATACAAACTTTAGATTGTCTGAATTGTAAAAGATACTAATATATGATCAAGTTAATTGTTACGTCTTAATCATGATTTAATGATTCATACAATATGATATTGGGATGAATCTGTTGATTTCACAATCCTCAAAAGATGTCAACTTAATATGCTTATCAACCCTTTCACCTTAAATCACTAATCATCACCCACTTTTCATGATTAACTAACTGCAGTTAACTAATCATTTTTGAAATTAGGTTGTTCAAAAAATGTAAACATGATAGTCACTTTTGAATTTTTCTTAAAATATAACATTAGTTAGTTAATAATTAGATGATGATAATAAAGCAATCTAATCATTAAATAAATATAACGGTATCATCGTCATTATCCTTACACATCATGATTATCCGATTCTAATAGTCTGAATAGTTACTCATTTTTGTTTGTTTCATTTATCATCTAATTGACCATTTTAATGAGTTGAATTACCTTCACTAATTGTTGGTGATAATCAATCATCAATTTTATGATTAACTTGATTTGTAAGGATAAAAAGTAACAGGAAAGGAAGAATCAGAAAAATTAAATCAACTGATTACAACTTATTTTACACAATTAACATTTCCTTAAGAAAAATTAAAAGGAAGTGAAATTAACTAACTCAGTAAACGGTCGTTGTCCTTTTGTTTTGCTTCTGTATGTTTCATGTTAATTTTCATCATTGATTATATTAGTTAATCAACAACATTGTTTATTGTTGGTAATAATCATGGCTTATGTTAATTGAATGTTGTCTTGGACATGATTATTACAATGAACGGTAAGTTAATTGTTTCCCATTTTAAACCAGAAAATAGTTCAATCTAATCAAGTTTAGACTTTTTTCATTGAATTAATTACATTGTCTTAAGTTTTTTGACCAATTCTCTGGCTCTAGGATCATAGATAAATAGATTCAATATAATTAGAATCTGAGATACGAAATCAAATATTTTTTTCTGTATAATTGCACTTCTGAACTCTCAAACCACAAGCTAATTTACGAAAATGACGATCTTTTAGTTTTGGCTAACTTAGAATTACTTAGATTGATTGAAACATAAACTCAAGAATCAGCGCTCTGGATGTTGAATTGAAGTAAGGATATTTGAAGGTCACAGGTGGAAGGTTGTTTGATCACCCATACTTATAACTTAGATCTAGTGATTGAGAAAAGGGAAAGAGAACTAATGATTTTTAAGCGATGAAAAAACTGTATTTATAAGACTTTGAATCTTTTGAATTCTTACCATAAGTCAACCATTGGTCAACTTACCAATTAATCATCCAATCCTAAAGAGACAAAAAAAGATTAGTAAGAATTAAATTCTAGGAGAAAGCAAATTTTTCTAATGATAGTTTTAGTTAGTAATTAGATTTACCTTTGGTTCTGAATGTTCATCCACCAGCATCGGTGTTACAGCGACAATCGCACAACTGATCAACATTTGATCACCAATGAAATCAAGCTTTGCCTTCATTGGCAGGCTTGCAAAATTTTCCAGTTTTCAAAATATTCTTCAAATGACCTTCAAGTGCGTTCTTTTCTGCATAACCTTCATGACCTTGAACTATGACAATAGAGTATCGGTCAAACTTCCATAGACGAAAAATGGACCCGTTTGGTCAAGTAGTTTTTGAGTAATCGTGAAAAGAAAACCAACAAAGTAGCTGAACTATTCTGTATTTACTTTAACTCATTATTCAACTGAGACTCTATCTTTACCGATTCTACTTAATCTTTTCATCACTCATCATCATCATCTCTCAATAATTTTTCATTAGTCAAGACATAATCAGATTGATTACTTGGATAATCAATATTTTTTACTTTCCGGTAAGATGATTCTTAATCCATGATAGTGACGAGTAAGATAATTCTGATTGAATCCCATGTTTACCATTTTTTGCTCTCAGTCAATTCACTTATTTTTTGTTATTCAATGACATTGATTTAATTGCTGTGTGTTGATTTAATAATGATTAACTTCCGTTTATGATACTTTATGTTATAATCATGATCAACGCAAATGCTTGGAGCTAATTAAAGTTACCAAGGAAGATAATTAACTTTTTATTCACAGCAATTATATAATTGCCATTTGTTTTGTTTCGCTATCGTAACAATATAATTAACGTTTTTGCTTTACAATCAAAACAAATTTTTGCTATCCAGAATTAGTCTGGTGACCCATTGATTGAAGTGTTGGATTTTAATTGTTGATTATATTTCTGGTGGAAATTGAGTTTCCCGTTCGTAATTAATTTTAATTGCTTTTCACATTTAGATATAAAAAAAATGTTATAATTGTTTCCCATTGTTGTTATCATTTTATTTATCAATTAATCAACTAGAGATGATAGTAAACTTTTACAATCATTAAACTAATTGTTGATCATCTTGATTTTATGGTCAGTTTTGTGGAGATTAATAAATAATTGATTTAATTACAATTATTCATCATTATTTATCACAATCACAACATTGACATGTAATTGTTGGCAATAATAATAGAAAACAGTTTGATCATTAAGATTGAAATTGATTAAAAATTTAGGCTAATAGTTGCTTATGTAATTTAAATATTTAATCATTTGATTAACAATCAATTGTAAGATTGTCAAATAAATAAATGAGTATGTCAGATGAATACATTTAACTATGAGTTTTTTTTTCATTATTAATTCAATTGAACAATTTAAAGTATTACTATTATTATCACTCTTAAGTTATTATTAAGGTGACACCATCAAAGCTGATCAGATTATCAGCATTTATACAAATCGTTTTGTTGATGATTACGATTATTATAATATTTAATCGTCATTATTGATTATTTAATTCTCAACATTATCCATAAAGGTGATAAAGATAATGTTATAATAAGATTTGACAGGTCAACATAGTTAAGTTTAATTCATTAAATAAAAAAAATCAAGCTAATACAATCAAAAAAAAGATGGTTACTTGATTGTTGGCATCATCATTATTTGAGGGTCAAACAATCAATTTAAATGTTCATTGTTAAAAAAAATGATGAAGATGGAGAGAGAGATATACATATAAGATGAATAAGATTGTTTTTCTATTTATCTTCATCATCTTTTTTTTTGAAAATAGAAAGAGACAGCAAGAGAGAAAGAGGAAGATAAAAGGTGATGAAGTTACTTTTTGTTGAAGGTAAATGATTATTATAATGTGATTGAATTCAAATGATTGAGGTTTTTGAATAACTTACGTACATAAATCACACACTTGACTTTAAATGATGAAACTATTTTTTGTATACCCATTTATCTGTGTACATTGAAAGGAAGACAAAAAAAGATGATGATTTCAAACTTAATCATCTGTTCAGAAGTGATGATGAATAATCAAAAATCAACTATTATCTATGCTACAAATGATGAGTATTTAAGACTAGATTTTTGCCGAATTGTTATTATTTCAAATACTTATCTTCTATTTGAATTTTAACACCTCACTTTCTCTTATCATCTTCAGTATCTTACTAACTCATCATCTTAATTTTCGTAAAACAAATATAACTTGATATTCATTTTACATGCTTTTTCCGCTCTCTCTCTCTCTCTCTCTCTCTCTCTCTCTCTCTCTCTCTCTCTCTCTCTCTCTCTCTCTCTCTCTCTTCTTCATCACCACCTTCAACATGAAGATACTTGGCTACAAGATATATCAGTTTCTTTTGCTCCTCTCAATCTTTCTCTTCATCATCCTCATCTTGATTACTAATAATAAATTCATTTTGTGAGCTATGAACACATGAATCTGTAAAATATATGTCACTTGACCCAGTTTTTGCTCGTTTTAAAAAATTTTGGTCTTTCTCGTTGCAATGTTACCACTTGGGAAAACTGTTTACAGACTGTGAATGTTACCCAATCATCTGTAAAATGATATCAATTAATTATATAACGTTTCTTGTCCCATTAAATGCAATAATATTGCAAAAACATTGCAATAGGATGCAAATAATGCAAAAGTTTTTCTTATCTTGTGTATTATTTTTCATTTTGTGTCTACGGTTTGATAACTAACAAATGTGATATCTTATTATTATGCAAAAGTTAAATTTATTTTGTTATATTGGTGTTAAAAGGTCACTGTTAAAATTGGACTCTAGAGGAAGAAGAAAAATCTAATGACAATTCATCCTCATCACTTTTATCCTCCTACTCTACCACCTCCTCCTTTTCTCTCTCTCTTCTTGTTAAATGACACACAAAGAGCTTTCTTTATCTTCTTTATCATTCATTTTGCTTTGATTTTACAGGTTTCTGGTTTCCGGATGAAAGTTGCAATTCTCTCTCTCTCTCTTCATTTACCCTCATCAGTATTTTTTCCTTGCCTTCGCCTTATTTTTTACCTCCTCCTTTTTTCATCATCTTCATCACCACCATCATCATCCTCTCATTGGCTTTTTCCTTTGAATCTTCCGATTTTCTTGCAATTCAAGAAAACCAACAAAAAAAACAATAACACAACAGCATGAGGATGATGATGATGATGATGATGATGGGTATGTTGAAGATGATGATGCGGTTGCCCACTGGATATTCAAGTCAAGAGACCAATTACCCACTGACTGGTTTTCTTGTTCACGGTTGCAAAAATCCATGGGAAAATATTAACAAAGAACGAGAAGAAGATGAAGATGAAGATGAAGAGAAAGGTAAAGAAGTAAATAAGAGAAAAAAAAGTAAGACAAAGAATTGCAAAAAATCACATAACTACTTGAAAGTAAAAGTGGGAGGAAGAGAGAGAGAGAGAGAGAGAGAGAGAGAGAGAGGAAAAAGAGTGAAAGTAAATCATCATTATTGCTAAGATTCTTGATGCGTTTTCACTTCACGTAAGAGATGATAAAATAAGGTGTAACAAGTTAATATTAGCTAATAAATAGTTAATTGCAACTTGATCATCACTACAATAAAAGTTTAAATGCAAAGTTGTTTCATTAAATTTCGCTTGTTGTCAATTCAGGTAAATCAAGGTAACGGGGAGAATCTCATCATCATTAGATGGTAGTAGCATCTTATCATCATTTTAAGAGTGAAAAAATGTCTTCCTCATCTTCCTCCTTCTTTTGGTCATATGGTTGAGGTGTTATCTAATCCATGATTCCTGTTACTCACCCTGATAATGATAAGTGATGATGATGGAACTGGATTAGATGAACTTAATCAACAACTTAAACAGCAACTCATCCCTTTCACCTTGAAGGTTATAATTAAGAAAGCAAAATAATTAACAATCTAAAACTTGAGGTCAATTGATTGCAGTATTCACCTTGATTAACTTTTGGTAACTCATTAACTTGTTTCCATTTCTCTGTCTGTGTCCATCTCGTAGCCCCATCATCATGATTAAGATGATAATTCATTAAATTAATCCATCTAAAACTTAATCATTTTCTATCATCTTTCTTTTTTTTGTATATCCAACTGATACTTTCACGTTCTCGGTTAAATGTCAATGGTTGATAATGAAAACAACAAAATCTCAACACTGGGACCACAAAACCTTATGAGATTAACTTGGAACCTCTTAAAAAAGAGATTCTTTTTGATGGCTTAAGGTTATATCTTGAACTTTTTTATTAGACATTCTCTCTCTCTCTCTGCTTTATTATCATCTCCATCATCGTCACTGTGTTAGAAAAAGAAAAGATGAAGAAGATGAGAGAAAGAAGAGAAATCTAAGCAATAGTTGATGTAATAGTCATCGTTTTATCTTCTCTCTTTTTTATCTTGTTTCTTTTTTCTTAGATAAGCAATTTAAATTGATCGATCAATCGACTTTCACTTGCCTTCTCTCTCTCTCCCTCTACCTCCATCTTCATCCTCATCCTCATCCCATTTCTGATCTTCATCTCTATTACCATTTACTTGATAAGTTCAAGAGTAGCAAGTTGAATGAGAAAAGCCAATTAGTTGATTAACACTATTCTGATAATTAATAGTTTCTAATAACAATAACATATTGAAGATAATTATCTTGACAGTTTTCAGCTATAATTAATTTTGTAAAATTCATTTCAATTTATCTTAATTGTCGGAAAAGGTTATTAGTCGACCCAATTAGTTTTTGCTATTTTATTAATAATTAGATTGATCAGTTTTAAATTGAAAGTTAATAAGAAATGAGTCACTTTGAATTCTTTGATTCTTTAAGTAAGAGTTATCATCATCTTTTTCAACCGATATTAAGAAAAGTAAAATATCAACATGAGAAAATTTCCCCCATTCTCCCTGAGGCTAATTAATAGATCGCTGACCTTCATAACCTTAATCTTGATTCTACCTGGATGATTCATCATTATCATCTCATCATCATCATAATCATCATCTGTTATTCACTTGAGAAATGCTTCCATTCAAAGATATTACTTGTTTCCGTGTAAAAAACTTGGAAGATGGAGTAGTAACAGCAGATGATGATGATGATGATTGTGATGATAACGAAGATGAAAAAATAAAAACAATTCTAAACAAAAGAAGAGGATGAAAAGTTCAATTTTTGCAGTTATCAATTAGATGATAATGATTGTCAATCTTTCAGGCAAATGATTTTCCTGGTAACTCTTTCATTGATAGATTAACATTATTATCCACTTTGAGTGTTAAAGGTTATGCTTAATTGGTGAATACAAGTTGAATCTTATTCTTTATTGTTTGATTTCTAATTCTAATCAAATGTTATTAATTTAAATTGACACTTTACAAGTGACTGAATTATCAAGAATATACAACAATTTAATCTTATCCTTGACACAACACAAATTTCGTATACAATGTGTATAATAGTTATTATCACTTTGTGTTTGTTTGCATGTTGATTAAAGATGATTAAGATTGGGTTTAAATTACAATTCTATTTATATCTATTTTTTTCATGATCGAATCTGCTTTTGACTTTGAAATGTATCTTCCTACCTTTTTTGGATGTTATTATGATGACGGTGATGATGAGGATGATAATTATGATTATATTTTGATATCTGCTTTCCTTCCGGGTCTTTGTTCAATTTGATTGTATCTTTGTTTTCAATAATTAATAAATTTATTTATTTTTACTTTCTATATTATAGCAACGAGGTGTAAATCTGGCCTGTGTACGAACTTGTGTAATTGTCGCCGAAGAGCGGCCTCGAGTTTCATTAACCAATTCATTTTCGAAATTATTTTCCTCCCTTGGTCTTTCAACGAGAGCTGTTAGTACTTCTTTTGGATGTCGTGTAAATGTCGCCCTTTGTTTACAAGGAGCGTCCAGTCCTGATCCAACAACCGTTTATGTCGACATGAGGGCACTTCGAAATGATCGGGTTACCCTTGTCGAAAGAGGTGCACCACATAGTCTATGTCTCATGGAATCGGGTAAACTTTTACCTGGAGTCAAAGTAATAATCGCTAATCCAGAAACTCGTGGACATTGTGGCGATACTAATTTAGGTGAAATTTGGGTTCAAGCTCCACATTCAGCAAGTGGTTATTTTACCGTTTACGGTGAAGATGGACTACAAAATGATCATTTCAACGCTCGTCTTACAACTGGTGACACTTCACAAGTTTATGCAAGAACGGGTTATTTGGGTTTCCTTAGGCGAACTGAATCTGTTCAAGCTGATGGAGGTAAAGAGAAAATAATAAAAAATAAAATAATTCTCACTGATGAATTACCACCGATTTCCACTCGTTAATCTAAACCCTTTGGAAAAGATTAACTTTAGTCTTGATTTATGTTAATCTAGTTATTTATTTGTTTACTAATTTTCACTAATTTATTGTTTATTTTGTTTCTACAACTTGCAGAACTTCATGATGCCATATTTGTTGTTGGAGCTCTGGATGAGACTATCATGCTACGTGGGATGAGATATCATCCGATTGATATTGAAAACAGCGTTTTAAGGTGTCATAAAAAGATTGCTGAATGGTAAGAATTGCAATTTATCGTCATTAATTTTAATTTATTAATCTGTGATTCCGTGTTTGTTTTTTTTTTACTTCTTCCATGCAATTATAAACCGGATGAAGTTTAATTTGTTTACTATTTTCCGTTTCAATTATTATTATTAATTATTGTTTTTTTTGTTACTTCTCTTTTTTTTACATCAATTTAGTGCAATTTTCACTTGGACAAACTTGTTAGTTGTTGTAGTTGAATTGGACGGTAATGAAAACGAAGCTCTAGATTTGGTACCATTAGTGACCAATGTGGTTCTCGAGGAGCACCAAATGATTGTCGGGGTGGTTGTTGTCGTAGATCCAGGAGTTGTACCGATCAACAGTCGTGGAGAAAAACAAAGGATGCACCTTCGAGATGGTTTCCTTGCCGATCAATTGGATCCAATTTATGTCGCCTACAACATGTGATCCCTTCCATAGCCTTTTTTAGACAATTTCAACTAATTCATCTTCATCCAGGATTTATCATCATAATCTTCAATCTCCTCTTCCCTCTGATTCCTTATTCAATTCTTCCTTTTCTTCTTAATCTTGTTTTCACCCTCCTCTTCATCTTTTTTTTTTTTCTATCTTATCATCATCTCTTTTCCTAGCATCTTGCCATCGTTGTTATCATTTTCCACCCACTCTCTCATCTATCTCTTTCTCCCTCAATCTCACCCTTGTTTCTTTGTCATCTTTTCCCTCTTCCACCTTCAGATTTGCTTACTTAGAGTTTCCTCTCATTAAGTAAATGTGAAAAGAAATGATTTTACAAATACAAATATGATTTCTTTCCTTCCTTAATTCAATTACTATTATTATTAATGATTACCATGATTCTGTCTCGTTGATTATTAATTATCACCACCAAGGAAAACCTTTTGTTACTATTAACTAATTACTATTATATTACAAGATGTTATCAACATCTTTCCTTTTGTTTTTTTTTCATATATATTACATTTAACATCATCACAAAATGATGGATAAAAACAAATTGATTGGCCATTGATTCTGGATTCAAAATTAACTATTATCATCTCCCTGATTCCCACCTTCAATTACCCACCACCACCATCACCATCACCTTTACTTAATCATCATCTCAAACCACCAACAACAACAATTTTCATTGTCATATGAACCAAATTAAATCAAAGACAATGTAATACTTACCTTGTTATTTAAAAAAAAACGACCCAAATCATTGTCAATCATCATCAACAATTGAAATATCACATTAATCAGTTTCTTAATTGTTCTTTACTAGTTACGTTTTTTTTAATTATCTTGTAATAATTGTAACAATTAAAATGTAATCACAATGAGAAAAAAAGCTCAAACAATTTAAAGCGTAAAACAAACTCACTGATGAGAAACAATTTATTGTTTTCAAATGATTAATGAGGAAAAAAATTGTTCAGGATTAGTAAGATTATGATTAATCTTTACTTGACCATCTATTTTGATACTCGATCCAATCATTGTACGATTGATTACGGTACAGACGAAGATGGTACAGAATCCATGCTGGTACCGAAGTTACCGAAATAAAAAGCACAGAAAACCAAACACATCTTTCGGTAACCGAAACTGGAGTCCGAGGTGGAGTGATCAAGAATTTATTTCCATACGGATAAGAGTAACCTCGCTTCTGGATCATTTGTAGGCCTTTCAAAGTCCTTTGATTAATCACACTACGTACCAAGGAATTCATGTCTATAAATGTACCTAGAAAATATCAATCCACTGATTAACAAAATAGAAAAACAAATCAAGAGAAACAATTAACGTTAAGACAGTACAAGTGTCCGTCAGCTCAAAACATCAACATTTAGCTGATTTTTTGTTCGGCTCAAAAGTAGTGGCGCTTTCAAAAAAGAATCGAATTCAAATTAATTTGATTAATTAACAGGTTAATTAATCGACAAAATAATAGGTTACACTTTTTGGTCAATAATAAAGGTGCAAATTAGAGGACGTTGGTGTTTTTTATGGGTAAGACGATATACAAGTGAACCTCAAGCCGACAAAAAAATTAGCGGAAAATTGAAATTGTTGAGCTGACAAACTTTGAACGACGTCGCTTGTAACAATTTATTGTTTACAAATGATTAATGATTAAAGAAAAAATAAATTGTTCCAATGAAATTAAACAGTAATCCGAAATTAAATCAACCTGGTTATTAAATTAATAGCTGAATTTAAGTTGATTGATACAATTTCCAAGCTTGATTAAAATTGACTTTTATGTAATTGTTTCAATTTAAAATGGATCACAAGTATTATATAAACAGTTAATTGTGTTAACCTTGACAATTATAAGTCAACCAGAGATAATTAATCATTTTAAATAAATGGATCTCGAATCAGCTTGACAATCAATCATTAAATTGCCATTCTTGATTTGATTGTGAATTATTAACTATTAGTGAAAGTCGAGAAATAGTTTTTTGTTCACAATTAGTAACTGAATTAATAAGAAAAAAGGTAATATAACAATTAAATTGACTTCCTCGTCTTATGATGTTAAAGTAATTAAATGTATACGAATTAATTATTGAATTTCTGTTAATAAATCATCCCAACAATTTAGCTAATCAATGATTTAAAATCAAGTATAAAAAGATTGAAATTGTCAAAAATTGTCCAATCCGATTGAACAATTAAATTAACCTCCCAACAAATTAACTAACAATTAGCCTAATGAATCATAATGAATTAACTGTTCAATTCAGTTAATTTAATTCTCAGGTTATTGGAAATGTCTTGTTTTATAACCAGTGAAGATTAAATTGATTAGGAATGATTAACAACTAATTGTTAATAACTTTTTAACAATCACAATTAATAAAACAGGTTGTGAAAGGAGCGGCAAAAAATCAAGGTAATTACTTAAGTAATTGTTATTAAATTAAACTAGAATTAACATTTAATTATGTTGATTGCAGAGGGAAATTTTTTTAAATCATTTGAATCTAAAAAACCAACGGGTTAATTTGATTAACTTGATTGATTTTTCGTAAACTTTTGTTTTTTGTTAATCAAATCTAATCAACGACCGACAAAAATTACCAAACAAAATGATCTCAATTATTTTAATCACAATCGTAACAATTTATTTGATCAAGTTAATTGTTGATTATCGGAATTGGTTGAAAAACTTTTACTCTTATCCATCATATACAATTTCCCTAAATGATTATGTAACCATAATAAGCGATTGGTTCAAAGGCTTTGATCATCTGACTAATAAATGTAAGTACAAACAATCAGTTAATTGTTTGCTAATCAACTTCCCTAATTTAAATAGATACAAGCAAATCATTTCTAAATCAAATCTACCGACACACTAAGGATTCAGATTATTTTGTCCTATGGATTGGATATTTACCTTTGGTTTGGATTTTGAAACCAAGTCTTGTTGAAGTATAAACAATCAGAACGACGATTAAGTTAATTGTTGTTGATTACTTTTCTCTCTCTCTCCCTTAGAATACAGTTAAAATCTTTAATATTAAGACGATATTCCAATTGGCAGCTCGACCTCCAGTGGCCGATGGTCTTTTCATGATCTCCGGTAAAAAGTGGAAAACTTTTCGTCAAATTGGTGAGATTAATTTACGAACGAAAATGTTATCGAAATTCATTCCAATTATGTCCCAACATGCTGACCGATTGATGGACAAGTGTCATCTCGATGATTGGATCGATCTCACTGATGATCTGAGCTTGACCACGTTCAATGTTATCTGTGAATGTGCAATGGGTGTTTCAACGAAAACTGGTCAACTTGAACGCTCGGCTTTCCAATTGTTTAAGATTATCGATAAAGCTCCAGTCCATTTGGTCAAACGGACGATGTCCCCCTACTTTTGGCCTGAGTTCATTTGGAAACGATATATTAATTACGTGTCAGATGGTGAAGTGTTAATATTTGAATCGATATTTAAATCTGTAACCGATCGAGAGATTTGCCGACAAAAAGCAATTAGATCACAATCAAAAATGAACAATAATAATCATCATCATGATGGAACTGATGATTTAAGTGACAAAAACTTTTCAACAATTAAGCCTAATCACATTCAGGATAATCTACTTTCTCATTTGGTTAATCTTTATCTTAATCAGAATAACGATCCAGATGATTTACCTGATGATGAAGAGGAAAATTTAATTACTCCGAATGATATTGAAAACGAAATCAACAATTTCATCCTCGCTGGATTTGAAACTGTCCGAACGGCAATTTTATGGACATTAATCTGTATCGGTGAGTTAAATTGTCGAGATGAGAAACAGCTAATTGTAATTAGAACCTTTTGCTTTTGATTAACAGCAAGTGAACCAGAAATCGAGAAACGTATTCATGATGAATTGATTAACGTTTTTGGTGATGACCAGGAAAACGAGTGGACCTTTGATTTGGATAAATTAAATCAACTTAATTACCTTGATTGTTGTATTCGTGAAGGCCTAAGGCTTTTTTCACCATTGATAATATTTGGTAGAAACACTGGAGTTGATTCATTTCAATTAGACGAAGTTAATTGTCTACCATCATCAACTGAATACTTAGTTTCAGTTTATTCAGTTCATCGGAATGAAAAAGTTTATCCTCAACCAGAAAAATTTAACCCTGACCGTTGGTCATCTGAAAATATTCAATCAATTCCAACTAATTGTTACCTTCCCTTTGGGATTGGACCTCGAACCTGCATTGGCTTTAGACTCGCATTGATTGAGATGAAAATTGTGATTACCTTAATTGTTAAACAATTTAGATTACAAGTTAATCAACATTACAGTTCAATTGATTGGATTTTTCCATTAACATTGAAACCAGTTAAACCTTGTACATTTAAATTGTCATCAAGATTTTAAATTAAACCTTAAAATACAATAAAACAATTTAATTCAACCATGATTGTTTGCAATTGTTTAACATCATTTACCTTTGATTATCAATCAAGATTTCCCAATCTCTCAATTTAAAACAATTTATACATTTTACATTGTAGTTTGTATCATTGAAAAAGAGACAAACAATTAAAATTTAATCATTTTACTTGAATAATTTTAATAAGTGAAATATGATTTGAAGTTAATTAACTCTAATGATCAACAATTAACTTAATCTGAAAGTTATGAAAAGTTAATCAGAAAAAAGACAAATACCCTTAAGGCTAAATTGTCTCAACAACAATTTAACCATTGATCACAATTATCAACAGTTTAATTGTCTTTTTCGTTTGTCGTAAACAAAATTAAACACAAACAATCAAATACAAATTAAACAACAATCAGGAAAATTTTCCATCCTGAGCTCTGATCATTTGTCATTGAAAGCCCATAGTGTTAACTCAATCAACCAGTTGATTTTTTAGAATCAACAATTGGATTGTTAATAATTAGGTAACAATCATGTTAACCATTACATGGATTTTATTGACAATCATCTTAATCTACTTGATAAAGTTAATTATTGATTACAGAAATTGGATGAGACACTTTTATAAGTATCCATCTTATTCTGTAACAATTAGTGACGTTCTGGTTTACTTCAGTGGACCTGAAGCAGTGATTAAAAAATGTAAGTACAATCTAATCAATTTAATCAATTTACTACACAGAGAAATTAATCAAGACAATTAATTCACAGGGGGAAGCAGATCTTTTTTCCGTAGAGCTCTGCAATTAACTAAAAACGATGATTACTTTGTCATTTGGCTCGCGTTCATACCTGTGCTTTTCATTAAGAATCCAAATTTAGCTGAGGTAAAGATTGTGAATTACAATTTGATTGTTGATGATTTGATTAATTCTAAATTGCTTACCAATATTTAGAAGGCGAAGCTCACAATATCAAGACGATATTTATGTCAGCAGTTTTACCGGTAATTCGAAATGGCATTTTCATGATGTCCGATGAAAAAAAATGGAAAATATTTCGTAAAATCAGTGAGATCAATTTAAAAACTAAAATGTTACAAAAGTTTTTCCCAATTATGTCTCATCATTGTGATAAAATGGTCGATAAATTATACAAACTGGAAGAGGGCCAATGGTCAGATTTCAATGACGAAGTTGGACTGACCACTTTTAATGTTATTTGCGAATCGGGAATGGGAATTTCAACGGAATCACCGAAACTCGAATCAACTGCTCTTCGATTATTTGAGGTAACGCTGCAATTTCCCAAGCATATTGTTTTAAGAGCTTTCAACCCGCTCTTGTGGCCTGAATTCACCTGGACACGATATCTTGATTACATGAGTGACGGACAGTCAAAGGTTCTTGAGAAATTATTCAAGTATGTGGTCAAACGAGAAGTGACCAGACAATTAGGCTTTAAATCTGAAGGTGAAACAACAATCAGTAAAGATGACGACAGTTTGAAAAGGTCAGTGAGCGACAATGCCCAAAATAATAACACGATCGATGAAAAAGATGATATTGATTTAATTAAACCAAATTGTATCGAGAATAATTTCTGTCCAAAGTTGTTGATATTTACGTCGAAATTAAATCAACCTGGTTATTAAATTAATAGCTGAATTTAAGTTGATTGATACAATTTCCAAGCTTGATTAAAATTGACTTTTATATAATTGTTTCAATTTAAAATGGATCACAAGTATTATATAAACAGTTAATTGTGTTAACCTTGACAATTATAAGTCAACCAGAGATAATTAATTATATTAAATAAATGGATCTCGAATCAGCTTGACAATCATTAAATTGCCATTCTTGATTTGAGTGTGAATTATTAACTATTAGTGAAAGTCGAGAAATAGTTTTTTGTTCACAATTAGTAACTGAATTGATAAAGGTAATATAACAATTAAATTGACTTCCTCGTCTTATGATGTTAAAGTAATTAAATGTATACGAATTAATTATTGAATTTCTGTTAATAAATCATCCCAACAATTTAGCTAATCAATGATTTAAAATCAAGTATAAAAAGATTGAAATTGTCAAAAATTGTCCAATCCGATTGAACAATTAAATTAACCTCCCAACAAATTAACTAACAATTGAAGCCTAATGAATCATAACTGAATTAACTGTTCAATTCAGTTAATTTAATTGCTCTCAGGTTATTGGAAATGTCTTCATGTTTATAACCAGTGAAGATTAAGTATTGATTAGGGAATGATTAACAACTAATTGTTAATAACTTTTTAACAATCACAATTAATAAAACAGGTTGTGAAAGGAGCGGCAAAAAATCAAGGTAATTACTTAAGTAATTGTTATTAAATTAAACTAGAATTAACATTTAATTATGTTGATTGCAGAGGGAAATTTTTTTAAATCATTTGAATCTAAAAAACCAACGGGTTAATTTGATTAACTTGATTGATTTTTCGTAAACTTTTGTTTTTTGTTAATCAAATCTAATCAACGACCGACAAAAATTACCAAACAAAATGATCTCAATTATTTTAATCACAATCGTAACAATTTATTTGATCAAGTTAATTGTTGATTATCGGAATGGTTGAAAACTTTTACTCTTATCCATCATACAATTTCCTAAATGATTATGTAACCATAATAAGCGATTGGTTCAAAGGCTTTGATCATCTGACTAATAAATAAGTACAAACAATCAGTTAATTGTTTGCTAATCAACTTCCCTAATTTAAATAGATACAAGCAAATCATTTCTAAATCAAATCTACCGACACACTAAGGATTCAGATTATTTTGTTCTATGGATTGGATATTTACCTTTGGTTTGGATTTTGAAACCAAGTCTTGTTGAAGTATAAACAATCAGAACGACGATTAAGTTAATTGTTGTTGATTATTTTTCTCTCTCTCTCCCTTAGAATACAGTTAAAATCTTTAATATTAAGACGATATTCCAATTGGCAGCTCGACCTCCAGTGGCCGATGGTCTTTTCATGATCTCCGGTAAAAAGTGGAAAACTTTTCGTCAAATTGGTGAGATTAATTTACGAACGAAAATGTTATCGAAATTCATTCCAATTATGTCCCAACATGCTGACCGATTGATGGACAAGTTAAAGTGTCATCTGGATGATTGGATCGATCTCACTGATGATCTGAGCTTGACCACGTTCAATGTTATCTGTGAATGTGCAATGGGTGTTTCAACGAAAACTGGTCAACTTGAACGCTCGGCTTTCCAATTGTTTAAGATTATCGATAAAGCTCCAGTCCATTTGGTCAAACGGACGATGTCCCCCTACTTTTGGCCTGAGTTCATTTGGAAACGATATATTAATTACGTGTCAGATGGTGAAGTGTTAATATTTGAATCGATATTTAAATCTGTAACCGATCGAGAGATTTGCCGACAAAAAGCAATTAGATCACAATCAAAATGAACAATAATAATCATCATCATGATGGAACTGATGATTTAAGTGACAAAACTTTTCAACAATTAAGCCTAATCACATTCAGGATAATCTACTTTCTCATTTGGTTAATCTTTATCTTAATCAGAATAACGATCCAGATGATTTACCTGATGATGAAGAGGAAAATTTAATTACTCGAATGATATTGAAAACGAAATCAACAATTTCATCCTCGCTGGATTTGAAACTGTCCGAACAATTTTATGGACATTAATCTGTATCGGTGAGTTAAATTGTCGAGATGAGAGCTAATTGTAATTAGAACCTTTTGCTTTTGATTAACAGCAAGTGAACCAGAAATCGAGAAACGTATTCATGATGAATTGATTAACGTTTTTGGTGATGACCAGGAAAACGAGTGGACCTTTGATTTGGATAAATTAAATCAACTTAATTACCTTGATTGTTGTATTCGTGAAGGCCTAAGGCTTTTTTCACCATTGATAATATTTGGTAGAAACACTGGAGTTGATTCATTTCAATTAGACGAAGTTAATTGTCTACCACCATCAACTGAATACTTAGTTTCAGTTTATTCAGTTCATCGGAATGAAAAAGTTTATCCTCAACCAGAAAAATTTAACCCTGACCGTTGGTCATCTGAAAATATTCAATCAATTCCAACTAATTGTTACCTTCCCTTTGGGATTGGACCTCGAACCTGCATTGGCTATAGACTCGCATTGATTGAGATGAAAATTGTGATTACCTTAATTGTTAAACAATTTAGATTACAAGTTAATCAACATTACAGTTCAATTGATTGGATTTTTCCATTAACATTGAAACCAGTTAAACCTTGTACATTTAAATTGTCATCAAGATTTTAAATTAAACCTTAAAATACAATAAAAACAATTTAATTCAACCATGATTGTTTGCAATTAAGCTTAACATCATTTACCTTTGATTATCAATCAAGATTTCCCAATCTCTCAATTTAAAACAATTTATACACAATTTACATTGTAGTTTGTATCATTATTGAAAAAAGAGACAAACAATTAAAATTTAATCATTTTTACTTGAATAATTTTAATAAGTGAAATATGATTTGAAGTTAATTAACTCTAATGATCAACAATTAACTTAATCTGAAAGTTATGAAAAGTTAATCAGGAAAAAAAGACAAATACCCTTAAGGCTAAATTGTGCTCAACAACAATTTAACCATTGATCACAATTATCAACAGTTTAATTGTCTTTTTTTCGTTTGTCGTAAACAAAATTAAACACAAACAATCAAATACAAATTAAACAACAATCAGGAAATTTTTCCATCCTGAGCTCTGATCATTTGTCATTGAAAGCCCATAGTGTTAACTCAATCAACCAGTTGATTTTTTAGAATCAACAATTGGATTGTTAATAATTAGGTAACAATCATGTTAACCATTACATGGATTTTATTGACAATCATCTTAATCTACTTGATAAAGTTAATTATTGATTACAGAAATTGGATGAGACACTTTTATAAGTATCCATCTTATTCTGTAACAATTAGTGACGTTCTGGTTTACTTCAGTGGACCTGAAGCAGTGATTAAAAAATGTAAGTACAATCTAATCAATTTAATCAATTTACTACACAGAGAAATTAATCAAGACAATTAATTCACAGGGGGAAGCAGATCTTTTTTCCGTAGAGCTCTGCAATTAACTAAAAACGATGATTACTTTGTCATTTGGCTCGCGTTCATACCTGTGCTTTTCATTAAGAATCCAAATTTAGCTGAGGTAAAGATTGTGAATTACAATTTGATTGTTGATGATTTGATTAATTCTAAATTGCTTACCAATATTTAGAAGGCGTTTAAAGCTCACAATATCAAGACGATATTTATGTCAGCAGTTTTACCGGTAATTCGAAATGGCATTTTCATGATGTCCGATGAAAAAAAATGGAAAATATTTCGTAAAATCAGTGAGATCAATTTAAAAACTAAAATGTTACAAAAGTTTTTCCCAATTATGTCTCATCATTGTGATAAAATGGTCGATAAATTATACAAACTGGAAGAGGGCCAATGGTCAGATTTCAATGACGAAGTTGGACTGACCACTTTTAATGTTATTTGCGAATCGGGAATGGGAATTTCAACTGAATCACCGAAACTCGAATCAACTGCTCTTCGATTATTTGAGGTAACGCTGCAATTTCCCAAGCATATTGTTTTAAGAGCTTTCAACCCGCTCTTGTGGCCTGAATTCACCTGGACACGATATCTTGATTACATGAGTGACGGACAGTCAAAGGTTCTTGAGAAATTATTCAAGTATGTGGTCAAACGAGAAGTGACCAGACAATTAGGCTTTAAATCTGAAGGTGAAACAACAATCAGTAAAGATGACGACAGTTTGAAAAGGTCAGTGAGCGACAATGCCCAAAATAATAACACGATCGATGAAAAAGATGATATTGATTTAATTAAACCAAATTGTATCGAGAATAATTTTCTGTCCAAAGTTGTTGATATTTACGTCAATCAAAATGTAACAAATCAAGTTAATCATGAGAATCTAATTTCTGCTGATGAAGTTGAAAGTGAGATTAATAATTTCGTACTCGCTGGATTTGAAACTGTCCGAACGGGAATTTTATTTACATTAGCATGTATTGGTAAGTTGATTGTTGATTAATTGTTTCGATAATTACGACAATTACCCTAGTCTAAATTGTTTTGCCTCTTTTATTTTTCTTTAATCTAATAGCTAGCGAGCCGATTATCCAACAACGAATCTATGATGAGTTAGTTGAGGTCTTTGGTGATCCACAGGAAAAGTGGACCTTTGATTTGGAAAAATTGAATCAATTGCATTTCACTGATTGTTGTGTTCGCGAGGGATTACGAATTTTTGCCCCGCAGCAACTTTTAGGCCGTAATTCGGGTTCGGAGAAATTTCAACTCGATGAGGATCACCTTTTACCTCCAAGAACAGAATATCTAATCTCAGTATATAGTATTCATCATAATGAGAAAATTTATCCCGAACCAGAGAAATATGATCCTGACCGATGGTCACCTGGTCGAGTTGAGAAAATTCCATTTAATTGTTGGATTCCATTTGGAGTTGGGCCTCGGGCTTGTGTTGGCTATCGATACGCAATTTACGAGATGATTATGGTAATTTCATCAATTGTCAAACATTTTCACCTTTATTCAAATCGACACTATGATGATATCAATTGGTCTTTCGTTTTAACAACAAGACCAATTGAAGAACTCAAATTTAAAGTTAAACCAAGAAATAAATCTAATTAGTCGAAAACTTTTCCAAATTAAAAAAGAAAATAAAACAAATTGTTAAACGGAAATAATTTTATATTTGGCAATTTTATAATTCTCATTCCAAAGAAAAGTTAACCGGTAAGGCTTTAGATATGTCCGAAAGCTCAACTTTTCTACTTTCATCTTACTTTTTTTTGGCTTACGTTTAAAGCTACACATGGAAATTAACTTAATCGCTCAATTAATTTGTTTCTTTAAATTAGATTCGGTTAGGTTTTCACTATTAAGGGTCACTATGGACAATCAAACTGTCACACAATTGATGTAACGATAGCTGTCGACAGCTAATCAGCTCCTTCTTCCGCTAATAGCTTTTATTTCATTGTTAAATGTGGACTTACACGAATCCAAGGTTCCAAATAATCTTGGATTGTTGAATTAATTAATTAAATTAAATCATTTTCCTAAAAAGCCACGAATTAGCCGCAAAAAAGTCAGCTGAAAGTGTAAATAGTGAGCTTATGGACATAACCTGAGCCTTATCAACAATAATAAAACTTGTAATAAGTAAAATTGAAAAGAAAATATCAGCAACTAATCAGTTGGAAAATAAATTAAATTAATTAGTTGATCAAGAGAAAAAATTAAATTCAAATATTTGATAAGCGATAACATCGATTCGAAAACAATATCGATACTTGATAACCGATAATCGATATTCTTCTCTTTTCTTTTTTCTCCCACAGATGGAGCCACAAATTCGTTTGTTTATTTTCTTTTTCTATTTTAATAACCTTTATTTACCTTTGTCTCCTTGTGGTTAATTAATTATTTCACTTGATTTGTTTTTCTATTCTTTTGTTAATCATTGTATTAATATTTTTGTTCTATTTCCTTTCTAGGTACATTGATAGACATGAATTCCTTGGTACGTAGTGTGATTAATCAAAGGACTTTGAAAGGCCTACAAATGATCCAGAAACGAGGTTACTCTTATCCGTATGGAAATAAATTCTTGATCACTCCACCTCGGACTCCAGTTTCGGTGACCGAAAGATGTGTTTGGTTTTCTGTGCTTTTTATTTCGGTAACTTCGGTACCAGCATGGATTCTGTACCATCTTCGTCTGTACCGTAATCAATCGTACAACGATTGGATTGATTATCAAAATAGATGGTCAAGTAAAGATTAATCCAACGGCAGATTTCAAAGCAGAACAGACAATAATCAATTTCTTTCTCTATGGGAACCAAAGTTACACACTACTAGATTGTTTGTCGCAACTAAAATCAATCATAGATATTAAGGATTATTCATCATTCTAAGAAGAAGAAAAAAAAACTGTCAAGCAAAAGGAAAAGAAAACTGAAAACATTCAATTTATATCGTATTTGTTTACAATAATAACCTACATATATTTATATGTTTTCTTAACTTTGTTACAATTGAATTAATTCATTCCCCGGAATATGAATAACTTTTAATGATAAGTAAATTAAAGTTATCAACAATCAATTAACACTCAAATTGACAAAGATTAATGAAAACCAAACCATTTACAATGTTGAACAATTCAAATGCAAGGTTAATCAAATTAATCATTTTTCTTCCTCCTTTCAAATCAACAATTGAACTAAATTGTAATGATGAAATTGAAGAAAACCAAGTTCGTTGAGTTAGTAAGCAAAGATTTTCCAACAATTACCATAATTGTTTAGATTAAATTGTCAACAATTAACAACATGAATCAAAGATAAAGGAAATTACAATTTACCGAGAATGGAAATGTTATCATAAGAAAACTGTTACGAATAAACAAAAAAGAAAATAAGTTCTAACTTTTGTTATTTTCGAATTTTTTTTAGACAAATAATTTATATTAGAAATAGAGTAATAAATTAATTACTCTTTCAAGAAGATAAATCAAGAGAAGAAGAAGATAAAATGACGATAACCGGTTATTTATTCTCTTCTTCAGTTGAATCTCTCTCACGTTGGACAACTTCATCATCTTGGATTCAATATGATTTGAAGGGAGAAGATGATGATGATAAGGATGATGAAGAACTTGAGAGAGAAAGAAAGATGAAGAGAGAGAGAGAAAAAAATCGTTCTAACGTTTAGTATAACCACAACTCGCTTCAAGTTGATTTAGTCTCATTTCTTGTTTTCGTTGAAACGTTTATCCCTCTCACTCTCTTCCTATGATAATCTACTTTTAATCAGAATGTTTTCTAATCAACAATTAAAGTTAATCACCAGAAATTAAGGCCCTCAAGGAAAAACCTTTGTTCTTTTCTATTTCAATTTGAATTCTCTTCCAATCCAATTTTCTTCCTTAAGTGACAAAGAAAAGAGGGAGAAAACAAGAAGATAATTATTCTTCCTCTGATATGGATTAATAATTATATCGATTGTTTATCTAATTACAGTGATTAAAGTAATTTATTCGCAATCATCTTCTACTTCAATCAACTTGTATAATTGTGAATTCTAATGAATCATTGAAGAAGAAGAAGAAGATTTTTGTTACTTTGTTTCTCTCTCTCTCATTAAATCCAAATGATCCGAAGGATAATCCATTAATCGCTACGAAATTTAATCTCGAAACTTTTTTCTCTCTCTCTCAAAATGCCTCATCTAAATTGTCCAATATTCTGGTTACCTTTAGAATCTGACCAAGGTGATGGTCAAGTTTCATCTTCTTCTCTAATCTCATCTCAACGAACTCTCACCTATTCCAATTCAACGATACCCAATTGGTTAATCATCGATTATTGTCAAAGTAATTGGATAACAAGTTGTATTAATTTTCTATTTATCTTTGTGTCCATTCAGTTTTATTTGTTTTTCTATCGTTCAAAAAAATCTAAATCATCCTCATCATCATCTCCATCATCTTCTTCATCCTCACCCAGGCGGTCATCTGAAAATCTCCATAAACAATCACCAATAAATCACTTGAAACATTCATATTCTCATTATCATCATCAATATAATCACAATCATAATCAATCAAATTCTCACAATATCCGAAGTATCTCACAAACAATTCTACCAATTCAAAGTGGATTAATTAACGATCAGATTGATTGTTCAATCGATAATCAAAAATGCCACCTAATTAGCCTTTGGAATCAAATGATTCCAAAAATTTTACTCGACATCATGATACTGATCATGTTTTTCATCATCTCACTTTCCATCATTGAACTTTACCAATATCCTTGGATTAATTTATATCAACAACTTAATGGCCGGTTAATTACCTTAATCTCAATGGTTTTTACCTTGTTAATTAATTACTTTATTGTTTTACCTCAACTTGGTTTACTTTTACTTAAACCGGGTTATGGTAATTCACTTTATCGAGTTACCTTTTTAATTATCCTAATCTCTTATTGGACTGTAACTGTAATCAATTTAATCTACCAATTGGGATTACTATTAACGATGGGCTTATCCTTAACTAATCACGTTCGTCTACAATTAACTTTGGCAACAATTTGCATCTCTACTTGTTTCCTGTGTGCTAAATTATCCGCAATTCTTATGACCAAGGTAAGTGTTAAATCAACAATTAACAACACAATTTGGTTCTGTATTCATCTTTACCTTTCAATACAATTGAAATTAATAGTTAATCATCATCATCTTAATCATAATCATTGGGTGTAAATAGATTTGTTTACATTTTTTTTTCTTTCCAAATGAAAAGTGATAATAACAAAATCCTTGGATTAAGTGTTTATCCAACTCATTGAATTGATTAACTTGAATCCACTTGTCATAACAATTAACACACAAAGTTTACAACAATTAATAGTAAATCTTAATCTTAAATCGGATACAAATTAACTTTTACTTTCATAATCTATCAAATTGCCTCTGGTCAGTTAACCGAATTAAAAATAAATCTAATCAACTAATTTTGCTCTAATTTTCCCCTTTGTTTACCTGATTATCATCTAATTGTGAAGTTTTAATCATTCACATTCAAACTAAATTAAGAAAAAATCTCTCAATAATTGATTAACTTATAATGAGTAACCTGTTGATTGTTTCCTAATCTGGTAAATCGGATTAGCAAAACAAAAAGATGAGGAGAAGAAAAAAAAGTAAATTCTAATTTTGATTTAGTTAATTGTGATTACTAATTGTTGTTAATTTTAATCTGTTGATCCATCTAAATTACTCTTATATGTATTGATGGTGAAAGATTATAATTACGGAGCTAAATTAATATTAATCAAGGAGTAAATTGTTGTTGATTGTTGTTATCATGTGTTGATTATAACTTCAAGTTGGTCCAATAGTTAAAATAAAACGTCAATCAAATTAATAATAATTAATAATTTACGATAATTACTATTAACTTTTTGTTCCCCTAAAATTCACAAACTAATTGATAACGTGATTAGTTAATCAATTGTTGATTGAGATTATTTTTCTTTTAAAACCTTAATTCATTTGAACTCGAAAATCTTATTGATTATTTTAATCTATTTGCGGATTTAATTCACCAACCAGCTGATCTAAATTACTACTCATTATCTCATCAACAGGTGATGATAGTTTAATGATGATTAAGGTTTAATCATCATTCATTCACCTAAGCAATCAATTTAAATCCATTAATAACATTTAGACATGAACAATTTAAAACAAACTTTTAATCAACAAATGTGAAAGTTAATCAATCAGAAGGTGTGACCAATGCTAATCCCGTATTACCGGATTAACATTGTTGTTGATTTGTTTATTATTATTTTACCGGATTTAAGGTCTAAAATAAATAAATACATAAATTATATTATAATAATAATAATAATAATGAATGTAAATTAGTAAATTTTAATTATCGTTACAAAATGATTTACCTTTATTGTGATAACCTCACCAAGAAACAAAACCATTAATATCAATCTCAGAATCATCAATGAATTTTGATAATAATAAATATTATCAATTATCATGAGGTAACAATAATCATTAATAATGTAAATCTAATCTAATCTGAATATTAATCTAAATATAAAAGATTAAGTAATTAGGTGGAGAGAGAGAGAGAGAGAGAGAGAACAGATTAACTACTAACATAAAACATGCGACAATGAGGTTGACACGGATATGCTGGTCCTCTAACAAGAGGCCTCACTCCCAAGAGATGATGATTAGAACTCATCCCATTATCATCATCATAATCTTCATCTTCATCTTCATCTTCATCTTATCCTCATCACCATCAGCTGAAAAATAAGGTGATAAATATGTAAACTAATCGTGTTCATAACATTGAACTGGTTGGTTAATTTTTCTTGCTTACCTGTTTAAGTTGATTCTTCATGTTGAAATCTTAATTTTTCAGACTTTATGTTCATCAAGAACGGATCATCATCATGATCATGAAAAACTGATAGATAATGTTGCCTAAATTGTTTGCAATCAGTTAATCCATCCATTCATTGATTCACTTCACTCGCCCATTCATCCAATGATTAATATTACATATCAAGAATCAATTAGGAGAAAAACTTGATTCAAAAAGTAATAATAATCACATTGATTAATAATCTTATATACACTTTGAATAGCACATTGATTACTGGTTAATTGTTAATCGTTGATTGTTATGTATTATTATTATTATTATTCTGATGATGATGATGCTGATGACCATGTAATCATCTTTTTTTTTGGGAGCCCATGATGATTAGACTTGATTACCTGTATTATTATCATCAGTTTACCTTGAGGGATTTTTGGGTTTGCTTAGATGTTTTTAATTTTCCATTTATATATCAACACTTGATTAAGAAAATTAACAAAAGAAATTAAAAGGGAAAGATTATCAAGATTAATTGTGATTAAGAGAGAGAGAGAGAGAGAGAGAGATTTAATTACAACATGTCATAAATTGTCTGCTAACAATTAGATGTTATTAACTAATTAACGAAAGCAAATTCAAGGAAATTGAATAACTTTTATTATCTTGAGAGTTTATTATTGTTTGATTACAACTGTAAACCAAATTAACTAATTTCTCATTTTCTCATCCAAATGTGATTGTCATTGATTAACGAAATTTGCAAATATTTGTCATTTATAATTTAATTGTCTACAACAATTAACGATCCACTGGTTAATGATTAACTTTATTTACGATCACTTTGATTTTACGTCAAACTTTTCTTTGTATATTAATTGTTATCGATTCGTTTGCTAATTGTGATTATCTTCACTAATTGCAACTTTTAATTCCGTGTGTGTATGTACATACAAGAAAAATGGTTAATCAATCATCATTTTCAATTAGTTTAATTAAATTCAACACTAGATTAAAGTTAATCAATTGATGATTAAGAAGAAGAGTAAAAAAAATCGGAAATAATCTTGATTGTTAATGAAAAACTTTTCAACATTTGATTTTAGTTTGATGATTGTAATCATTTAATCAAATTAATTTAGGGTGAAAGTTTCAAACATGAGTATCTCCTTTTTGATTTAATTGAATTTAATTAAACTAATCCAGTTTTATCACCGGATTGAAAACCCAATCAATAAGGATTGAATTTCTTTACCTTTAATCTGATAATAATCATGAGAGACTTTGTTTAGTTGATCAAATTAAAAGGTAAATACTTGATTGTTGCAGTTAATTGATGCAAAAAAAACGAAATCATCAATTCAAGTAACTCAATTTATCAGTAATTAGTAAATTGTTAAAGGGTTGAATTGATTTGAGTTTATTGTTGCTCGAAGCATATTAATACCCTGAAAGTGGCATAGTAATTAACCCTTAACGGATATTTGGTGGTCCATCAATCAACTAATCACAAATCATGCAATAGATTTCAATTGATTAGCAACAATTAAGATGACAGTTAACAAAATATTAGGTAATTAAATTGTGATCGGTATTGGTTTAAATGTAATAGAAACAGTTAAAACTATTAACTTTTAATTGCTTGTTATTAACTTGATCAATATTAATGTTACACTTTTTTATTGAAATTTTTATTGATTAAATTAATTGTTACTTTAACGATTACCGGTAAAACTTTTACCTCTCATCATTATTTAATTGTTAAAGTTAATTGTTGTTATATACAATAACAATTACCCTTGAAAATAACAAAGTAAATTAATCAGTGACTCTCAATGATGATGTATTACAATTGGTAAAGTTAATTGTTATATCATGTAAATGGTGATTTAAGTTAATTGCTTGTAATATTTTGAAACAATTCATTACGATAGTTAATTGTAAGCTAATCATTTGGTTAATAACTAAATTAAGTATAATAACAACACTTTCTGCTAATCGTTCATTGGGTCACCTAGATGATTGTTTCAATTGTAATTAAATACAATTCATCCTAATTTGGTTAATAGTTTTTGATTGTTGTTGGTTAATTTTAATTTAGTACAAGATTTACAAACCCTTTGGGGTCAGATTAAGATTTATAAGAAATTTAATTTAATTTGATTTGTAAATTTAACTCTTTACTTTTCATTTTAAATTTTAACTACTCAAATCTTTACAATCAATTTTAATTATGTTTAATTAAAGTGATTGAGATAATGTCATCATGATTATGATGACAATAATCTGATTAATCTGAATAAGATCATCTCACAATCAACTGATTATCATGTGTAAATGTTGAAACATTTTTACTTGAAAATGACAAGAAATTAGTTGAAAACAATTAAAAGTCTAACAATTTTAATTGTCTTTTCTTTTCAGGTTATCATGAATTAAATCAAAACTAAATCATGATTTAAATTGAATACAATTAACCCTTCACCCACTCTGAGGAAAGTGGGGTGGGTAATATGAAGGTGTGAACATTTCAATTTCATATTTCCCTCTCTCTCTCCAACTGAATTAGATTTAAATTGTTACCATCTAAAAGTAAAACAATTAATTAACAAGTGATAATGGGCGAACAATTAAAATTAAAGTTATTGTTAATTGTTGACCTTGAAAATAAGCAAATAATTTATCATGATTTGCTAATTGTTGCTGTTATAATTAAATATTATTCACGATACTCTTAACCTAATCAACTTGATTGTAATTTATTATTATCATTTAATTTGATTATCATTTTTAAATCATTTTCACTTTAATAATAATAATTTTCTGTTCAACAACAATTAGCAATCAAGTTAATTGTTAATCAATGATAATCAAATCCTTTTACACCTTTTTCACTTGTAAACTAATCTTTCAATCAGTTAATTTATCTTAATTTAAAACTTTTCCCCAATTGTAATCAACCAATCATCATCACAATTATAATCAACAATCAATTGTAAACAATTTAATATTAACCTTAAAGGTATTCAGTTTATATTAACAATTAACTGACTTTTAAAAGTACACAATTTAAATTGTGACATTGACATTGTAATAAAATTGAATATTAAATTACTTTAATTGAAACATTTTCTCATCACAATTAAGCCAACTAAATATATATATAAATTAACCTTTATGGTTAGTTAATTGTATCATCATCCTCCCTCTTTAAACTTTCACAATTAATAATATATATATTTAATCACTTTTTATCTAATTTAAATCTTAATTGTCGACATGATGATAATCAAGAGTAATAAACAAATTAACTGTAATAAAAAACTGTTCAACTTAATCAAATGTAACATCATAACTTGATTAGGGTCAAGATTTATTTTTAATTTAGTTTAATTACCGATAATTTATATTAGTAATAATGAAAAAAAAGGGTTAACCTTATTGTACAATTAAAACTTTTACCAGTTGATTAGTTTGGTAATTGAAAATTGAATCTTTGATTAACTTTCAATGGTTTAGACATTACAATTAACAACAATAATGTAATAATCTAGTTTGTCTGTGATAATTAAAGTGGATTATCTTAATCACTTGAAGAATATGATTAATTGTTGGTTAAAATTATTTACCATTGACAAGCAATTTATCCTGATTAACCTCAAGTACTTTCTTGGTGTTGATTAAATCCACTCCCAGCACCCACCCGATAGCAACCACCTTAATTATAATCAACCCGCTCTGATTAAATGAACCAAATTGATTGTGATCTTTAAATTTTGATTCTTTTTGTTACTTTCATGATTAACTTAAATCACTGATGATCATCAGCTGATAACTAAATTAGCTACTTTATTATTATTGATTATTTCCTTAATTCAGTTCATTTGGGTTGACCCAATCAAATCTGTTCAAGTCCTAGTGTTGATGATTTATGTATCTAAATGATCATCGAAACCATTTATTATTGTTTACAATTTGTTAATTGTTGTTGTTTATAAATCGTTAATTGTGCTTGATAGTTTAGTTTTGTGATAGATTTTGTCTTAATTAAATTATCTTTGATTCAACAGAGACACTCCTGTGTTATTAATATCAAGATTAAGATGATCGAGAATTTGAAATTGCAACAATTAAACCTTAATTGTAGTTAATTGTTGATATAATATACAGTCAAATGTGAGTGAATCACGAACAATTAGTTGATTGTTCAATTGAATCAGAAAAATAAACAAGAAATATAATTGTTTTCATAATTTGAATCAAATGTTCATTAAGAGTATTAAATTTGGCTTCTAATTGTTAACATAATTAACTAATCAAATGAAATACAAACCATAACAATTAACTGGTAACCAGTTAATTGAAACACTAAATTATTTCAACGGTGAAAACAAAAATAGCAAAATAAATAGTTAATGATTTAAGAATCACCTTTGATTGTAATTTAATTGTACAGATTTACAATTGATTATGTATTAATTTTGATTTTCAATTGAATGAAACAATTAATTGTGTCATTGATGTTTATTTACAACCAACAACAATCAGGTCAATTAACTAATTATTAGAATCACTTTAATGATGATGATTAGGAAGATGATGTTTGGTCATTTGCTTAATATTGTTAATTATTTTTTTCGTTTCTTTTTTCTTAATTGTCGCTAATTAGGAACAATTTGATGGCGATTTGAAACGTCCAAGTGATTGTAAATATCTCCATCCATACTCATCGATATTATCGAAGGCCACTTTCTCGTGGTTCTGTCAAATCCTCCGTCTTGGTTATTCAAGGCCAATTCAACTTAGTGATCTTGGCTCATTGCCTAAGGTAAGTTAACCAATTAACCTAATCAAAAGTTAATTGTTGGACAGAGATGAAAACCCCACAAATCCAATTAATCACCTAGACCTTAATTGTCAGTCTTTAGGTAAACGAATACATAAAAATTAATCAAATCACTTTGAAGTTAATCAATTTAATATTAACATTGAAAACAAATTCTATCTCTGTATTAATCTTTTTCTTATCCAAGATTAACTCCTTAATCTCAGGTTGATGACAAGATGACAAACAGATTTGATTGTTGATAATGAGTTTTAATTAAATTCTTTGGAGAAAAGAAAAAATCTAAAACTTTAAATCACTTTGGTAATCAAATTACCAATCAAACAGATCAAATTTCTGTTTCTTAATCTCCCATAGATCTTTAATCATTTTCTTGTTAATCTTTTAATCTCTCATATCGGTTGATTTAATACTTACCTTGATTGTTGAACTTTACCTGTGTAAAAATTAAAACAACATTGAAAGGATTACTCACCCTTGGATTATCATCATCATCATCATCATATTCATGATAATTTATCATCATCATCAGATAATAATGATAACCATGAAATTGATTTTCCAATTGATTGTTGTTTATTTTTGCAACAGTTGATAAATTGTTGGTTAATTGCCACTGACCTTTAATTGTAAAGGTAAATGATTTAAACACAACAATACAAGAATATTGTAAAGTCAATAATCTCAATGGTTTATTAATAGTAATCAAAATTTTTCTGCTCATTAATTGTTACAATTAAAGTTAATCTCTGAAACTCTCGTCTTAACCTTAACAAATCCCGATTGATTTTTGATAGTATTACTTTTCAAACAATTAACCCGAGTAAAAGTTAAATCATATAACCGATATGTTTTATATCACGTTAGAAACAAAAATTAAAGTAATTAAGTTAATTAGTTTTAAATTATTATCATTAATTCATAATAACAAAACATAATAAAAGAGGATTAAAGTTGTGGTAGAGGTTGAGGTTGATGTGGAGGTAGATTGATATTTACATTCACAGGAGATTATTATATAAATTGTGTGTTAATTTAAGTTAATTGTGATTAGTTGATTTAAATTTTTTTTTGCTCTTCGAATCCAAAACCTTGTAAATGAATTAATAAAAAAACAAACAAAGTTTTAGGCTTAATTGTTGCATAATAGTTTGGATGTTATTTTGATTGCTGTTTGATTATCATATTGATTGGTTGTCTATTTGTTGATTGTTGATTCTGTTAATTATATTGATTTGGTTATTAGAATTTGTTTTAGTCATAATTGATTATTATTCTTGGAATTGATTTCATTGTTTGTTGTTTGATTATTAGTTTTTTTGCCTTCTTCTTGTTTAATTGTTATGGATCTCTCTCTCCCCTGATTGATCATTTACGACAATTAACTCTTGAACAGGTACCAGTTAGTGGACTGTAATTACAATTAGCAGAGCACAAATACCTTGAGGCACAATCGCCACTTTCTCGTCCAAATTTACTGGCCTCGAACTCATCTCTTTCCTCATCGAAATCGTGACAAAGTCCAACCGCTTCAGCGGCCGTTTTAGCCCGAGCCGCTTGACCGCACTTATTGATAGCATTGTAATTAGCCAAACAGTGAAAGTACCTATTGGGAATACAATTAAAGAGATAAACAATTTAGCAATCAGATTAATTGAGTAATAACAATTATCTCTTTATGTGTATAAATAAATATACAGATTATCTTAATCATCATCATCATCGATCATTAATCAATAATTTAGATATTTTTTTTCTAGGTCAATGTCGATAATAATCAGCAATAATCGTAAAGATTAATTAACTTGTTAATTGTCTTATTGTCCCTCTAACTGATTGATCCAATTTTCTCAAATGTAGTTATTATAATTGTGATCAATTAAATTATTGGTTTGATTTTTCTTCTTCTTGATTATTGATTGATTGATTGGGATGAAGAAACAATTTACTTACAAGTGACAATTTTTACAAGAAGATGATCTCATTGTCGCAAAAACGGCAACCATTTCCCGACCGGCACATCGAACCTCCGTTTCTCGATCCGATTTAGGTCCAAGTTTATTCTTGAAACAATCGGCAATCCTTTTCCAATCAGTGGCAATTGGTGAAGATGATTCTTCAATATTTTCACCATTTACCATTAAGGGTTCAGCTAAATCAGAATCAAGAAGTACCGAAGCACAATTAACACAATTAACTATGGACAATAAAAGTCCAATGGCGGAAACGAAGCGAAAACAGATCATCATTGATTGAGGATTAATTGAACTAAATTTTGATTAGATTTGATTATCAGTAAAAATAATAATAATGATGATGATTAACTAGTAATCGAGAGACGGGGGAGGGATTGATTGTAATTAATTAAGATATTGGGAGTGATTGTGTTAAATTAGTTGAACTAATTGTTGAACCCAAAATTACACACAAGGAGAAAACTGATCAAGATAATAATCGAATCAAATTCAAAGTTAATTGTTGATTGTTTCCCTTGATTGACACTGGAAATATTGGAAGGTGTCTAATTGTTTCATCAACAGTTAACAACAGACTTTAATTGTTGTCACCTTAACGGCGTATTAACTGTTAATGAAAAAAAGGTAAATCTTTTGTTAATCAAATCAAAAACCATTAAGATACTTATAATTTAACTATTCAGCAATTAGTAGTAGTTTAATCATTGATTGAAAGTCAATTGATTATCATGATTAACCTCATCATGGAAAGAGGGGAAAAGGAATACATTGGATTAGTTAATCATTTAATTTACTTCCTGAGTTAATTGTTGATGATTAGTTTCCTTTTTCTCATCAAACCAAATCAATTGATTTAAAGAGCAAACAATTTAACTGTGAAAACTTTGTTTCCCAAAAGACAATCAGTTAATTGTTGATGAATCCAAATTAGGAAAAGATGATTAATTATCATCCGATATCAACTAATTTAGCGCTTAATTGTTGGATTACTTATTTAAGTAAAAAAAAAGGGATTGTATTTAATTGTAAACAATTTTCTGTCGTCTTAATTGTTGATTACACTCAGTTAATCATGATTTTTTCAGCTGAAACCTTAATAATAAAAATATAAATCATAAAGACCACTTGATGATTAGTTAATTACCTTACTGATTGTTGGTTAAAATCACTATGGTGATCTAAAGGTAACAAACAATCAAAAAATTAGTCTACTAATTGTTCAGGTTAGCAGATTAAATCTTAACAAGTTGTTTCTTTTAATTATATCATTCTAATTAAAGCTGACTCATTTAATTCATCTACATCACCATTTATAATTGCAACAATTAACTTGGTTACAAGGAAACAATCACAATCTTCATTCATTTGATCATTATACTGATTAGATTTAACAATCACCAGTGTATTTATTAAAATAAATTAACTGACTTCTCTCTGTTGATTAATCAAAATTAACTCTAATTGTAGACAGTTAACTTTAGTTAAGATTGAATGACAACAATTAACAAGACCAAATCAACACAGTCAACGAACCCAAAGTTAAGGGTCAATAAGCGGATTCATTGGACTTTAATTATGATAAAATATTAATATGAAAGTTAATCAGCAATTATAATCATCATATTTGATTTAAAGTGAATCAACAATCAACAATTAATCTAATAAACCAGTTTATCAACCCTCTCAATCAAAATTTACTTTCACTTTGAGAAGTAAAAAATCAAAGGATTTTCATTGATTATCGATAACTTTTTTTTTCCGCAATTTTAATTGTTGCAATCATTTTGTTTATTGTTGGAATCATGATGAAATTCAGTTAATTGTTGATGATCATTGATAATTTTAATCATCATCTTTCAATTGATATGAGTAAATCCCCTGTTCTTATACTTGATTGTTGATTTAATTCAGTTTCATATCTTGAATATTATTTTTTTTTTTGCTTTCCATTAAAAATCATCAATCAAATGATTAACCAAAATGAAAATGAAAAACTAAAAACTTGGTTAAGGTTAATTAATGAAGAAAAATAAAGTTACAATTAAAAAAAAGTTGAATTACAATTAAAGAGGTGTCTGTTTGTTTTTAGATTGTAACAATTAGATTAATCATATTCACATTAAAAACACACAAAACAAAGTTTCATGTTGAGTTTTGATATTATTTTTAATTTAACTGATTTAACTCTGAGATATTAAATTGTTTATCATTAGCATCTAAATTAAGATGAAACAATTTATATTATATATAAATTGTTACAAAATGTTTGATTAGTTAAACCAAAAATTTACCTCAAGACAATTAAACCATTAGCATGATTGTTGATCGCAACAAGAAGCACATTGAATTGGAAAACAATTGACAGTTTAACTAATTTAGATCGTAACTAATTAATCTAATTGTTGTTTAATTGCTGTAACAGGAACAAACAACCGAAAGTCAATTTGCCAAATTCAATACTTTCTTTGAACAAGAAAGGTGTAAATCAATTAATCAAGGTGAATCAATTTCCCTATGGCGATGCTATTGGAAAACATTTAAATTCAGTTTAGCAATCGGGGCGATATTAAGGATTTCCGCTGATATATTTGCCCTTTTCGGACCAATATCAATACAATATATCCTTAATTACGTTGATTCAGTTAAAAATTCAACATTAAATCAATCGCAATCAGCACAACAATCAAATTTTACTTCATTTCCACCCAATCAACAACAATTTGAATTACAGGTAAGATGAAATTTTTGATATTTGAGGTTAATTGTTGCCGATTGTCATAGTTAATCATTATAATTGTAGACAATCAATAAATTGTCATCACAATCAATAAGATTTTTTCTTTCTTCATCAAAAGAGATAATCGTTCTGGTTGTTTAATCTAAACCTTTAATTATGATTATTTTGACAAGTTAATATACTAATGATATCCATTTATTTTTGTCCAATTAATTTTTTAATCACAATTTAGGTTATTGAGACAACTAATTATCTAAAAAATGGCTTCTTAATTACTTTCCTAGTTTTATGTTCAACATTTTTACAAAGTAATTTCAGTAATTCATTTAATCATTTGGCTGTTTTACAAAGTTTACAATTAAAAAGCGCCCTCCAGGTAAATATCTAAATATTAGTTAACCAATTAACCAATAATCAAGATTAATTGTTAATCGATTTTGTCATTAATCCGACCAAATGAAATCTCTTCATCTATTTCAGAGTTTAATCTACAAAAAGACCTTAAGAATGGCCCCATCAATGGGACTGGACATCGGGGGAATATCAAATCACATGTCCTCGGACACTCACGACATGATGATGTTATTTTCAATGGGTCATTACGTTTGGGCAATACCGTTAAAAGTAATTAAAAAAATAACCTAGAAACAATTTAATCACAAATCTAATCTGGTGATATAATTTTTGTTTTAAATTCTCAATCAATAGATAATCATTTTGATGACATTACTTTATTTCCAATTGGGAATCAGTTCAATCATCGGAGCAGCGGCCATTTACATCTTAGCACCGATCCAATATTATCTTGGCAAACGATTAAGTGCCATTCGTAAGGATACAATGGTAACAATTAACTCTATCTCTCTCTAACAATTAACAATGTAATCTACTAATTGTGAACTAATTTTACTCTCTCTCTCTCTCTCTTTTGCCAGAATATATCTGATCAACGATTAAAGAAAACAAATGAACTACTAACTGGAATTAAATTGTTGAAACTATTAAATTGGGAGATATTATTTTGCCGAAAAGTTGAAAATATCAGAAATGAAGAGTTAAATTATCAGAAACGAGATGCTATTCATGTTGCTTGCATAAGTAAGTTCAATGATATAAGACAATTAACTCAATTAACTAATCCTTGAATTTTTTTCATTTACTTTTTTCCTAATCTCTTAATCTCTTAAAGCAATACTGACCCAAGCATCTTCCGTTATCCTTACACTGGTCACTTTCGTCCTGTACCCTTACATTGAAGGTGAACCCTTGCAATCAACTAAAGTATTCACTGGATTAGCCTTATTTAATCAATTAACGGTTCCACTTTATATAATTCCCGTTGTTGTGCCAATCATAATCAGCTCATTAACCAGCAGTCGACGATTATCAAAATTTTTATCCCAACCTGAAATTGATTGTAATGTGCCCTGGAGGCAAGATGATTGTGATTGTATTATTAAGGATAATGATGAGGATGAGGATGAGGATGATCAAAATGAGGATAAAGATGATGAATCGGAAGATGGTAATGCCAATGTAAGTTTAATTTTGTTTTTTTTTCTTTGTTCCATTTACTAATTTTTCCAACAACAACAACAATTAAGCTTAATTGTAAACTCTATGAACTGCCAATCACCTTTCACCTTAACTTTTTCAAGTAATTAAGTTGATTAGTTGTAATATTCATCATGATATTTATATTAATCAACAAATACACACTCACACAAACACCAGTTGATGGTTGTAATTGATTACCAACGTAATTACAACTATCTAATTTTAAATGTTTACAATTAAGGTGGAAAAGATTAACTGTTAAAATTAAATTACCTCATCACAAGAAACACATTAGATTTAATTGTTGGAGAGAAATTAATTTAATTTTGTTTACAACTTTGTTTTTTTTTTTACCTACAAGAGAGTTAATTAGTTAACAGTTTTAATCCTTAACCTTGATCATCAAATAATTAGTTGAACAATTGTTGCTGTTGTTGTTGTGATTGTTAATTATTATCATTTATTAACTTTAATTGTTCATACCTATTAAATGTAATCATATTAATTGAATGAAAAATTGATTTTCGTGATTTTGAAAACAGAAAAAATCAACTTATCCCAATGGAAATGTTTTAATTGTTGATGATGATGGTGATGTTGGTGAATCGGAACAACAATTAACAAAGAAAACAGCAACAATTAAAGGTTCGGTTAAAGGTGATTGTGATGGTGAGACTGCCGTTAGAATAAGAAATGGCCTTTTCGCTTGGAGTAATAATAAGGAGATTGATAATTTAAGGGACATTAATGTTGCCATACCAAAGTCAAAGTTGACCATAGTGACCGGTCCAGTTGGGGGTGGAAAAACTTCCCTGCTTTCGGCTTTGATGAATGAGATGATTAAACTTGACGGAACTGTGACCTGGTGTTCAGGTAATTCTCGTATTGGATTTTTACCTCAAACTCCGTGGCTTTATAATGTCTCCCTAAGGGATAATATCACCTTTGGAATGCCCTTTGAACCTGAACTTTATACAAAGGTGAAAGAGATCACATCTCTTCAGGGTGACATTGAATTATTGCCCAATCGTGATGATACTGAAATCGGTGAGAGAGGAATCAATTTATCGGGTGGTCAACGTCAACGAGTTGCTCTTGCAAGGGCAATTTATTGTGACCCTTCAACTCTTATACTTGATGACCCTTTATCTGCTCTTGACCCAAAGGTTTCCCAAACAATATTTACCTCGGCCATTGTTGATTACCTTTTAACTCGAGGTAAAACAGTTATTATGACGAGCCATGACTTAGATCATCTTAAAGTTGCCTCGAAGGTCATTGTCGTTGATCGAGGTCAAATTGATTTTGACGGTGATTTTAGTGGACTGGTTTCATCGAATTGTGAATTTTATATTCAACTGAGAAACAATGAATTGGCTCAGGAGAAAAATCGAGCCTTCGTCTCAAGCGGAAGTTCAACCGCGAAGGAGAGACAAAAACTTAGCCGGTTGGTCACTAAAAGAGCTTTAGTTCGAACTGTATCAACGATTGAAGGTCATTCTAAACGACGATCGGGAATTTATATGAGACAAGTGAGCCATGATCCATCATGCCCGTTACCATGTGACGATTATGCCGATATTACTGGACCCTGTTGTCCGTCAACATCAACTTCTGGTTCATCTAAAGATGATTTCTGTCTCTATGGTAATTCAAGTTCAAATATGGCCTCTTCTGGGTCAACTGGTGCTTACGGACGTAAACCGGGAAAATCAGGTCACTTATTGCGACTCATCTCAAGTGAATCAACGCAATCTCGAGCCTCATCCAATCTCAGCGGAAATTTTATCGGTGGTAACAGCGATACAAACACTACCACCGGTGGGGGTATTTTCCGTCCTGGCTTGAAACGATTAGTGTCCAAAATTTCCGATCGAACCATAACAGAGGAAGACGATGCTTCTCGAATGATAAACTCGACTAGAAAATTATCAACCGATGCCGCTGATGAAGGTGACCTACTGTTAATGGCTAATGGTCGGCTCACTAAATCGGATGAAGGTCGGAAAGCGGCCAGATTAATGGGTCGATCTGAAGGGATCATCAGTACATCTCCGTCCGAAGGGATAATTGGTGACGAGGAAAAAGAAACTGGATCGGTTTCAATTAAAGTCTACTGGTTGTACATTAAATCGTGTTCCACTTATTTAGCAATTACAATTTTGTTGTTCCTCGTTTTTTCCCAAGTAATTAAGGTAACTACTGATTTCTGGTTAGCCGATTGGACTGAGGCCGGTGTTGGTATAGCAAAGCAGAATTTAACAATTGACACAGCAACAATTACGAATGAAAATTTTACCACTTTACAAGAATTAAATTTCAATCCAATGGGTGACAATCTAATTGGTGAAAAGTCAACGAGTCACACTTTAGTTTACTATATTGGTGGTTATTGTATTCTCTCTGGATTAACAATCTCAATCTCGTTAATTGCTAATTTAATGTTACAATTTGCTTCACTTCGAGCAGTTCGAGTTCTACACTCGAAAATGATTAACGCTCTAGTTAAAAGTCCAATCAGATTTTTCGACACAACACCAATTGGTAGGATTCTTAATCGATTCTCAACTGATATTTCAACCATTGATAAGGTAATTAATTGAATACATAATTAATCAATTGTTAGAAATGAAATTGATTGCTTTTAACCATTTTTCTTTCATCAGGAAATTACATCAACTTTACCTCGATTGTTACGGTTCATGTTACTCTGTTTCTCAGCAATTATCGTTGATATAATTGTTACCCCATCTTTTATAATTGCGGCCATTGCAATTATCGTAATTTATTATTTATTACAAAAGTTTTTCCGTTCGACATCAATTGAATTACAACGAATCCAAAGTATGACCAATTCACCGATTTTTTCACATTTCAGCCAAACGTTAACTGGACTTTCAACAATCAGAGCTTTCAGGTTAGTTTTGAACAATTAGATTAACTGTTGTAGTAAATTGTTCATTTGATTTCATCTCTTTTTCTTTGTATCATTTGCAATTTAGACAAGAAACATCATTCAGTGAATCTCTCTGCGATTATATTAATACCAATAATTTAGCTTTCCTCATGGTTAATTGTGCAAATTGTTGGCTTGGAATTGCTCTTGTAAGTATGATTATATGCAATTAAAATAGGAATCTTAATTGTTACCAAACTTTTCTTTGGGATCTTTTAATTTGAACAGGATTATCTGGGAGGTATTATATTGGCCATTGCAACGGTTACATCTTTAATTGCAGCAATTTACGGAGATATTAGCACTTCATTTGTCGGCATGTCAATTAGTTATACTTTGTTAATTCCAATTTATCTTAATTGGGTTGTTCGTAATTTAGCAAGTCTTGAAATGCATATGTCGGCGGTTGAAAGAGTCCACCAGTATAGTCAATTGGAACCAGAAGATTCTGAGGAAACTTTTGAAGGTATTCTTGTGATTACATGGTCTTAATTGTTTCAAGAGTATTAATTGTTGTTAATCTTATTTAACTTTCATTAGAGTTATCCAAAAATTGGCCATCCCAAGGGTCCGTTGTTTTCAAAGGGATTGAACTTGGATACGAGGCTACATCAGATCCGATTTTGAGTAACTTTGATTTAAAAATTAAATCAGGGGAGAAGGTAAAATCTAATTAGAGATTCAGTTTAATTACGATGATTAATCGTCTATCTCTACCTTAGGTTGGTATTTGTGGACGAAGTGGATCAGGAAAATCTTCGATAATCATGGGCCTATTGAAAATGGTCGATGTTCGAGATGGTCAAATATTGGTGGACAATAAGAATATTAAAAAGATTCCATCCGATATTCTCAGGAAAAATATCGCTCTGGTTCCTCAGGAACCGATCATTTTCTCGGGGACATTCAGGTAGTTTATCTAATTGTTAATTGTGACGGAATTAAACAATCATACTGGATATCGATTAATTTGTTTTGTTTTTTGATTCTCTTATCCAGGGAAAATTTAGATCCATTCCAAGAGTATACCGATGATGAGATTTGGAGGGTTCTTGAGGAAACTGATTGTCGGTCAATTGTTGATTCATTAGATGAGATAATTAATGATGAAGGTTCCAATTTAAGTTCAGGTCAACGGCAATTACTTTGCTTTGCTCGAGCGATACTCAAAAAGAGTCCAATCCTTATAATGGACGAGGCCACATCTTCATTGGACGTTCAAAAAGAAGCGACAATCGTTGATTATATTCGTAAATCAAATCAAACCGTAATCTCAATCGCTCATCGAGTTAATTCACTTCTTGATTATGACAGAATTGTTGTCCTTGATTCCGGTAGAATTGCTGAAGAAGGTTCTCCAAAGAAATTAATGTCCAAAGAAAATGGTCTCTTCAGGTCATTAATCGAGAATGAAAATGGCCGCCAATGAGACAATACAATTAACCAGTAATTATTTAACATTTTCATTCCTTAGGTGATGGTTAAAACAAATCACTTATCAATTGTAATCCCAAACTTATTTTGTACATTTGACACTTTTATATATAAATATAAACCATCCAAGTCTAAGATTAATTTGAGATTAATCTCCATTTTAACCAATTAAAGTATATTACTTTCCAAGTAAAAACTATAGTCTCACAATCAGTTGATTGTAATTAATTAATGAACCAAAAAACAAAACAAAACAAAACAAACAACTCAAAGGAAAACAACAATCAAGGTTATCATTTAAAATGAAACTCATTGATATTTTCAATTTGATTAATTGCAAGATTTATAATCACAAGAAAACATTTAACTAGTTTAGATGAAATTAAATTAATCATGACGCAGAAATAAATTGCTCCAAGCAATTAATTAATGTGAGAAAAAAATTCAATTTCAATTACATCATCTGAGAAAAAAATGACTCACAACCAAAGAGTAATATCTTTTAGGTATCGATATCTATTCTAAATAATTAACTACAATTAAAAGAATTTTAGATTTTCTTAATTGGAATTTATATTTGCCCGATAGCAATTAACCTGAGAAGTTAATTTAGTTAATTAAATAAAAGAATTTGAGAATTTTTATTCTCATTATTGGTCGATATTGTAAATTATCTTTTCGTCGGATGGGATCGGGATTCTGATCCATTGGTTTTGTTTATTTCTAGATTTGTGTTCAGTTGATTTGTTTTATTTTTAGTGATTGTTATTAGTGAACAATTTAGTTTAATCCAATTAAATGTTTGTTTAATTGTTAATTGTGGTAAATTGTAGTTAAAAAGTTAACGAATTTAGAATAGTCGGTGTTTTAAACAATATGATTTTCTCTTCACAATTAATCTCAACTGAATCTGCTCTTCGTTTTAATCAACCAGCATCTCGGTGTTTACATCATACATTTTACATTCTTGTTAACACTAATCAGTGATTGATTAGATTCGTTTAATGGTAAATTGATTTATCAATTGTTACGCTTTCTCTTTGTAAATACCCGTAGATTTGTAATAATTAACCTAATAATTAATCCTTTCGTTTTATTCTATTTTCTTTTTCTTTCTATTCTTTTTCTTCCAACAGATACTTCGTTTATAAGTTAACCTTTTTTCCCCTTCGTTTTGAAAGATCAAATTTTGGAACAAAATAAGAATTTTAATTTTTCTATTCTATTTTATAAATCAACACAAATTCTTTCAATTGTTTTACTTAATCTCAGCTCTTGCGATCAAATAGTGTGACAACAAGTTGATAAGTTGAAAACCAACATGATGGATATTAGCAAATCTTCATCGATTCCAACAACTCAATTGGAATTGTCAATATCATGTCAAAATCTTCCTAACCTTGATACCTTTTCTAAAAGTGACCCCCGATGTACACTATTTATGAAACATTTATCTGAACGTGAGTTTAGAGAGCTTGGTAAAACGGAGATAATCAATGATGACCTGAATCCCCATTTTGTCCGTAAATTTGTGGTCAATTATAATTTTGAAACGGTTCAAAGGTTACGATTTGAACTATGGGATATCGATACAATGTCAAATGATTTTCTTGGTTATCATGAGACAACTTTGGCTGAAATTGTTGCCTTTCAAGGTCGTGAATATGTTGGCCCATTAATGGACCAAAGAGGCCGATCAGCAGGAACCATAACCGTAGTGGCAGAGGAAATAGCCAACTGTAAACGTGGTGTTTACATAAAACTCAAAGGCTGTGATATTTTGGGCACCAGTTGGTTCACCAAACCGCAAACCTTTCTAACCCTTTGGAGGTCAATCGAAGATGGATCTTACAGTTTAGTTTACAAAACGGAAGTTCACCCCTCAAATCACAAACCCGATTGGAGTGTTATTCATATTTCGGCACGGACACTTTGTAACGGAGATTTTGACCGTAACATCCGAATCGATTGTATGAAATACAAAATGTCTGGAGCCCACAGCCTGATTGGCTCTTTCAACACAACTCTTAATGATTTAACCCAAAGATTTGCTGAACCTTCAAGGCACAAATTAACGGTAATTTGATCGTTGGACTAATCAATAAGTTTTATGATCTAATTTATTTACCGTTTTCTTTTTTTCTATTTTCCATAAAAACAGCTGACTAATACCAAGAATAGATCAACTAATTGTGGATTTCTCCAGCTAATGAATTTAGAAATTGAAGAGGAAGTTTCATTTCTCGATTTCATCAAAAGCGGAACTCAGTTACACTTCGCCGTGGCCATTGATTTTACCGCTTCCAATGGAGATCCAAGATATCCTGAATCATTACATTACATTAGCTCAGCGAAACCCAATCCCTATGAATTGGCTTTAAACGCAATCGGTGAAATCCTCAAACCTTACAATTCACTAAACGTGTACCCGGGCTTTGGTTTTGGTGCTAAACTGTCCCCACAAGCCCTGGTTTCCCATCATTTCCCTTTAAATGGTAATGTTAGCCATCCATACTGCCAAGGAATTGAAGAAATTATTATGCACTATCGATCAACCGTCAATCAAGTTACCTTTTATGGGCCAACCAATTTTGCTCCGGTTATTAAATCAACGGCCACAATTGCCCGTCAATACGATGCTGGAAGTAGTTACTTTATTTTACTCATAATCACCGACGGTATTATCTGTGATATGCCACAAACCAAGCAAGCAATAATTGATGCCTCACATTTGCCTCTATCAATAATAATTGTCGGAGTTGGAAATGATAATTTTGATGCTATGGATGAACTTGATTCAGATGATCATCTACTTGAAATCAATGGTAAAAAAGCTGTTCGTGACATCGTACAGTTTGTCCCATTACGAAAGTACGTTAACTCGGACGGGATTTGGCTTCACTCAATGGAAAGTCTCTCCAAGGATGTTCTCTACGAAGTTCCCGATCAATTGGTATCATTCATGAGAGCCAAAGGAATTAAACCTAAAAGAACTGCACCTTAATCAATTAACGATTAATTTGTTGTGTTTTTTTATTTTTCATTATCTTTTCGACATTAATCTCTTCCATTCTCGTCGATTGTTGTGTTTAATGTTCAATTATAATTATATATCAACACATCTGAATGATTACACTAATTAACTAATCAAATACCCTCCTCAATGGTACACAATTCAAGTGATTATTGACTTATCATTGACCATTAACTTTTGTCTCTCTATTTCACTTTAATCAGCACAGAATCAACATCAACAATGGTAAGTTAATTGTTTAAATCACCTTGGAATGATTTAATTATTAATCAAATTTTTCTCAAAATCTCTTTAATTTCAGATTTTCACACTCATTTCTGCTCAAATTCATTGACTTGTTCATGTCGACACACATTTTTGATCACTTAAACTCACAATTAAAACCCTAATTAAGCCAAATCTGTTTCTATTACTTGGATCAACACAAATTTCAATTGTTAATTGTTTCAATTTCATATATTATGTTATTTCACCAATAAGGACAAATCAAACCATTGGACCAAAATTTTATTATATTTGATTGTTTTCTCATAAATAATAAATTGTCTTTCTAATCAACAGTTAAAATAGTTTTATCGGATAACTAAATTATCTTTTCTTAATCAACTCATTCCACAATTAATTACATAAGTTTTTTTCTCAAGTAGATGAAAGTTCATCGACTCATCGTTAGCAATTGAATTCGGACCTTAATCATAATTGTGATAAAGAAAAACTAATGATCATTAACAAGATGCGAGCACAAATTGTCGTAAATTAAATTGTTTTTATTTGATGTAAATTGAAATCAAAATTGTCGGTTAAATGTTTTGATTGTGATAATTATCATTCTGCCTCATAAACTGAATTTAAATTGGCTGATGAATAGCTAATTGGTGATGAAACAATTGTATCATCAGCTGAGACAATATGTAAATCGGGATGAATGAAAACTTGAATTCCGTGTGAATCTTTGACAACTAATTCATTGTTAGAATTGATTCCGGTCACAATTCCGTTGAAACTAAGGTGGACAGTTTTTTTCTTTGACACCCAATTAGAGGCCAATAGATCTCGAACTAAATTCTGATTTTTCTGTAACATTTCAACTAAAGTTTCCAAATTGTTTAAAACTCGAGCAACCAATTCTTCCCGTGTAATTGGTTCTAATTTAGTTCCAAACATGTGATTATGAGCGGCAACTATTGAATTAAGAGTGGACACACCTGAAACTGACCCAAGACGAATACCGATTCCAATTATAAACCAAGAATCATCAATAGGCGATTGTTCAACAATAACACCGGCCAATTTAACCTTTCGATTGTTCCAAGCAACCGAATTAGGCCAAACATAAGCCAGATCGATATCTTGATAACCTCCCTGTTTTTCATGCACCGAATTGACCACGGAAAGAGCGGCAATTGATTGAAGAAGGGGGAATAGTCCACGATCCGTTAGGTTGACATTAATGGACATGTAAACATCTCCGCTTGGTGATGACCAGGATTGTCCACCTCGAGCCTTACCTCGAGTCTGTTGATCGGCAACAACAACAAGTCCCATTAGTCCAACAAAATCACGAGCCAATTCTTGGGTTGTGGTCACTTTTTCCGTTACCAGTATATTATTACCGATGAAAGTTGTATTCAAATGCCGTTGGAAACTGGGCACCCGGAAGTGCACCGATTCACAATAAGGTGGCACAGTGACCGGTAAGTAATCGGGTGTCGCAAACAAAGACGATCCCGGTGACATAATCCAACTGATCGGTGTCCCACCGACGGGAAAACTGGTCAAATCTAATTGTCCCTCTGAATGTAAACATCCTGGACTAATATTTCCCAAAACGGGAACAATTAAAGTAACTATAAAACTAATTGGTACAACAATTAAATTAACCATTTTGATGGATATACTTTTACATGTGATGTTAACTTGAGGCTTTTTAATTGTGACTCTCTAATTGTGAAAACAATTTCTAATTATCTTTTTCTTCTTAAAGTGATCACTTTGTTTTCTTATCACTTATTAATTGATTAAATCTAATCAATTAACTTAATTTAGTTGCTGAGTCAAGTTAATCCAGTTGATTGCTGACGAAGTAAAAAAAAATAAACGTAAATGATTTAAATCTTAAGGTGACAAAGAACAACAATTAATTATTGAAAGAAAATTTTTCCATCACCTAATATTTAGATTGACAATTAATTTCAACTTCTAAAAATAATTTACAATCTAATTGTTCAATATAAATGTTCAACACTTGAAATCATGTTAAGTTAATTGTGATTATAGTTTTTTTTATTGCTTCTTCATTTTCCCAAGTTATTAAGTGTCTCTGATGGTAACAATTAGCCAAATTATTATCGATTAATCATTAGGAAAAATTAACTGTTATGGAAACTAAACTAAATTTCTTAAGATTAAGATTTCCCAATCAATCAACCAAAGATAATTAACTTAATTGTAATCCTTTTTTTTTTCTTGTTTTCCATCTCGAGACTGATCATTGATCAAGTGACTTTTTCCTCTGAAAATTAGCTCAATTAAAGGATTAATTTTAATTTCCATAAGTTTGATCACCACTTTGAACAATCTATTCTTTGTTATTAATCACAATTAGAAATTAAATTTAAACGGAAAAATTAAAATGGAAATAAAAACGAATCGTAATTATTTAATTTTCCCTCGAAATTCAATTTTGTTTTTGTTTTTTTGGTCTTTAATTGATTTGTTGTTGTTGTTGTAATTTAATTTGATTGTTTTTCTATTCTCTTGTTTTAATTTATCTCTTTGTTTAATTTAATTAATGTAATGAATTCTCGTGACTCTTTACTACCCAGTCCGGTTCCAAGTGCCACCGGTAAATCTAAGGCTCGATTTAAATGGGAACCTGCAACTATGAGCGCTTTGAAAAAGTGTCAAAAATTTTTAACACGATTAACTCGAGTTAATCATATGGACTTTGAATTTGCTTTATGGCAGATGATTTACCTGTTTATCTCACCTTCAAAGGTTTATCGATCAGTTTATTATCGTAAACAAACAAAGAATCAATATTCTCGTGATGATCCTGCTTTTGTGGTCCTATTATCCTTTTGGTTTATCATCAGTGCTACTGGTTTAAGTTTAGTTTTACAATTACCTTTCATTGCTTTTATTAAATTTCTATTCTGGGTTGTATTGGTTGATTGTATTGGAATCGGATTAATTGTTGCCACCGTATTTTGGTTCGTCGCTAATAAATATCTACGTAAACCAAATTTACCAAAAGAAGACGTTGAATGGGGTTATGCATTCGATGTCCATCTAAATGCTTTCTTTCCACCCTTGATAATTATCCATGTATTCCAATTGTTCTTCTTCAATGGTAATTTACTTAATTTCTTTCTCTATTCTGATTTGTATTATTGATCATCTTTAAGAATAATCAACTGGAGGAAAAAAAAATAGAGAGCAAAACTTTCCGATTTGGGTTATCCTTTTATCGATGAACAATCAATAACAAACCAAGAAGCAGAATCAACCAAGACATGATTGTCTAACTAGGGAATTATCTTTGACTAAATTGTTTGATTTACTTTTTTTTTCATTTCTATTTACAGTTCTTATTAATAGTGATTGGTTTTTCGCTCGATTATTTGGAAATACTCTTTGGTACATCTCTGCAATCTATTATACCTACATAACTTTTCTTGGTTTCAGTTCTCTACCCAATCTTCATCGAACCAAGTATATTTTATATCCATTGGTACCTTTACTGTTTTTCTACATTTTAACTCTAATTTCTGGTGTAAATATTTGCAGGGTAATCATGGATTTCTATAAATACAGAGTATATTAATTATCTCCACCACGAAACAATTATTTTCTCAACCTCAATTTTTCCTCCTTTTCTGCATCACCAGCAAACAAGAACAATATTCATTCTGTATTTATCGATTTACACACATTCACAAATATAAATATTTATACATATATATTTAAATAATATATTAATGTAAATGGCGAAGAAGAAGAAGAAAAAAAAACAAATTAAAACTTTCATATTTATTGCGATCAAATTTAATTGGAAAAATATTTTACCGATTTAAGTTTATATTTACCGCGTTTTCTTTGTCTCCATGGAAACGAGAGTTGAAAAGTAAACAAATCTGATGATTGAGTTTTCCATTGACTTTTAATTGTTTGTTTCGTGTTTAATTAAATTGTAATTATATTCTTATGGTAGATTTTTGTAATTGTGATTGAAAATTATTATTTCTAATCATGTCTGGCAATGGAGATGACAAGGAAGCCATTTTCAAGTCTTTCATTAGCGAGGTGAAAACAATTGAAGAGAAAGATTCAATTTATACATCAGATAAACAGATTCAACGTTTACTTAGACCTGGTTCATCTTATGCTAATTTAAATCCTTTCAGTGTTTTGTTACTCGATTATGATGCCTCATTGGAAGCAATTAAGAAACAGTATAAAAAATTGTCCATTTTACTTCATCCAGATAAGAATCCAGAGAATCGAGAGAAAGCTCAAATTGCTTTTGATATTCTAAATAAGGCTTACCGAAGTTTGGAAGATGAAATTTCTCGAGCTCGAGCACTTGAGGTTGTGGAAGAAGCCAAATTTAAGGTTAACCAGAATATTGAAGAGAAGAGGAAAAAATTAAAACGTGAAGGTAAAACTGATCTACAAGTTGATGAAGATGATCCAGAGAAATTGAAACATGCTATTCATGTTTTAACCATGAAACTGTTTGCCGATTATGAAAGGAAACGCCGAGCAATGGAGGATAGAAACACCGAGGATCGTAAACGTAAACGTGAAGGTGAAATTGAAGAAGAAGAGAAGAAAAAAGCTGAACATGAATGGAACAAAAATTATGAAGAATCAAGGGAAATTCGAGTTTCGAGTTGGAAAAATTTCCAAACAACATCAAAAGCCAAAAGGAAAACATTTCGACCTCCAACTCACAAACCTGAGACTAAATAGAAAACATGAAACAAACTAACAATCAACAGAATCCAAGTGTCTACACAACAATCAAGTGTTGGATTAATTATTTTCATCATCACTACTTAATCAACAGCTTGTAACTATCAACGTACATTTTGTCTATTTGGTAAATCAACATTGACCATTTTTAATCTAATTCCAATTCTTTGTACATTTCAATCAATTCAATGTTTCTTTTTTTGTTTGGTCAATACTCTTTCTCAGTGTTGGAAATTAAATCCACATATAACAATCAAATCAAATAACCAATTAACATTTTTATTTCTTTTGCAGCCCTTTTACAACCACATTTAAAAAGACATTTTAATTAAATCACAGAAAGAGAGAGAAATTTAGAGATTTAATTTCCTTGGTCTCATAAATTCGTCAAGTATTTCATCAGTTACTTGTTTCCGTCTCTCTTGGTGATCAGCCACTAATTTCTGAAGAATTGTAATCAATTCTTTCTTTAAAAATCCCGTGAGTAAAGTTCCCGCCGTATAATCTTTACGAATCTGTTCAAGTTTATCATCATCTTCGAGGAAAAATTTAAGATATTGATAAGAAATATCTACATCACAATTACCACCATTGGCTTGATGTTCCTCGATAGTTTGTCCACCGCCCGAAAAAGCGTAACGATTAATCTTATTCTTAATTTGATTCGCTGTATCGGTGACAAATATTGAACTATTTGCATCGGAGGCGCTCATCTTACTTTGAGCCCCTTGGAGGGCAGGAAAAAGATGAATGAAGCAGAGCGGGTTTGGGAAACCCAAGCCTCGGGGCAACATCACGGGTTAGCCTAAAGTAGGGATCTTGATCAATAGCACAAGGAATTAGACAAGGAATGTCTTTCTTGCCATCAAAGATAAACGGAAATGATGATGAGAACGACGGAGCTGCTTGAATTGACGGGAAACCAGTTTTTCCAATACAATCAGCGTCATCGATTCCAAATATTTTTCTCACTTGATTGTTATTCACTAGTTTATTGATCTTGACAATATTTTGGTAGAAAGCTGGACCACAAGATCCTATAAATGTTAGATTATTAAAGATGAATGTTTTTTTAACATCAAACCCGCAGGCGATTATATCTTTGGCATTTTCCCGAGCAAGTTCAATTGCATCTTCAACGGGAATATCTTTCCAATAGGATTTCTCATCATCGGTTAATTGTATCACCAAAGGAACATTGAAAGTATCTTGTAACCATTTAGTAAATAGAAAGGGTATTAAATGGCCTAAATGAAGAGCCTTTGAAGATGGACCTCGACCAGTATAGAGGAAAAAGGGTTTACCCTTCTCGTAGCGTTCAAGAATTGAATGGAAATCTCGATGGGAGAAGAAAATTTTCCGACGTAATAAATGATGAATATTACCACCAGTTATCTTACCCATTCTCTCAATCAAGGCATCATCAATTCTACTTGAACCAAATCGAACAATTAATTTATCATAATCAATTCCAGTAGCAGAATTAGATGTAACATTCCAAGGAGTAACGACATCATTTTCGTCTTCTTCCTTTTCACTCACCGGTTCATTTTCTTTCGTTGGTAGAACACATTTACTTTCCAGAGAATCAGCTAATTCTGACATGTTCACAATAGAGATCAAAACAAATTAAAATAATAAAAGAACAAAAAATAAATTAGACTTAGAATCGATTGTACAATTGTTGAGTCAACAAGACAATTTGTTTTCTTTTCATCAATTTGTTTGCATCAACACATGTAGTCGAATATGACAAAAGTCGCCAATAGATGTCACCATTTTCGTCTCTTTAAAATTTCTTTTGATTTGATCAAATTTTCAATTTCATTTCTTGTTTTTGATTTGGTTAACTGGATTTAATTGCGAAAATGAGGTGATTTATTTATTTTATATTCTATTAGCGTTATTTTTAATTGTTGGAGAATTGATTAAATTGATTAAATGAACATGATAACTTGAGATACTTTTTGTTTAATCGTTTGTTTCATTTGTCTCATGTTCTGATTTGGCTTTTGTTTTGATTTTTGATTTCTTATTTTTCTCTTTTAATTAATTTCTTTTTTTCTATTTTTCTTTTTTCTTTTAGCATTTCATCTGAAGTTCCTGAATATCTTGTTGATCGAATTGCTGATTCCAAATGGGATGGTGTTAATGGAACTTATAATAATGAGAATGATTGGAAAGAATGGGATGAAATTTGTTCTGTTTACAATGAGTACACTGGTGATTCTATTCCTGCCTTACCTTATGTGATTACTGATTGGTAATTAATTTGATTCATTTCTTTTTCTACATTGATGGTGAATATAAAACTCTCTTGGTTTCTCATGATATCTTCAATTGGATCGACTGTCAAAACAATTTAATTGATTTGTATTAAACCTTTTTTCACTTTTTGAGTGAAAATTAAAGGGAATCAATAATTTACCAATGATTTTGGTGGTTTCAGTTTTAATCATCGTGTAAAAGAATAACAAGTTTATCAATTTGATGAGTTTTTAAGTTTATTGGTGAAGAGAAAAGTAAATTCCAAGACGATTTAGTTTACAAAATGTAAAGAAGAAATAATTCCATTTCTATTTGATGTATTTTTCCATGAACTTTTTATGAAATTCTGATCTAAGAGTATCATTGATGAAAGTTTTGTTCTTATTATCAGATTCACTACGAGCACAGTTTTTGAATACAACATCGTCATCCCATCGTCTTTTCACTTTAAATTCAGTCTTATTGGAACTTAAAAGAGGATTTCCACGGAGAATATTTTCCATTCGAATTTTTTCCTCATTTTGTTTTCTTTCAGCTTCTTTTTTCGCCTCTTCAGCAGCTCTTTCCTTTTTAATTCGATTTAATTCAGCTAATAATTCTTCAGTATCATCTTCATCACTTTCCTCTTCATCACTGTCCTCATCTTCATCTTCATCAGGTAATTTATCATCTGCATCTGGATCATGAACTGGTACCTCAACCTTAATCTTCTTAGATGAAGGTAAAGCTAAACGAGAAGCTGAAGAAGTCGAAGACGAAGATGACGAAGATGATGATGATCCTTTACGAGATTCTTTCTCAGCTATAGCCAATCTTTCACGTTCTTCCAATTCTCTCTTAAAATCTTTATTCTTCAGTTCATCTGAAGTACCTTGACCAGGTTGTCTAATAGAAGCAAAAAAAATTAAAGAAACAACAAAATACACATTAAACAAAAGAATTAGAACAGAATAGAACAATTAACCGAGACAAGAACAATACAATTAGATTACAAATCTTACCTGTATTTAAGTTTCAAATGTGAAGGTAAATCTCTGGATGAATATTGTTTGGATAAACTTCCAAGATTTTTCTCTCCTTTAGAGGTTCTAGCAGGATCCACTCTAGAAGACATTTCTTTCAGTAGAACAATAGATTAACTAGAATCGATAGAAAAAAAAGGAATAAATTAGAAAAAGAAAACTAAATAATCATTAAAAGTAAAGACAATCAATTGACCGAGCAAATTGAAAACAACAGAAAAAAATGTAAACAGAAATGAAAAAAATTCTTCTGTGAGTTTAGCCTTTTGCTGGAGATTTAAACCAAACGCTATTCTCACAGCAGAAAAATTCTCTTGTTTACATTTTTGTCTTTTTGACAGATAAACATTTTCGCTTTATAAATCAGTTTATTTTTTTCGTTCTTTTTTCTTTTTCATTTGTGTCATGTCTTCAGTTAAACCGGAAGATGAACAATCATCTTCTAACATTCAATCTCCCGTAGCAAGTCCACTAACCGATGGGGCGACCAATTCCTCGAGCACCGATACAGCTGATGGTCCATATGATGATATGCCCCATGACATGATGACCTCTTCATATACTGAGATTTCATTCGGTGAAAGTGATTTAGAAGATGGAATTGAAATAGATGAGAATGATTTAGGTAAGAATTAGAATTCGAGAGAGACAAAAACCGTATGAATGAATGAGAATTTCCAGTAATCATATTAATTGTTTTCTTTTCTCTTTTTCTTTCAGCCGTTGGTGATTCAAATAAGAATAAATCAATTTCTGGTAGTTTATCTTTACCTCAATTATCTTCGACAATTATTGATTGGAGTGAAAAGGCTAAAGCAGAATATGAAGCTGAATATGGTGATAATCCTTCACAATCAATTGTTAGACCTTCAACCGGTGAAAAAGAATCAGATATTACTGGAAACATTGAATATTCTAATGATGGAATGATATCATTTGTTACTCATGATTTAGAATCTAAATTACGATTATCTTCCGTTACATCAAGTCCAAGTTCATCTTCCACTGATGAACAATCATCTTCATCTAATTTAGGAATTTCCAATCTTGATATTACTTTTCTCAATAAGTTAGAGTCTCAAGCACAAATCATTTCAACCAATTTGGATCAAGTGATGAAATATATTGCTAATTATACTTGTCAAGTGACTAATTTAACTCTAAAAAGTGTAAACAATTTAACGAGCTGTTTAGATGAAACTTGTGATTCCATCGATGTCAATATTAAATCAATGTACCAATTGATGGCCAAATATGAAGAGCTTGGTTCGGTTATGGCTCCGATTGATAAATTGTCGGAAGAAGTGAAAGAAGTTAAAAGATTATTAATGTTATTTGAAAGAGAAATGGAAACCAATCGTTATCAACATTAAAACTCAACAATTAAAATGTATTTTCAATCAAAAATACAAGTCAAAACAACAACAAAGGGCGAGCAATCAATTAACCAATCCGACAATACGTTAATCAACTAACCAATCATATAATAGTTTTAATTCAAACCAAATGAGATTTAAATTAAATTGTTATTATCTTTCAACACTTGGGGTGTTAATGTCTACAATTAGAGGGAAATGATTAAAAACAAATTCAACAATCAAGATTAATACTCTTTTTGAATTGATCAACATCACAATCTCTTTTTAATCAGTGATCTTCAAATCGACCATTTCTACCTTTAAGTTTTAATTGTGAATTTTAATTTTCTCCATTTTCTAATCAACATCATGACTCTATCAAAAATCGCCCTAATTGTCAGTTTGGGCGCTGCGGCCACCGCTGCGTTTGCCGTTGCCCTAGTGCTCAATACGAGGCATGAAAGGTTACATTATATTCCGCTCGTTCAACCAGATGATGTCACCCAATTTTTCCCGATCACAAATGAACCGGAAGTCTATACCAAACGGGCACCGATGATTGCCTACAATGATTTAATCAAAAATGATTGTGAAAGTTTAAAAAAAATCGAGGCAAAAACAAACGTTACAATTGTGGTGGACTCAGACTTCGAGGTGACCGCTTCAACCTTTTTAATGACAATTTCTGGTAGACCAGCTGATTGTGTTTTAGCTGAGGCTCAAATTAATGATTTACTAATAAAAATTGTCGACAAAAAGTGTACACCAACTCATCAAGCAAACAATTAACTCACCAAGAACAATAATATTTACAATTGTAATCAAATTTTAAATGTTTTCCATATTTATCTCATTTGTACAAAGCAAAAATGACAAAGAAAATTAAATCAAAGGAAACAAATTGAGTTCCTGATTTTATTAGTTTTTCAATAAACATTTTAAAATGATCAAATTTTCCTTAAAATTTTTCCTTAATTGTTATCGTAATTAAATGTACGAATTGATAAAAGTTTAAGTTAATCAACTTACTAATTGATGACCTTCATTGATCAACCGCTTCCTTGGAAAAATCTTTAACATTTTCTCCTTTCACCTTTAACATTTCAAACACACAAATCAACAGTTTCCAATTTAGTCATTTAACCTTTAAACTGAATTAAATTTGTAACAATTAAAAATTGCGAAAATAAAAGAGATCAACTAGTGACATCTATTGGTTTTTCGAACAACCTATAAATCGAAAATCGGTTGTTAGATGTCGCTACTATACCGAGATTCCATTTTTGTTGATTTAATTGTTTCTTTTACATCGTTAATGATTTTTAATCCAATTGGATTAATTTTTTTTTTTTCGTTAATTTAGTAATCAATTGATCTCCATTGGACCAACAGGATGAACATAAATCCAATCGTTAAAATGGCCTGTTAAACAATAAGAGTTGTGAGTGTTACTCTAAGTCGGAAGTGATTTATAGTCCATCTGATGGAGTCAAATTGTTGACTTGACTATTATGATTAATGACTGTGATTAAAGGAGAATCAAATTGATTGTTGTAACCTGTCAGCCCTTCGCAAGTAACTTACCTGTTTACCTGTTAAAGAGAAATTAATAATCGCGAAGAGATGAGATTTCATTTTCTAAACTTTTCTTCTTGGTGACTTGGTGAAAATTGAGAGTCAATTATGTGAAATAATATCTTTTCCTACAATAATAATGATACAATCATCTATTTATTTTTTTTTCTTCTTTACTTCAAACATCAATCAAGACATTTCAACTCCAATTGATCAAAAGATTATTTATTACACGTCATTATCTCCATCATCATCACCATGCCTCTTATAAAACATGAACAGTAAGTATGATTAGCATGAGAAGACAACAGAAAAAAAAGAGAAGAGAAAAAGTCAAAAAAAAATAGAATAGAAAATCATATTCAACCTTTTTAATGTTAATTTTTTTATTCTTTTCCACTTTTTTCTCCACTAGGCCTGGTCATCTAAACGAACGGAATATCCCAAGATACATGGCGTTAATTTGACGAATCGATTTCAAGTTCAACTAGACTGATGAATTCTGGCTACAGTGATTGAAGCAAGAAACCAATTGGATATAAATCATTTGGTGTATTTTTTTTTGTTCATGTTACAATAATCAAAACCCATTTGAAGGCTAATTTATATATAGTGTAACAATGTTATTCAACTGAAGCTGATGAGAGCTGGTGTTGATTGTTGTTATGGTCCAGTAACTTTATCATCATCACCATCATCTATTATTAATATAAAAATTGATCAAATTGATTGGTTGACGGCCAATGAAAGGTCATTACTGAGAGATGCTGATGAAAATGGAGGCAAGTACTTTAATTGACGTAAATTAGGTCATCAAATAGTATCAACTCTTTTTTTCTATTTCATTATTTTCTTCTCATTTCTCATTTTCTCCAGTATTATTATTAGTAACATGTATTACTATTGTTATAAAATCTCTTCATCTTTCTAATATTTTACACTTTCAACTAACTTATTATATTATATTTCTATTTCTTCTTTTATTTTTCCATCCTCATCATCTCTCTCTCTCTCTCTCTCTTCTCCCTTGCAGATATTATATGAATGGAACCAGCCAGATATTTCAGCCAAGTGAATCAAATTCCTGGAGCACACATACACAAGCCAATCTTTTAACCATCAATCAGAAACCTTTCTCCACGAGTTTATCCCTGTGTTTGTGTGTGAAAAGTTTCCAAATTGTTCAAAACACCATATGATATATAAACTCAATTCCACCTCATCATCATCAACAACAACAACATCATTCTCTCCATATCTTCAATTTAGCCCAATCACACATTGTTGGTTTCTTTTTTATCCTGTTGACAGATTTAAAGAATCAGCAAAATTTTCAAGACAAGATGATGAAGGGAAAAAAATGATTCCAATTGAAAAGGAAAAACCAAAAAAAGATTCAAGAAAAAAAAGAGAAAGACATCAAAATCTGAATCAAGAATCGAGAATCGAGAAGAGAATCACAAGAATCATCCAATCTCAAGTTCACTCATAATGGTGAATTTCATGATATAAAGATGAGTCAAAATTCATATGCTGAGTTTTTTTTTCTCATCTCATTTTCTTAATTCTTGAGATTTTGTATTTCTCGTTTTTCCGTTGCGTTCCTTGGCAACTTTTCACTATTCCATTTATTACAATCAAGTCGACTAAATACTTCCAATTCCATGTTGAACATTAATTGTTGATGGTTCAAATTATGATTACCTTTTCTATTTCAATTGTACTATCATCGTTTATCTACACATTGGATAATTTAACCAACAACAACCAATGGAATTCAAGTGAACACAAATTTCTCAACTCATAATCAAAGAAAATCAACATTTTCACCAAATATCAACCATCTTCTGTTTCATGTTTATAATTACATGTTACATTTAATATCATGTATATATAACTATAAACGAAATGCTGAAGATGATGAGAATGAAGAAAAAAAAACAAAATGAACCATCATAATCAACATGAAATATTTTTCTAACATAAGAAAATCAAGATTCTGTTGCTATGATTAGAATTGAAATTTAGCCTCAAGCAAATATGCATGAGGCTAAATTACTTTAACATTATCATTATTATTATCTTAGTCTTTTTTATATATACAAACATTTTTCCTTACCAATCAAATTAACAACAACAACAATTATATATTTATACTTGCTACCAACCAATGGGAATGAGAAACTTGTCAACTATAATCAAAAATTAATCTGTTGATTGTCTATCAGCAATTGAATTAGTATATGTGTGTGTGTTAATCAGTAGAAAGAAAAAAATGTTTAATTTTTTTTCCTTTGCACGATTTGCATGGTTAACCAGCACGATTTAACTTCTAAACTTTAATTGTAATTTACCTTGAGTTGAATTACAATTGACGTCGAAAAGTAGGAAAAAAAGTTTTCTTTTCAAAGAAACAACAAATTTAATGTGATGTATAAAATGATAGAGATGAAGATGGAGATGGAGATGATGTTTGTTATGGTTTTTTTTTTACAAGAAAAGTATATGAGGAAAGATGAAGATGAAGATGATCTGAGGTTAGATTGTAACAATTGATGCTAATGAAGAATGATTAAGATAAACAGTGATATAAGTTTATCACCGATAGATCATATTTAGAACTTATTATATTTCTGTTTTTGCTCTTGGGCCTCAAAAATTTTCTTCCTCTTCTCCTTTTCTCCTCCTTCTCATTATTATAATAATCATCATAATCTTGCAACAATTAAGATTAATCATGACTATACGTTTACTTTTACACATTATCATAGATTTTGTTCAATTCCTTCTGGAGGATCGTTCAATCAATGTACCAAGCACAAACCAATCCATAGGAACATAAGGCAAGTAACTCCCACTCTATTTTCCACCCTCACCTCCCTCACTCTCTCGTTTCTCTCTCACATCTCTGATTATCGGAATGACGATGAGAAACTCAACCAACCGACGTCCCTTTCGCGTCCCTACGTTTATTTTGCCTCTTCTCAGTTAACAAGATTTGCGGTTGGCTGCAACATGGTTTGTTCATTTGACAATCTGATGGATCTGAGACTGGAATATGTTTACTTTTTGCTCTCTCTCTCTCTCTCTCTCTCTCTCTCTCTCTCTCTTCTTTCTTTCTTTCTTTCTTTCTTTCTTTCTCTCGTAAGAGATGCTTAATTTTCAATTCTTTCATTTAATTTACTCTCTCTTACAAGTTGCTCAAATTTCATCTTAAAAACATACTCAATCACACTAATTACTTTTTATCATCTTTCCTTTGCATGCATTATCATCGTCATCATCATTTACAGCACTTACGATATTATTATTATGATCAAAATTAACCAGGAATAAGTCAAGGAAAAAAATTAGTCAAGTCAAAACCTTCATCGTGTCGTTCAACTGATGTAAACAATTTACAGGGGAAAATGAAAACAATCAACTCAAACTTGATGTCTCCCTAATAACTCCAAGTACCTAATGGGTTATTAAAAGAAAAAGATTCTTATTATTAGCTTAATTAAACTAACCCCAAGCAGAATATCAATTAATTTTTGATAGTAAACAAAAAGCTTATCGACATCTGGTTACCTGGATTTAAAAAAGTTAACGAAAGAATCAAGGTAAGCAAAAAGAGTCCAAGAAATGTGATCTTAATTATTAGACTTAAATTACCAGTGAAAGTGATAGATTTGTTTATAATAATGGTTAATCAATACTTCGGAATCGCTCGCAGCCCGAAAAAGGTCAAAAGAGGAAAACAAAGGAAACAAACAACAACAATACTCACAAAGTTTTGGACTCTCACACAACCGAATAAGTTAAATACGTAAAAAAATTGATTGTATTTCCTATTCATCATCTTCAGCTTGGCCTTTTCTTTTTCCTCGACTCTCCATCATATTACCTTTCCTACTCTCATCGGAGACCAACAATCAAACGAGGAAGGCTTATTATGCTTCCTCGCCAAAACCAATCATTCAAATGTACCTTGAAAACCATGACCATCTCTTGGGACTATCAAGTCAAAAGCAAAGGTACAAACATAAAGCAAAGAGACAGTGAATCCAAAAGACTTCGTATTTAACAATCTCAGGTAAACTTATTACCTTAACTATGATCGAAAGAAGAGAAGAAAAAAGAGAGAAAGAGAGACAAATAGTACCTTAAATGTTTTTCTTTCTTTTTCTCTGTCGTTACTTTTTTTCGTATCTTCATCTTTCCCCTGATAAACATTGAACAAAACTTTTCCTTTGTACAAGAAGCAGAAAAAAAACTTATGTTAAACATTCCGTTTGTTTCCGTTTAACATCAACCCTCGAATACACAATCAACTTAACTACAATTTATCCTCATCAGTTTGTCAACTTTTGTCTTCCAGCTTTAACTTTACACAAACACACTTCCGATACGTGTGCACCCTGTACGTGCTCATAAAAAGTGTATCATGGTAACAGTGATGCGAAAACAAAATTTGATATTTTATCCGACCAAAAGTGATAACAATTTGATAATTATCAATTTTAAATACTTCGATAGATTTGATAATAAAAATGTTAAATATCAAAGTTGATCAACTAATCAATATCATCATCATATTAGTGCTAAGTATGAGTGTTTTTTTTAAACAATTAGATTATAATCAGTACGTGGTTTATAAATACATGTATTATATTTATCATAGTGAATCAATTGATTAATGTTTATTTTTTTTTCCTCACTTTTTTCTTACTTTACCATAGAAACGAGCATATTTTCATGGAAGGACAAGGAAAAGTTAAATTGAATAAATGGAACCCTGTTTACTGAATATACATGAAGATGAAGAAGATAAAATTGATGATAAAAAACAACAACAAACAAGATGAAGATAGTGATGACCAAACCCCAAGAACAAGGAGGAGACTTGAAGAAAAGATGAAAAAGAAAGTATAGAAAAGAACTGCCCAAAAAAAGAGAAATAGGAGGAACCCACCGGAGGGAAAAAACAGAGAGAGAGAGAGATGAGAGAGAGAGAGAAAGAAAGAACCAAGCAAAAGAAGGAGAAAAAAACAACTACTCCCTAATTCCACCCCTGAAGAGGTGGGGTGGGAAATTGAATATGTTTTCCCTTCAACCTTTCCTCTCAAGGCTAATAATGCAACTACAAGCAAGGGGATGGAGAGTAAAAGATGATGAAAAAGATTGGCCAATTTTTTATGGGAAATGAAAAAGATGAAGATGAAAATGATGATGATGGAGAAAGGAAGTTATATAAAGAAAAGAGAGAAACTCGAAAGAGAGAAAGAGAAAGAGAGAGAAGTGATTCTTACGGTTAATTTGGTAACTGAGAGGCTATTCATCGAGTTAACAGTTCGTAAATCTTATAAATCAATTTGCCTACTCAACCCAAACAAAACTCTAACATTTTCATCACTTTATCATCATCAGCTGATTTACAGGTATATTTATTTATCCATAACAAAGTGATCAACAAGATGTGATAAATTTTCTGTCATGAATAATATCTTTGTGTTCATTTGGAAACAATTTATTAATCATTATCAGCTCTCTCTCTCTCTCACTCACTCACTCACTCACTCTCTCGCTACACCAATTAAAAAGCAACAAATTATATTATCATTTGTTGTAAAACTTTTTCCTTGTTGATTGTTGATCCCTTTCTTTTTTGTTTGCTTGAGAAATGATTAATTGTTGTTGTTTGTTGTTCAATGTTAAATACTTGTAAGTCTTTTCATCATCAAATTGTATTTCTTGTTCTTTCACCTTCATTACCACCATAACCTCCTCTCCATCCTCATCCTTTCCTCTTCCTCCTTTTTTGACACCTTTTATTTTTCTTGGTTTCTACCTTTTCATCATTGAATTATATTAATGATCCCTCGGTGGATGACAATGATTATGATATTAAACTGGAAATGGACAAATGGTTTACACAATGGATAATTGGTCAGTAGTATCTTGACCCAATGACCATTATAATATTGTCATTAGTATTTGTAACATGATAATATTAATGATCAGAAAAAGTTGAAAAGATGAACAAAAAAAAATATCAATTTAAATGTTACCTTTTCCATCCCATGTTAATATCTTCATAGATAATTACCTCCCACATTTTGTATTCATCTCTCTCTCTCTCTTTATCATCCTCATTATCCTCATTATATTCATCATCTCTCTCTCTCTCTTTTCATCTTATAGTGTTAGGAACCATTTTCAAGCATAAGTTACCCTTAAAAGATCAATTTAAATGTAATTTGTAACATTTTCATCTCAAACCCTCCATATCCAAACCCGTGTTTTCCACTGTCTTTTTCCACCCTCTTCATCCTCCTCCTACTCACTCTCTTTCTCATCCCACCCCAGCCCCTCGTCTTCCTTTTCCTCTTTCACTTTGAAAGCTTAATTTTGTTGTTATTATTTTTCTTTCATTTTCCCAACAACCAAACAACAATTCTCATTGAAATTTCACAGTTTTCCCCACTCAAGTAACATTACCAACATTTATACAATTTCCATTCACAAATTTACCTCCATTCACCCACTCACCTTCCTCACCCACCCACCCACAAATACACACCCCTTATAGTCATGAACCTCTAACACCATCATGGTCATCAGATTTATACATAATTTCACATCAACTTAAATCCTTAATTGTAGTAATTAAATTCACTTGTAACTTTATCTTTCCCTTACCAATGGTTTTAATGACCATTGGTCAATCGTCCTAAAAGTGACGAAACTAATTTTGTCTAATGTCTTAAATTACATGAAAGAGACAAGAAAATGTTTCATGTTTTTTTTTCATGTTAAATCGTTAATCAGATTGATTAAATTGAGTTTAATCTTTTGACATTGATTGTTGTTAGTAGATGATGCAAAGAGGAACATTATTCAACATCATCTTGATGATCATCTTTTATCATCATCATCATCATGACAAGAATTTTCTCCAGGAATTCAATCAATCACAATTGACGAGGAACGAAGATGTTAGTCATTTTGAAATGTCTCGAAAGAAAAGAAAGCAAGAGAAAAGAATATATGAAAAAAATATAAAAGAACAAAGTTTTTCTCTATCATCTTCTTCCTCCTCTTTTCATCATCATCACCACCACACCCAACAATCAACTGATCATTGATTATAATCAACAGTCAACTACAAATGATTGAACAACAATCAAGACAAATTTGGTTACAGAATGAAAAGATTAATATTATATGGAAACAAAAAAGTGAATCAAGTTAATCCAATATTTTGAATAATCAGCTCAAGAATATTCAATGATATTAACAAAAAGATTCAATATTTAATCATCATGTTTATGATTAAGATTAAAATGAATTGATGAAACCTCCCAAGATCTGGATTAAAAAGATAAATCAAATTTAAATCCGATCATTTAACTTTTTTTTCCTTCATCTCTTCATGTTGTATATTATTCACCCTAATCACTATAAACTATTAATTGTTTGATATTATTGGTTTTCAATTATCACAATCAGTCAACAATATTAAACGTTAATCTCTTAATCCTATTTCATTGTTTTCATTTATCACTTTTTCATCCTTTTCATCATCATCATCAAACAAGTTTACAGGTAAATTCGGTTTACATCATTTTCAGAACAAAAAGAAAAACTTTTGAAACTTTTTTCTTTTTCTTTTTCCACCATTCAATTTTCTCTTTCTATCATCTTTTAATCTTCCATTATCATCATTTCTTTATCATCATCATCATCATCATACTCATGGTAGCATGATAATAATCAGTAATCAGTAGCCTGAGGCAATGGGAGATTAGATTCGAGGAAAAGAAAAAGTGAAAAACTTTTTTTTTCCCATTCGATGAATTTTCAAATCTTTTTTTTCTTTAGTAAAAAAAACATCAAAGTTAATTGTTAGTTAATTTTACAATTAACCAGCTAACAGATTAGAAATTTAAAATTGACAATCAACATAATTAATTTCAACGAAAACTACAAATCGCTGATTGTTGGTTATAAATGTTTCAAATCTAATTGCTGTTGACGATTAAAGTAAAAGTTAATCAAGTATCGAAATACATACAATTACAATTGACCAACTTAAATGTTAATCAGTCGATAGAAATTAACAATCAACTAATGATAAACTTATTTTCTGTAAACAATAACAAAAAAATTGAATCAATTATCATTTGATTGTAACAATTTCAATTACAATGGTCAAGTGAATACAAAAAAAAACTCCATTGCGCTTTATTCAATAATCATCATTATTATTCAGACTGAATTATGATCCAGGTATTGAAAGGTATTTCCAAGAAAATGATAACAACAAAAAACTTATATTATTCATTATTATCATGATGTTTTTATATTATTATTAGAATTAGAACTTATTTTTGTTTCTCTCTCACTTTCGACAAGATTGGAAATGTAAGAATACTGGAAATATGATGGATCGCTTTTCTGTTGACCTCTCATGGTGTTTTAATTTGTTATCAGTCTTCCTCCCTCTTTATCATCTCTTTCTTCCTCTTTCTTATCATCTTCCACCTCCACATCCTCCCTTTCATCCTTTCCTGGTGATTGCTTACTCTTTGGGTCTCAGCGGGACCTTTTTTTGTGTGTCTATCAGTTTTTGCTGCATTTTTTTTCATCATCATCCTCATCATCTAGATTCATGTTTTCACAGATGAGAAAGATGAAGATTAAGATGAATTTGAAGATGCAGATGAACAGGATGATGGGAGGTAGTGGTGATGGGGATGAGTATTCAAAAGCTTTAAGGCTTTGAATGAATGATGAAGAATGAAAATTGTCACTGGAACAGACAAAAAAAAAGTGAGAGTGGGGAAAGATGAATGATCATCTGATTGTGTTCAGATTAAGATGATTAACTTGATTATCATCATGTTGTTGTTGTTGTTCATCATGATGATGATGTTATATTCACATTTTCAAATGTCTTTTTCATTATCAACTTGTTATTGTTGGCATAAGTTACCATCACAATCTGAATGATGGTTTAGTCTAATCAATTGTCATTAGTTTTGTTTAATTTGGTCTCAGTGACATTTATATATGTAAGTGTTTCATTTCACAATTAAAGTTTCTCGTTTGTTGGATATTTATTTTTTTTGTAACGAATTGATTAAAAGTGCTAATTGTTGGTAATTTACTTATACTTGGAAAATAAAATTGAAACATTTTGACTGATGAGCTTTTGATTATGATATGAAACAGGATTAAAATTGATTGTTGTTCATGATTTCATTGTGATGTTTGTCTATGTCTGTATGTGTGTTGCATTTAAATTGTGGATCAGATTAGTGGTTAATCAATTATCGTTAAATATTGTAACCAATACTTGAGATACTTTACTTTATTATATTTACTAATTGTTTGTTTATTTGATTAAATGTTTTGAGGTAAAAACAATGAACTAAATGTTTCAAGAATGTTAATCAATTGTGAAGAAGATCAATCAAGAAGAGGCACTGATGAGGATGAAGAAGATGATCATCATCATTTACCTTATTTTCCTCATGATGATGATGATGATCATCATCATCATTAAATTTTTTATAGTTACCCCAATTGAGAACACACCTTAATGGTGTTGTTTTTATTTAGTGTTTAGATCCAATGAAATGAGTTCGAAAAGTTTTTTTTTCTTTTGAAAAACTTTGACTTTCGATAATGAGAAATGTTGGAAAAAAATTTTCGATTTTTTTGGCGCGATTTTCAAAAGTTTTTTTACTTGAAACTTTTTTTTAATCTTGTTTTAATTTGTATTTTATTTCCTTATGAATATTATTTAAATAATGAAAAGAAAGAGGAAAATTTTTAGTAAATTGAACAACTGATCATGTATGCATAAGTAGATGTACTAACAGAATCTATGACAACTTCTTGATGTGACAAAACTTTTTCAAGTTGTCTAATCATTAGCATTTAAGATTATGATAAGGATGAGGATGAGGATGAAGAGGTAATAGAGAGGGAAAGAGAGAGAGAGAGAGAATGAAATGAGAGAGATATTAAGGTACATAGAGAATCTCAACTCACACCCAATCTTCAATTTGCTTCATCATCATTGAAGAAGAAGAAAAAAGTAAGAAAATTTTCATCTCTCTCTCAATATATTTTCTACCCTCTTCATCATCTTCTCTTTCTCTCCATCCTCATCCTCCTTCTTTCACTGTTGCATCTTGATACATAGACGAAATCTTCTTCTCACTCCAGTCTCTCGATCAGCAGCTTTGAATAAGATTGATAGGCTTGGTTGTTCGTTTGATATAAAGAACAAGATGAGCAGGATGATGAGAGTAAAGAGCAAGCAAGACGTCTCTCTCTCTCTCTCTCTCTCTCTCTCTCTCTCTCTCTCTCTTGATATTCCTCTTTCATCATCATTCTTACTTGGAGTGAAATCGTAGTGAACACGAAGAAAGAAAAAGAGAGAGATAGAGATGAAACAGAAGTGAATATGTACATAGAAATACATGTTGCTCGATTGAAGAATAAGAAAGAAGATGAAAAAGAACAAAAAAAGATGAAACAAGAATTTATCTTCTCTTCTTGGCAAACTCCCATATTCTTCTTTAAGACTCATCATCATCTCTTCATCATTTAGTAACAAACTTTGTGATATCAGCATCCGAAGAGCTTTTTCATTTTTTTCCAATTCTTGCGATATTGTCCATCATTTTCGAGAAAAATTTTAACGAAGGTAGAAAAGTTATCCTCATCTTCTCATCGTCACTTAACTTATAGGAATGATGAGTAAGGAAAGAGAGAGAAGATGATCTTCTTATAGGTAAAGAAAAGTGAAAAGACCACTGAACCAGAGAGAGAGAGAGAGAGAGAGAGAGAGAGAGAGAGAGAGAGAGAGAGAGAGAAGATAACGAAAATGGAAGAGAAAAAGACGATAATAAGAATGGAATTGAATTCATACAATCAGATAAATTCATCTTAATCTTCATCATCATCATAAGATAATTTTGATGAATATTCGAATTCGAAGAAAATTTTCTCTTCTTCGCCAAGAATATCATTCAACTTTGAAGTAAACACCATAGTCTTAAAATTCAATTCCAAAAAGATATTCCTCCTCATCCATATCTTTCTCATCATCATCGTCATCCTCGAAAGTGTAAAAATATTCAGAGAGAGAGAGAGAGAGAAAGAATATAAAATTTTTTTCTTCAGTTTTTTCGCCAACTTTTTTTTCTTCTAGCACTTTTTTTCTTCGTTGGCAGAGGGAAAAATCTTCCACCATCATCATCACCACCATTTACCACCCTTCGTTGATTGTAGTTAATTTTAATCATCGTCTCACTTGGAACATCATTAATATTTAGTTTTATCATTAAGTCTCAAGTCAAGTTAATACAAAAAAAGTAGTTGGACAATTTAATCAGTCTGATGATAAGGTTAATGTTGTTTATCAAATTAACCAGAAATTGTTGATATGTTAAATTGAGATGAAATAATCAGGATGAAAAATGATTGTTTTGAAAATTAAATGAGCAAAAAAGCTAATTGTCAATTTATATTAGAGTTAATTAGAATGAGCAATTTAAAACTATTCCCAAAGTCAATTAAAAGTTGAACACAAATCAAAACAATCAAACTGTAAATTGTTTATAATTTCAAGTAATTCAAAACCTAAAAAAATCAATGATTACGTTGATTGAGTTTTGTTTGATGAAATTTTCAAATGTTTGTGTTATCAAGTTAATAATTCATGAATTATTAACACAATGATGATGAAGATGATGATAACCATGAAGAGGATCAGTTTTATCCTGACAATCCTCTGATGACAAGTGAAATGATATAAAGTGATAATGAGAGTTGATGATGTTGATCAAATTGCATCAAATGATGAGGATGATGAAATGAATCACGTGACCTCTTATCTTCACGATTATCAATTGATCACCAAGAAAGAAAGAAGAAGAGATGATGAGGATGAGGATGAAGATGAAGATAATGAAGATGATAAGTAAGTGTGTGGGAGGAAGAGGAGGAAAGGGAAAGTCGTTGAGTGATCGCTCAGTTGGATCTCTGGTCAACTTTTGACCGAAGTCAATTAGTGATTCAGTTGGAAGGCAAAAAGCAATTGGTTATTAATTTATTTTGATTGTTGCTCATTGATTATTGATGATTAACTGTAGCGGTGCTGGTGGTGGTGTCATTGATTGTTTATTGATTGTTTGTTGATTTGTTTTGTCGTGGGAAAAGTAGTGGTTTACAAGTACGGATTTTAAATTGATTCTTTCTCACTTTTATCTTCTCTCTCTCTCTCTCTCGTCCGGAAGAGCTCATTATCATGAAAAGGATGATGAAGAAGATTGAAAAGAGTTGATTTAGATTCCTGGTGAGATGATGATCTTTAAGAGGATGAGGATGATAATACATCACCAAGAATGAAGGATTATTGTCACTGAAACTTGACGAGAATGATGATGATGATGATCAAGGATGATAAGGGATGATAAAAATTCAACAATGAAAGGGTTAAAGTCTCACAAGTGAAAGTGATACTACAACAACAGCAATTATCATCATCATCATCATTATCATCCTTAAGCATCCTCATCACTTTGCATGAAATGAAATGAAATAAATTTTACTTTTTCTTGAAAAAAAAGTTTCAATCATTTTCATCATCATCATAATCATTAACCGTTTGCATCCCATTTTCCTAAGATTAATCAACACCGAATTAACTTAATCACCATCATGATTATCTTAATTAGTATCAATGTTATTGTTGGTTTAACAAGAAAACACTGTTAATTGTTTAGCTCTTTATCAATGAGACGTTGATTGTCAACATGATTAACATGATGATTTGTGGTAATCGTTGTAACAAACATTTGATTTTATCTTTTGATTACAAAGATTCATTATAAGAGGATAAAAAAATCCCTTTAACGATAACAAAGTTGATAAGAATAATTTAAATAATGATGAAGATTAAGATGACAATTTAAGTAGCATCTCTAAATGAATCAATGTGAAAGCAATTAATTAATTGTCG